CAGCAACCGGGCGCTGGCCCGACCCGGATATACCGCGATTACAATAGAGTCCTACGTTGAAAGCCGGCCCACGCGTCCCCGTGTATCTTGGCTCGACCGACCCCACGGAGTACCCGCGCCATCCGCCACGATAACGGTATTTCGGTACCTCCCTACGCCGTGGACTCCCTCGATCCTATCAACATCATCACCACCATCCGAGCAGCTTCTTCATGGAAGCGGCGTCAGCGCGGTACGCCGCCAGAGACAGGTGGGGAGACATGAGCAACCATGACATGTCACAGCTGCAGCGCTACATCCATGCAGCCTGCAGCCCCGAGAACTACGAGCCCAATCTCGCGCTGAATCTTGAGATCGCCGACCTCATCAACCAGAAGAAGGGTTCTGCCCCGCGCGAAGCCGCCGTCACCATCGTCGGCCTGATCAACCACCGCAACCCCAATGTCTCGCTGTTGGCCCTCAACCTGCTCGACATCCTCGTCAAGAACTGCGGCTATCCCTTCCACCTGCAGATCAGCACGAAGGAGTTCCTCAATGAGCTGGTGCGCCGCTTTCCCGAACGGCCCCCGGCCAGGCCGTCCCGCGTCCAGATGAAGATCCTCGAGGCCATTGAAGAATGGCGGCGTACTATCTGCGAGACGAGCCGGTACAAGGAGGACCTGGGCTTCATCCGCGATATGCACCGCTTGTTGACCTACAAGGGTTATACGTTCCCGGAAATCCGCAAGGAGGATGCGGCGGTTCTGAATCCGAGCGACGTACGTGTAGTTCAGTAGCTTTGATAGACGGACTACTAGCTAACAGTTGCCAGAACCTTAAATCCGCCGAGGAAATGGAGGAAGAGGAGCGCGAGGCCCAATCCGCCAAGCTTCATGAGCTCATTCGTCGCGGTACCCCTGAAGACCTTCGCGAGGCCAACCGTCTGATGAAGATCATGGCCGGCTATGATACACGCTCCAAGGTCGACTACCGTGCGAAGTTTGCCGAGGAAGCGCAAAAAGTCCGCGAGAAGGCCCGCCTGCTCGACGAGCGTCTTGACAACTTCAAGCCTGGTGACAAGCTCGAAGATGGTGACGTCTTCTCCGAGCTTGCCGCTGCCTTGTGCAGCGCCCAGCCAAAAATCCAAAAAATGTGCGAGGAGGAGTCCGATGACCACGAGGCCGTTGCCAAGCTGCTCGAGATCAACGACAGCATAAATCGGACCATTGAGCGCTACAAACGCCTCAAGAAGGGCGATATCGAGGGCGCCAACCAGGTAGCGAAGGGCGGGTCAAAGTCAGCAGGGAAGAGCAACGAGCTGTCGCTCATTGACCTGGACGACAACCAACCCGCTCCTCAGCCTGCAGCGCCATCCACGTCAGCATCAAAGATCGAGGACGATCTGCTTGGTCTGTCAATAGGCGACACAGGCGGCGGCGGCAGCAGCAGCAGCAGCAGCAGCACTTACGGCCAAACAGGCAGCATTGCCCTAGGCTTTGGAGCTAACACAAGTATGACGCGTCCCCCCCCAATGACTCTTGCGTGACGCATGCTAACCATCATGCTCCAGACATCCCGGGCCCTGCCTTGCTCTCTTCCCTCACCCAGGCTAATAGCGCCAAGGGCCAGGTTCCGACTTCTACTCCCTCCCCAGCCTCGTTCCCTAGCTTCTCCTTCCCGACCTCTCAATCAGGCACCCCTCAGCCCCAAAAATCCGCCTTCTCTCCTCCCCTGCCTCAGCCTCAAGCCGAAGATCCCTTCGCCGCTCTCGCCTCACTTTCCTCCTCCTCAAAACCGACTTCTCCATCACCTGCTCCCGCTCCAGCCCCAGCCTTCGCTGCGGCAACCGTCAACAATGATGACGATGAGTGGAACTTTGCTTCCGCCCTGCCTCCAGAAGCCCCCTCTGTGCCAAAAGAGCTCCAGCTGCAGGTCAGCAACTCGAGCTTGCGCATCGATATGGTGGCCAAGCGCCTGACGGACGCGGATCCGCCTATCACCTTGTTGGCGTCGTTTAGCAATAACACGACGCAGATGATCACGGAGCTGCATTTCCAGCTTGCTGTGACGAAGGTATGTTCTCCGCCTTCCGATAAAGCTGTGTGAATTGATGCTAATAGTTTGTTTACCCAGGGTTATGAGCTCCAACTGCAACCGCAATCTGGGCGTTCGCTACAGCCGAGGCAAAATGCCGGGGTGACACAAAAGATCCAGGTATTCCGTGCTGGGAATAGGAGCCAGAGGGTAGAGAGCATCAAGCTACGGTGGCGGGTGTCGTATAAGGTGGGCGGGGACCTGAAGCAGGAGATGGGAGAGATTTCGGAGTTTAGCGTCGCGTAACGGTAATACTAGTCGCTACTTTACCGCTCCTAAGCATGTTGTTGGCTACTATTAAAGGATGGTTGATTGTTGGCATGGGTAATGAGTGGTAGTGTGGGGGGAGTGACCAGACCAGGTGTATATTTGAAGGGTGAAAGTGAATGGTCGTGATTCTCGCGGTATCGGTGTTGAGATATCCACACTGGAACATGGAGAAGTTTTTAAATGAACCATTCTACAGAGAAAAAAAAAAAAACAATGGCACTGTTGTAATGGCTGGATGGCAGACGCTCTACTGACCCTATCACGAACAACTCATGTTTCGATACCTGTGCGGCTGAGCAGAAGCTGATACGAGGAAAATCAACAACTCCAAGCTCAAGAGGAAATGGATCATGCTTGAATACAGCCCACTGAGGTTTGGATTAGCCCAGAAACGTGCACTTTTTGTTGGAAAGACAAAAATCTCTGTTGCAACCTATTTACCACATCGTCCACAAATACAGCATGACAGCTGATCTTGTCAAGCTACTCTCTGAAGTTAATCAGTTGGAGCCCCCACCTTGAACGAGCAGATCTATTGTATCGAAATGTGTTTGTCAGCGATGGGTTTGTCAAACAAGTTATAAATAAGACCCAACTCTGCCACAAAGCAGGTTTTTTTTGTTTTGTTGTTGTTGTTGTTGTTGTTGTTGTTGTTGTTGTTGTTGTTGTTGTTGTTGTTGTTGTTGTTGTTGTTGTTGTTGTCATTCAACCTACCTGCGCGGCTCATATCTGAAGAAGGAAATGTGTTAAGGCAAGACTTACTAAGTTCACACCTTCAGAGTCTTTCAAAACCTTTCCATCATACACGCTGCAAACTATCATCATGCAGACACGAAGCCCAGGATATTCTACTATGTGGCAGATCCAGTTTATTCGATGTTAGACAGGCCCTTGTGATTAGCAAGGTTCGGAAGACGTGACCCGCATGAGTTTTACAAAACCCCAATTATGAGCTCCTTAGTAAGCTCGGTGCCAAAGGCAATCAGGAGTACGTAGTAGAATGAGAAAGGGACTAAGTCCCAGCTTGGCAGAGATCTTTGCGGTGCAACCAGATAGAGTGGCCAATTACTGTTTTATGGGAAGAGGAGTATGAAAGTGTAGGATTCTCAGATACTGACCCAGAGTTTCCGAAGCTGAAGCAGATGTATTATTGCGACGTAAGATTATCTTGGACCTTCCCGGAAGGTGAAGGAACTCGTGATTGATGGGGAAAAGAAAAAAAAAGTCTCCAGGCACAAAATAACCGTATGTATAAAGAAGGTTGAACATTCTTCTTCCACCGATCAGTTATGTTGGAACCCCTCTCTCTTCTTGTCCTTTCCTTCCTTCTAGCCATGCATCCTCTAGGGCTTTTTGGACCTTGTGAGTCCTCTGGCTGCTTCGAATGGTTGCTGGCTCTTTCGGGTCTTCCAAGTTTCTCCGGGCTTCTTTGGCCCATTTCTGTAATGCTTGGCATGTTTATTAGGATTTTTTTTTCTTTGCTTTTTGAGACCAAGCAAAGCTATCCGGTCTGACCCCCCGGGCCAGCTTGTATTCACGCAGTTCTGCTTAACCTATCATCCTTTCCAACAAGGCTTACAATCTTGAAACTTTGAACACTCAGGGGGCCGGCCAAAGGTAGACATGATGTAGTCTCCAAACTTAACGCCAGTCTATTTCTTTCCGTGTGAATTTCACTATTTCAAGTTTTATAATAACACACCCAGATTACCCAACACTTCTATCTGATAAACAACCCCTATCCCTCTTCCATCCTTACCTCCCCCCTTCCTTCTTGGCCTCCTTTCGTCCCTTTGTCCCCTGTCCTCCTGGGCTCACCACAACACCACCTTTACGTCGCCTGCCGATCTCATCAACAGTGAATGTCCTCCTGACCCCGCTTCCCCTCTCATCCCCTCCATGCCGCCTAGCCCACTGTGCATGACTCGTCTCGTCCTCATCAAACTGTGTCATCCCTGCCTTTCCAAACACCCCGGCCAGTGTCCTTGGAGATGGTTCCGTCTCTGTCACAGACGGGGCGCGCCGTCGGGACGGAGCTGGGATTGGTGTCGGTGCTATCCCCCCGCTGGCTGCTGCAGTGGCTGTGGTTCCGGGGTTAGGGCTGGGAACTTGGGTTGAGGGCCGGGTTGATGGACTCGGTGTCCTTGAAGAGGAGGACGAGCGCGAAGGGGATTGGGATTTCGGCGGAGGAGGGTAGAGATAGCCTGTTGCTGAGGGCGGGGTTGGGGTGCGGTTGGAGGTTGTCACTGGGAGCTGGAGGGTTGCGCGTTTTTGTTGGGTGCCGGAGCTGAGCTGGGATGGAGGTTTGTTGACGGGCGCGGGGGGGTTCCGGAGTGATGGGGTTGGGAACCAGAGCCTACTCCCTGGACAGGAAGAAGGAGTGGTGAGGGGGAGATTGGGATGGAAGGATGGAGGAGTGCTGCCTGGATGGTGGCGGTGGCTGTTGTGCGTGCCCGACGATGCCAAGGCCGCCCGGACTTGGGCTGAGGCTGATGCTGACGCTGGACTGGTGTGATCCGGAGCGGGACATCGGCTGAGAGGAGTAACCTGCTGGAATGGGGGAGTGATTGATCAAGGCACCTGCGAACGGATGGGCTGGCACCGGTAGGGGGGGGAGAGGATGCGGCTTATGGTCTTGTCCCTGGTGGTGGGGAGGAAAGCCGGACGTCGTAGGGTATGACGCTGGACGTACTTCGGCTGCATCCCCAGAAACTGTTTGGCCGACAGGCGAACTTCCAGGGCTCGACCACTCCAGCAGCGATGAATTGACAGACGTCCCGTCTGGTTGTGTCACTGTGGTGTTCCATTGCCGAACCGTCACGCCGGGAGCAACTCCAATACCAGCTGTCGCGGGCAGATTTGGTGCTGAGTTGGACGGGTTCGGCGGAGCGATAAGATCGGAAGTTGGGATTCCTGTAAACGATGGAGGCGGGAATGGCGATGTCAGCTGGGCTGGACTGGAGTTTGCCGTGGGCCGGAGGCTGTTGGTGCCATGGGGGTCAATGTAGAAGGGCCTTTGCTGAGAAAACGTGATATCAGGATGAAGATCGTCAATTCCTAGTGAGATGGTCGGTGGCCGATTAGACGGTGGCACTGCTGCTGCTGTCGAGGCTTGAGGCACAGACGCTACAGAAGACCGGCGAGCAGGCAAGACCTGCTTGATCCTGCGAAGGCCTCCTGTAAACGACCGGTTGGCTGAGTACTTGATCTTGCTGAGCCGTGACTGAGCCTCGCTGGGGGCGGTCGACGGGCGAGAGCTGCCCGAAGCAGCAGTATCTCTCCTTGGGAGCGTCCCGGTAGCCGCGTCCATGTTGAGACCAAGCAACGGGTCACCGCCCATTGCCCGCGGGTCCTGAACGTCCTTGGAACGCCAGGCTCCAACACGGTCTCGATACCGACGGCTCTCCTGTCGGCGAATAACGCGGTGAGGAGGGATTGCGGAGCGCCAGTCTGTATAAGACGCTGACCACTGGGTAGAGGGATTGAAGTCATCGGGATACTTGGGAGTTGCCGGGAATGAGGCCTCGGAGGCCATATCAGGCGATCCAACGAGAACCTGAGTGGCTGTCATTGATGGGGGAACCTCTGTGGCCTGGTCGTCATCTATCGGCGGCACTGGAAAGTCATGCATCGTGCGCGGGTATGGAGCAAGCCATGACGACTGGCTGTCTCCAACACCCTCACCGTCAGGCCCTTCTCCCGGAGAGGTCGGCCCGCTGCTCATCTGGCTGTCGTGGCTGCTCAGAGTACCAGACCTCTCAGACTCCGATGGCGCGCTGCACACACGGTCAAAGACCGACAGGGGCCTTTCCTCCCCATTGTCGCCTATCTGCAACAGCTGCTGAATTGTCTGCGTCAGCTCTTCGATTTGTTTGGGAATCTTTCCCAGCCGCTGCTCAATGCTTCCCCTGACGCTTTCGATCCCCTTGTTGTTGTACCGCTTCTCGTACTTTTCCACATGTGACAATAACTTCTGGCCGTGGATGGCAAACTGGCGGTAATCATCCGGAAGACCAACACGCATCCCATGCGGCCCAGACGGGCTGTCGTTGCCACCATGAGAGCTGGCGCAGATGCGACGATCAGCTTCGTCAAAGGCCTTGCACCAGACAGCCACCGCCCGGCTCAGCCAGAACGCTGCCTGGTTCTGCTGGTACATCGCATCGATAAAGAAGGCCTGAATGACGCTGTGGATACGGAGGATGTCGAGATGACCGTGGTGGCTGTAGGAGTGCGAGTTGACCGAAGACGCAGGCGTTCTCTGGGACGATGTAGACGAAGAGTCGAGACTGCGCTTGGAGTTGGTGCGAGAGCTGATGGGCGAGAAGTCGCCGCTCTCGTAACGCTGGATCAGCCCAAAGGCGATGAGAATGCGAAGGGTGCTGTTCAAGGTGGAAAGAGCACGACCAGGGACCGGAGTGCGAACTGGAGTGACCTTGTCGAGGGCGGATAGCCCTGGAAAGAGTCAGCATTCGTTGGACTAGCTCATGAACAATGCGAGACTTACCAAGCATCACCATCTCCACGGGAATATGCTGGTCGAACCACACAAGCAGGGAGATCAGATTCAGTGCTGCCGTTTCACCCCTGTTCTCCAGCTCTTCCTTCACCTTCTTGAATGATGGCACGTCCGAGACTTGTGGCCACTTCTTATATGACCTGAGATATTTCGCCAGCGGCTCCCTCGTCTCCTTCATCTGCTGAGCTGCCTGGTGAATCATAATCGGCAGGCGGCCCATCAACTCGACCAGTTGCAAAGCATTCGTCTTGTCTTCTGCGCTCCACGAACGCGACCGATCCAACTCCCACAGTAACAGCTCTTGGGCCTGTTGTTTAGTCAACACCCCCAGCTCTAGTTTTTGCGGACTGTCGAAGCGGTACTCGTCTGGCACCGCCGTTTCAGTCGATGTGTAGATGATGCTGGTACCGGGCACGTCGGGGATGAACCGGTCTAGCCCAGGAGTATCAAAATGCACGCCGTCGAACACCATAAGCCAGTCCTTGCGGCCGCTGAGCCAGCGCACGACGAAATCTGCCGTCTTATCCGGGTCTCCTCCCTCATTATAGTTCGCCTCAATCCCCCTGGCACGCATCTCGGCCACAGCAGCGTGTGCGATTTGCGCGAACGCAAGATCCATCTCACCCCTGGACTTGGCCCGCACCCAGAAGATTCCCCCCGGGTAGTCCCAGCGATGCCCGACAATGTACTGTCTGGCAAGGTGTGTCTTGCCGACTCCAGGAATGCCTTGAATTAACACAGCCGAAGTTCCCTCTGACCGACGCTTGCGGTCCATGAGCATCTCATGTAGCCGCTGGAGCTCATTTTCGCGGCCGATAAAATAGGAGTTACGAAAATGGTGGGGCACTATAAATAAGGGGTCAGACAATTGACTATGGTAATCGTGCTGGCTCGCAGTGTGCGCTGAAGCTTGCGGTGGAGGAGGGTCGTCGGAAGCGGGAAGCAGGATTCGTTGGCTATGGGTCCCGTCTCGGAGAGGTGTCCGGTCAGCAAGCAGTTTCGGCGTAGTCGAGCCAGGAAGATGAAGTTGTACGTGATGTTGAATCAACCTCTCATTATGGAAGTCTCCAGCTACATAAGAGAAAGAGGTAAACACATCAGCCTATGTCCCTCGAATACGGTCGTGGGCTGGGCAGGTGATACTGCCTCTCCTCTGCAACTTCAGTTACTCTTGCGACCTCTCCCCAAACAGGGTATTCGAGGTACCACCCTTGCCCAGTTGGTGGCAAAAACCTACCACTCAGGTGTTGCTGCGAGTTCAGTGGTGAACGAGCCTGCGGCGGTCAGCTGAGTGTCAGAGAGAGAGATTTCTGGGAGAGGGAGCTCACAAATTCATGAATTCGATCAGCAGCTTCAATATACGCTGCGTCTCTACGTTCTTGTTCTTCACGGAGCCACCTGACAGCAATGACCTCGGGAGCGTTATGGACCCATTCTCGGAGCGCGGTAGAGACAGTGAGATAGCCAGGAGCGTTCACGCTAGCAAACTTGCACATGCCTGAGTGGGTGGCCTCGATACCGTAGTACCGAACACCAGGCAGTTGTGGACCAGCAGAGGAGGGATCAACAATCAAGACCCTGTACAGGGTCAGCACAAGGCCCGTGAAACACGGAGAATCCGTGCACCCTTCCACACAGCCTCAGGGGTAGGACTCACTTTGTTCCCTTCACATCTGTCTTGTGGTTCTCATGAACCATATGGATCCGAAACTTCTGGTAGATCTCGAGGAATTGGTCATTGATTGCCCGCAACGTCTCACTGTCCTTCTTAAGCGTCTTGAGCAGCACTGATTCGGAGTCAAACCACTTCCTGGGTGCCAGCGAGTCGACCATCCTCTGGACAATCAGCCCCAGAGCGGCAGCGTCAGAGCCAAGATGCGGAGTCCCCAAGAAGATGATGGCATATGTTGACACAAAAATCCCACGCAACTCTTCCTGATGGGATGTACGCACGGAGCTCGAGTATAAAAGAGCAGCCTTGGTAAGAATGCCACCTAAACTGTGTGCCACCCAGATGAGTGGCAGGCGTTCAGTGCCCTGGCTCTTCCGAAAGGCCGTCAAGGTTGCAACAAGACTCTGAGCATGTTGTCTGATATCGTTATCGCTGGGCGATGATGCCTTGGGTATTCCATATTGGTCGTGGTGGCCGTCCTTGTCCTTATCCCCATCTCTTCGTCCGAAGAATGGCCAAGAGGTCGTAGTGAAGACATCTGCGTTGTAGCCATACACTAAGATGTCGGCATGGTCGTTCTGCAGCGACGTAGGCAGCAGATCTGTTGGCCAGTATACATCGTTTGGTGGCGTCCCGGACGTCCACGTCTTTCTAGGATTGCCATTGAGACCATGGACAAGTATGATCTCGGCCTTGGCTTGTGGGTGGCTATACACCTTTGTCACTTCAAAGCGTCTCGGTTCACGGTTGATGGAGCCCTGACGGGATGTTAGTTTGATGACTCAATATATAGAGGCAATTGCCGTATGAGATATAGTGGTGGGGAGGGAGGGGTTGCTGCCGCCGGCCCGGACCGAACCGTGTCAGGACAGATGGCGTGGCAGGTTTCCGGTGATAAGTTGATGAGGTACTCAGCAGGCCTCGGAAAAGAGCCCATAGAAGATGAACAACGCAATGCTACTCACCATTGTCACAGTCTGTCAGGGCTTTCGAGTAAGTGAATGACTAGCTGATGTTCATCTGCAGGTCCGATCTCATGCAGAGACAAGAAACCAAAGATCTGGAGGAGCGCCCCTCCCGTGTCTTATATACCTACGCTCGAGTACGTACCCTCTCTGCTAGCAGGCTCCTAGCCACTCCTGAGACCAGCTTCCAGAATGTAAAGCTGAAGATATAAGGCTCAATGAATGCCTTCCGCTAGTGAGTACTCAATGAGAAAATGATGCAATGTGAGCAATCTTAGTTTTGTGCCCGGGCAGGCCGTGGCGCCTTTTTTTTTAAAAAAAAATTGGGAAAAAGGGCTTGTAAAAGCTGGAAAGAGAGCGGTTGGCTGATATTTCCATCTTGAGCCGGCCCAGTAAAGCTGTCCACATTGGTGAGCTGCATATGCATCTGCCTTCATTTTTGTCCACCTGGGATTGGAGGGGATGCATAGCTACAACAGTTAGAGACTGCGGGGGGCAAGCCAAGTCACGCGGTAGCTTCCACTTCAACCAGCCTTGACCCTGATCTGACCAAACTACGGAGCAGCTGAGTATCCTGTCTGAGTGGCCTGTTGTCCAAGCGATAAACAAGTTCAAGGGGCTATGCAACAATGTGTTTCATCCTGGGTGATAGCTCATCCTTTGTATCCAGTAGATATTGATGTTGAGAACAAAGAAGCCCAGGAGGGAGAAGCAACCAACAAGGTTGCTGTTCACAAACAACTAACGGGCCAGTCAGCATCATCCATCGAGCATGATACTCCAGTACGCTGGAACCAACTGCGTCGGCAACCAGGGCGCTGCTGCAAGGCGGCGGCAATGGCTGTTGTCACCTTCTACACAGTAAATCTTCTAGGTAAGTCGGTAAAGCTGAAGGCTCAGCCAAAGATCAAGCTGCCCGACTGGGCGTCATTCCCTCTTCCCCACTCTTGGGCTGGCTCGGCAACGTGCCCCGTAAGCCAAGACATCACAGAGGTGGGAAGCTTGCGGAGAGAGAATGGTAAAGTATCGTGTAACCAAAATGCAGGATCCGGGGAAAATCATGTACACTATGATTATTGCACTGGGAGTTCCTGGATCGAAACCAGACTTCGTCAAAAATGCACCAAGCATTGTCATCTTGCTTCTCCACTAGAGTCTAGTAGCGGCCCGGAGACCTCACGGGAGGGCAAACTACACTGACTACTTGAAGGGGCTAGGCAGTCTGCATGTCTCAGGAACCCGAGCATATGAGAGATGCTTGCCTGCGATTTGCAGCTTGATTCATAATAGTAATAGTAGGCCCGACTTGCTCTATTTGGTATCTGGAATCCTCGCTTTTGAGAAGATGTGGTGAGTCCGCTCAATGGATCGTAGCCTTGCATGGGTCGTGACCAGGACTGTGCAACCCCATTTCTGTGCCCGTTGTTTTCATGTGATCAGAAAAGCTCATCCAAGTCTGACTGCTAAGAAAAAGAATCAGGTGAGTGTCAAAAAGGCCCAAGGCGAAGAAATGGGATCCGGATATCGGTGCAGGCATGTAGACACTAGCCGGCACCTGTGTCATGGCTGAAGACTGGCCCAGTCAGGATAGCATACCGGAGATACGGCGAGGCTATCGCCGCAAAGGTATACAATCCGACTGGATGGGCAAAGCATGGTGGTCCTTGGCAACAGATTGGGCTCTGTACCCAGCGACAAAGGTGTTGCTAACTTCAACCCGAGGTTGCTGTGCACATGTTGAACACCAAGGGAATGTAAACTTGTCACGATTGCAGTTAGTGTCTTGTACAAACCGAGACAGCTAGTAGGTGATACCCGTCGACGGAAGATACATGTCGTGAGACCAAAGCAAGCAAACAACACCAGCACGGCATCTTTCGGCATAGATAGATTGTGGGAGCATAAATCCTAATGATGACAATTTGGAAAAAAAAAAGGGGGGGGGCGCCACACTGCTTTCAACCTGCCATGTCTCAAGCAATTGCAACATCGTGATCCTAACGGGCATGCTTCTGTCCTTACTCATTCTTGGTATACATTAGTACATACTCCCGGGTGCTGGACCCAAACTGTATCACATCCTTGTTGCGTAGCTCGAGATAGCGGCTCTCGGGAATACGTTCATGATTAAGCATCGTGCCGTTAGAACTCTCAAGGTCGATGAGATACGGCTTGACTCGGCCAATCTTGTCACCATACTCGTTGCGCTTCTCTGTATAACGGAACTGAATGACAGCATGTTGCTTGCTGATGCTGGGATGTTCTGCCGGGAGGTCGACCACTGCCAGTTCTCTTCCAATAAGCCAGCAGCTGCGTGTACCGAGATCGATTGTGTCGAGGACATCGTCTCCCTTGAACACGAACAGTTTCCACGAGTCTCGCGGAGGAGGCTTCCGGGCTTCCGGCGGCTCATGATACTTTAGAGTGATCGTAGTACCATCGGCGGCCGTGACCGATTTCGACTGGGCAGCCAATACACCCGTGGGCTTGAAATTTGGTTTCTCTTTCGGCTTCTCGGGCTCCTCCCCTTTGCTAAGGGCGAATGAGTCGCTCTGTGAGGGCAGCGGGCCAGACCGCTTGATCATGCTGCGTTCATTGTCACGTTTTGATGTCTCATCGTCCCCTCCGTTTCTGCCGGGCTTCGGCCGTGAAGTCCTATCACTGTCATAGTCAAAACCTCGCCTCTCTCTGCTGCGATCCCTGCTCCTGCTTCTGCTCCTGCGTCGGTGCCGTTCGCGGTCTGAGCCACGTTCCCTGTCTCTTCTCCTGTCGCGATCCCTTTCTATTGATCGTGGCCGAGCTCGTGTGTCGGGACTGCGTGAACGATGTTGGCGCCGTTCACGTGAGCGCGACCTGTCTCTGCGCCGATTAGGTCCTTCATCGCGATATCTCCGCCTGCGCTCGTCTTTGCTTCGCTCGTCCTTTGCCGCATCATCGTTGTACTTTCTATGGCGCGACCCATGCTCGCCGTTATCCGAGAGGTCATCACCCATTGTTGCCGATAATTTCCGAATCAATTGTGCTAAACTCGTGGTCACCAGAACTTGATAGCTCTTTTGTCCTGATGCTGCTGAATCTCACACCTGACCGCCATCCCGCATTCACAAAAAGACAATAGCAACGCGCTTGGCGCTTTGCTGCTGCCTTCCTTGATGCAGTGCCAAGACATGCCGCAAGCCTTGAGGTGGATGAAACGGAACGGAACCACTCTTTCCGGCAATGGCTGCCTGCGGCCTGCTTGCTTGGAAAAGGTGGAACAGATCCCCGGATCTGCTCCAGAGCCCGCTGCCTGTTCGAGGCGGGGCGCACTGGCTGCCGCGAGGAACGGAGGGAACATCAGTGCGTCGCGCTGGATGTCTCGCTTACCTAAGCCATGGTCGAGAAGGCCCATCAGTCACCCGGATCGCCTGCTATTTCCCACCTGCCTCACATCATCCCCAACCCAAGAGGGCCATCGTAACGTTTGCCTATCAGCGCCAGCCGTTGCTGCACTCGTGCCTCACTTTTAAACTGGCGACTTTGTCCTCATATTGTCCTCGTCAACAACTTCCAGCGTCCCTCCGACTGTTTTTATATCAACAACCACACTCCCCTTGCAGGTTCCAGTTGCCACTGCCACCACGCGCTCCTGGGTCACCGCCCAGGCACTTTCAACCCATTATCACCTCTCCCATCCTTGCATCGCATCACTCACCCGATTCACACCACTTGTTATCTGACTCCTGAAATCATCTTTGCTTACAATATCTATTCACTGGTTGCACGCCTCATAACCTAAGATCCTCACCTGTAGGCAGATCTTGTCGCTCACTTCAAGTCGACTTCCCGTCCATCGCTCTCACCACATCTGTAGGCGCAGCTTCGCAGCCTTCTGCTGTTTGCTGAGTCGCCTCTGCCCCGGGAACTCGTTCCACCCGCTTGTCTCACGCAGCCGGCACCATTCCTCCCGCAACTCGCAAACGTAAAGCCGCTGAGGCGCCGCTATCCTCTGCAGCTACGATTCGCACCAAGAGGATCGCCTCAGCCGGCCTTGAGACAGCCCCACCGACTCCTCTTACCACTTCTTCTAATCCAGTCATGGATACCGACGACGAGTTTCTGTCCGCTGTTTCCAGCGACGAGGACGTCCTCCAGGACAGCGATAATGACCTGTCCGGCGTTGAAGGTAAGAACGGGTCAACCTGGTTTAGCCTTGCGTTCGAGTCATATTAAACAATCTCCGCCTTTTCCAGATGATTTTGGCTTCGACGAAGAGCCCGATACCTACGACGGAGAAAAGGAAATCGAACAGAAGAAGCGCGCAGCATACGATGTCATGTTTCGAGTCTATCAACCAGAAGACATCCAAAAGCAGCAAGAAGATCTGATAAACGAGGTCAATATGATATTGACCATTCCGAAGGAAGAGGCAGCCATCCTACTTCGGCATTTTCGTTGGAATAAAGAGAGGTTGATCGAGGAGTATATGGACAATCCAGACAAGGTCCTTGATGCCGCCGGCCTGTCAAACTCGGCGGCTGGCCCGCCGAAGTTGCAGGTCATTCCTGGCTTTTGCTGCGACATCTGCTGCGAGGATGAAGCCGGCATGGAGACGTTCGCCCTCAAGTGCGGTCACAGGTACTGTGTTGCCTGCTACCGTCAATACCTCGCCCAGAAGATCCGAGTCGAGGGCGAGGCAGCCCGTATCCAATGCCCCACGGAAGGCTGCAATCTCATCATCGACGCTCGTTCCCTTGATATCTTGGTCACGCCGGATCTGACGGAACGCTACCACGAGCTTCTCTACCGTACGTATGTCGAGGACAAGGAAACTCTGAAGTGGTGCCCGGCCCCGGATTGCCCGAACACGATCGAGTGTGCCGTCAAGAAGAAGGATCTGCATAAGATAGTTCCTACGGTGCAGTGCTTGTGTGGTCACCGGTTCTGCTTTGGCTGCGCACTCAACGACCATCAACCGGCCCCCTGTGAGCTGGTCAAGAAGTGGCTCAAGAAGTGTGCTGATGACTCCGAGACTGCCAACTGGATCTCCGCCAACACCAAGGAATGCCCTAAGTGCAATAGCACCATCGAGAAGAATGGCGGCTGCAACCACATGACTTGCCGGAAGTGCAAGTACGAGTTCTGCTGGATGTGCATGGGTTTGTGGTCAGAGCACGGTACGAGCTGGTACAACTGCAACCGTTATGAGGAGAAGAGTGGTGTCGAGGCCCGCGACGCTCAAGCCCGGTCTCGCATCTCGTTGGAGCGCTACCTGCACTACTACAACCGCTATGCCAATCACGAACAGTCAGCCCGTCTCGACAAGGACATTTATCACAAGACTGAGAAGAAGATGGTTCAGCTGCAGAAGGAGTCTGGCATGTCCTGGATTGAGGTCCAGTACCTGCAGGCAGCCTCACAGGCCCTGCAGACATGCCGCCAGACCCTGATGTGGACATATGCCTTTGCCTTCTACCTTGAGCGCAACAATCTGACCGAGATTTTCGAGGACAACCAGAAGGATCTGGAGCTGGCTGTTGAGGCGCTGTCCGGCATGTTCGAGAAGCCCGTCAACGAGCTGGCCGATCCCAAACTCAAGGTTGAGATCATGGACAAGACGTCGTACTGCAATAAACGGCGCATTATCTTGCTGGAAGATACGGCTCAAAACCTGTTAGACGGTACGTTGCCTCTTACCCTCACGGGATCATGTTCTATACAGCTAACTCTTTCATAGGCAAGTGGCGTTTCAATGTCGAGCTGTCGGGCCACGGCGCACCAGGCACGCGACGCTTCTAGGAGGTGGTCCACTTTGGCGGTTGATGCCGTGTCCTTTAGGTTGGGCAGTTCGGCAGGCATTATGCCCTGCAGCATTCTTCCAGCTGCAGAGCAACAACAAGATTAGAGCTCCAGGTTGATACATTGTCTTTTCGTGTTACCCTTTTCGCTCGTATTGTCATTTGCAGATCGTTGCTGCGGCAAGCTCCCCCAGCTGCTTAAGTGAGCATTTGGGGGCTACGTAGACAGAGATGGTTTTCACATTCATGGCATGGGAATAGGTGGACTTTAAGCTGGGAGTTTTGGTAGGCACAGAGGGGTGAACATGGGAACTTAGGCACCTACAAGAGAGAGCAAACAAGGTTTGCTAGGTATGGTCATCTTCCGCGTGGAAATTGTGTCCGGACTGCATGTACTTTATAGATCGGCGGAAGGCTGGGATGGATCGCAGGGCATGGAGCGGATCAGTTTATATTCACGATTGGTTGATTTTTTTTTTTAAAAAAAAAACTCCCAGCACTTTGTAATCCCAACTTGGGACAGAATACTTTTTTGGTGATGCCCGCCGTCAAGTTGTCGCGATATTCATGCTTACCTGTCTGCCGTTTCTTACAGCTTATCAGCTTCTAGAAGCTTGGGTTCTGTTCAGACGGTCGTCCATGTCCGTCGTCACAGTAGGACACACGCAATCCTGGCCCAAGGACATGGTTCGCACCAAGCAACCAAACATCGCGTCGGCAGCTTGTCATGTGGGACCAAACTAGCTGCGCGTTGAACGCTCCGTGGGCAGAGCGGCAAACCGGCGGACGGGCGGGCTGGGAGCACGAGTTCATGGCCCGGGGGATTTGCCGATCGGATCTGTGATAGCTCCCGCTCATACCGGATCCACCGAATCGACCGCCCACTTCTTGGCCCGCCGAGTTTCGCTACTGTGGTCGGGGTCGTGGTGGGATTCTCCATTGTCCATTCAGCGATCGCGGGGAAATGTTGCGACGAGTGCTCGAGGATCCAATAGAGGGTTAGGGTTATGTGAGAGAAGTTAAATATCGGCTAAGCGGCCTTCCACGTCCTTGGCTGGAGACAATGTTAAGAGATAGAATTCTAACGAAAACTCGGAGCCGTAGGACTTGAAACAATGGATGATGATTCCCTTTTCAACATCGCTCTTTCGTCTCACTTTTCTTCGGTGTGAATCCGCCCCGAAGCCACACTGATTCATTTCCTTTGGAACCCGCGAGTTGCCGAAGGCCGTCGCCAATGTCACGGTCACGGGGCATCGTGGGCACACTGTGTCTTTAGCGGTCCCAGAACCCCCAGAACCCCACCTACTCTGCGACGCGCTTTCGCCCACTGCCGTGGGTCGGGTCAATGCTTGCCCCTCTGCCGAGCAGGCTTTCCGAGGGGAGGAGAAGGCCCCGGTGCAGCAGGGTCTACGGCAGTGCCATCGGCCATTGACGGGATTTGCAGTCTTGTTGTAGTTTCTGGAATCCACCCCGGACGATTCGCGGCGCCCTGATGCTGTCAGGTGGGCGCTGCGGGCGGGGATGGGAATCTGCATTGGCGAATCCTGGGGACTGGGGAAAATGTATTTTGGCTTTTGACCCTTCTCTGATATTCCCTACCCTCAACTCTCTCTTTCCCTTCTTTCCCCATTCATTGATTTGGACTGACTGGATCTGGGTTGTGTGGTGTTTGTGCTGCCGTCCAGCGTCGCTTGACTCCTTTTTTTGTTTCCTGCCGGGACCCCAAGCCGCTGCTCATTCGTTGCTTTCCCTCCTTGTAATACCCCTACCCCTCGCCCATATCCAACAGGTTCAGAGTAAAATAGATCAACATGGTTTCGGCGGGACTGTGCATGAGGACGCTGCGGGCGTACGCCAAGTATGGCAATAACGTGAGTCTACATGATTATCTAGTGGAGAGAGAGAATGAGAAGAGAGATGTTGACAACAGCAGCATGCCGCCCTTTTTGCGCGCGCTTTCTCCGTCACGGCCCGGCGCCCTGAAATCAACAAGATCTACCCCTCGGCGGCCGAGGCGCTCAAGGACATGAAGCCCAACACGACCCTTCTCTGCGGTGGCTTCGGTCTCTGCGGCGTGCCGGATACGCTGATCGACGAGCTCCTGAACAAGCCCGAGATCACTGGCCTGACTGCCGTGTCCAACAACGCCGGTACCGACAACAGCGGCCTGGGCAAGCTGCTCAAGACCAAGCAGATTAAGAAGATGATCGCCTCCTATATCGGCGAGAATAAGACCTTTGAGCAGATGTACCTCAAGGGCGAAATCGAGCTGGAGCTGACCCCTCAGGGTACCCTCGCCGAGCGCTGCGCTGCCGGCGGCAAGGGCATTCCGGCTTTCTACACGCCCGCCGCCTTCGGCACCGTCGTCCAAACCGGCGAGCTGCCGCTGCGCAACAACCCGGACGGCACTCCCGCCGAGTTCTCCTACCCCAAGGATGTCAAGGTCTTCAACGGCAAGCCTTACCTCCTCGAGCACGCCATTGAGGGCGACTACGCCTTCGTCAAGGCCTACAAGGCCGATCGCCTGGGCAACTGCCAGTTCCGCCTGGCCGCCCACAACTTCAACGGCGCCATGGGCCGCAACGCCAAGATGACCATCGTCGAGGCCGAGCACATCGTCGAGCCGGGCGAGATCCCTCCCGAGGCGGTACACCTACCCGGCATCTATGTCCAGAGGGTCATCAAGAGCACGGCCCCCAAGAACATCGAGAAGTACACCTGGACGCTCGATCCCGAGGAGGCCGCGCAGGACCCCAAGGCTGCCGCCGCCCTCGGCTCTGGCGAAACCAAGGCCAAGCGCGAGCGCATCGTCCGCCGCGCCGCTAAGGAGTTCCAGAACGGCATGTACGCCAACCTGGGCATTGGCATGCCCATGCTGGCTCCCGCCTTTGTCGCCGAGGGTATCGAGGTGATGCTGCAGTCGGAGAACGGCATTCTCGGTCTCGGCCCGTACCCGCGCAAGGGTGAGGAGGACCCAGATCTAATCAATGCAGGCAAGGAGACTGTCACCCTGAAGCCGGGCGCCTCGGTCTTCGGCTCCGAAGAGTCCTTCGGCATGATCCGCAGCGGCCGTATCAACCTCACCATTCTGGGTGCCATGCAGGTCAGCGCCAACGGCGATCTGGCCAACTGGATGCTTCCTGGCAAGGTTAAGGGCTTCGGTGGTGCCATGGACCTGGTCAGCAACCCCAGCAAGACCAAGGTCGTCGTCACTATGGAGCACACAGACAAGAAGGGCAACCCCAAGATTGTCAAGCAATGCGCTTTCCCCCTGACAGGCAGGCAGTGCGTGTCGCGTATCATTACTGAGCTGGTGCGTACCATTTTTTTTCTCACGTCTTCAACGGCTATAGCTGATGCTGACAACAACTCCAGGGTGTCTTCGATGTCGATTTCGCCCAGGGCCTGACCCTCATCGAGATCGCGGACGGCGTCACCGTCGACGAGATCAGGGCCAAGACAGAGGCCCCCTTCAAGGTCGCTGATGACCTTAAGCCTATGCTCTAAAAGGATAAAATAATGGACGGGAGCGGCATTTGTTGGTTTTGCATGTACATATTGTAGATACCTTGGGTAGAATGGTTTCTTTTTCTTGTCGGTTTAGCGCCGGGATACAGGTATACAACCACGCGGCTTTCACATAGGCACTTGGACTCATGAATTGCTCCTGGACTCGTGATCTTTGATGAACCAAGTTTTACAGGAATAATGTTACGTACCGTTTCGCCACACATGCTAGAAATGCACGCTCCCTTTTGATTTCTCTCTATCCCTTTATTCAGTCAGCTTGTGCTGGGGGGCAGGTCCCAGAACCTTCTCAGCAAGCGACACACTCAAACCCGTGTTGTCCGGCTCGACCGCCACCGTCTTGACCCGGCCCTGCTCGACGACTAGCGCGTACCGCTTGCTGCGCTCCCCGCCAAAAATGGCCGTCCCGTCCCAGGCCATGTCGAGCATCCTGGTGAAGCGGCCGGTCGGGTCGGCAAGGAAGCGGATCTGGCCATTCTTCGTTAGGTGGACATATCTAGGAAGGAATGTGAATGTCAACTTACGCCAACGTCCCCGGAGGGGTCAAGCGAGTCACCCCAGGCTTTCATGCTGTTCGTTCGGGTCAGCGTCTGTTTCAGTGGATGCCCCAGTTATCTCTCGCAGGATCCGTATACATACACAAAAACGTCATTGACAGAGACGACTGCCACCATGTCGAACTCCCGCGTCTTAGGGTGGTTCAAGTACCCCGGGATGTGTGTGGTCGAGCAGCCAGGCGAGTAGGCGGCCGGCACGCCGATAATGAGCATGTTGTTCACCTTCTGAGCTTCCTCGGCCAAATTCTTGAGGGGGGTGTCAGCAATTGGTCCTCGGGCATCTCACACTATCGCCGAATCTGGGGTATGGTTGCCATAGCCACGAGACTGCCCGCTTAAGGAGGGTGACACGAACACCCCAGAAATGCTCATCTCACCCAGTCCGATCTGCCTGCCCCGTAAAGATCCGGGGAGCGTCCAGAAGAAGCAGAGAGGAACTGGAAATCTTACTCCCAACCCATCACATTCTCCATTCCATAACACAGTCTAATTGACATAACTTACCACTCTCTGTCCAGGCGACCCCTCCATCAACGCATCCGTATCCGGAAGCGGATCGCCAACTTTCACAAATGCCCGCGCTGTTGTGTGGAATGTGTGGCTAATTCGGGGCGGGGCGGCCCGGACAACAGGCACGCGCGCAGTGACACGAGCTGCTGTTGCAAGTGTGCGAAACGCTGTAGGTCGAATCATTTTTCCTTAATCCTTCTGGGAGGTTTCGTGGGTTGAGAGCTGGATTCCTTACGATGTTGCTGTTGGGACAAATGAGACAGTTCATTGGACTGATGGAGCTTTAGCAAGTGACAGAGTGACATCACTGTATTTAAGATTATGGCTGGGTGCCTAGGGTTAGGGTTTACAACCCGAAAAGTGTTGCTTCTGTTTACCTGGGCTGTGATCCACCACCGTTCTCTCTATCCCGTCTCCGAAACCTGAAGATCCAAGCATCTACCACATATAAGACCTTTAATCATTGTAACACTCAATATCACCTACCATTCGCTACCACACCTCGAATTTCTCAGGTCAAGAATTGACAGTGATGATCTTTACCAGCGTTACTGTGTTCAACACCGGAGTTTGACCTTTCATAGGTGGATGTACTCCTTGAAGTTCTGAAAACGCCAGGGTCAACACAATGCAGTAATGCGGCACAGACGGTAGAATATTGCACTGAAAGCGTGCTATGTGTTTATGAGTGTACAACATGAATGTTGTTGAGCATAGTACAAGAAAGAGGGCAGGTGGGAGGGACCCAGGCCCAACCGCCCCCAGCCCTCCCTCTTCAACAACGCACGTTGTGTCAACGTACCGTTACTGCCGAGGCCATGACTGAGTTCTCTTCAAGATGAGATCAACGATATATGCTGTCTGCCTGTTCATTGAGGCCAAGCTAAGTTCGAATGATACGCTGACATGCCGACGGTATGCCAAACGACACAACCAGCAGAGCCTTGGGAATTGCAGCATGTAAAAGTTTCCAACGACACACATGGTATGGCTGTTGAGCCAACTGTCGATAGTGATTCGGTCAGCAGCTGTGTATATTGCTTTCAACAACTTTGTTGGGTTCTTGCTGATTCAGTTAGAAATGGGTATCCTTCCCCTTAGACCTTTCTCAGCATTTGAGAGTGGACTCATCGCTACCATCCAAAGATGCCAATTAAGGCTTATAACTGACAGGGTCTATATCCTGGTAGTTGAAAATGTTGGTGATGTCTTGATTGTTCCCAGTGGAACTCAAAGAACGTTGGCAGCAGACAGTAATCCTCCTGATATCGGAACTTCCAAGGTATAAATGCGACCAAATCTCTCCAGGTGTGATCTGAGGATTTAGGATCTCAAACAAAACAAAACATCAACACAATCGTGCGTCATATCAACAATTGAGTCTTTGGAACCACTGTTATCACCTGACATTGAGCTATTCTTGTGGGTTGGCTAGGAGTAACATTCTCAGTACATGAACTAAATCCACATAACTAATGAATCCGACTTCTAAAATCTAAATGCGCTTTTTCATCTTGAACTGAGGCATATCTTCCATATGTGTCATGGATCTTACAGAGCAACTTGATAGTTTTCAACTGCCGCGAGATCCTCCCGATGCATCTTTGTCTAACGAAGAGCATGCTCACCTATTGGAACCAAGTCTGAGTGACGAACAATTCTTCCGAATCAATCAGGAGCATTTGCAGTTTTGTGTCCTGAGAAATCCAAGCGCTTGACGGGGTCTTGGGTCTTGCTAGGTGAGCCGAATAAACCCAGAGACCGGGTAAGATTCGCTCCGAAAGAATGTGGAGTGGAGCTTCTTGTCATCTATGGTGATGGCAAAAGGTGAAAAAAGGATGAAGAAGGATGTGAAAATGTTTGTTCAAACCGACTTGAAACCACCACATAAGCTTATTCGAAATGCGCAGAATGGGATACGTTAAGCTGAAGACCCAAGCGAGATTCGAACTATACACCGTTAGATTTACCCCTGTAAGTCCCTGCGTGTCACGCGTGATTCCGAAAGATGACCCCTGGAGGATTGGAAGATATCCAAGGCTATTGATCATTTTCTTAATTATAAGTAGGATCCATGCCGTTTATCGCATATCAGGCGAGCTGTTCTGAACCTCTTACAGCAAACATAGGCTCCAAACGCTGACGAAATAGTGAACAACATAGTTTAGTTCCCAATTTCAGCTGGTAGGATCATAACGCTTAATCTCACCGTTCCTTTCTTGAAAGGATGGCGGTGTCCAAGATCATCAAGTCAGACATCTGGAGAGGATGCGGGCTCACAACTTGATAGTAACCCTAGTGCCAGTTCCGCATCTTCTGAAGAGTTTCTCCCCGAAGGTAGGCCATCAATGATGCAGAAGCAATCAATGAGCATATCGTATCAAAGACCCACGAGGAGCTCGGCAATGCCCGAGACGTGAAACTAGAGCAACTCACAAAGCCAAATCATTTCCTAATAGAAGAAATTTTGGATGACGAGTGGAGAGTAAATTGTGAATATTCGAAACCCCCCCCCCGGTATGTTCCCCAATTGGTCGCAGAACTCGGCAGGATAGTTGAACATCCTGGCCAGATTGAAGCTGGTTACAGTAGCTTGTTCAGCGAATTTCAGGAAGCGATCCGTCAGTCCATCACTTCCTTTGGGCGGGTATGGCCAGCTATCTACAAAGTGGTATCCTCCGATTTGGGAAGAAACTTTGCAATTGAGCAACATTAAATCCATAGTAATGAAGCAAATCTTAGAAGACAGATAATATTTGACGTGTTGCCTTCCGAAAATTTAGGGATGTTTCAATAGAAAAAGATGAGACCTAGAGGGACGCTTGAAAGTTTGATGACATCCCGAGATCCTGGATACATACAGGCCGAGAAAAAAGCATTCAGGGACTGGTCGGAGACTAAAACAATGGTATATCTCATCAAGGTTCTGAGATCGATATGTCAAAACACAGCGGTTTCTTGATTGGGGGCAGGCAAGTTACTACTCTGTGGAAGATTATCTTTGGTGTATGCCAGACAAAATACAGGCCCAGTTGAACTCTGCGCCCCTCAGTTTGAGGAGCAATCTAAGGGCTTACAGGACATTTATGATCCTAGTAAAGATATCTGGGGTCCTGTTGTCAAAGAAGACTACTTCATTCGCCAAATTATCAAAAAGGACTATCACAACTCCATTATATTTCATAAAGCCTTCATAACCACCTCAGAAAGCTGGTTATATATATGAGTCAGCAAAGTGAAGCTGTTCCTGTGACCTTTGCATAGGAACATTATCGTTCAATCTTTTGTTTTTTATCTCCATGCTTCCGAGCTTTCTGTTTCCACCTTTTCCAAGCTTTTCAAGTCACTTCCTTGATCAATTCAGTAAGAGTAATGATGCTTCATGACAGATACTATATCTTCAAAACATTAACACTCAGATACAAAGACAACAGTTCACTATCAATAGCTAGGGCTCAAGAATCAAGTTAGGGTTACCTAGTAGTAGCAATGAAGCAAAGTTAGTACCATCTTGAGATGTTGAGCATCAGCGTTTTTTTTGTGTGTTGAGATGACTGCCCCAGTGAAGACGAGCTTGATAGCGGATATGTAACAAGTATTTCTCTCAGAAATTACGGTAGGATTTTCCACCTATCTCTTAGGGCTCTTTCATGACCATTAACATCAAGATGTTCCGACAAGCAGGACAAGCCAGCTGACAGAATGCCAAGATAAGTGTCAGCCACCTGGCAAGAACCGTCTACACGCTCCGCCAACATCAGCTGCGTCCAGAAGGGCTGGTTAGCTGCGCCTCTCTTGAACCAGCATCACGCTTAGCTCGCCATCGTTGGAGTGCCTTCCGAGATGTCATCCGCACGGGCGATGTGGTACGTTGCGGGGACGAAGAAGTCCCCTAACGGCACGCTCTACTTAAACTGCAACGTCAAGCCGGGCGCCAGCAAACAGCGCGAAGGGATCGCGTCAGTAGGCGATGATGCAGTCGAGATATGTGTTGCAGCACAGGCGCGAGAGGGTGAGGCAAACAAGGCGGTTATCAAGGTTCTCAGCGAGGTAAATTTTTTTTTTCATTCTTATCATTATTTTTACACTTCTGTGCACAGATTTATGCCTGCGTTTTTAGCCGGGTTGCTGCATCCTGTGAGGTTAGCTAGGATGAACATGCTGACCGGCGTCAGGTTCTCGACCTTCCCAAGTCGGACTTGCAGATCACCCAAGGTCTCAAGTCCCGCAACAAGACAGTAGCGGTTTCAGGCGGCTGGATCAACTCGGGTGAGGAGGAGTGTTTGAAGCGGGTTCGGCAGTACCTTGAGAAGGCCATGAACGATGCTTAGCCAGCCGTATACCCAGTTTGACCAGACTGCAGCCAATGCGAACCCAATCACTACCAACGGCATCGACTCAAACCATACAGTTGCCATTGCCATCTAGCCTGGCGACGGTAGGGTCATTTATTTGGAGAGGCAGGTGTCTGGTTTAATGCCAGCAATCTACCTGCTGTCCAAGAAGGCTTCATGATCACCACGACCCGCCCCGAGTTTCACCGAACGCCGCGGCCACGAGCTCTTGTGGGCAGTCCACTAGCCTGAGCCCCACGAGGCCCGCCTCTTCCACCACGTGTAGCCCCCGCTCTTGACGATGAGGATACGGATGTCGGTACGCGGGTAGATGGCGGTGGGAGTCGAGATTGGCGGGTCGCCGCGCCAGGCGCTTGGTATTTGGGAGCCTGTTTATGGGATGGAGGGTTCTCGACGAACGAGGTATCCGTTGTCCTAGGACACGTTAGTTGAGGGGAAGTTTTGTTGTCTTGATCGAGGTGTGCGCACATGAAAGTAGTCTCGGGCTCCGTCTCGACCGTCCGCTCAGGCAGTTTCGATGCGTCTAAAATATCTTATTAGTTAATGCCGTCGAAGTAGACGTCCCTGAAAGTCCAACATACTGGCTTGCATCTCCTCTTCCTTCAGCTTCATCCGTTTAAATGACTCGGTGATCGGCCCCTACACTATATCAGCAAACCATTCCTCCCATATTCCATGTCTTCCCTTCACACACTTCTGGGAAATCAACACAGAACGCGTTCATGTTCAGACCGTAGAGAAAACTGGCGAAGCTTTCGCTGAACCGGGCCAGTGATTCGTGCATCAACTGAAAGTGCATCATGTTGGCCTCGAGGTCGGCCACAGCATCGGCGAGCTCGGCAAATGCTGGCTCAAATGCGTTTAGTGGGAATGCAGCATTGTCGCCATAGACACTGCCGCGCGCTGAGGAACGAAAGGATGACCGCGAGGAGGGGCGTAGAGGTGTTGTTGGGCGTGAGCGAGAGGTTGAGCGGGTTCGGCGGTGGGATGACTGGGGGTTGGTGTCTTCAGGGGCCATTTTGTCAAGTTTGGTGTCAATATAAACACTTCCTCGGTTGAATTCATAAACAAAGTCGTCCCGGATTGTCGGCGTCGAGACCACTTCGCGTTGCTCGCCGTGGTTGTTGACTTTCGATGTTTGATTGTTTCCCGAGTTGACGATCTGCTTGGTCTCCACTCCCACCGACAGCTGCCCCGCAGTTGACAAGCCCCACCGGACGTCACTGCCCCACCAATCCCACGCTTCCAGCGTGCGTCAAGAGTGGAAATGTCGCCAAGGATCCGCAGCCACACTTGGTGGATTCATCTTGACCCTTCATCGTCTTAGAAACCGAGCGTCTGTTAGCAAACCTCCCTTTCGCGTGCAGATTGCTGCTTACGGAGACATCGGAAGAAAGAGAGACGCGCAGCATGGAATACAAACAACGACGTAATTTACGATCGACGTTGGATGGACGGCTGTAATAGCTCCGGGGCCCTCGAACTGTTCCTGCATCGAGTTGTCCGTTAGCAAAAGACAGTTGTTCCTGCAGAATCTTTGTGTGTTTGGTCCTCCACGTCTCTGACCTGGAGCTGGGGTCACGGCGCCCCGCTAACTTGTCTAAGCAAAGCCGCGTCGAGCTGTAAGCTGAATGGCATTGGCCCGTGTCCATCGCTCATTCATACGTATCTCGTACGTGACCCGGGATTTTGTTGAGTGTTGGTCAGTGCCGTGTCCTCAACACCGAGTCCCCGGTCGTTGAGACGGAAACGAGCGGCATCTTCACAAAGAGCCAAATCCGCCCCCTGTTCCCACGACATCTACGTCCTCCGTGGGTCGCCGTATATTGAGCGTATGTGAAACCGTTTGCCCACGAATTGCCCCCCCTCCCTCCCGTCCCGCCGGAGCCGACACGCATCTTGCTGGCATCCAAGCTGACACGGCATCTCCGGGTAGCGCGCGCGCTACCGCAATTGGACAGACTCCATTCGGTGCTACGGGCTGCAGGTGTCCTCACCTGTTGGGCGCACGCGCAGCTCGGGCACGCCTCCGTCGTCGCTGGACTGCACTTGGCGCGCCGCCTGTAAGAGAACAGCTTTCCTATGCATCCGCTGCTGCGGTTCTCATCATTGCGCTCCGCTCATTGTTTTCCCTCGAGCTCCGTTTCGTTCGTCAGGAGTTCCGTTCATCGTTGCATCTCGACCTCTTCTTCGGCCGCCCGTCGCTCATTGAAATATCTGACCCCGACATTCCTTGCATCGGACGCCGGCCCGCTTGAAGCCCGACGTTGCAGCCAACTGAACCTGCATCCTCAGGGACCGCAGCATCTCGCTCATCAGCTAAAGCAACCGTTCGCAGCTCACCGTAACGCTTCAGCTACAGGGCTCTTCATCGCCACTGTTGTAGCGCTTCTTGGATTGTCTGCATATTACAAATTACATCCGCACACTCCAGCCTCTGCCGCCGAGGATTTGGCCGCAACTTTGAACGAAATGGCCACTGAGATAGCCCCTGGTCGCCCCGGCAACCTCACTCCTGAGCAGGAGGAGAAGCTCAGGAAGCTGTGGCAGTACATCTTCCAGGTCTGCGCGGTTGGTCAAGAGCAGAGCAGCAGCGCAGAGAATGCCCCTGCCGCCGAGGCTGAAAAGAGCCAAGATGCGGACAAAAAGGAGAAAAAGAGCCGCATGTCCCTTTTCTCGCGCAAGAGCAAGAAGGACTCAGACGGCGCCTCCAGCAGCGGCGACTCCTCGGCCCCTCCTGGCGCCCGTGTGGTCCTGCACCTTAAGGATGGCGACAACGATAAGTACGGCCAGACAAAGCAGTTCTACGACACACTGGCCAGCCAGAGCCCCCAGTCTATTCGTGACACGATCTGGAGCATGATTAAACACGACAATCCTGATGCGCTCGTCCTGCGCTTCCTGCGCGCACGCAAGTGGGATGTCGAGCGCGCCCTCATCATGCTGGTGTCTACCATGAGCTGGCGCATGTCGGAGATGAAGGTTGATGATGATATCATGCGCAACGGCGAGGGCGCTGCCTGGGCTGCGGAGAAAAACAGCGAGGATGCAAATGAGAAGAAGCTGGCTCACGACTTTATGACTCAGATCCGGAAGGGCATCAGCTATGTGCATGGTGTTGATAAGCAGGGTCGGCCGTTGTGCTTTGTGAATGTGCGGCTGCATCGTCAGGGCGAGCAGGCTGAGGAGGCTCTTGAGAGGTACACTGTGTATTTGATTGAGACTTGCCGCATGCTTCTTCAGCCGCCGGTCGACACGGCCGTAAGTTTCGTCTTGTTTGGGGAGGCATGCTGGCTAAGATGCTGACGCTTGACAGACGATCGTGTTCGACATGACGGACTTCTCCCTAGCCAACATGGATTACGCCCCCGTTAAGTTCATGATCAAGTGCTTTGAAGCCAACTACCCCGAGTCTCTCGGCGCCGTGCTGGTGCACAAGGCCCCGTGGATTTTCCAAGGTTCGTCCCCAAACTTCCCCCCCCCCCCAAAAAAAAACCTCCCTTCTCTCTCCTCCCCTCTTTTCATCTCATATCCCCATCAATCCTAACCCCTCCCCAGGCATCTGGAAAGTCATCCGCGGCTGGCTCGACCCAGTCGTCGCCAACAAAGTGCACTTCACCAACAACGCCAAGGAGATGGAAGAGTTCATTCCCATGAAACACATCCCCAAATCTCTCGACGGCGAGGAAGATTGGACGTACAGCTACGTTGAGCCGACAGAGGACGAAAACGCGCTGATGCGCGACATCGCCACACGCGACCAGATGCTGGCTGAGCGCGCCAAGCTGTACCGCGAGTACGAGGAGGCGACGCTCGAGTGGATCCGCATTGCGGAGGAAGGGGGCGACCAGACGGAGATCAAGAAGAAGAGGGACGAGATCGCGGAGAGGTTGAGGGTCGATTACTGGAAAATCGACCCCTACCTGAGGGCGAGGTCATATTATGACCGGATCGGGGTGCTGCAACCCGGCGGCAGGCTAAACTGGTATCCGGAGGAGAAGAAGGCGGAACAACAGCAGAGCCAAGGGAACGGTGCTGCGGAGAAGGTTGAGGCTGTTGTGTCGGCCGCCGCGGCGGAGTCGACGACGACTTCGGCTCAGGATCTTGATTAAATTGGTCGGGCTTAATGTAGGTTGGACGGGGAAAAAGACGTTTGGGCTATGTGTATTAGCTTGGTATTGAACATTTTGCTGAACATAATCTGGGTCGGTCAAAATGGCGCTTAAAATTCCTGGAAGTTTTATTGCTTGATTGATTTTGCTGGGTTACTTTCTTCGGTAGTTTGCATGTGCCTATTTTCATCCCATGCTCTACAGCTCCAGGCTCCCAACATTTTAGAGCTTGTCCTTGATCTCCTCATACAGCGCCTTGAGCTTGTCCATATCGGTCTTCTGGATCGGCCAACCAATGCCTAGACCCTCCTGCTGGTTCGGCTTGGGAATCTATGCGCATTCGCTCTGGTCAATAATATGTTCGTTGTCGCACCCGGGAAGCCATAACGGGACTGTACCATGTGGAAGTGCACATGAGGAACCTCCTGGTGAGCACCACGGCCGTTATTCTGCAGGATGTTGTATTCCTCAGCGCCAGTAGCCTTGACGAGCTTCTTGGCGATCGGCTATTTGATAGGGATGTTGTGTAAGCATGGGGTCTGTCTCCTTTCGCGCGTTGTCTCCCGGTGGATATATTGTAGCGTACCAGGATGTCCGTCAGGAAATCGTCAGGAATATCAGTCAGCTTCTCACCATGGACCTTGGGAATCACGAGCTACATTACGCGAGAGGTAGCAACGTGTAAGCGTTCCTTATCCAAACGAAGAAACAGAACACGTGAGAACCAATTGGCACGAAATGGAACGGGAAAGAGGGCGTACAGCATGACCACGGCTAAGAGGGTTGATGTCGAGAAAAGCGAGGGACTTCTCCGTCTCGACGAGCTTGAAGCAAGGGATCTCGCCTGGGTGTGGTTGAAACGGGGTCAGTCACTTTGCCGCAACTTTTGGGGAAGGGGGGGGGGGGAAGATGGCTGCCATCAGCCAACGCCTCAGCCGAGTGAGCGAGAGAGCGCAGAGGACTAGACTTGCCCTTGATGATCTTGCAGAAGATGCACGACGCCATTTTGCTTGCCATTGGCAGACACAAGAATGTCAGGGACGAACGCAAGGATGGACGGTTGACGGCCGAGTGCTGATTGAACTGCTGCTTGGACCTCTGAGGGGCTTTCGGGGGAAATGCCTTGTTTCAACAAAGCTTCTACGACACAGCGGCTGAACCATCCGCTTTCTCGGATTGCCCGCAACTTTAGCGCGGGGTCGCTCGGCAGCAGCCAATCCGCGGGGCTCACACTCGAGATGCTACGACTCACACATTTCTGGCAGCATTGACTGCACCACCAAACTCAAATGATCCTAGCTAGCTATAGATGAGTCAGTAGAAGTAGTACAAAGCTTAAGTTTCAGAATTGAGGTTGCTTTGTAATCAGAAGCTCGATCTGCTCCTGTCTAGCCGCTGAAAAGCTCGCCAACGGCCCCGCCAACGGACGACGGGCCAACCGCAAGACCCCGCCATGACTGGACCTTCTGGGCGGGAAGAAGCTGGAAGCCTGCTCTGATGTCACACTTCCACAACCCACCTGATCCCCAGTCACAACACCAGGCAACCGTCCGTCCTCAAACAAAGCTTCGACCGCAGACAGCCTCGATTATCGCACCCTGATTTCCAGCCCTATTTAAGACTACGAGCTCATAAGGCGTCAAGACAGCCAAACAACAAAAGAAAGGAGGGGACAAAGACAGCGACAGCGCCAGCAGCATTCAGACCATCAGAACACCATGGCGCGTCACGCTTACAAGTCAACGCCCCTCTTTGGCGGGGCTATCGTCGTCGACATGCCCGAGAAATTTGTGGACGTCAGGTATGTCAATCCGTCTCAATCATGCCACAAGCATGTTTCCTACAGTCTCAAAGTCTACAATTGAGCCACAAGAGTCAGGTTTTAACCCCGCGCAGCAAGATTCGCACAGTTCCCGACAACCAGGAAGTCTACCTCGACAATGACGGCTTTACCTCCATCATTGTGGACATCCTCGAGCGCATCGAGACAGAAGGCGACTCGCCTCTTGAGCGCGATGGCAAGGCCATGACTGCCCACCTGGAAGACATCGCCGGCGAGGATGCTGAAAACGTCAGGGTTTGGAACACAACCGAGACGCGCTTCACTCATCTTGAGTATATATCCCCTGCTTTTCCTGTTTAATACCAATAATTCAATGCTGACATACCTCCCAACAGCCCCTCCATCCCCTGCTACACCCTCATCGCCACGACAATCCCCAAGCCGAAGCAGCCCCTCATCCCCGAAAACATGCCCCCAGAGCTGGCTCAGCAACAGATAGAAGCAGCCAAGCGCTCGGCGCCAGACTTCACGGCGCTGATCATGACGCTTGTGCGCCTTGAGCAGAAGCAGACCGACATCATCATTACAATCAACGTCCCGCACATCAAGGGCGAGTACGACGAAGAGGAGGTGGATCTGGAGCTAGGCAAGCAAGGCAAGCTGATTGGCGACGCGGTAGAGTATGCGGCGCGCGTGTGGGAGACGTTCGAGATTAAGGACTGGGGTCTTTTTGCTTGAAGAGTGGAACTGAGGAGTTAGGAATAGGATAGGATATCCTGGGAGGATGGGTAAGGAGGTCAGGTTTGATTTTAGAGGGCAGAGCCATTGGTAACTGCTGGAACAGGGAAAATGGCAAATCTTGTAAGATGGATGGAAGGAGACGGATATATGGGTACGGTAACTCCCAAGTTGCCCATGAATGATGAACACGACAGATAGTCTAGTTAGCGATCTAGGTAGCTCATACTACATTTCCATAGCTTAGCATAAAGTTCACATCGACCATCCGATCAAAAGGTAGGTAGAACATGTTCGCCGGTGTATCATGTTGTATGTACAAAACCGGGTATCATATTTACAGCTGTAACTGTTTCTAGCGTCATGTCCATATCATTGACCTATCTTCGCAAGGGGTATCGTCAACGCAACAGTTCATTCGGACGTGTCCGACTCCCTTTAATCGTCGTCCAGCGTGAGATCGATAACCTCGGTCGTGGGCTGAGCGCTGGAAATCTCAGTGACCTGAGGCTTAGCTCTGCCTGCTCCGGCTTTCCCTTGCTTCTTGTGTTCTGCCCATCGAGCCCCCACGATCTTCATTACCTCTTTCTGCGAGATCCCCTCATGCTGCAGCCGAACCAACTTCATCTGCCTTTTCATAAACTCTTGGTACTCTGTCGGCTTCTTTTCCTTTGTTCCCTGAGTCCCTTCGTCACCAGAACCACCAGCAGCGCTGGCAACTTTCCCCTGACCCCTCGGCACAGGCTTGATCTGCCTGAGCTCACCACGACACCCCTCCACCCCGCACCGGTGCCGCCTAGGATCGATGCTCTTCGAGTGCCGATTGTACTTCCGGAAGCACTCGACGCACTCCCAAACGTACTTGAAGTCGATCACGTACGTGTGCTTGGTCGTCACAACGATGCCGTCGCGCTGGCCAAACGCATCCATCACCTTTCGCGCCCAGTACTTGAAGTCCGGCCCATGCGGCTGGTCGTCACGGCCATTGATCATGAAGACGCAGAGATGACAGAACTCGTGCGCCACCGTGTTGAGCAGGCGGTCGCGGTCCGAGACGATTTTCTCGGCAAGCTCGATCGTCGCCGTGTGTTTGGTGACAGTGACATAGTTTTCCTCCGAGCCAAAGGGAGACTTCCACTCGGAGGGTGACGCCAGATGGGTGTGCGTTCTCGATTTCCAGTTGGCGCGGCCGGCGGTTTTATTGAGGGTTTTTGTCCACTTGATCCGGATCCCGCCGGTCAGTGCTGTCATTTCGGAGAGCTTTCCGCCGGTGATGACGCGATCGAGCTCGGCGACGTAGTCCTCGGCCATCTGGTGCTTTTGCGCGTCGAACTCCTTCTTGGCTTTGCGCGTCGCAGCGGCCGCTTGCTTGGCAGTCATCTTTTCCGGGTCGGTGGCAACCTTTTTGGACTTAGTCTGATCGCCAGCCTTTGCGGGATTCGGGAAAAGTAGTTTACGTGGTGAATGTTCGTCATTCCAATCGTCGACGAACTCTTGGCTCCAGAATTGATCGGAACTGGGCCTATGGGGTGTTTTAGGGATCCGGGGAAGTTTTTTAGGCGATGGCAGTCCTGAACGACCTGTTGGGGGTGGTAAGTCGGGCCTGTTTAGACTGGATAAAACGTCCAGATCCTCATCGTTCCTGGACAAAGTCAGTTTGACCAGACCAACTTCACTTCTCTATGGAAAACTGTGACAACTTACAAGTTCAAGGGGGTCAAAGCCTCGGCAAGGTCCTCGTCGTTGTTCTTCTTTTCCCGACCTCTACGTTTGGTAGAGAGAGATCGGGATCTCGAGGAACTCTTGTGCCTCGTGGCCTGTCGTGGAGGTCCAAGAGGAGAGCCATCTTCTTCCTCGTACTGATAGTCCGAGTCATTTTTGTCGTCATTGTCTTCACTCTCGCTGAGTTCCAACTCTTCCAATCCATACACTTCCTCCTCCTCGTCTTCTCGGCAGGAGTGGAATGTCTCATCAACCATAGACACCTCCTCAATCAAAGTCATGTCCTCCTTGGCTGAAACATATTCCTCGTCCTCGTTGTCGGGAGATGAAGGAACAGTAAGACCCAGCACGGGCTTCCTAGGCCTAAGCTGAACCCTCGGGCCCGGCCGCCGCTGCCCAACGTTCTCCTTATCCGAGTCATCTTCTAAGTCGATCTCTTTCCCCCCTTTCTCTGGCTCCCAGGAGCCGAGCAACTCGTTGTCAGAAGGCAAGCCTAGTTTTCTCCGCCGCACCGTCGAGATCGGCTTAGAAGACTTCAGCACCTTCTGTGGTGTCTTCGTGGCCGGTTTTAAGTTCATATCTTCCTTCGGCTGCGGCTTCTTTCCCGACAGTGGAAGGTAAGGAAATCCCTCGCCGTCAGAGTCAGACAAGTCGCTGCTGTCGAGCACTGTTCGCGCCAGTCGTCTTGACATCATCGTGACAAAAGATATGTGATGGATAAGATATAGCTTTTGTGGATAAGAGATGTTCAGTTTGTGGTTTGGGATTTGATAAGGTGCAAATTCACGACTGTTGAGATGGTGTAAAGTACCTACCAAAACCCGAGCCCCAATGTTTACGTTACATGCGTTGCCCGGGCAACAGTCTGATTTTTAGCTGATCGTGTCCGTCTTGGCAACCCGTCGAAGTATTCTGGAACGCGGCTCCACAGCTGACAACTGCCGCTTCGACCATCCCGTCTTTTCGATGTTACCTCGCGGGGGCAGCACCGGGCAGAATATTGGTCTGTCCATTTACTCTGCACTGGTGTAACAAGCGTTCGTTCACATGTTGACTTTACAGAATCAGACGCCCGCGTGTCCTCGGTAATGCGGTCCACGAGCGCGTTGCCATTCGCCTCGAGTTCCAGTGCCAGGTTTCGGTGCTTCTCACGGCCACATTCCACCGCAGGGCGCGCTTCGATAGTCGGATGACTTATCCATACTCCGCTTGGGCTTGAATGTGCCTTACTGCCCTACCCAGTTTGCCACAAGCGAAGACTCGTTCACCATTTCTGATGTGTCCAACTCTATCATCACATTCAATTCGTTGGTTTCACTTGATTTACCCTCAACCTACCTCCCAGTACGAGCCACATGACATGCCTTGCCCTAGGTCAGGATGGTCAGCCTCCTCCTCGTCCCGCGAGTTGTGATTGCTCTGCGGTACCAAGCTGATCCCCTAACCCCATCAGCATGAAAATTTCGAGACAGTGCGATCTGGCCTATCAAGCCTTCTGATATACCCAGACGATAAGCTGCCGTTGTTACTCCCTACAATAATAACAGCTCCTGCTTATTGCTTGTATCTCCTCGTTACAGCAGCGTTAATTTGTAGCACTTGATATGAGAAGTTTGCTCGAGAAATCTAAACGCCAAGCTGGCAGTAGCACGGATCAGCACGACTTGCAGCTCATGCCGAAGCTGATCTGATATCGAACTGTCTTGCTAAGCGGTGACGTACACATCTTCCGGACTACCGATGATAGGTAGATCGGAGATAGGTATCTACGTGTGCGACATCGACTCCGGAGCGTAGTTCAGCACATTCGGACACCGCTGTGCTAGAGGACAGCCGCATTGCGTCTTCAAGCTCGGCGCCGCGCTCATCTTTCCGGGTCTCGATTTGTGGGAAGCCTTACCATGCAAACTGTGGTTGGCGCTAACGTCATCCACCACGACTTGACGCAGGTACCGGTGTCCCGCCCTGCAGGCCGACATCCAATTCTTTTGCAATCTAAAACCTCGATATTGACGGGCGTGGGAGCTGGGCTGCTATTCGTCCATTCATGAGTTGTGCTACACGGTAGACTTTTTACACGAATTCTACCCCGCGTGCCGCCTTGATAAGCGGGGGATGTGCGGTTCATCGGACACGACGTGCACCTTTGTAGCTTGGTTCCGGACCTCGAGATCTTCTCGGTTCATCGCCAGCTCATAGAGTTAGGATTGAGCATCGACAGCTACGTTTCTAGGATTTTATCATCTGCAAACGTTTGAGAATAGTCATCGTTGCGTCTGGAGCTCTCCCGAGAAACCCTGGCTGATCACGAAACAAATTTGTGTGATTGACGGAAACCTGGCAACGAAGCTTGGAGCCATTGGCGACGGACGTAGAGTGACAGAACGGAGGGAACCAGGAGAATACAACTCGCGGCTCCTTGCAGAGAAACAACTTCCAACGTTGCAAATGGCACAGATGGAAAGACTCAGGCAAAATAATTGATTGCTTCGTACGCTGCCGTTGTGTCACTGCATGGAAAATCTGTGAGAAAGCGGCGCGTGCTGGGCGACGACACACAATTGACCAGCCAGCCTCTGGTGTTCTGCGGTGGATATGTCCGTATCCGCACTGTGTTCGGAAGAGTCGGACGAGGGACAGCCCCTTCGGGATATGTCATGGAACCGATCGACTGGATGAAAATTCCGGCTCACCCTGCAATTTGTCGCCAGGTGGATGACCGTGGCGATCGCTTGGAGGTCGACGAACTGGTGGCAGCTAAAACAAAAAAAAAAGCTGTAGGAGAGCAGCAGCAAGGTTTTTGAGTGTGCAGCAGTCCTGTAGTGTTATGCTTGTGCATTCGGTGAATACTTCTGTCAGCTTCCATACAGGAGTGTTGGAAGATCCATGGTAAGATGTAAACTGCATGCAGCAAGTAATGGCTCGTGTTGTTGATGACACTTTCGTTCTATTTATTATTTTTCATGGTGTGGGAACGACAGTGAGCCGCGTTCATGTTTGCTGTCTGTGATCTATGGCTGCCACGCAGAAACCCAAATTGCCCGCGTGTTGACCACCGATCGTTTTCAGCAAGTATTCCATCTTGGTCGATATGGATACCTTCCTGCTGCTGCTCTGTCGGTCTTCGATACTGGCGCATGAGGCCTCACTGATAAGCCTATGCACAGCTCAGCTGGTTTCCCTCATGGGTTTTCATGCCAGCAGCGAGTCAGTGTCGTCATATTCTCTTTGCTGCACTGATGAACAAGCTTTCGCTCCGGCCGAGTTGGCTCCCCTGCATTAGGGAACTCTCTGGGTTTCGTTGGTACAACGAGGGTACTTCTTGAAAATTGGCTGCAAAAAATGAAGCTCAGGAGGGCAGGGAGTCTGAGATGGCGGAGCAATGGATTCTGACGCAGGGCAATCTCGGTTCGTCAGTTGTTGGCAGTGTCTGCCAGCCCGTATCAGGCCGCCAGCGAATCCCCACATCCTCAGGAGAACTGCATTCCTCCTGCGCTCCATTGGCGCCAATGCAAATCTGTGGAGACCAATGGATCGAGCCGAGATCGTGGAGCCCGTTGGACGGAAGTCCCGAGAGTAGCGAAGATGTATCCGCACCGCAGCGCTGCATCGTCCATGGCCGACCAGTTCAGCCTGAGGGACTGACGACAGTGGCAGCGGTTCCCGGAATCCTCCTGCAGCTGCCAAGGAGCAGTGCTCAGCTGTTCCGTGGGTGCTGTGGATGTTGATCCCAAAAAAAATTCTTAGCACAGGCCAGGAGCCTGGTGGAAGTGGCAAGAAAACCCAGCTTGGCATCGCAATCCAGGCCGACCAGACACTCTCGCAAAACACGAACCTGGCCTGGCGAACCAGGAGTCGAGAAAAAGCGTTTTGGTCTGGACTGGGGGACTATGGAACAGGCACTGTCTAGTGTGGGTGGATGAGATGATGACGGTCATAAGAACCCTGGAACACTTTAGGGCACAGTGACAAGGTAGCAGACAAGCAGCCTGAGAAGTACCAAAATCACTGTTCTCTTGCGCATCTTTCGCACAGGAACATGCATGCAAAGTGTTTGCAACTTTACGAAGCATTGAATGAATGCATCATGAAACCGCCAGTTGGTGTCCTCCTACCGTACACAGTGCAGGTCGCCAATGACCCCACACGGCCTGCCCCTTGAGCCAGTCGCTCTTTTCCTTTCGAAAAGCCCCTGGCTGGGTGGTCAGGACCCCTGTCGCGGACAACAAGCCGGTCCCATCCCCACCCATGCCCATCGCTCTTACCTGGCTCCTGTCTCTTTCCGTCACTGCGAAACGAACCCACATTTGAATGCCTCCTTTTTCTTCCATTTCCTTGTTCCCAGGCATTCTCTCCCATCCACCACTTCCACAAACTCAACCTCCACTCTCCTTTCTGCAGCAGCCAGCAGGAGTCTCTCTCTCTCTCTCTCTCTCTCTTTACCCTTTCCCCGACACCCGACACTCGCTCTTCTTGCATCATCTCTTTCAGTCTCTCGTTTCCAGATCTGCTATCTCGGCTCCTGCCCGCGCAGGAACATTTCGTTTTCTTGGTTCTGTGTAGCGGTGGCCGCGCTCGACCGCCTCTCAGTGTCTCCTGTTCCTGGTTGGATTCCCGACCGCGCGTCATCCCCAAGCCAACCACCGGCCAACATTCTGTGTAGCGCCCCACTGCGCCCACCCAGTCAATCGCTTAAGCGCCTGCTGTGCGTCAACAATCCAAACCGCCAAAACAAGAGCCGTCCTCCCTTTGTTGATCAGTCTTCGATGAGCTGCTGAGACTGGCCTGGTGAGTTAGTTATTCACTTGTTTGTCCCGAAGTTGCTCCTCCCCCAACGACCGGATATCTCCTCAGTCGACCCGGATCATTTTGTTTATACATGCAACTATCACGCCTATCCTCTTACTTTGCTTGCTTCTGACCGCTGACACACCCCTTCGTAGACTCCAAGCCCACACCATGTCGGGATACCAAGGAGGCCATGGCCATGGCGGCCATGGCTATGACGATGGCTACGGCGGCGGCCATCATGGCAACGACGGCTACTACCAGGACAACGGGCAGTACTACGACAATGGCTACGGTGGCCGTGGTGGTCACGGTGGCCAAGGCGGTGACGGGTACTATGACGAATCGTATGTATACCCCTATTGACGTCTCCTTTTCCACTTTTCCCTTTCATATCATAGGCCGCTCTGACCTCTGACCTCCCACAGCGGTTACTACCATGCCGATCCCAACAACCCTTATCACCAGGACGGTGGCTATTATGACAACCCTGATCAGTATCGCGACGATTACTACAACGATGGCTACTACGACCAGGGTTACGACCGCCGGGGTTACGGTCAGCGCAATGGCTCGGAGGAGGAGTCCGAGGCGTTCAGTGATTTTACGATGCCGTCCGATATGGCACGAGCCGCTAACATGGACTACTACGGACGCGGCGACGAGCAGTACGACGGCTACGACGGTCACAACGGCGGCTATCGCCCCCCATCGTCGCAATTCTCCTATGGCGGCAACCGTTCCTCTGGCGCGTCGACCCCGGCCTATGGCGACTATGGCGCCCCGATCCCTCAGCGTTCCCGCGAGCCGTATCCTGCCTGGACCTCGGACGCTCAAATTCCCCTGTCGAAGGAGGAAATTGAGGACATCTTCCTGGACCTGACCGCCAAGTTTGGTTTCCAGCGCGACAGCATGCGCAACATGTACGACCACTTCATGACCCTCCTCGATTCAAGGGCCTCCCGCATGACACCGAATCAGGCCCTGTTGTCCCTGCACGCTGATTACATCGGCGGCGATAACGCGAATTACCGCAAGTGGTACTTCGCTGCCCAGCTGGATCTAGACGACCAGGTCGGTTTCGCGAATTTGAAGGGCAGGAAGAAGGGCAAGAAGGGCAAGAAGAACGATCAGCCTCAGAGCGAGGCTGAGATGCTCCAGGAGCTCGAGGGTGACGACTCGCTCGAGGCTGCCGAGTACCGCTGGAAGACCCGCATGAATAAGATGTCGCAGCATGATCGTGTTCGCCAGCTCGCCCTCTACCTCCTCATCTGGGGTGAGGCGAACCAGGTCCGCTTCATGCCCGAGTGTCTCTGCTTCATCTTCAAGTGCGCCGACGATTACCTCAATTCGCCTGCTTGCCAGAACATGGTCGAGCCCGTCGAGGAGCTCACTTTCCTGAACAACGTCATCACCCCTCTCTATCGCTTCCTTCGCGACCAGGGCTACGAAATCCTTGACGGCAAGTATGTCCGTCGCGAGAAGGACCATGCCCAGATCATCGGTTATGACGACTGCAACCAGCTCTTCTGGTATCCCGAGGGTATTGAGCGCATCGTGCTGGAGGACAAGAGCAGGCTCGTGGATATCCCTCCCGCTGAGCGCTATCTCAAGCTCAAGGACGTTAACTGGAAGAAGGTCTTCTTCAAGACCTACCGTGAGACGCGCTCGTGGTTCCACATTCTCGTCAACTTCAACCGTATCTGGGTTATTCACCTGACTATGTTCTGGTTCTTCACGGCTTATAATGCCCCGACGCTCATTACGCCGAACTACGAGCAGCAGCTCAACAACGGTCCTCCTCCGGGTGCGTATTGGTCTTTCGTCGGTTTTGGTGGTGTCATCGCCGCTGCGATCCAGGTCTTTGCTACCCTGGCCGAGTGGGCGTACGTACCGCGCAAATGGGCTGGTGCTCAGCACCTGACCAAGCGTCTACTCTTCTGTCTTGTCGTCCTGATTGTCAATATCGCTCCCGGCGTCTACGTCTTCATGCCTGCTGAGAACCTGGATGCTTATCTCAAGCGGCAGAACGAGAAGACTACGCTGATTGTCGGTATTGTCCACTTCTTCATCGCCCTGATCACCTTCCTGTTCTACTCGATCCAGCCGCTGGGTGGCTTGTTTGGCAGCTACCTGACGAAGCACCCGAGGAGATATGTTGCCAGCCAGACCTTCACCGCTAGCTGGCCTCGGCTCAAGGGTAACGACATGGCCTTGTCCTACGGCATCTGGATAACGGTCTTTGGGGCGAAGTTCGGAGAGTCTTATGTCTATTTGACACTCTCGATCCGCGATCCCATCCGGTATTTGATGCTCATGGACACCACCAGTTGCTGGGGTGACACTATTGTCAAGAAGTACCTCTGCGATTACCAGCCTCATATCACCCTGGCCATCATGCTCTTCACCGACTTGATCTTCTTCTTCCTCGACACCTATCTCTGGTGGGTCTTGCTCAACACGGTCTGCTCGATTGCCCGGTCCTTCTACCTCGGTTCTTCGATCTGGACGCCCTGGCGCAACATCTTCTCGCGCCTGCCCAAGCGTATCTACTCCAAGGTCCTGGCTACGACCGACATGGAGATCAAGTACAAGCCCAAGGTGCTCGTCTCGCAGATCTGGAATGCCATCGTTATCTCGATGTATCGCGAGCATCTGCTGGCTATAGACCATGTCCAGAAGCTGCTCTACCACCAGGTTCCTTCTGAGCAGGAAGGCAAGCGTACGCTCCGCGCTCCGACCTTCTTCGTGTCGCAGGAAGACCACTCCTTTAAGACCGAGTTCTTCCCCAGCCATAGTGAGGCTGAGCGTCGTATCTCGTTCTTTGCCCAGTCTTTGTCGACCCCGATTCCTGAGCCGCTGCCTGTGGACAACATGCCGACCTTCACCGTCATGATTCCCCACTACAGCGAGAAGATCCTCCTTTCGCTCCGTGAGATCATTCGCGAGGACGACCCGTATTCGCGTGTCACGCTTCTCGAGTACCTCAAGCAACTGCACCCCCATGAGTGGGATTGTTTTGTCAAGGACACCAAGATTCTGGCGGACGAGACCTCTCAGATGAACGGCGAGGAGGACAAGGAGAAGGACCAGGCCAAGAGCAAGATCGATGATCTCCCCTTCTACTGCATCGGTTTCAAGTCGTCGGCTCCTGAGTACACGCTTCGCACCCGTATCTGGGCCTCTCTGCGCTTCCAGACCCTCTACCGCACTATTTCCGGTTTCATGAACTACAGTCGTGCCATCAAGCTTCTCTATCGGGTCGAGAACCCCGAAGTCGTCCAGATGTTCGGCGGCAACTCCGATAAGCTCGAGCGTGAGCTGGAGCGTATGGCTCGGCGCAAGTTCAAGCTGGTGGTCTCGATGCAGCGTTTCGCCAAGTTCAAGAAGGAGGAGATGGAGAACGCCGAGTTCCTGCTCCGTGCCTATCCCGACCTGCAGATCGCCTACCTCGACGAAGATCCGCCGGTTGCTGAGGGTGAAGAGCCTCGCCTGTACTCTGCTCTTATCGACGGTCACTCGGAGATCATGGAGAACGGCCAGCGCAAGCCCAAGTTCCGCATTCAACTCTCCGGCAACCCGATCCTTGGTGATGGCAAATCGGACAACCAGAACCACGCTCTCATCTTCTACCGCGGCGAGTACATCCAGCTTATCGACGCCAACCAGGACAACTACCTGGAGGAATGCCTCAAGATCCGCAGCGTCCTGGCCGAGTTCGAGGAGATGAAGACCGACAACGTTTCCCCCTACACCCCTGGCGTCAAGAACCCCGTCAAGAACCCGGTCGCCATCCTGGGTGCTCGCGAGTACATCTTCTCTGAGAACATCGGTATCCTTGGTGACGTCGCCGCCGGTAAGGAACAGACATTCGGTACGCTCTTCGCCAGAACCATGGCCCAGATCGGCGCCAAGCTGCACTATGGTCACCCCGACTTCCTGAACGGCATCTTCATGACTACTCGCGGTGGCGTCTCCAAGGCTCAGAAGGGTCTGCATCTCAACGAGGATATTTACGCCGGTATGAACGCTATGCTCCGTGGTGGTCGCATCAAGCACTGCGAATACTACCAGTGCGGTAAGGGTCGTGATTTGGGTTTCGGCTCCATTTTGAACTTCACCACCAAGATCGGCACTGGTATGGGTGAGCAGATGCTCTCTCGCGAGTACTACTACCTCGGCACGCAGCTCCCTCTGGATCGCTTCCTCGCCTTCTACTACGCCCATCCTGGTTTCCACGTCAACAACATGTTCATCATGTTGTCGGTGCAGCTCTTCATGATCACCCTGCTCCAGATCGGCGTCCTCCGGAGGGAGACCATCCCGTGCGAGTACAACCGCGACGTTCCCATCAAGGATCCCATGTTCCCGACCCGCTGCTCCAACACGGACGCGCTCATGGACTGGATCTACCGCAGTGTTCTCTCCATCTTTTTCGTCTTCTTCTTGTCGTTCGTGCCGCTGTTCGTGCAGGAGCTTATGGAGCGCGGTCTTCTGCGCGCTGCGACTCGTTTCGCGAAGCAGATCTGCTCGCTCTCGCCTTTCTTCGAGGTCTTCGTCTGCCAGATCTACGCCAACTCCGTGCAGGCCGATATCACCTTCGGTGGTGCCCGCTACATTGGTACTGGTCGTGGTTTCGCTACAGCTCGTATTCCCTTCGGCGTCCTCTACTCGCGTTTCGCTGGACCGTCCATTTACTTCGGTGCGCGCCTCTGCATGATGCTCTTGTTCGCGACACTCACGGTCTGGCAAGTCGCCCTGGTGTATTTCTGGGTGTCCCTGTTGGCGCTGGTCATTTCGCCTTTCCTCTACAACCCTCACCAGTTCGCCTGGACCGACTTCTTCATCGACTACCGCGAGTACCTGCGCTGGCTCTCTCGTGGCAACTCTCGCTCGCACGCCTCGTCGTGGATCGCCTACTGCCGTCTCTCGCGTACCAGAATCACTGGTTACAAGCGCAAGGTCATTGGCGATCCTTCTGGCAAGCTCTCCGCCGATGTTCCTCGTGCCGCCATTACCAACATTTTCTGGTCCGAGATGCTCACTCCGTTCTGCCTGGTCCTTGTCACCGTGATTCCTTACCTCTTCATCAACGCGCAGACGGGCGTCTTGCCAGAGAACAATAAAGGCAAGAAGCTGGCCGCCACCGCTTCCCTCATCCGCCTCGCCATTGTCGCCTTCGCCCCTATCGCCATCAACGCGGGTGTCCTAGCCGCCATGTTCGGCATGGCTTGCTGCATGGGTCCGGTGCTTAGCATGTGTTGCAAGAAGTTCGGTGCCGTGTTGGCTGCCATTGCCCACGCTGTTGCGGTCATTGCCCTGCTCGTTTTCTTTGAGGTCATGTACGTCCTCGAGGGCTTCGACTTCACCCGCACTCTCCTTGGCATGATCGCAGTCGTGGCCATCCAACGCTGGTTCTTCAAGCTCATCATCTGCCTTGCCCTTACCCGCGAGTTCAAGACCGACCAGTCCAACATCGCCTTCTGGACAGGCAAGTGGTATTCTATGGGTTGGCACACCATGTCCCAGCCGGCACGTGAATTCCTCTGCAAGATCACAGAGCTTAGCATGTTCGCTGCCGACTTTATCCTTGGCCACGTCATCCTCTTTATGATGCTGCCCATCATCCTGATTCCTCAGGTTGACAAGCTGCACTCGATGATGCTATTCTGGCTGCGCCCTAGGTATGTAATATCATTTGAGTTTTTTTTTTTTAAACGAACTGGGACTAACAACCACACAGTCGTCAAATCCGCCCGCCAATCTACTCGATGAAGCAGACCAAGCTTCGTCGCCGTCGCGTCATCCGCTACTCCATCCTTTACTTCACCCTGTTGATCGTGTTCGTTGCCCTGATGGTCGGCCCGTCCGTCGCCGGCAAGCACATCCCTCTTGACTCGCTCGACGACCTCATCTCCAAGTACAAGCTCATGCAGCCGACTGGCCTTAACAATGACAACACGCTCGGCAGGAAGCCGACTGGTACGGATGCCTGGCCGTCGTACAGCGGTATCTGGAAAGGTCCTTCGTCGACGACCGTTGGTCCGAGGCCGACTAAGAGCGCCGACGACAGGCGGATGTTGCTCCTCTGAGAGGGCACAGCGTATGAAAAAAAAAAAAAGAGAATAAGTCAGCATCATTTTCATCATGCAAAGGATGGGTTCCCTTACACCTGTTTAATATCTGGCCGGTTGATGGTTGGACAAATTTGCATGCGCTAGAGGAGGAAGTAGCATGGATAAGGGGGGTTGCAGGTTGTCATTTTGGCTGGTTGTTGACGGGTTCCTACTTTCGTTTTTTTGGTGAAAAGCAAGAGTACACGCACACCCAGGGCGGAAGAGAAGAGATACAGTGAGACAATTTCGGAGCGGTGGTTTTGCATGCATATCCATGTGTATTGTACAGGTGTCTTGTGTATTTTTTTGCCCACCCATCCTACTACACAGTATTTCTAGGACTCTGCGTTCGTTGTCAGGTACTTAGGTACGATCGTTTTGTCTTCAGTCTTGTTGGTTAGGTGGGTGGGCAGGTGGCATTGCTTGGTAGTAGTAGTCTTTCCATTATCACTCGCGCAATGATTGTTTTGTTACCTACAGCATACTACTATTTGTGTTGGTTTACGATGGTTTTCTGGTGTTTTGCGTGGTTGATAAGGATGGATTCTGAAAGCGAGGTTTCGATGAGCACAAAATATTGCTAGTAAAATAAGACGGTTCAGCAGAAAAACTAATGTTAATAGCCAGCTAGTTCAATGGATGACTCAACTTTCCAATCCGCAAAGTTGATGAAGCATGTGGCAAATGTTTGTGGATGGCAGTCAGAATATCGAGTCCTAGATGAATGCGTATTAGAGGCAGGATCATGAGAACAAACCTATGTGTATCCCATCAGATAGTCGGTGTCTAAAACCAAGCCGGAAAGAAGTCATCGATCAACGGAAAGCCAAAGTCGTCAATAACAGTCATCTCGTCAGGGTCGTCGTCAACGTAAAACTCAACATTCTCATAATATCCACCGCGGCCCTTCCTTCTCCCGCGCGCGCCATCACGATGCTCACGTCCCTTCCTCGGCGCTGGAGCCCCAATCTCATAGACGTACTCCAGCTCCAGCCAAAACGGCGCGGCCACATCCTCCCGCCCCGCCAAGTGCCCATAAGTAAGGAACGCCTCAACAATCGGCACCGCGTCCAAGAACCCAGGACGTACCCTCGACTTAGCCGGCTTCTCAACCCGCCCAAGCTCCTTGACATCCTCGAACCGCTGCCCCGTGACAACGAACCACCGCGCGGAAAGCCGCTTGTGCTGAACACAATCCGCGGGATAGCCTGCTTCGTGCGCGAGCTCGCACATTGCGTCGTAAAGTCCACGCTGGCATTCGCCGATGAGACGGCCTAGGAATTTGGCTGTGGCGAGAGTGTCGGGGCGGGAGGTTTGTGGGTTGAGGGGGAGGGGGATGGTTTCGATTACGGTGCGCTCTTCGGGGACGTCGGGGATGTTAAGTTGTTGGTTTTGTTGCTGGGACTGGAAGTAAGCGCTGGAAGTGTCCCAGGTGACGGTGCGGCGGAATTTGATTTGGAGGGAGCGCGGTGTTTGTTGGTGAGAGAGGGGGTGTAGGATGAGTTGACCGGGGGCATTCTCAGACTCGGTATGAAGCTCTGAGTCGGGCTTAGACTCTGGCTTGGATTCGCAGTCGCCATTGCTCGTGGCCTCAGGCTGGCGCATTGCTGGAGACGGTGGGGGAGAAGGCGACGTTAACTCCTCAACTCTGGGTCCAGAGATGAGGTCGGGCTCGGGCTCCCATTCCTCAACCTCATCGTCCTCTACCTCGAATTCGAACGACGGTGACGGTGTTGGCTCGAAAGAGGGAGATCGCTGTCGCCTGAACCGGGGCTCTTTCTTAAACTTGTGGTGGTGCTGCTTACGAGGCGCTAAACCGTGAAATGATGATGACTGCTGCTGCTCCGTGAACCTGGGCTCCCTGTCTTGTCTAGGTCGCTTTGCTGGCCGCGAGTTGGTGTGGTCTGTCGGTGGCGGGCGCCTACTATGGCTTGCGCCAGGTGACGGATCGGATTTTGGAGCGGGGCGATGGGGGAACTTCTTCGACCGGAAGTGCTGATTGCGATGTGCTGATGGCATTTGCAGGAGAGGTTTGACCAAGTTAGAGTAGTCGTCGTCCCGTATCACTCCCACACCTCTTACCAGGGAGCCCTGAGATGTTAAGGAGAAGGTTCGAGAGGCAGAATGCCTCGCTTGGATGACGAACAAGTGTAAAACTAGCTTCTAAGTCAAAGGATTTGGTTGGTACCCTTCAGGATTTGACTTGCGTGGTCAATGGTTTCAGGAACAGGTGAGGAATTAAGGTTGCAATATGTTTCCCAGAAAATGTCAAAAGTCTTAACTGCATCCCTAACGCGTGGCGCGTAATCACGTGAGCACTTAAACCCTCGAAGCGCAGGCTTGGCAGGTTCGACAACACTCTCTCATAATCCTGGTGTGTTCCTGGAGAAAAGGTGGCACAGTGCAATCATCCAGAGGATTTGGGACAACCTGACATGAGAGAGGCCAAGTGTTTTACAGGTCAACAAATATTGGCTGGAAAACGAATAAGCAGGGCAATGATGTCCTGTGCCAACAAAGTCATGTCTTGCTTTGTCAAATGTGGCTATGGATGTGGCGCAGGAGACATCCAGCTCTTTGTAACGTTTCTTTTGTTGGGGCCCGGTAAGCCACACCAGATACACTGTCGCTTCTTTTGGTCCATGATTAGTTTGAAATTTTAAAAAGGTTAAGCAATCTAATCACCGAGTAAACCCCGATCCGAAAATGTTGCACCATATAGAAGCACTGTCTGATAAGTTCCATGTATCTTATTTCCTACGAAGACAAACGCCTTGAAGATCCCTTAAAATCCATTCATTCAAACTCTGCTTCTCACGGATCCTTTTTGCAGACATCCGGGACTTAAGAGAACAAGACCCAAGGCCACAACAGATATAACCCCAGCACAAACTAACAGGTGAACTCGGACCCTGACGTCCTGGGCCACTTCCGCTGGTAGCTGCGGGAGTGGGTATAGTCAGGGGTGATGTGCGCTCTAACGTGTAATCCCCCTATTTATGTACAAGGGAAGACAATGGAGTAGTGCATCGCGCAATATAGCCTTCATAGAATATCATATGGCCATACCAGAGAATCCACGGCGCTCGGGGGAACAGGAGTATATATTCACACTACCACGACCCCACTGGCTTTCAACCCCCATGGATGACCAGTTCAGTGTCGTGGGAATACAACGTGAGCGACTACACCTTCATATCCCCCATCTCATCCTCCAAGATAGTATAGATCGATAAAAACTACACGTGGCGCTGTAATGTATGGAAGTGCATCCGTGGCCGAATATACACAATATGCCGTACCGACTTGCCTTTACGGCACGGTCATCCTGTTCTACCCCGTTACTTAAACTGATTACAATAACTGGATCAATATCAATTAAATAGTTAACCCATTACTAACACCAACAAGCACATCAGCGACAACTTGTATGGAACGATCTGGGCTTCGCACTGTAAGTACGCTTTTCACTCATCTTTCTGAGGTGCCTGCCAAGGAGGTATACTCTTTCCGTGGCGAAGAAATCTGGCAGAGATACCTGCAAATCGTTGAACGCTGCAGAAGTTCATCGTTCCACCACCGCTAGTACATCTCGTGAAGTGGCAAATAGGCCGATGAATCTCCATATCTTATGTGCTTTGCCCTTTTAACCAGCTCAACTCTGATTAGTGGGTAAAGTACAAAGACTAGTTCATTATTTTTGGGAAAGCAGCACCTTGTGGGGAGTCTTTGAGAGACACCTACTGTTCACATTATTCCAGCTGCTCCACATTGCCTGCGTTGGCCGCAAGTGGCGCACGTGGAAGCATTGTGGCTGAACATCGGACCACGGCGCGAATCAATCACCGCCGGCCCCTTATCGAAAGATACCCATGTATCTTACGTGTCAGCAGCGTATCGGAGTTCGTAGCACAACGCCGCCGTTTCCGATGGTCATGTTTTTGAATCTTTTCCGCTGCAAGCGCTGCCCAGAGGAACAACGACAATACCATCCAAGTCGGAGCGAGGCGCCGCCACCACTTGATTCCCTTGCATCACCACGATACCAATGTGGCTCGCCAATTGAGGCACGCTCATAAGCCCGACTCTCGTCAGCAACAAAAGCAGCATTGCGCGCCGCCAACATGGACCTACACGAGGTACAGTCGCATGTCACGTACTGGCTCCATCAGGCGGCCATCGCCTTTCAGAAGGTGCCTGGATCGGCCGTCATCATCCGCTATGTGCGCTCCAGCTACCAGAACGACCCGATCCGCTCGGCTATCGAGCTGATTCTCTTCATCTTCTTCATCCGCTACTTGCTGTCGCCCAGCTACAAGACCGATAAGCAGAACTATGTCCAACTGACCGAGGAGGTGGGTATTATGGTCTGAGGCAGGCATTCGAGGGACAGCAGACGTACTCACAACTGTTTCGCTCAGGAAATTGATGAGCTGGTCGAGGAGTGGCAGCCCGAGCCGCTGGTGCCTGCGCCGACGCCGCAGCAGGAGGCCGAGATGGAGAAGGTACCTGTGATTGTTGGGTAAGGACACCTATGGTCGCGACGCGGAAAAGGGGAGCAAGCGAAATACTAACGGTGAACAAGCCCAACGGGCCCAAAGGTCAAGCTGGTCAACGGCAAGACTGTCATCAACCTTGCGTCGTACAACTTCTACAACTTCAACGCCAATGAGCAGATCAAGGAGAAGGCCATTCAGACCCTCCGCACCTATGGTGTTGGTCCCTGTGGCCCGCCGCAGTTCTACGGTACCCAAGACGTCCACATGAAGACCGAGGCCGATATCGCCAACTATCTTGGCACCGAGTCTTGCCTTGTCTACGCACACTCCTTCTCGACCATCACCAGCGTTATCCCGGCCTTCTGCAAGCGTGGCGATATTATCGTCGCTGACAGGGGCGTCAACTTCCCAATTCGTCGGGGTCTCGAGATCTCTCGTAGCGTCATCCGCTGGTACAATCACAATGATATGCAGGACCTCGAGCGTGTCATGCAGAAGATCGTCAAGGAACAAGCTGGCAAGAAGCTCACTCGGCGGTTTATCGTAACGGAAGCTCTCTTCGAGACCACTGGCGACATGACTGATCTCCCCAAGCTGGTACGTCCCTTGCCTATGCAATAAAGCCAAACACGCTTCCAATAAAAGGCTAACGACGTCTGCAGGTTGAGCTCAAGGAGAAGTACAAGTTCCGTATCATGCTCGACGAGACCTGGTCCTTCGGTGTCCTTGGTCGCACTGGCCGCGGCTTGACTGAAGCGCAGAACGTTGACCCGACCCAGATCGATGTTATTATCGGCTCGCTTGCTGGTCCTCTGTGCGGTGGCGGTGGCTTCTGTGCCGGCACTAAGGATGTCGTTGAGCATCAGCGTATCTCGTCAACGGCCTTCACCTTTTCTGCTGCCCTTCCCGCTATGCTTGCAACAACCGCCAGCGAGTGCATCAACCTTCTCTCGTCCAACCCCGAGATCCTTACTCAATGCCGCGAGAACATTCGTGTCCTGCGTGCCCAGCTGGATCCCAAGAGCGAATATGTCGTCTGCACCAGCGCGCCCGAGAACCCTATCCTCATCCTGGTCATCAAGCCTGAGGTTGTCAATGCCCGGAGATTGACCGTTGAGGATCAGGAGAGGCTGCTAGGAGAATGTGTTGATGAGGTATGGATCCCTCTTTGACTTCAACGATATTGAATGGATTTGTTAACGAGGAAAACAACAGGCTCTTGCCAACGGCGTCTTGATCACTCGTCTCAAGGGCCAGCCTATTGCCAACCACACCGCCCTCAAGGACGGCGACTACGTCCCTCAGCCGGCCCTTAAGGTGTGCGTGACTGCAGCCTTGTCGAAGAAGGAAATCGAGAAGGCCGGCATCACGATCCGCCATGCTATCACCAAGGTCATGACCCGCAAGACGAACAACAAGCTTAACGTTCCGGTAGCTTGAACGGCATGAACACTTCCCGGTATGATTATGTGATGTGGCTATCCAAATAGTGGACATATAGGGCGGGGGCGTTGGGATGGATGGACGGGGATACGGGCTTGGTTAGAAGCGACTCGGGAGGAATGTGTAGACATCGATATACGTATGTATGACTGTCAGAGTGTACTAATGCCGTGGCATGAACTTAATAATTTAATGCAGTTTCATAGATAAGATCATGTGGCAAAATGAAAAACTTGGGAGTTATCGACATCCTCTAGAGAGGTCAGATCGCAGAGCATGTTCTTGTCAACGACAAATGATAAGGTTTAGAGAGTACCCTTCAAGCACAAGGGACACGATAGGCACAGGTTGAATAAAGGCCATCAGTTCAGAGGACTGCTCATATTCCATTACCCATTGATCTTATAACTACAAACCAAACGATCGTATCACCGTGTCCCCAGTTAAGCCAAACTATAAATGCCTACGCATCACACAAACCAGGGTATCCAAGAAAAAAAAACGCACAACTAACTATCCAACATGCATTACACTCGTCCTAAGAGTCAAGCAGCCTTGACAACCTTCTCATCAGGAGTCACCCTCCCGCTCGAACCGCCTGCAGCCACCGTCGAGCCCTCTGGCACGGGCGCAACCGCCGAAACGACCACCTCATCGCCCATATCCTGCGGCAGCGTCAGGTTCAGAATGAGTGTCACGATCGCCGTTACCGCGAACCCGGTCTCCATGACCAGCTCAATAGCGTCCAACAAACCACGTAGAGCCTTGTTGTCACCCTCGTACGTGAACACGTGCGAGAAGTAGTCGGGCACCAGCGTCGCGCCATAGCCCAAAGCTAGGCCGGCAGTCAGGATGAAACGGTTGCGGCGGGAGAAGGGATTGGGGCCCGGATTCTTCGCGATGATGGCCATGCCGGAGACGGCGACGGAGCAAAAGAGGAAGGTCGTCATGCCGCCGAGGACCGCGGAGGGGATCGCAACGAGGGAGGCCGCGAATTTGGTGAAGATGCCCATGATTACGAGGAAGAAGCTGGTATCAATTAGCGATCAGAGCTGAAAAGAGGAAGGTAGAAGGTGGATGCTTACCAGCAGCAGTAGCCTGCAGAACGGTTCGCGCAGCGAGTGAGGGCAATGACACCGTTGTTCTGGGCGAAGGTGGTCATGGGCGTGATGGTGCACAGCGCAGCCAGGAGGCCGTTGATGCCATCGGCCAGGACACCACCCTGGATACGGCTCTCATAGATCTCGCCATCGACCTCGAGACGCGAGACATCACAGGTGGCAGTAATGTCACCGATGGCTTCGCATGCGCAGATGATAAACACGGCAATCAGCGGCAGCACCAGCGGGCCATACACTGTCAGCTTGAAGGTATGCACCCAAATGAAGCTGGCCGATGGCGCGCTGTCGATACCGCTGTGGTCGAAGTAGCCGCACGCGGCAGCGATGATGCAGCCGGTCAGCAGGCCAATGACGACGCTGACGCTCTTCATGATGGGCGAGCCGAAGCGCTCGCACAGGATGATGGTCACGAAGACGGAGAAACCCAGACCCAGGAATTCGGGTGAGCCCCAGGGAAGCGCATGCGGCGCGTAGATGTTAGGGCACTTGACGAACTCGGGGGCCGGGTTGTCGCCGTAGCAGGAGCCGTTGCCGCCCGCCCAGTTCTTGAAGCCGGACGCGATCAGGTTGATGCCGATCAGCATGACCGTCGGGCCAGTGACGATGGGTGGAAACACGCGCAGGATGATCTTGGGCGGGACGAAAGAGATGGCGATTTCGACCAGGGCACAGACGGCTGCTGTGCCCAGGACTGCGCCGTAGCCTTGAGGGCACGGCAGCTTGGTGCCGTCCTCAGCGACCGGGCAGAAGCCGTTGGCGTACATCTGGGCGAAGGCGCCTGAGGCGACGGGGATGATAGCGAAGGAGATGCCGACGACAGAGATCAGACCCGTGCCGAGATAGTAGCCTGTGTTGCCGAGTTTGAAGCGGGTGATTTGGATGGCGGAGAGCAGACCGCTGACGATCAGGGCGGTTGAGACGAGGTACTGCTGCTGGTCGGCTGTGAGATTGACGCCGCCGCCGCCTGACATGATGATGGGTGGGGTGATGATGCCGGCAAGCATGGCCAGGGCGTGCTGGAAGCCCAGGATGAGGGCCAGCAGCACGGGCATGCGGTCATTCAGTCCGAAGAAGGGCGCCGGCCGGTCGGATTTCTTCATGAAGGGGAGGTTCGGACGGAAGAGGAAAGCATAGTCGTAGTTGCCGATGAGGCCCTCCTTGGTGAGGAAGGTTTTGCGGAACTTCTCCACTGTGCGGGCTGGCAGAGAGCGCTTTGCCGGCTGCGAGTTCGTCGGCGTGATCACGGACGGGCCTTGATCCTCATCCATTGTGACGGTCTGGTGGTGTTCGTCTCGGCGTTAGTGGTGTGTGACCGAGACAAGAGTCTTAGTTCGGAACGGCGCCGTCGCCGGTGTGTATCCGGACCGGAAGTGGGGTGGAGCCGGAGTAAGGGCACGGAGGAGGAGGAAGGAGGCCGGGCAGCAGGAGAGACGGGAGTTCAGATGAGTTAAACTACAGCTGCCTATGTATTTGCTTGGTGTGATGATGATGACAATGATCAAACAGGACGGTCTCGAGCTGTCATTCCTGGGGGGATTATAACTTGTTTATACACAGCCCGTGGACGCGCAGAATTCTCATCACAGTTTTCGTCTCATACTCCCCAGGACTGCCAGGCACACGTCCTTATCGCGTATCTCGCCGCTCTCCACCGGATCCCATATCCACCTCATAGATCCCTGATTCTCTTACACGATCCCAGATGCTGCAGCAGTGGACCCCGTGGTGGGTGCCTGTGGGTGTTCTGTGGGTGTGGCGCTTTGAGACGCACAGGGATACGCCGGCATGGCATTTGTCCCGCTTGCGATGTGCAATGCTGCCGACAACGGCACATCTCATCCATGATCAGCTAGCCTGGGCCCTCTCTCCCGTGCTATTGGATCGCCATCTGTTTCTGGAATGAAGGGCAGGGAAACATGGAACTGAGAGATTAGGCACAGCATGACCGGCAGCAGGCGAAAGAATGCGCCGGCTGGCACATTCTGATGATGTCGGGCAGCTCCGGCGCCGCCGTCGGCCTGATGGCGCTTGATAGATGGTAGTCTTGTCAAGGATTGTCGTGGAGGGTAGCATTCTGCTGGCCAGGCTACAGGCGACTTACACCACGTCCAGCTACACCACAACATTACAAACATACGTTTTGGGTTCATACAGCAGACATCAACGCTCCAGACTGGGCTGAGCATCAGCTGCGTGGGGGCCCCGGGCCAGATGCTAGCACACAGGCGAACAGCATGCGAAAGCGAATTCTTCGACTCCTCCATTGCATGGATGATGGGATAAACAGCGAATGGAGCACTGTCGCATCTACCCGAGGCAACTGATAAGAGCCCCATGGGCGGATGCCGATGGACCACATCTAGGGCCCGATTCGTCGGGGTCTGGGGCCTTTGGGCAACTCTAGCCTCTCTGATACAACAGTGCAGACGGGGAACCCGCCTGTTGGCTCCAAGATAAATTGCTCCAACATCTGTATCCATCACAGCATGCGTTACGTACATTCACTGGTCTGCCCAACCGCAGCTCCCCAAATTTGAGCATTCCTATGTCTGTCTTCAGCCGGCTCTGCTGCCGAGTTGCTGCCGTTTCGTTGGGGCTGTCATATGCATTACTACTGCATACTAGCCCTAGCAGATCGACTTCCAGTCTGCCAGATCGCGGGGAAGCTGTTATGGGATCAGGTTTGTCATTTGTGCTGGGCAAGGCTCTAGCATTGCGTTACAGTAGATTTACCTCGGGCTTGGGCAGGAGAGCCTTGTGTGACTGACTTGATCACTTGCATCGGGCACTCCTCGTCTGCAACTCTTAACTCTGTGCACCGGCAAGGCCCGAGACGGCGGGCAGTCATATAGCCATGAAAATCTTGATGCCGAATAGATGACGAAGTACTTACGCTGCACGAAAGAAAATTTTGCACCATGTACCTGAAAAAAGATTGGAGATGAAGAGTTGAGTGACTCCATGTCCAGTCAAGTTGAAATAACATTGACTCGGAGTTGACCGAGGGTCTGGCTGGGTTGTGATAGATCGAAGTGTTTCCTCACTGATACTATCTTTTGCCTAGGACTTATTTGGTAGACCTCATCCAAGTGGTGACGATCTCGAAGCAATGACCTTACAGCGATCCTGTTGTCGTTTGTCCTCGGAGTTTTCAGACCAACATACACCTTTTCTTGATCAGATACATGGGGGTCCGTTCATTTCAGGCAGTTCTTTCACATAGGTGCTCGGGGTTAGTTGGCAGATTTGACAACAGCTTACCATTGTGACTGAGCCGTCTTTTACCATTGGAAGCCAACCAGCTTGTATATGAACGGTGAGTCTGAGATTCCCTTCGCCTCAGAAGTTTTGAGTGTCAAAGGCGAGTTTCATATGATTCACTGAATACTTACTGGTAGAACCCATCCTTATAGCCGTGCTGTTCCGGTCATTTCGCCTGACAGTTTTGGTTCTCTTGATATCTTCTGCTTGATGTAATCGCTTTTTTTCCCACATATATATCCTCACCTACCCAAGAGAGTGGCCCCTTTCAACACACCGACACTACTCGGACATTGAGGGAAAGGACATTTATAAAAGGGAAACTGCTCGCCACGCTTAGGCGTTTTTCAGGCAGATATCTATGGCAAAACGCGGTATGAGTGGTCAATAACCAACACCGATGAACATCAGTTCGTTACGCCCATGTCTTACAAGCAGAGCCATTGTATCACCATGTCTGAGGCGGTTCACGTCATGGCCCCCAACAACGGTCATGAGTGCACCGAGTATTTTCTCATCCATATTGTGAAGGGACGGAAGATCTTCAGGCAACCTGTTGGCCTGCAGCGCGGAACTGTCCGGCATTCGCCCGAGTAACATTCGGCCCTTATGAAACCCAGGCGAAAGAAAGCAAGGCCAAGGACTCGCTCGGTCTGCCTTCCAGGGATTCGAGCTCCTATTTAAAGGAGCGGCCCCGTGGAGGGAGGTATCCGAGGCACGAAGATCGGCCTTTTTCTCCTTCCTGAACGGGGCTGCTCAGCAAAATAACATTGCGATCGCCTGGCGTTGCAGTGCCTGGCTGCTTGATCTGGGATAGACTTGGACGGATGCTTGCCAGAACAAGTCCAGTTGGGCACCGATTCGTGCGGAGAACAACGAAAGAAGACTGGAAATTCTTCCGTTTTTCGAAGACTCACCGCTCACCGAGTCCTTCGGGTCTTTCTGCTTAGTTCAGGTGCTTACCCCGTTCTTGTGGACTCGGCCATGCCTTTATTCTGCGGAATGACTGCTTACGGCGATGGCACAGCGTTGAAGCCGAAGGGTGTGATGGCGAAAGGCGAGTGGGGAGGACAAGCAATGCTGCATGGACGTGCCTTATCGGCAATGGCACCCGAAGTACACTCCAAGACAGGACCCGGCCCAGGCATCTTGTTTCGGCTTCTCGTGTGGTTCAAACAGAGACAAATGCAGCAGCTGCATTCTCGGTGCGTCCAAATGATCCAATCCTCCTGTGTCTCATCGGCGAAAACTGGGGTTTGTGCGCTGTCGTATTGGAGTGCAACACTGCTTATCGCTGCAGGGCGCTGCACTATTGTGCAACTTTTCCAGGCCCAGATTTTTTTTCAACCTTCAAAAGCAGACCTTTCGTGCTGTGAATCGCCTCATTTTTGTTCTATCGACGCCTCTCAGATTGGTGATGCGTGATGGTCAGAAGCGTGTCGCCGACGACGCGAAACTGGTCCGATTGCGCCCACAAAGTCGGGTCCTGGATCCATCTGCACGTGCGCGCTAGCTTGTCCAGACTTGACCCACAGGGGCCAAGCCGCTGTCTTCCCGCTCGACCATTGACTGACCCTAGTCCGATTCGCGGGAACCCTGATCAAAGTGGGGTTGCACGCCCCCACTTAAGGTCGCGGTTTGGGGTATCTTATCAGTGCCCTGATCTGGGTCTTGCCTGCTTTCAATCCGGTCGCCATCTTTTTTTTTCTGTCATAGCAACTGCGGCTCTTCCTGGCTCCAGCTCAACAATGCCGACAGCGATCGCAGCGTTCCATGTAAATCGCAATTTTGAGCTCTCCTGGCCTAAGAGAGCTCCATGATATGTTTTATTCTCGAGATGGGCCGGTATTCAACAGCCCTTGTGCCACAGGCCGGCGTGCAGTGCGCTCGATCGATCGTTATCTCTGCGCTGCAGAACCCATGACACATCCCACGCGTATGCTCGCTCTCCTTATCGACCACCCCCAGTTGCAGCCACTGAGCTCAGCCCGAGGGTTTGGTGCCATGCTGCATCGTTCAATATCCCCTTCCGTCTCTCCACTCGTCACCTCCCGCCAACCGGTGCATCCTTTCGTTGCCGTTGGCTGACGTGCGATTGGGATTGGGGCGGTTAGTCCATACCTCTGTGGCCAGTGGCCTTTCGTCAACATTCGCAGAGATACTTATCTATCTTGCGCACCAAGCCAGCGCCGAGGTATTGGTTTTTATGAGTATGGAGAGATGGAGAGATGGAAATATGGTAAGTTGGGAGATGGGAGCGAGGATAAAGGACTATGAGAGAGGCGGTTGATGGAGTGCTCTGCAGAGGTTTAATGCTGCGGTGTGGCGCTCACTGGTCCAATGAACTAGATGATCTCCGTGTCTCCCGCTTCGCCATGGCTGCCGCGGCTCTCTGCATTCTGCACTCTGTTCCCTTTCCCTCTCTGCTCCCCCAGACTCGACATGCTTGAAACTCATCTGCAGTTGAAAAGCTCCCCACAAGCAACTCCTGGAAGGCTAAAGCAACCAAGCGAGCTATTCGTGGCTCTGCATCTGCAGTATCGCCAGACCCAAGCGAGCACACCACAGCAACAGTAGCAGTAGCACCCTGGCTGTGCAATCGGCTCCGTCCCTTCGGTTCTGCGGTCTGAGTATAGCTAAAGGGGACTGAAAGGAGTCCCAAAAGGACCCAAGGGACAAGCTCGATATTAAGATCAGCCTGTGCATGAGCGTGTTGTGCCCCGCGCTGCCCTGTGGACGTGTCACTGTTCGTCTGCCGCCACAAGGGGGAAAAAGCAACATCTGCTCCTCGGGTTCAACAACATCTTGCCGCCTTGTCTGTCCCTCCTTGCTGCGCTCCAAACTCTTCCCGCGGCCGAACCCCTGTTCACTTTGTTTTCGACCTCAGCCGCTGCCCAACGCAGGCTGCTGGGACTTCCTTTTTTTTTTCCAACTTGACAGTGACCAGCTTTTTCTGTTCATTCAGTCCCAGTCCCGACATCTGAGAATTCTCCGTGCTGTACAACACTCGGAGCGGTGGTCTTGCTCCCCTCCTTTTCCCCTTTGCGGGACGCTGTCGTCTGCAGGAGAGCGACAACGCTGCAGCTACATCCCGTCATTCGTCCCCAAGGTTATCAAGCTCACCAACTCTCCCACCGAAGTCCTAGCTACCCCGCTGATGCCGGCTTTCGGCGTTACAAACCACAATCATGTCTGGCCGAAGTGCCTACGTTCGCAAGAAGATCAATGAGCCCACCAAAGGTGGGAGAGCCCGTGCTAAATCCAATGCGAGCTCCTCCGACAATGCTACCATCAACGACTACCCCATAGCCCCAGTGCCCCCCGTCACATATGGCAGTCAAAGAGACCCGGGGCTCACGAGGATTGACAGCAATGCGCCATACTACTACGGGGAAGAAATCCCCGCATATCCCCAGTATCCGACTCATGCTGGGCCAGCACAAATTGCCCGGCCACCATCACGCCGGGCAGCACCCGCCGAGCATGTCACGTATGTCCGAGTTGTTCGACCTGTCATCCCGACCAGCGAGGTCTCTGGTATCGAGAAGTCCGGCTTGAGAAGCGTGCTAGACAAGAAAAGCAGCGAAGTAAGAAATGGCTTGGCTAAGGCTTTCACCTTCAAGAAGGGGGATAAGAAGGCAAAGGAAGTAGAGAGGCCCCCGTCATCGGCCGTGGTTCGTCCATCAAGAGGTGCTGGTGTAGTACCGAAGAGCCCACACGATGTCCATCCGCCAGATATCTCTCCGACTGCGATCCATCCGGGGCCTGTGGCTCCTCAAGGACATGCCCTCTCTCCTGTACCTGAGGCAACACCCCAGCCTATTGGGCCGTCGGTCATGAAGCGCTGGATTGGAGGAGGCCGGCCGGTGCAGCGTTGGAACAAGTTGAGGAAGGATCCAGAACTTTGGGATCCGAACGGCGATGTGCTGGTTTACTTTGGCCAGAAGGGTCAGGGCTCTCTAAACCCGTCCTTCCGGCTGTCATCGCACATCATCGAGGCTACCGAGTCTCGGTATCTTGTCACACTCTTGAGAGAGGGGTTGACGGACGAGGACGTCAACATGCCCTTCAGCCAACAGCAACATCTCGGCTCAGGAGGTTACGGACGGACGAAACAGCCGACCCCGCCCGCTTCAGAAGACAACAGCATTTGTGATGCCGATGGGCAGATATCCTATGAGATGTACTTCCCGCCGCCGCCGAATATGTCCCCACAGGAACAGCTCCGGCACAACATCACAACGCGCAACGTGTTCGCCCTCCTTTACCATGCTTCTCTCGTCGGTTTCTCGCTCTACCAAGCCCTTTCGGACCTACACACACGTCTCATTGCCTGGATGCCTCCGGAGTCGGACAACGTCGGCACCATCATCAAGTACCTGACTGCACGAGGACTCGACGACGTGCGCAACGACCCCGAGACAGCCGTCGGCCTGCTTGCCTGGAGTGAAGGTAGTGATGTTCGTTGGGAGGAGGGGTGGCGCGAAAGCTTCTTGCACTGTGCAGGATTGTATTCGCGGCTGGAGAAGTGTGCCGATTTTACACACGTAACACCGGTTACCAAAGCCCTCCTTGAGAGAGCATCTCTTGAGACGCAGCTCCGTGTCCAGGCGGCCGAAGAACGTCTGGCTGCGTTTGAGTTTGGCGACATGTGGCCCTCTGAGGTCGCCGTTGTTGCTAACCCCAGCGGTCCAGTGACTGCTTCCCCTGCCAAGGCCGCTGCGGATAGACTGCAGAAGTTCTTCCTGCAGCACTATACACGCGAGTTTGGGACTTGGCCTCCAGCGCCGGTTGTTCAGCCGGGCGCCCGGCAGGGCGAGGGTGAACAGGTGTGGCTGACCAGGACGGTGGCTCAAGTTCTCCAGAAGGATTTTGCTGCGCTTTATGACTACCTCGTCAACCGTGACGTTATCTGGGATGAGTCTGAGGCTCGCCCAAGCCGCAAGTGGATGATGGTCAGCAAGAGCGGCAACCGTGACTTTGAGGCTGACACTTCCGATCTGCCCATGACCGACATGCTGATCGAGTTTGACAATAAGCACCGTTATCCTCATATTCCTCATCCATATCCTCTTGTTCCCGAGTCCATCCCGCCGACCACGACCTCGAGTAATTCTAGCACTGCCGCCGCGAAGCCCGCTTCTGGCATCGGTTCTCTGTTCCCTGGCCGTTCAGGCAACAAGCCAAGCCCGCCGAACACGGGAACCAACACCCCGACGAGCAGCAGCACCAATGTGTCAACCTCAGCTCTCGAGCGCCGTGTGCAGCTTGCCTACACGGAAGCGACTAACCTGTGCACCTTTGGCAGCGACTTCGCTCACTCCAGGCTTACAGATGCCTTCGCCAAGTTCGAGCGGTCTGACATGGTTGGCGAGATCGATCCGGCAACTGCGCGCCGCGGTCGCTGGATCGTCATCTACGGCGTGCTGCAGACGCTTGCTACCGTGGCGGTTGATTCCCCTGGCGTGCGGTACTCCGAGGGCGTAGCGTACCACCTCTCGGTCCGGATGCGTGGCCAGGCTAGACTGCCGCCATGGAAGACTCGGAGACATGGGCTCTTTGCTATCGAGGCTTCGCACGAACTGTCACATTGCTGGGTTGTCGTGGACAGCTGGGAGGGCGGGCTCAGCCCGGGCGGAGGTATCGGGCTTGCCAACGGAGGCGAGAGCTCTGCAGATGAGGATGCTCTGGGTACAAGCCCCGTCGATTCCCGTCTTCACCACCGCTATCACCACGATGGCTTCGACGTCCCCTACGGCAGCCAAAGCCTACATTTCCCCTCCGTCCCGCGAGGCACCATGAGCAGTACCACAACCGGCAGCAGCGGCACCCGCCGCGTACCCAGCAACAGCAGTCGGGGAGGACCCCCACCCCGTCTCCGTAACCGTCCTCCGACGGCCATGACCTACGCCACGTCGTCTACGGGACCGGTGAGCTCCGCCGCAAGCGTGATCTCACACTCTTCGTCGGAGGGACAGAGGTACAACGATCCGTGGGGCTCACACCCTCCTCAGCTACCCCCTCTCTCGGCGCTGGTAGCTGCCGCGTCGGCATCAGCGTCGGCAAGGGCGACTGCCATCCCCCGTAGGCCATCTGCTACATCGATGGGCACGTCGCCCGTCACTCCCCGTGAGCATGCCATCATCGGCTCAAACCTCATGTCCTCTTCTACTCGTTCAGGAGCGGGTCACGACGACGGCTGGGACGGCTACTGGATTCTAAGCGGGACCAGCCCTGGGGGTTCCACAACCGGGCACGTGCCAAGCCGATACGCGAGCACCGCCCTCGGCGGCGGCAGCAGTGGACTCAACGCTGTACCGGATGAATCTGTTGCGGGGGACGACGACGACGTGGTTGCGGATGTGGACGAGAAGAGCTTTGCGATGCCGGCGCCATTTTCAGATAATGAGAGGGGCAGTACGAGGGCTACGACACGCACGGAGGAGAGTGAGGAGACGGGGAGGGCGTCGGTTTCGGAGGTTGGGACGGAGGATAGTCGGGGAAACAATAAGGCGGGGGCAGGTTTTGGGGCGGAAGGAAGGAGATTGCGCAGACATGATGGGAATGGGCATGGGGATGATGGTCTGGGACTGATTATTAGGGATTTTGATGAGTTAGGGGTCATTGATTGATTTGCCGGGCAGGAGGATTTGGCATCATTGGGTGAAAGTAACATACATGTGTAAGATTTTTGGGATGGGATCATCATTGGATAGTGTCAGTGTGTTTACATTGTGATACCTACATCTTTACCAAAGTGCAGATAGTAACTAGGGTAAAAATTAATTCATTGGATTGTGAATGTGAATTGACATTTGGGTCCCTCTTACTGCAGGAATTGGTTTCGATGAGGTCATCGTACCTGGATGAGGGGGCCGACGGAGTGATGAGTTGTCAGCTGGGTTAGGTGACAACCCAGCCATCCGGATTTCCATCGGGGCGCTTACGGCGGGCCGGCATCGAGTTGTGGGGTCCACATCTGGTTCATTTTTTTGATGCTGAGGTACAATGTTAGCTAGCAAACTTTTGTACTCTAAAATATTTTCAAATTTAATTGAAACAAATATTTTTATTTTTAAAAATAAAAAACTTTTATAAAATTGTAATACCACTTTTTATACGCTTATTTGTTTATTTCCTTGTGAAAACAAATTTTAAACTACACAAAACTGCCAAGCTGAGGTTCCTCCTTATCACTCGGATCGGGCTCAGCGCCCAACGGTCCCAACCTCCGGGATTTTTCACCAGCAGCTTGCTTTGAGGGCTGGAGCACATAGCAGCAAAGTATTGAATTATTTTCCAGATCTTTCTTAGATTAGTCCCTTTTTTTTTCTCTTTTTTCCCCCATTTCCCTGAAATAGCGCTCAGCTACCCGCATCTTTTCTTTTTGCTTTTATTCTCATCCCAACCGACGAAAACAAGGTCCTGAATATTGACTTCGGTCCGGGTCCATGCTTTCAGTGCAGAAGCGCCCCCGCCTTTTGTACTACTGCAATTGATCGAAGAGAACGACTCTTCACGTTGCCCTGGGCTACCTACTTTCTTGCTTAACAGAGCACAAGTTACACCCCTGGGCAAAGCTGCTTAATTGCTGCACACTCTGCGTGCTTCCTGCTTGCGTGCTGCATGTCACCTCGTTTGTCCTGCTTGACAACTTTGTCAAAGAAGCCTCATTTCTTCTATCCCGCTTCGCTTCAAAAAGCATAGCTGCAGGGCAATAAGCTTCAAGACGTGTGCCGTCCGACGGAGAGTTTGGCCATAATCAAGTCCGCGACGCAAGCAGTTCGCAACAGCTGAGACAGCGATAACTGCTTGCTGTTGTCTACCAACGAGAGGATTGATGGTCTTACGCCCACGCCGCACAGTGGGAGCTCCCGTGAGTTGTCAGCAACCAACAAGAGGAGGGAGATAAAGACTGCGTCTCCAGAGCCAAAGCTCCCCAGCTGCAGCTGTATTGCACGATCCTTTGATCTCACGACTGGTCAGCTGCCTTGTCAATCGTCTATCACGGACGGCTGTACAACAGCGTCAGTGCAGCTCACAGCAACCTTTACTATAATCAACACCGAGCAAGAGTGAATTCCATTATCAACTTCACTTCGTGAGAAACTGAGCTACCATAGTGAAGCCGCGCAGCGCAAAAGCATCTTCAAGATGTCCGCAATCACCTTCCTCTTTTGGCGATTTATGGAGATCATCACTTTGGTAGGTCTTCTTACGTTTCCCTCTCCCCTCCCAACCTCGCTAACCCCCCATAGATCCCCATCCTAGGCATGTTCGCCCACCTCCTGCGTCAATATCTCAACGCCAACATACTTGCCCCTGATCACATACTCATCCTTTTCATCACCTCCGCCCTCGGCGTACCCTATTGCATCTTCACCCTCTTCACATACCACCGTTCCCCTGGCAACTGCCGCCTCGTCTCCATCATCGACTTCGGCTTCTTTGGCACCCTCATCGCTGCCGTTTATGAACTCCGCTTTATCCGCAACGCGGACTGCACTGATATCCAACAGGGCGATCCGATTACCTTGAGTCTGGGGATTTTTGGCAGTGCGAATCTGAACACAGTAAAGGTTAGTGTGGATCAGGGGTGTGCGATGCTGAAGGCGGGTTTTGCGATGGGGATTATGAATGTAATCTTTTTCTTTATCACGGGGGTTGTGGCATGGTTGTATACAAAGAGGGTTGAGAAGAATAGAACTCCGCCGAGGAGCAGGTGGGACAGCAGGAGTAGCCATCATAGTAGGCACAGGAGCAGGAGTGGGCATGGTGGGAGCAGGAGTTCGCACAGTCACTCGAGGGCTTATGTGTGAGAGGATGGGGAGAAGGTTGAGGCGGGCATCTAGCTGTGAGGGGAAGATTTGATGAGCTATGAATGGTGAAAGGACCTATCTGCATTATGAATAATGAAGGGACTGGAGTGATCGTTGAGAGAGCTGGACGTATGCTCTTGGCTAATCCCTAACCAGTCACTGTCACATCAGCTACGACGGGATGACTTATGACCAGTTAACGAATGCTTTGTAGATAACTGAGATGCCTCATGAGCTATAGCTAGTCTTATTTAAGTGAACAAGTTCATTCTTTGTTTATGTCCTTGAAGCCATGAAATAGATTCCGATAACCATGTACTCGGAAGTGTCTTTCATCTGAAGTCGCTTTGACTTCATGTTAGCTTCGTGTCTAGTATCCTGACTGGTGGTACACGTTCTTGCTCCTCAAATTTTGTATGGGTTCATCGGCATTAGCTGGAGAGTAAGAACATCATGACTGTATGGTAGTGACATTCCGGTAAGTGCTTTATCTCCCCCTCCCCCCCCCCCCCGGCGAAATATATAAGAGCACCATGTGCCAGCATCTCTCCGTGAAGCTCAGGACATCTTAACTTAGACCCCCTGATCTTCCAACACCGTGAAGCCAGTGTTAACCACTCACATCATAACCTGCCATGGGCTGTCTCCCGTCAAAACCTAAACACCGTGAGATCAGGGTAATACGGCCGGGAGATCCCGACCCAGCCAATAATGATGCTCATATGGAGCTTGAGAGACGGAACGAGGAACCGATTTATGCTGAACTGCGCCGACGTGGGCTGCTGCCTCTTGAAGGAGATACCAGAGGTAGTCTTGCAGAGTGGCTACGGCAACGTTCATCAAGAACGGGAATGACTGGAGGGGCAGTTGAACTGGGTCCTGTTGGGAGACCAAGGTTGACTTCGAGTTTGTCAGACATAAGGCGAGAGCCGCGTTCACCTTTTCCAGGTTCCCCAGCTGTTCAGCAGGGAGATTTAAATGACGACAATGTCAATGAGGATGGCAGGGTGTCAAGATTGACACTTAGTTTGACAGACATCCAAGCGCTAAAGAGAACCTTGACACTAACTCTTCATACTGAACACGCAGAAGACAACAACGCCAACAATAAATACAACAGTGAGTACAAGTCAAGCGCAAGCTTATCTGACATCAGAACAGACGTGACCATGAGCACTGCCAACTTATGTATCAGTGATGATTGGAAGTACCAGGCAAGTCCCTCGGCAAGCAAACTGAACACCAAGGAGTTCGGGCAAGAAGGCTCCGCTGAAAATACCCTCCCCTCATCCCCAAGTCAAGTGCAATTAAGCAAGCAAGAGCCACGGGAAGCGATACTGCACTATCACCAAGTCCAAGCGGAGTTGGTCGGCGTGCGCTTGCACCAACAGCTGCTTGAATATGTCTCCCAGCAGAAAGATAAGCAACGGCATCAGCCTTCTCCTTCATCAACTGTGGATGATGCTCAGGTTCTTCGGGTCGGTCCGGACTCGTGAGTGCTCAGCATCATCCTGCGACGGGTGCAGCGCAATTTGGGGGAGGGAGTGGTTTTCTCCCGCGATGTTACCCAAGATCCCCAGAGAACCCATCGGGATGTGGGAGGACAGAAACTCAAAACACTTCAAACAAGGAGTGCTCAGCCAGTAAGAAGCTACCTCAGGCCAAGGCACGCAATGCGACAAGTGAAGCTCATCGACGCACATACACACAGTCGGCAGCGGTAAGTTGAGATGTGCGGGAAGTGGATGACATCGGGAAGAATGTTTTGTTTGGGTCCAGTCAGGGTTTCCGACGTCTGAGGTTGTGCTCGAAGCCTAGGCAACCGGGGGAACAGGTCTTGGACGGCTGGGCAAGGAGATCATAGCTGGGGTAAGGGATCGCTCGCATACACAGCCGATGCCGATCTACCGATCTTCCCTTGTTTGCGGCGAAGTGTGTGGTGTGGTGTCATTACTTAAGGTGTGGCTGGTGGTGATCAGAGCTGTTGATCCTGTCATCCAGGGGCTTGGATCGGATGATCGTTGCAGGGGGGTGTGCAGCATAGGCGGTGATGGATATGCCATTTCGACAGTAAGTCAAGGTTAGAAGCCTGAGGCGATTTGAACGCAGTCTTGCAGAAGAAATTTCAATTCTTATTTTTGACATTCTCGAACTCTTCACTAAGATGCAGTGAACATAGACGTTGTTGGCGTCTACTGTTGTGATGCTCAAACTCTGATTCGCCCTTGGATGATGGTGACGTGATTTGGAGTTTCGCGTTGAGAGTTATCGCTCCACCACAGTAGTCGTTGGTTTGGGATGTGAAACCGAAAGGGAAAAATGGTTGCGAACTCGCACCAACTTACGATTTGTGTCCTCATATAGTATAGTCACCGCGGCAGTTGTTTTCGTCAGATTTGACAGTCTTTGACCTGATCTTAATCACTGAAAGATGGGGTGGTGGAGTTCTGTACTTCAGATTCTTGAGATCCAGACTCTCGGAAAACCCGTTCTTGAGCCGTTGAAGGCTCCAACACCTCGACTCCACCACAGCTCCATCGTGGCGTCTCCGTATTGGGCCTCAACTCTTCTCCTCGACTCAACATTGTTGCTCTCTCGGCTGATATTCTTAATATCATAGCATCAACGTAGCATCTCGCGACGCCTTTCCCAGGGTTTTTGCCATGAAACAGGTACGAAGCACCGACTTCATGCCGCCAGTCGAGCGTCACCCCAGCTTCTCTCCGTCGCCTCGAGCTGAAACGAGCCGACAGTGTGGACACCAGGGTAGATCTCCACAAGTGAAGTGCCTGGTACAACCCCGTCGAAAAGACTGCTGGGGCAGCATTGAGAGGCTCCTGGAGCCCAGGCGGCACGAGCAGAGAGCGGCGTGGTGGAGATGTCCTCCCGTTGAAACTCATCCCGTGGGCCGATTCCCTGTCTCTCCGCGACAGCTCCGTCTGAGATGTTGGAGATGGGGACAGTCGTGAAGATTCTGCACAGCCGTTGGTCCTACGCTGTGAAACTCGACGGCGACAAGAGTCAGGTTGAGAGAAACTGGTGTGGTAGATTGTGTCGCCATGTCTCCTCCGGGGTTGTGTCTTCCGTGTATATATGGATGGTCGAGTTGTCCGTCGTCTAGGTTGACTGCTTCCTCATCATCATCATCTGTACATAGACGTTCTCTGTACAATACAAACACCTTCGTTTCTTGCCGCGGGCTGGCACTCGCTTGCTTGTTTCTTCGTTTCCAATCTCTCCCGTTAGACACGGCATCTTTCTTCATTTCAATTCCTTTCAAAATGTTTTCCCAACTACTGCCGCTGGCGGCTCTTGTCGCCCTTACCAACGCCCACGGAGTCATTCTCGCTGCCCAGGGTGAGCCTGGCTCCCCTCCGTCTGTCGGCTTCCGTGTCAGCGATGCTATTGCCCGCAACTGCACCCAGATCAACCCCTGCCAGCAAGACACTACCATCATCCGCGATGAGGAGATCGCCGCCGGCGTCGTCAACAGTTGCGGTCGCACCAAGCTGACCGGTAACATCGACGTCGGCGAGGTCACTGAGAATGCCCTGGCCGCCGGCGCCGTCACCCAGGTCAAGGCCGGCACCAAGCTGACCGTCACCATCCACCAAGTCAATGCCGACGGCGCCGGCCCTTACTTCTGCGACCTCGACGAGGGCAGCAACTCGGGTATCATGAGCAAGAACCTGACCGTCACCAACAACGTGCCCGGCTCCAATGGTCTTTCTCAAGCCCAGGCCCAAGACTTTAACATCACTGTCGAGCTGCCCGCCGACATGCGCTGCATCGGCGCCTCGACCGGCAATGTCTGTACCGTCCGCTGCCGCAACAATGCCCTGGCTGGCCCCTTCGGCGGCTGCTTTGCTGTGCAGCAGATCGATGTTGAGCCGTTCAACGTTGCCCACACTCCTGGCGAGGTCAAGACCGCTGAGACCCTTGAGGAGGTTGATTTCCAGATGATCAACAACCAGGCTGCGCTTCCTGCCGCCATCGAGGCTAACAAGAAGGCTGGTACCGATGAGCAGGCCAAGAACCTCGCCGCCGTTGAAGCTATCCTGGGTCTCACCACTACCAGCGCGTCGTTCCCTACCCTGACGCCCACTATCGTCCAGAACAGCGCCGCTACCAGCACTACGTCCTCTGCGGCTGCTGCTACCACTACTGCTTCAGGCCGTGGCAGGAACAGGGGCAATGGCCGCAACAACAACAACAACAACAACAACAACAACAACAACAACAACAACAACAACAATGCCAATACCAATGCTGAGGAAACCGATACTACCGCGGAAAGTGGCAACGGTTCCGGGAACAGGTTCGGTCAGTTTGGGAGGCGGGCGTTCCCTTTCTGGGGCTGAGAAGACGGTGATGAGAGTTGGGCAGGGCTTGCGTTCCTTTGTAATGGCATGAGATGAGCTGATGTGTGTCTCTTCTGTTGTATATACCAAACATGATGTGTTTCATGCTGTTGAATTCTGTCAAGATCATGCGCGTGATGGTGCAAGTGATGCCATTCAATATCGAAATGGTTAGGTGTTCGTCTAGACCATAGGAGAATGCATATTCTTTGGAAATCATCAGTTGCACCAACTAGAATAGACTCAAGTGTCTACAGGACAGGGATTCCAGTTGTGCAGTTCCATCCTACGCTAGGTATGAACTTGGCCCCTGGGCCCTGACAAAAACAGGCTTGAGACTTAGCTTGGCCACATGCTGACCTGTATCTGCTACTGTCGTGCAAGCCTCTTATGGTTCTAAGATGTCAGATCCTTGGTAGGCGGCCTTGATCGCGGCCGGGTCTTGGGGTTCGGACGGGGCAATTGACCCCAGCCAAAGGCGGGGCCACATCAGACACACTTCAACATTCCTTCTGTATGAGTGTATTTCTATTCTTACATTTGATACAGACTCCCAGCGATCGTGCAATGAAAGATGTGGCAGGCGATATTTCACTTCCAGGTCAGGCCAGATTTAGGTTCTTAGCGTATGTCAGAGTCAATAGAGACAACCAGCGTTACACAAACCGAAAAAGGACCTTCTGTAACGACTTGATCAAACTGACTGTCTGTATATAAGTTGAAGAACAACTCCATTGATCGAGGGAACGTTCGACAAACATCTCGGTTCAAGCCATCATTGAAAAGATCTACACACTGGCCGTCATCTAGTTCTCAAGTTCTCCTTATTTGCTCCGCTGGACTTAAAGCCTCTACTTGAATGAAATCGAGGAAAAATGTGTCGCAAGGACTTTGCATTACGTCCTCAATTTGTTCTCTCCCTGGTATTTCTTGCCAATCTGGCAAGCATCTTCTTAGGCATCATTGCTCATACCAACGCCCCAGGTCTGATGGTAGCTGGGACAAGTGGCATCCTTACCGTTGCTCTAATAGCCGGAATGATCTATATCCAGCCAGCTACCGCCGTTCATCCATCAGTGTTGATCTCCCATCGCCACCCCTCCGTCGTGCCGCGTGACAATGATCATGGGTCGGATGGGTTTAACACAGACGGGGCCGAGTACACCAATGATGAACATGATGATGGGCAGGATGACGATTTGGATTCTGCCAAGGGGTTTACTATTGACGACCATAATGATAACTGCAATGACGCCGACACTAGCAACCTCAGTGGAAAGGTGCTAAATACCCCCAGAGGCAAGCTTTCTGGAGTAGTTCGGAGCCCGGGAAAATCTGGCAGCAGCTGGCCTTGGCTCACGTGGCCTTCTGGAAATAAGAATGACAGCAACATGGAAAATATCACTCCCAGAGGAAGATACTCTGTGATGTTTCGCAGGCCGGGGAAGTCGGGAAGCAAGTGGCCTTCGTTCAAGTGGCCATTTGGAAATAACACAAATACTACAGTAAGCTATCCTACTGCCAGTAGAGGCCTGGGAGCTGCTGTACTTCCAATTGCGACTGGAGTGGTTAGGATTTGAGAGGATTTGGTCTAGATCACCCAAGTTTCTGTCTGGTAGCGTTCTGTCTCTTGCTATGTAGCTTATGTCTGGGGAGGAGATATTAGCTTTGACTTGTTCATTCCCTTCTTCATGATAGATACTCATGGGTTTGCACTCGTTTCAATGATTGCTTATCTGGAAAATGCAGTACCTGGTATCGCATATTTTGGGTCGCACACTGTGTTTTGAGTCCGGACGTGCACTTTCCACGATCTTAAGGCTCCGGATTTCTCCCTATCATTTTCTCTCCTATTTATCACTCCCCAATGCTTCAAGCGCCTAGTTTGTTGTCCAATATCTCTCTTTTCATTCTTTATTCCCCCCCCAATATGTTGTCCAATTCCCTTAGCAAAACGCCTGTAGGCTCTGTCTCATAGTTTCTAGAACCCGTCCCCTTTCGCGAACAGCAGTTGAAGGTCCGATGGTGTAGTTGGTTATCACGTCAGTCTAACACACTGAAGGTCCCCAGTTCGAACCTGGGTCGGATCAAGAGACTGTTGTTTTTTGCCGATTTCTCTTTATTCCACCAGAACACTGGTGCACTCCATATGCTGGCGTGTAGGGAGAAGCAGACATCAAGGCGCGATGGCAGAGTGGTCTAATGCGTGAGACTCGAAATCTCATCTCTTCGGAGGCGTCGGTTCAAATCCGACTCGCGTCGGCTTTTGCATTTCTACTTCTCCCTATCTAGGGAAGAGATATCTTTTGTCCTCGAAGGCGATTTGTTTTGTCGTGGTGTCGCAAGTTGCGTCTGCCCGGAATTCATTTCTTTTAGCCCTGCCCAGCTTTCATCCCATCTGAGCAAAAACCTGGTCAAATCCCTCGACATCATATCATCACCATCGGCAGTAAGATCGACAACGATCCGCCTGCACCAAAAGCTTGATTCCGCTGCCGAGAAGACATCCAGAGAAACAGGTCGCCATCCTGCAACCTCTGGAACTACACATTGACCAATGACCTGCACAGCGATCTGAAACGTCTCCATTACGATAATACGCTGAACCAGTCCAGCGCATTGACCCCCATGGAGCCATCAACGATCCCGCTGCCGCTGGTTGGGCCGGGTAAACACACTCCGTACAGCGGCGCTATGCTCCCATCGAAAACTGTCACGATGTTATTCTAGAGCGGGAAGCGTAGCACTCAACGCAACCAGGGCCCGGGTCAACCGGGTTCGGCTTGGACGGAATAAATTAAGGGATCCCCCAGACACGGTCCGACGCGCCCGACTCTTTACTCGTTATGGGGCAACTTGCTGCCAGCAGGTCGAATGCCTTCGCCTACTGCCGCCCCGAGTTTCCTGATTCGGTGCCCGGAAGTTTTATTCTGGCTAAGATGGGAGGAATATGGGCAGGCCGTTTGCGATGCAGCGATGCCTGCGCCTCCGCCTATGAGCTACGGGAGAGGAGGAATCATTATGGTGGTAATTGGGCGGAGGTGATGAGTTGAATCGCCGGTTGCGGCGGTATAAAAGCCGCAAGGACGCCCAACTGGATACTGTTCTTGGCCCTAGTGAAGCATCAACACTGCTGTCGTCCAGACACCCCTCATCGAAGTCTCTCTGGGCTTCATAATATCACGCACGAGTCACCATGGTCCGTAAAGCTACTATTCTTGCCCTCGGTCTGGCTGGCCTCTCGGCCGCCCAGGTCTCCAACGACTTCGAGAGCGGTTGGGACGAGACCGAATGGCCTTTCTACGCCCCCGATTGCAGCCAGGGCGGCAGGGTCAGCCTGGACAGCACCACCGCCCACAGTGGTAGGAATTCTATCCGTGTTGATGGCGCTGGCGGCTACTGCGGCCATGCTTTCTTCGGCACCAAGAAGGTTCCCAGCGGCGATTTCTACGTCCGTGTCTGGCTGTAAGTGAAACCAGGACGTGTAGTCTAACAAGAAGATTTGTTAACTCCCTCCCCAGTAAGGCCGCCAGAGCACTGACCGCCGCACACATCACTTTCATCACGATGCCGGATCCAGCCCAGGGCACCAACAAGCACCTGCGCATCGGCGGGCAAAACGAAATCCTAATGTTCAACCGTGAGGTCGACGACGCCACGCTCCCTGACCTCTCCCCCCAAGGCGTCGCGACCTCTGTTAAGCTCGCCACCAACACCTGGGAGTGCCTGGAATACAAGATCGGCAAAGACGGCAGCATCGAGACTTGGCTGAACGGCAATGCCGTGCCTGGTCTGACCGTCGGCGGCGGCGCCTCGAATCCTAATGCTAATGGCTGGTCGAGGAGCTCAATCATTCCTAAGCCCACGGGGGTTTACTTTGGGTGGGAGTCGTATGGCGGTGAGACAAATACTTTCTGGTATGATGATGTGGTTATCAGTGAGAGCCGGGTGGGCTGCTCGGCGGATGCCGGGTCACCGGGTAATGGTGGCAACCAGCCCGGTACCCCGACCAGTGCCGCACCGACGACCTTGATCACCAGTACGGTGCAGGTCCCGACTACCACGGCTCCGCCGCCGCCAGCTACGACGACGCAGTCACCGCCTAGTTGCAGCGTGCCGCAGTGGCAACAGTGTGGTGGTATTAACGTAAGTCTTGTCCTGTCTTTCAAGCGTTCCGAGTGTAATGGAGGATACTAACGATGGGTGCAGTACACCGGCTGCACTACCTGCGCCGCTCCGTACACTTGCAAATTTCTGAATGATTGGTACTCGCAGTGCGTCTAAAGGGGAGTTAACGAGTTGAGAGTTGCTGAGGGATGTGAGTGGCCGGAGACGATGTGTACATAGGTACTTTTTTTTTTTTTTTTTTCGCTTCTTGTCCATAATTCGCTCTTTGACTGGCATTCAGAGGCTGTGTCGCCAGTTGCGTCAACATGCATACTTTGATGAAAGTGAATGATCGAAAGCATCAAGGTTGAAGCGACGCCTGCGAGTGGTGGTTTGCATATCTGTCGAAGCGGAGTTGCTGGAACACTTGAGAGGCCTAACCTAAGGGTTGGGGCTAACTGCTTACTCAAGAGTTCAGCTAAACACTCTTAAGAACCTTCAGTGTGCTCACTCTCAGCATCTTCAGTCCTCACCATGACGTACTCTGAAGCTCTCGCCGTACATGTCGCACAACCCCAACCCCGCATCGACAACCTCGCTCAACCACTCGGAACTCCTGCCGAAGCATCCTTCCCAACGGCGTTAAATCTAGCTGCCGCCCCGCCCCTGCTTCCCTTGAGCCTAACAAGACTTGTGTCACCGCTGATGACAGGTTATTCAAGTCCCTGGCTTCCAATCCGGGCGTATCGGTTTACAGATGAAGATCCGTTATGTCTGGTTTGACTATGATCACTGGGGCTGTTGAGCTTGGTGCGGTGTTCTTTGCAGCGTCGGGGGATTGGCGTGCTCGGGGGATGATAACAGTAGTGGGTTTCGTGGTTTATTGTTTAATGGAGTATCTGTCGTTTGTTGCCAACAATTGAAGAACAAAGGTCGGGCTTCTCAGGTGAAAGGAGCGATTTACCTATTTTCTCATTCGCCATCGGGCGAACGGAGATTTCCATCTTTTTGAGAAAGAGTTCAAGGTAGAAATGACCATGATGGCGAGAGCTGTACGGCAAACGGCACCAATACTGGCGACAGCGACGAGGTGCTCACTCCAGGCGCGCACTTCAGGTGCTTTTTTAGCTTTCAGGGTAGCAGCATATTTGGGGACAAAATATGTTCCCGTCTCTTCCTTTAGAGGAGGATATCGGTATTTCGCCACTACAGGGATTCTTAAAACTGCAACTGCTTTATCAGAACGGAGTAGAGGCGGTTCCAAGGTCTGGGCGAGTGCTGATGAAGCCGTCGCCGACATTGAGAGCGGCTCGGTGCTGCTCAGCTCTGGCTTTGGGCTTTGTGGTATAGCATGTTAGGGTCCAGTTTTCTCGCGAGAAGTTGAACTAGTCGCTAATAATGTTCCCAGCAACCTTGATAGCAGCCCTCCGTCGCCGCGGTCCCGAGTCCTTACACTCCCTGACAGCGGTCTCCAACAATGCCGGTGCCGAGGGTCGAGGTGGCCTAGCGCTGCTCACAGAAAACGGGCAGGTTGACCGGCTGATCATGTCCTACCTGGGCAATAATAAGAAGCTGGAGCGCGCTTACCTCACCGGCAAGATCGCAGTCGAGTTGTGTCCGCAGGGCACATTGGCTGAGAGGATACGGGCTGCCGGGAGCGGGATCCCGGCGTTCTTCACGCCTACTGGAGGGGGTATGAGGCCAAATGTTTTGATTTTGACTTTGTGTGAGGGTTGACTATGGTTGACTGACGTGGACTGGCAGAGACGTACATTGAGCAAGGAGCCATTCCAGTTCGGTATGATGAGAATGGAAACGTGGTTGAGTACGGCAAGCCGCGCGAGACCAGGATCTTCAATGGCAGGAAGTACCTCTTAGAAACGGAACTGCCAGGGGATGTGGCTATATTGAGGGCGTGGAAAGTCGACAAGGTCGGAAACTGTGTGTTCAGGTGAGCTTTACTGTTGTTTCACGACCAGCTTCACCAGCTGACATGAGGATGGAGGTACGCTGCGAAGTCCTTTGCGCCTCTGATGGCAAAGGCTGCAAAGCTGGCCATAGTCGAGGCTGAGAACATCGTCGAAGTGGGCGAGATGGACCCAGACGAGGTCGATCTGCCTGGAATCTTTGTCGACAGGATCGTCCCAGCTGTCGAGCCAACCCTTATCGAGATCCTGAAGACTAGGTCAACTGGCGAGGATCATAGCCAAGTGAAGGTTGAGAAGAGTGAGGCCCAAGAACGCAGAAACCGCATTGCTCGACGGGCAGCGAAGGAGTTGAAGGATGGGTACTATGTTAATCTCGGCGTTGGCATTCCCACTTTAGCTCCTTCATTCCTCCCTCCTGGCCAAAAAGTCTGGATTCAGTCTGAAAACGGCATCCTTGGGATGGGTGACTACCCCCTCCCTGAGGAGGTCGATCCGTATGTCCCTTCCCCCATGATTTTTTCCTTAGAGCGGGCTAACGCCCCTCAGAGACATCATAAACGCCGGTAAGGAGACCACTACACTCATCCCTGGCGCATCAACGTTCGATTCAGCCGAGTCCTTCAGCATGATTCGCGGCGGACACGTAAACGTCTCGATCCTAGGTGCGCTGCAAGTCAGTGCGGCAGGCGACCTCGCCAATTACATGATCCCCGGGAAAGTGTTCAAGGGCATGGGAGGAGCAATGGACCTGGTGTCGAATCCGGACTCGACGAAGATTGTGGTAGCAACGGAGCATGTGGCGAAGGATGGTTCGAGTAAGATCGTGCAGAGCTGTACGCTGCCTTTGACGGGGGCGAAGGTTGTGAGCACGATTATTACGGACTTGGTGAGTAGCTCAGGAAAGGCTGCTGAAATCGAGGAGCGCTGGCTGACAGATGATCAAGTGCGTCTTCGAAGTCGATAGGAAAAATGGTGGATTGACCCTGACAGAAATCGCTCCTGGAGTTACGGTGGAGAAAGTTAGGAGCAAGACGGATGCCGAGTTTTCTGTGGCTGAGGATCTGAAATTGATGGAATAAGTCTCGAGAGGGATAACCGACCGCGTAAGGAGCAATACAGTAACCAGTTGGGTATCCTATCGCTCTAGGAAGTATATACCATGATAAAAATCTACATCAAATATCCCCTCACAACTTACTCTCCCTCTTCTGTCCCTCCCACCTAGCAAACCCTCCCTCCTCCCCAATCGCCCCAGCAATCTCATCCACACACCTCAACAACCATTCACACCCCTCATCCTCCGCAAGCTTCTCAATACCTTCCATCCCCTCCTCCCCCAAACTCCTCCCCCAGCCCATGCACTCCCTGCTCAACCGCCTTCCGCAACCCGAAAACATGCGACAGCACCTGTGGTCCGACTCCCGTCTGCGCCCTGAGACACGCAATCGCCACTACGCTCGTCAATGCCCTCCCAACTCTACCCAGCGCCCGACCCGGCTCAGGATCAGAGAGCAAAGGCCCGTAGTGTGAACTCAGGATGTGTACTGGCAGATCGGGGTGGGAATCCGCCAGCTTGGTTTCCAGCTTTGCGTCGAATGGGGTGTACACGCTGTGCCAGAGGTTCCGGCCGCGGGCGGCGACGGCGACAGCGTTGGAGGGGGTAACGGTGCGAGTGGGGGTTGTGGACAGTTGGGAGGTGATGGAGGGGGACAGGCCAGCTTTAAAGGCGCCGAGGCAGTTGATAGTGCGGGGGATGCCGTTGAAGGAGATGCATTTGAGGCCTATTTCGCGGATCAACTCCGCTGCGGCGAGGGGGGACAAGGGAGTGGTGTCCGGCGGAGGGTTGGTGGTTGCTACGTCGTGGAGGATAAGCAGGGATGCGGGGGAGTTGAGGGTGAATGTTGCGGCGGCCTGGATGTTGGTAAGTAAGGTGATACCGAGAAAAATGGGAGACAGCAAAACGTACCGAGAGAGCGATCCAAGGCCTCTCACCATACCGGCGCTCGCGGGCCTCGCGGGCGATGCGGGCGTAGATGTCGCGGATTTGGCGCGGGGCAGGGGCCTGGCCCGGGCGGGCAAAAGGCGCGTTGATGAGCGCCTTGAGCGACGGTGAGAGCTTCGACATGTCTTTGTCGTTGGCCTTGGTGCGCTTGTCTTTTTTCTGCCTGACTAGCGGGCCGTTGTGTGTAGGCTTCTTTGTTGCACTCTCGGCTCCCGGCATTGGTGAGTGGGACAAGGGAATGGCTCCGAGTCAAGCAGCAAAAAATATGAAATTATACGAAACGTGATCTTCCTTCGCGTCACGCCAGATGCTCAATCACCGACAGGTAATCACGGGTGCTAGATCTGAGTTTCGAGATCGAGACATCAATTGTCTATCTACAAGAGAAGAGGCACAAGAACTAAAACACCGTCCCTTTCCACACTTCAAACCACAAGTTCCTCCAATCAAACTATCCGCCCTTCGGCACGGCTCGGTCCTCCCACGGCCCTAGATCCGCTCCAACCGGCGCCTTACCTAGGCCACGAGGCGACGAAATGTCAACGACTCCAGTTTTGCTGCACAGCAGACCCCGCCCCGCGCGAACGGGACTGCCAGGGACGGCCAAGGGGCCTGGGCATCGCAGGGACATGGGATGACGCAGACAGACGCGGTGCCGAGGAAGTTGGAGATGCGTGGCAGGAATTGTGGGGGAGTGTGGAGAAGTGGGCCCATCGCAGACCAGATAATTGTCCGAACCCCCCCGTAAAAGGCTTGGTAGGCATAGGACGAAGGGGAAGTAAGGGTTAGGGTTGTCTTACTCTTGACTGAAGGGTTAACGAAGGAAGAGGGTTGGTTGGGGAGAGGAACAGTCGGATCTTGATGTATGGTTGAGATGTCGTCAATTGAGTAGCATAATCCTAAGTATCCACCATGTTTTATGGATGGATGCAGCTTGCGTGGTGTCGGATGTTCTTCTGCCCAATCAATTCCGTGTGAGCGCCTTGGTCGGCGATTTTACACACTCCAAACGCTCCGTATGTTCATACAACTGGTGAAATTGTAGAAACTGGTATCTACATGTAGGCTCCGTAGGGACACACTTTTGGGTCCTGAAACCCGCGTGCTGAACAGTTAAAAGGTAAGCTGCGAGACGGTGAGCGAAAATATGAACAACAATTCGTTTCCAAGTACAATTTAGGCGTCCCAACTCTTCCCAACAAAGGGATCTCTTTTCGATGTCTTCGATATTCAATTTCTCAATATGGACGATAAGCAGATGTATAAACCGTTTCCAATTAGTTGCTTATAAGCTGTCTGCGAAGAGCAGGCATACTATCCAAAGCCTTTCAGGAAGTTTGGGTTTCGACTCAGGATGATGCCAGCGTTAATGGTCGAAGCTCGCTGAGCCGTTGGAAGAACAACAAGAACGTGGTGGATAAGTCACACACAGGTGAGTGGCCAGAGCTGATTTAACTCATGACCAAAGGCGAATAGACCATTCTGGTGCCTGAATGGTCCAGAACGATTCGTACTAGCCGAGAGGTTGCCTTTTGCTGACACGATAACGGTGATGGGGAACCCATGAACAATGCAGTCTCGAAGAGAGACAAGCAAGCTTCCTGGATCAGCAGTAAAGCCGTGTCCAATGAGGATCCTCTTAACTTAGCAAGATGACGAGCCTTAGTTAGGTTGACGTTAGGAGCTGAGCTCTCATCCGGACTGGAAGCGGGTTCCCCAGCTGGAGGACACAACCTGGCTTATGTGCCCGTTCCGTGCCCATCCCAGCGTGTGGATCGGTTGATTCATCATCACCATTGCAGCAAAAGAAGCTCAAGTCCCAAAATTTGGCAAATTTGACCAATTCAACCAATCCAACGCAGCCGCATCATCCCAGGGATACATGCTCAGCGCCGGGTCAAACTCAGTGTTCACCCTGCTCAGCGCCTCAACAATCTGGTCATCCGACATAGACGAGAACTGGACCGGTTCTGTCCACAACGGCGGCTCCAAGAATCCCGAGACAGGAGGGTTGGGGGGAAGCGGATCGGTCATGCCGAACGGTGGCCGTGCATGACTGTGCCGCGAGTAAGGCGTTGTAGGGGTATGATGGTGCGAGAGAGGTTCCGGATTTGGCCCTGCACTGGGCCGGACCGGGGGCTCAGCGGACGAAGACGTTGCTGCGGCCACCTTCTTGACGATGTACTTGAGGTACTTGCCGTACAGGGTTGACATGCCGTTGCGGTGTTCGGTGAAGGAGCCGATGCGCTCCAGGACCTCTGCAGTCTCTTCGATGAGGGTCCGTACGCTTGGGGCGAGGTTGGAGTTACCCGTGAATTGACCGCTCAGGCGAAGTGCAAAGCAGGCGGCGAAGGAGATCATGATGGCCGTGTTGTTGGGCATACTGGAGAGCTGTCCTTCGCCTTGGATGGCAGCGCGCATCACGTTGAGTGCAGAGGAAAGGCCTGCTGCATGGAAGAAGTGACGGACCTCTGTAGGAGCGGTTGGATGGTTGATTACGCTGCTGTAGATGGATAGGCGTGTGTGAGTAACGAGGATCTGGACATAGGGCGGCAGGCGATGTTCTACGTGCCGTCAGTTTAGATCCTTCCGAGGTAAGGGAGTCACGATCGCTGGACTCACGTGGACCAGTGCCAATTGAGACGCCCCATTTAGCATGCCATTCGTCAAAGAACTTTTCTACCATCATCTGGATCCTGACATAAGGTTAGACAGCATGGCCGAAAATCAGGGGTTAGGGAAAGGAACGTACTGCCTTGCAACCACTGCACCATCAGTTCGTCCGTCCCTAGATTCATCGCAAAGAGACCTGATGGACGCAAAGAGATCATCCTGTTACGGTCAGTGGCTAGAAGCATCTCTGCTAGGTGTCAACACACACCAGATCCCTACGAAGAACAGCCATAGACACCAAATGGCCATCCATAGTATCGGCAATGTTCGACAGATGCCATTGATCACATCCCTTGAGGATAGGGGTAATTGGCACGGTATAGCATCGGCCCCTAGCCAAGCACATCCTATGAACACTCAGCCTTGCTCGATCACAGCTTTTCATGTTTGTCGCGTAACGATTCAACTTACCCCCTTTCCAGTACGAACAGGGCAATCCAGCACCGCTCTCTCCTCCTTAACAACCGTAACCCATACTCCGAGCCTGGCTCGACATCCGCAAACCCGTCCATCGCCAGAGCGACCTTTGGATCAATGCAGTCCGCCCGAGCAATAGCGCCTACCCCACCTCTCCCAGCAGCACCGTCCCTTAAGGATGATACCGGCACCAGGATCTTATGTAGCGACAGATCCAGAGCCATGGTCGTCGCCATAGACACATACCAACACGTTTCATCATCAGTACTGTGCTTTCCGGGAAACATCCAAGGCACGTTGACCATGAAAGCCAGGACAATCTCGACAGAGCGATAGCGGTCTACCATGATGCGGTTGACGAGGGTCTTGCAGTGGTTAGACAGGCGGCGGGAGAGGGCTCTGGCGTGGGGTAGGAAGAGAGATGCAGCAGCAGCTATGGAGGTAAAGAGAAAGGCCGAACGGGATCGTGTCCAAGCGGCCGTGTAGAGGACTGGGTCGAGACCCCAGCGTGTGTGTGCAAGGTTGGTGTGGAAGCTGGGACGTTAATACATCGGTCCCTTAACGGGACGATCTAGGAGAGTGTGTGGCGACTTACAAGTTGAACAGCGTTTCCGCTTCTTCCATCGTGATCAGGCCGAGATTCACGGGATCAAGGTCTGGCCCGATATCAAGGCTGAATTGAGTCAATTTGAAGAACTTCGCTACCTCCGAGATTTTCTCCTCTTGTTTGCTCTGGCGCGATCGCTGACGGGACATTGACTCCCGCATTGTGAGATCCATTCCAGGTTTTGGCGATACATGGAGGTCCGAAGCACGAGCAAGCAACTGGAGAGGGTTCTCGGCATCATCAACGGCCAAGCTCTCTTCGGGAACATGACCCTGGGAGGGAGTAGACTCCTGAGGTAAGCTGATGACATCCTGCTCCGACGAAGAGCTGTCGCCGGTATCCGACGAGACATCGGGGAGCAGAATGTCGTGATCACTCTGTCGAGATGCTCCTCGAGTATGGTCAGAGGAAATCGGCCCATGATGGTTTTCACTCGCCTTAAGGCGTGTAGAAACATGCACACCGTTTCCTAGAGGACCGTTCAGGGATGGCAGTGAACCCCCTTGATTGCCCTGGCCAGAGGCGATGATAGCTTTCAAATCCGACACAATCTTTGTCGCTTCCACGCCGGGACCGCATCGGCGTAGGGCCTGCTCTACCTGGTGCAGTGCCTTTTCGAGACCGGTACGCTTGCTGTGGGTTGAATGGATAAGTTAGTTCCCATTTCGTGATGATCCGAAGATACCTAAAGAAGCCTGACTTTTTCACTCCCTTGCGACGACCAACATGGAAATCTGGACGGATGCATTGAACACCCAGTTGCAGGCAACGGTGACAACGATCATCACTACCGCCGCGGCCCTTTTCACATTTGATCTTGGATCGGCGGCAGACGAGACAGGCAGCGGCTCGGCGGCTGTTCTGATCGCGGGGCGGATCACCAGGGGCACGAACCACTACGGTGTCGGCAATCTGGGCAGCCCTGCCGTCCGGCTGTACCGGCTGCTGAGCCGGCTGCGGCGGCGGCGCAGTCGTCGGGGCGGAGGGAACGGTGCTGTCTGGCCGGTCCATCGCTTCGGCGATTACACACCTAAGCAGCCGGACACACCACGGTGTGGTGGCTGCCGTCGGCGTGATGTACACCTTTTGTAAGGACGGGGTCAGTGGATGGATCAAGCCCGTGACTGCTGTAAGCCGTGTGGTGGTGCTGCGGGGACGGACTTGGGGGAAGTTTGGTGGGGTACGGGATAGGTGGGCTGGCACCGCCGGCTGCTGACGCTCTGTGTTGCTGGTGGTCGGCACACAGGATGCTGGCCACTGCTTGCTACCTTAGCTCCTGGTTGCTGCTGTGGAGCGTGTGCTTGTCACTAGCAGGGATGGTTCTCAGTTGCCGGAAATCCAATCGGCAGCTGTTGATGTTCCTGGCTTCGCGCAACGGGACTTTGACAGTGATGGGGCCGTCGGTTCTAAGCGGGCTTCTCTCGACAACGGCATATATTGTGCCCGTGTAAGCAGGACGTGGTCGGGAAATACAATTCATTCAATTCATATCGTACCGGCCTGCCCGCGTCTGTAATTGAACGACAGATGCATCGGTCGGGATTGTTGCTCTTTTTCTAGAACAACGACATTAGATGCAGGCGGATGGCTGCCCCTGATATCTTTCTCTGCCATCGAGTTCGTTGACTGCACCATCCACATCAGCCCCGGCATCCTACCCTCCGTCGTGCAAATGACCCGTCGTACATACGCAGCTTCTAGGATGCATCGTACGCTGTTTAAATTCCTGCAGTGACGACTTGGGATTTTACCCGCGGCGCTGTCGTCCACGAGGATATCCATTCGGTTTATCCCGACTTGGCTACACCACATTTTTGGATATTTAGCGGAAATGTGTCGCTCGGGGAATTTTGCCTATCCAAGATTCAGTTCGATCACGTTCAGCCACAAGCTACGGCCGTCAAATCGTTGTACTCCAGATAGCTCCGTATCGTGCAGGGTGTGGCATTGAGTAGATCCATCATTTGAGCCGTGATCGGTCACTCCACGTCGCCGTAACTGAAGAAAACATCCAGGAGACAACGATGGCTTCTCTAACTCCTGCATCGAGGAGTTTAGAGAGACATGAGGTTTCTTGCTCTAGACGACCTCATCAGCCAGGCACTTGCAACATACCCGACGAGTGACAAGAATCCGCAGAGCGTTGAGCCAATTTGATTGCCAAGGATTGTAGATGTCAGTTGTCTTTGCCTCGATACATATTGCCGCTAACTTCACGTCGTCGGAAGGTGCTCTCTCCGAGGGGAGGTCGCATTGGTGTCTTTGTTCTGGTGCTTACTGAGCCGCTTTAGGTTCTTGGGGTCATGTTGTAAGTCGTCTGTAATCCCTTGAAATGTGGTGTCAAGTAACGCATGCAACGTTTGCGAGACAGAAACCTGAAAGCAGTCGAGGATGGAAAACCTGAGTGAAGCATGTGACTGGAAATTTGTTGTCTCATCGCATTGTGAGTTTTCGGCCCTTTATTCGCTGGAAGGCCGAGATATGATTGTGGGTCTCATGCCTCAGCCCTTTGTTTTTTTGTGGGACAGCCATGTTGTGATTGTGGGGGAGGTGGGGCGGGCAGCCTGGACGCGGTTCCAGCCCTGTGGTTGGGCGGACACGCAGACGCGGTTGCTGAAGCTCTCGCGTTTCTTCGCGTTCCAATTAAAAGTGAACTGGCCCACCGCCTATCATCAGCATCAGCTCCAAGTGAGCTGCTTTAGCATCAACCACCGTTCTCAACTAGCATTTCTTTGTGGTTTTTGTTAATCCAAAAAAAAAGTTCATTGATTTTTTTTGGCAGGACTCGACCATGGGAGAAAAAACGGCTGCCGCGGCCCGTACGCCGGCGAAACCAACGTCTGCGGCAAAGAAAACGGGAACAGCGCCGTCGACAGGTAAAGGCAAGCAGCAGAGCATCCTCGGCTTCTTCACGAGGACTCCTGCTCCTGGAAGCAGTAAGGGTGTCAATTCGTCGCCTTTCACACAGCAGTCTTCCTCGGCCAAGCGGGACGAGTCCTCCTCAACCCCAACCGCTCGCCAAACCCTCAAAGAAAGTACCAAAGGCAACCTGCTCTCATCGCGTCCCACCAACAACACGTCCGTGCCTTGCAGCGATGTTGTTGAGCCCACCAGCTCCCAAGAGAATCGTGAAACTAGCACTGCAAAGGTGGATATTACTTCCGAGTTTCCTCCTGCCATCACACCTGCTGAGATCCTACAGATGCAGCCTGCCTCTTCGGCAGCGGTACCACAAAGCAGTCCATCCCGCAAGGTTTGTTGCTTGTTCTTGCGCACAATCTTTCTCGTTTGCTGATTTTGAGCAGGTCAAAAAAGTTGTTAACTATGCCGAGTCCTCTGACGACGACGTCGACGAGCTGTTCGCCGCTATGAAGGCCAGGAAATCTAGAGGCCGCCGCTCGCGCACTGCCGTCCCTGACGACGATGAAGACGATGCCTATGTGACAGAGGAAAATGATGAAGAGGACGAAGATGGTAGCCCCCCTTCATATCTCCTTAACCGCACAAACGAAGGCTAACTATTTGTTGCAGATAACCTTTCTGATTTCGTCGTCTCGGACGACTCAGATGCCCCTTCAAAATCTAAAAAGAGAAAGCGCCCTGCTTCCAAGGCAACGGCCCCACGCAAAAAGGCGAATCTCTCTTCCTCTCCAGGCCCAAGCTTCCCTCCTCCAGAGGATGAAGATGACGAAGAGATGTTGGACATCCCGTCATCGACTTCTACTGCCCAGCAGTGGAAGTATGACCCGGATAACATTCAGCCAAGAGACCCAGACTCTCGGCCCCCGTTGCCCACTTCGAAGTCATCCGGCCCCAAGCCAAAACCGAAGCCGCACATGAAGGAGCCTGAGGAAAGGTACCCATGGCTAGCCAACATTCTTGATGCTAACAAGAACCCGCCTGGGCATCCGGACTATGACCCAAGTACGCTGTATATCCCTCCTTCAGCGGAGAGAAACTTTTCTCCCTTCGAAAAGCAGTATTGGGAGATCAAGAAGAACCTCTGGGATACAGTCGTCTTCTTCAAGAAAGGCAAATTCTACGAACTTTATGAGAATGATGCCACCATTGGTCATCAGCTGTTCGACCTGAAGCTCACTGATCGTGTCAACATGCGCATGGTTGGTGTTCCCGAGGGTTCACTCGACATGTGGATCAATCAGTTCGTGGCCAAGGGGTACAAGGTCGCTCGTGTCGACCAGATGGAGTCGTTGCTTGGCAAGGAGATGCGTGAGCGTGACTCGAATGTCAAGAAGGTCGATAAGGTCATTCGCCGTGAGCTCACATGCATTCTCACCGCTGGCACTCTGGTCGAGGGTAGCATGCTCCAGGACGACATGGCCACATATTGTGCCGCCATCAAGGAGGTGATGATAGACGACAAGCCGTCCTTTGGTGTTGCTTTTGTCGACGCTGCCACTGGCCAGTTTTGGCTGTCAGAGTTCGAGGACGATGTCGAGCTCACCCGATTCGAGACATTTGTTGCTCAGATTTCGCCTCGTGAGCTGCTCCTAGAGAAGTCGCGCTTGTCTACTAAGGCATTGCGCATTCTTAAAGGCAATACCAGCCCGACGACAATTTGGAACTACCTCAAGCCTGGAACTGAATTCTGGGATGCTGATATGACCAGGCGAGAGCTCGAATGCAGCGATTATTTCAAGGCTGAGGATGGCAAGGACAAATGGCCAGATAAACTCTGTGAGATGAAGGACAAAGATCTGGCTATGTCCGCTCTTGGTGGCCTCACACATTATCTACGTTTCCTCAAGTTGGACAGCAGCCTACTCTCTCAGGGCAACTTCGAACGGTACAATCCTATCCATCGCAACGGTACGCTGATCCTGGATGGGCAGACCCTCATCAACCTCGAAATCTTCGCCAACACTGCCAACGGTGGCCCCGAGGGCACACTGCATAACTTGCTCAACAGGTGCATCACGCCGTTTGGCAAGCGTCTATTCCGCCAATGGGTCTGCCATCCCCTTTGCAACATTCAAAAGATCAACGAAAGGTTGGATGCCGTTGAGATGCTCAATGCGGATCAGAGCATCCTTCGGCAGTTCACCTCGCAGATGGCTAAGATGCCGGACCTCGAGCGACTTATCTCTCGTATTCATGCCGGCGCCTGCAGGCCCGATGACTTTGTTCGTGTCCTTGAGGGTTTCGAACAGATTGACTACACGATGTCGCTTCTGGGTGCATTCGCCGGTGGCAACGGCCTGGTTGACCGGCTCATTGCCGCCATGCCCAACCTCAAGGAACCTTTGGCGTACTGGGAGAACGCATTTGACAAGAAGAAGGCGAAAGAGGAGAAGGTGTTCATCCCTGAGCGTGGTGTCGACGAGGACTTCGACCGTACTGCAGACGAGATCGAGCGCATCAAAGATGAACTTAACTCTCTTCTTGAGAAGCAGAAGGCCGCCCTGAAGTGCAAGACACTCAAGTTCACTGATGTCGGCAAGGAAATCTACCAGATTGAGGTACCCAAGTCTGTGAAGGTCCCTTCAAGCTGGCGGCAGATGTCTGCCACCTCGTCCGTCAAGCGGTACTACTTCCGCGAATTGGAAAATCTCATCCGGGAGCTCCAGGAAGCCGAAGAGATTCATTCTCAGGTTACCAAGGACGTCGCCTCTAATTTCTTCAAAAAGTTTGACGCCAACTACGACATTTGGCTGCAGGCCATTCGGATTATTGCCCAGCTTGATTGCCTAATCAGCTTGGCCAAGTCATCTTCTGCCCTGGGCGTTCCCAGCTGTCGTCCAGTATTTGTCGATGACGAGCGCAGTGTTATCGAGTTCAAAGAGTTGCGGCATCCTTGCATGATCAACACTGTTGCCGACTTCATCCCCAATGACATCAAGCTGGGAGGCGATGAGGCCAAGATCAACCTTCTCACAGGCGCGAACGCAGCCGGCAAATCTACAATTCTCCGTATGGTAAGTTTGACTCCTTCTCAACTGCACGTGGCGGGGTTCACTAATTATGCTTCCCGTTGTAAGACCTGCATTGCTGTCATCATGGCCCAAATCGGCTGCTTTGTCCCAGCAGAGTCAGCCCGCCTGACCCCTGTAGACCGCATCATGTCGCGCCTGGGCGCCAATGACAACATCTTCGCCGCCCAATCCACCTTCTTCGTCGAGCTCTCCGAGACAAAGAAGATCCTTTCCGAAGCAACACCCCGCTCTCTCGTCATCCTCGACGAGCTTGGCCGCGGCACATCATCCTACGATGGCGTTGCCGTAGCCCAGGCCGTCCTGCACCACGTGGCCTCGCATATCGGCTGTGTCGGCTTCTTCGCTACCCACTACCACAGCTTGGCAGCCGAGTTTGCCCACCACCCGGAGGTGCGCGCCCGCCGTATGCAGATCGCTGTTGATGAGAAGGAACGCCGCGTTACTTTTCTGTACAAGCTCGAGGACGGGGTTGCGGAGGGCTCGTTTGGCATGCATTGTGCCAGTATGTGCGGGATTCCGAAGAAGGTTGTGGACCGTGCCGAGGTGGCAGCTAAGGAGTGGGAGCATACTAGTCGGTTGAAAGAGAGCTTGGAGAAGGCCAAGACTGGGTGCTATATCCCACTTGGCATCTTGAGCGATGTGGCTTGCTTGTTGAGGGATGGTGGGGAGCAGGAGGTTCCCGAGAGGGCAATGGATGTGTTGTTGCGGGCTATTGAGGCTCTTTGAAGATGTGGGAGTGGGTTATTTTGCTGATCACTTAGCGACTTCGCCACTGATAGCATGTTTGCTTCCCTTGATTTGCTGATAAAGGTGGTTGGTGGGATTTAGAGTTGGGAAGAGTGTGTATGGCTCTGTTTAGGGCTCACAATGACTATTGCCGCGCACATACCTAGCTGGGATGTATTAATTGCCAGATGGTCTATTATGATGGTGTGTCTTAATTCATCATGCAGAGTATTTGGCCATTGTTGGAACTGTTTAGTCTTCCTTATTGCGTGCATTGGTCCAGCACAAGAAAGCAGGAAACATGAAGCGGGCCAAGATATGAACTGCTGAGTCACACCCTTGAGCTCAACCAAAACACCCTCCCCCCTTTTGCTATGACACTTTGCAGAAGTATTAGCAAGGCTTATCATGCAACATGTAGAAAGCATAAAGGCAACTATGATGAGGAGTGAATTATGCACTAGAGTACTTTTCAAACACATGAACTCTACCAGAATTCCCATGCCAATTCGGATAGTGATCGCAACGAGCCAAAAGTAGTAACAAACAAGACTTTTACAAAGGACTATCGCACTTGTAGTATAGATTCCCCATGATCCCAAGAGCACATCTAACAATCGATGTTCATTTAATGTACTCTATTTATCTCTCTTTACCTCTCATCGCTTTTCTACCCTTGGAAACATCGGTGACAGTCAACCTCCTATAAACACTCTGGCATCGCTAGTAAACTGACCCCAACACATAAGAATTGCTTGCCTTCCAGAGACTGCGTAGCGCAACCGCCCTCTCCACCGCGGCTATTGATACTATAAGGATCTAGAAGATCCATACTGTTTGAGCCAACGTTACCGGTATGGAAAGAGCTTCTTGGGCTTGGGTTTGAGGACTTGCTGAAGTTGAATGTGGATGTATCGATGACAGAAATGAGGAAGTGCTCTTGTCTTGGCTGACGGAGGGCGACATCTTGGCGCTGAGTTTATGATGTAATTGGCGGTGTAATTGGTGTTCGTTAACTGGAGTCCGATCAGTTATTGTTGGCATATTGTGCTGCCCTGGTAGAAGATGTCAAACATGCATCTGGGAAAATCATGATTTATTAGGTGCCTTCCAGTTGTCATATTCATCGTCAACTCCATGTGCTTCATTACAACTGTCACATTTCAAAAAAAACCATACAGTTTGTCATTCAGTTGATTTGAAGATACTGTGCGACAAGTTTAGAGAGATAGTACAATGAAACTGTTACCTATGTACTGGAAAGGTAGATTTTAATTTATCCAAATCCAGTAGTACCCAACATATAGACCGAAGCATTGCGGTTTAACATTCATATTCATGATTCCAGAACAGTTTTCTTGTTGCTTTTGAAGTTCAAGGTACCTGAAGAGCTGAAACAATGGTATTGTGCTCCTCACCAATAGACGCACCAAACAGGTGCGCATGAGCTGGTAAGTCCTAGGAGCCTTTGCGCTTTGCTGCATAACTCAACCCCACGCACTTGATGTTCTATAACTCTCCGCTTTTTTAAAATCTTTAACTCCCGTTGGGAGCCTCGTGTAACCCATAAGTCTCTTCGTATCCAAGTTCATGATATCTCATGTAATACAGCAAAACGTACTAGTGCTATCTCCAAACTCCGTCTCAATCATGCAAAGTGAGAAATTGAGCTTTAGAGTTTGATATTCTTTGGTTTGTTGCACAGTAGGCTTGGAAATTGATGATAAGGGTGATTGAGCATATTGATGTTACAAAGTGTCGAGTCCATGATGTGCGACGGTCAGTGTAAACATTAAAGTTCTAGGTAACACACAGATTTATGAAGTTCCCAGCGTGCAAGCACAACACAGTTGAGTGTAACAATCTGATCGGATCTGATCGGTCTTTGGCACTGCACATGGTAGCACAAGATTGAACGCAGTTGGGAAATGTACTTATCTTGGGCATGTTGGTGAGGATTGAAAGACCCAACCACCATGAGTAAGGTGGCAAATCCCAAAAGCGATAACTTCTTATGTAATATATATTGGATTCCGACTCTTCCTCCAATCCTCGTGACTCTATGGCATGGTATTGGATGTCTTGGCAGAACTAGCGGTGATGACAAGCTTTGGAATGCAAGGACGGGATTGCCCGAGCAACTCGCCGTGGTTCCATCGAGTCAAAATGCATGCAATGTTAGATATGAAGCAGGCTCACCAGAAGAAGATTGTGTAAGTTGGACGGCAACGTCAACACTGAACTACTACTTGCGTTATCTTGTGGAATATAAAGTGGGTAGCACGATGCCAAGAGTGCAGCAGAATCCATGGTGCCAGCCGACGGATGCAACAATGGAGGCTACCGTTGGTGATGCGTATAGATAGATATCAGAGTATAAAGTAAATTGTCAAGTTTCTCAGTTGCTGGCATCTTAATATCACCGCCGTTGACCCCTGACGGCATGGCGATGGAGACAACGCGATCGACCGGTTGCCGTCGGCAGCGGAACCGTGCCAAGACGGAAGTCCCAGGCTTGCTGAAGAACCCGGAGGGACTAGAAGACGTTAGAACGGCGCTAGTTTGCCCACCGGTTCGGGCCTTGTCCAGCAGTAACAAGTGGAGAAGCTCTTCGAAGATTTTTTTTTTCGACCAACTGACCGTCCCTGTTTCTTAAACTCTTGTCTTCCCATCTCGTCGGGCACTCCAAGAGGAGAGATGCCGGTCGAATTGTTGTCTTTCTAAGTTCAGACAGACATTAAAGGACCCAAAAAAGCCCATCTACTTTCTTCATTCCACTTCGCGGACTCACCTGATCTTGGTGACGCCGGACCGAAAAGTGACAAAACAGGACCCGGGCCGAGCGTCTGCCGAGTCCACCCGGGAGCGTGGATCATCTAATCCCGTCCAGACACGATCCCAGCTCAGTGTCATGATGACACCTAGAGACAGCGACAGCAGCTACACTGCCACGGCAGCCTCCAAACTCTCACTCCCAGTTTATAATACAGACCCCGAAAAGCAACTTGAACTGGACTACGAAAAACCCAGGTCAAAAAGTGGCGCGCCCATTACCCACAACCCCAACTCCTCCAGCGACACCACATCTACCCCGCACAGCCAACTAGACACGGATCGTGACTTCGAGACAACATCCTTTCACCGCAACCACGATGGCAATGTCCCTCTTTCTAATGAAAAAAGGGAAGGCGACCCCGGAGATCCCCCCGGTCTTGGGTCTAACCCCCTGACCCTTCACCCCTCCACTGCGCCAACCACTGCCAGCACGATTGACTTTCCCGAGGGCGGCGTGACAGGATGGCTGGTGGTATTTGGGTCGTTTTGTGCTATGTTGTCGCTGTACGGGTTGATCAATTCCGCTGCGGTGTTTGAGTCGTGGTTCGAGACGCATCAGCTGAAGGAGCACACGCCGAGTGAAATTGGCTGGGTGTTTAGTCTTTATTTGTTCATTGTGTTCTTTGTAGGTATCCAGATCGGGCCAATATTTGATCGGTTTGGGGCTAGGGTGTTGGTGGCGGGAGGGTGTTTGATGATTTTTGGGAGTCTGTTGCTGTTGAGCTGGTGTGAAGGTACGTCGTTCTTGCCCCTGGTAGTGCCTGGCTTGCGACCATGGCTAACTTCAGTGTTTAGAATACTATCAAATCATCCTCACCTACGCTGTCATGGGAGGCCTAGGCGGCGCACTTCTCAACTCACCCGCCTATGGTTCCATCGCGCATTTCTTCAACCGCCGTCGAGGTCTTGCCACCGGTATTGCCACCACAGCCGGCGGTGTCGGTGGTGTCATCTTCCCGATCCTCCTGCGCGAGCTGCTCCCTAGTGTTGGCTTCGCCTGGAGCTGCCGCATCCTCGCCTTCATCATGCTTGGGCTTGCCGTCCCTTGCAATCTCTTCATCAAAACGCGACTGACACCTTCCAAGGGCCATGTCCAGTCCGTCTGGCCCGACCTTACCGTTTTTAAAGACGCCCGCTTTGCCTTTGCTTCGCTGGGTATCTTCTTCATGGAGTGGGGATTATTCGTCCCGCTTACGTTCATCGTGTCCTATGCTGCCGCCCATGGCCGGGACGAGACCGAGAGTTACCTGCTCCTCTCGTACCTGAACGCCGGCTCTGTTCTGGGTCGGGTGCTTCCCGGATTTGTTTCGGACCACTTTGGCCGGTTCAATATCATTATCTTGACGATCGCGTTGTGCGTTATCACAGTCCTCGCTCTCTGGTTGCCTGCGCATGGTTCCCAGCCCATGCTCATTGCCTATTCCGTTCTGTTTGGGTTCGCCAGTGGTAGCAATCTGGGTCTGGTGCCCGTGTGTCTTGGACAGCTCTGCGATCATCGCAAGTTTGGCCGGATGTACACCACTGCCATGATGGTGGCCAGCTTCGGCACTCTCACAAGTCTACCCATTGCTGGTGCGATTGTAGACACCAAAGATGGATGGGACTATTTGATCATTTTTGCAGGCATTTCGTATGTCGTCGCGCTGATTTGCTACGTGGCAGCCCGCGTTCTTGCAGTTGGATGGAGTCCACGAACAATCTTTTAAAAGGTGTGACAGTAGCCTGAGGTCTCAACGCAGCACAGAAAAATTGGATAGAGGCACCATAGAGGAATTTGTGTAGTGCTTGTGTATGGGTATAATAAGATCAAAACGACCGTACGTACTAATGACTAGATGAGTGCATGTAACCTATAATGATAAAAGATTTGAGTTAGTGGATCTCCAAGAAACGTTCTCATAAATTGTAGACGACTATCAGCGCTCAGGCTCTACCCTCCATTCGGGCAACCTGTCCAACAAGCTCCGTTACCGTCTCCTTGAGGCTTCTGTACGTCAACCCAAGCTCTTTAGCCGCTGTCTCCCCATCCAGCCCGTAAGACTCATCAATCTCCTGGTCTCCCTCTTGAGCCCCTTCGGCCCATTCAAACTCCCCTTTCACGATCTTAACCGCCAACCCATACGAGAACCTCTCCGGCGCAGCAACAAGGAACCTCTTCCCCCCAGCCTCCGGTCTCAACAACGCCTCAACATGCGCCTTGGCCACATCCCTGACATCCACCCAGAAGGGCACCCTCGCAACTGGCAGCGGCTTCCCCTCAAGAGCACTCTCAACAGCCTTCCAGAGCGTCGCGTTCGTCTCATTCAGCTCTACAGCCTTTGACACCGGGTTTACGACCGGTCCAAACGTCATGGGCGGACAGATAGTCACAACATCAAACGCAGGCTTCCGCTCACGGACAACGTCCCATGCTGCGAGTTCGGCAAACTTCTTGCTCCCTCGATAGGCGATGACGGGACTAGTTGAGGGGTCTGCAGCTTCTTCGTAGGTTAAGGGATTCCAGTCCGCTGCAGTGTAGGTGAAGTATGGTGTGCTGGGGGCGTGGCGGTTGGAGTCGAGGATGGAAGCGAAGGAAGAAGTGATGACGATACGCCGAATGGGTGGAGAGGCTTCGGCTGCGGCTGAGAGCAAGGCGCGGACGCTGTTTATAGCGGGGAGGATGAGTTCACGTTCGTTGTTTGTTGCGGCGTAGTTGAGGGGCTGGGATGGGGTCAGCACTTGGAAGGGGCAAATGACATCCAGGGGTAGAAGGTAGGCAGCAGTACGCTTGCGGTGTGGATGATCCCATCAACCCCTTTGACTGCCTCGTCAAATATGCCTAAATCAGGGGTATCGTTCAGTTGTTCGAAGTCTCTGACTATTACGAAGTCAAGCATTTCGGAAAACTGTGGCCTAGCTTTGAGCATTGCTTCCCCCTTGGCTAAGGAACGAACAGCGCCGCGAACTCGTATTCCTCGGCGAAGCAGTTCATCGACGATATGAGCGCCGATGAAGCCTGTCGCTCCTGTGACGAGGACATGCTTGTACCTCCTTCGTAAAGTTAGTAATTTTGACTGAGCACTTTACCGACTTTCTCTTGCTCATACTTCAAATCTACCATTATGCTTTGCTAGGAATGTTTGTTACACTAGTACCTATCGTGAAGAAACAACAGACTGAGGGAGCGTAGGGCCACCAAGCGATATTGAAAGCGTGCGGGGTTTGGATTGCTGTGCATGCTGTGCTGTGCTATTCTTATAGGATAAACGTAGGACTAAATACCATTCAAAGAGGATGACAAACTGCCTATATCCGGCAGAACAGGTATATCAGAGGTTACAACAGAACTCAGCTGCAACCTTGATATTGCTCCGGGTTCTAGTTTTCTACCGAGAATGAACGACATAACCTGATATTTGGACGTTGTAATGGTGATAAATAGACATTATGCTCCTGAAATAGTTGCTACTGTCTCAAAATTGATCAAGACAGGAGGTTAGACCTGGATAAAACCACCAAGCTCGATCGCCGAAGTTGAAACTAAAGATTTAAGCATCCCACCTACCCTACGCCTGCACGGACCCTTGTCGAACCCCTGTCGGCTGAACGGTGCCCCACCGCGGGCGGTTGCATCTTGGGAATGACCCCGCCATCAATCAAGAAATTTCAGACCAGACATCACGAGGTACCTGAGATCACCAAAGACCTATCATCCCCAATCATGACGGCAGGCGAGCTATCCGTTGCGCCCATTCTTTCGACGCCGGCCGAAAACCTTTTCGAATATTCCGTCGCGACAGCCGAGAACGACGCGCAAATACCACCACGCTCCGACGATGAACTTTGCGACATCTACGAGATCGCCAGAACGGCGAAAGAGATCCGTGAGGGCAAGTGGAGAAGGATAGCTCTCCAATTTCCAGACTCTATGTTGAAAGATGCACCGCGGGTTGCCCAATTACTCGGCCAGGAGCTTGCCTCGCTTCCTAAGCCAGCAGACCACGACCAGTCAATTCCGCCAGAAAGGATACATATCCTTGCCGACACCTCCTACAGTTCGTGTTGTGTCGACGAGATCGCTGCTGAACACGTCCATGCAGATGTGGTAGTTCATTACGGACGGTCATGTTTGTCGCCGACCTGCCGACTGCCTGTCATCTACGTTTTTACACACCATCAGCTCGACCACGACCAGGTCCTGTCTGCTTTCGAGTTACAATACCCCGACAAAGAAGCTTGTGTTGTCTTGATGGCGGATGTCACCTACCAAGATCATGTCCCTTCTCTCGCAGCCGCTCTCCATGCCCGCGGCTATATCAACCTCCTATCCACAGCCATCATCCATGACCCAACTGGCACCATCCCGAACCGCAAACTGGTCTCCCCAGACCCTAGTGGCGATTCGAATGCACTAGCGCAACCAACCGTCAACCTTCAGTCCTACTCCGTCTTCCACATCTCATCGCCGCCAACGGCTCTCCTCCTCGCGCTTTCATCCCGCGTTCAATCCCTCCACATCTACCCGACCTCCACTTCGACCTCAACAATTTCTCCCGATGCCGCACCCCGGCTCCTCGGCCGCCGCTACGCCCGTGTTCTGACCCTTGCCAGCGCCGGCGTCATCGGAATTCTGGTCAATACTCTGTCCGTTGCGAACTACCTAACCGCTGTGGACAAGATCAGGAAACAGATCGCTGCGGCAGGCAAGAAGAGCTATACCGTTGTGGTGGGCAAGTTGAATGCCGCGAAGCTGGCAAACTTTGCTGAGATTGAGGGTTGGGTTGTCATCGGGTGCTGGGAGAGTGCGCTGGTTGAGGAAGATGGGCCGATGGGTGCAAGCGGAGGGCTATTCACGCCGGTTGTGACACCGTTTGAGTTAGAGGTGGCGCTAACGCCGGATGATAAACGGGTTTGGGGTGGCGAATGGTGGGGAGGGATTGAGAAACTAGGCAAGGCGGAGTCCGAGAATGACAGTGTAGAGGATGGGCAGGCAGATAAAGTTGATGAGGATGAAGACGAGTCGGTCCCGCCAGAGTTTGATCTCCGTACCGGGAAGCTGATTACTACCAGTCGGCCGATGCGGGAGAAGACGGTCAAGAGTGCGAAGGGGATAAGAGAACAATCGGTAGAAGAGGGTTCGCAGATAGGAGGAAGCAGTAGTGCGCTTACTCTTCGGGCCAAGGGTGATGTGACTAGAGTCAATGGTGTCATTAGCCCAGGTGCAGAGTATCTGCGCTCGCAGCGCACATGGCAGGGTCTGGGCAGTGACTTTACTCCTGACGAGGAGAGCACTGTTGTCGAGGAAGGACGGAGCGGTGTTGCAAGGGGGTATACGGTTGGTCCCAACAAAGAGAGGAGGTGAAGCGCATCTGTGGATTCCTATGAACTCAGGTTTATTTGTTTAATTATGTTTCTCGATGTTTTCCCGCCTGCTGTATATGAATGGGTGACTGCCACATTTCGTGGACGCCTGCGGTAATCTGGGTTTTGGTTGTCTTGGCAACGGCTAACTCGATGTTTACTTTCCCCTGAGTGGATCCTTACGTCCTTGAACGCTTCCCACTGCCAAGAGACATTCACTCGACCTCGTAAAGCCCGAAAATAGCGAAGATGATTTTTTTTAACATGGTCAATAAGCTGACTAAATTACTTTCCATATTATGTTTCTTTTAGATAGCCTTTTCCCCTTTCGATGCGAGAAAACCATAGTCCCCTGAGAGTCGTTAGTGCTTCAGCAGGGGTAACACAACCCTCCATACCGCCTTGTCGACTACACCTCATCCGGATACGATGCTTCTTCACTTTATTCTTCGTCATCTACTAGCGTTGTGGAGCCATCGCTAGAGTCAGAGTAGTTGAGCTCAATAGTGGGCACAATGAAAGTACTGTCAGCCATCGCCAGGACCGTAGTGGTCTCTACGGATATCAATCATCCTTCTCCATCATTAATCCTCCAGGTCTATGGGAGCCACGGGCTCTTTGGTCTTGTCTAGCAGGGTCGGCAGCGTGATACCTGTGGTATGTGCTAGCTTTCCTTATCCACCCTCCAACTTGCTTGCAGCACAGATGTCTTGGTGCTTACCTAACGCTCCATACATAAACTCTACGCATTTAGTTCAGTACTCCTCCAATGTCTTATGACGCTCCGTAGCGCAGTTAGGGTTTGAAAAGAGGAATTGGCATCCCAGGTTTCTCAGGATTGTCCTCCTTTGACCAGGCTAACCACTATACCCTCCATAAGCTCCGTCTCTAATGCTAGACCCGCATCCGCATAGGTAGTATGCTGTGGCACAGAACGGGGCGTGTTGACATTTGCATCACCTATGACGTAGCAGGTCAGGCAGTGTCCAAGTTTATGGAATGTTTTTGCAACCATGAAGAAGATATAAATGACTGCGCGCTCATCTTGAATTTTGCAGAACAATATTGAGAGCTGATATTGAAGAAGGTCTTCCAAGGCCGGAGGTCCCTAGATCGTGGGATAATTATTTATAAGAAAATGAATAGCCAACATCACTGATATTCCGGCCTTCGCGAAGAGTAGAAACAACAGTGAAACTGTCACTTCCCAGGGATAGTGCGAATTGCCATAAAATACCGCCAAATTAGTATGAAATGGAAAATGTTACTGAGAGCTATTATCGTGGTGCTCAGTATAAGAACATTATCTGATGTTGGATGTCGATAGCTAGATTTAAGTAGGAAGCAATAACAGTGTAAACATTGCCTTTTTGCTTGTGATGTATCATTGGTGTCACAGCAATTAGATGGTATATAAACATGCTAAGACCCAGCTATTCATGTTGCGAAGGTAGAGGCTATCTGAGGAACCAACTCTCAAAACTGAACATCTTATGGATGTCGCTGCTTCACAAAAGCTACAGGTGTTTAACCTGGTGTTTTGAAGGAAGGAATCAAAAAAACTACAGCCAAGACGGGTAGATATCCTGTTCCTTTATTCTCAGTTGCTGTGACATTCACATGAAAGCTTTGCAATGGCAATCATCATATCCCAAGGTTGATCCCCAGCAATTAACTCGGGTTCTTTGGGAGAGAATGGCAACTGCGTTCTACTGTATATCATAGTATCACCACAGCATACGACTCTAAGAATGGGTTGCTGGTACCGTCAACAAAGAGTCAATTCCAGGCAGCATAGGTAAAATGATCTATAGTTGCTCGTCAAAGTATACGAATCAACTCTTAAGATTCTCATAGTCCTGTTTTAGACGCTACCCATTTACGCTGGTAAGGAAATTCAAATTGCTTGCCCCCAACGCTGATCTTCGAGATATAACTTGTACTATCCAACTGATAGGATCATTTGCATCACAGACACTAGACTCTTCCAAACACCCACGCCCTAAAATCCATCATACCTCACCCCTACCAGCTTCGACATCTCTGCCCGAAGCCTCCCAAACTTCCCCATCCTCTCCCTCCTCCCCATTCCACGCCTGCATCTCCACGGCCTCTTCTTCAATCCCATTCTCTTGACCATCACTCCCGTTACTGTGTCTTAATCGACTCCTCATCCCCTCCCATGCCTCACCTACCCTCTCCTTCAGCGCTTTGATTATTTTAAACAACACATATCCCACAATCCACGCGATAATCGACCCCACCACGCCCAGCGATAGCCCCGAAATCACCGGGAAAATTGGGCTATGCTTGTAGCTCTTCCAGTGGCTTGTATTCCAATCTGTTGCAGACGGAGGCCATGGTTTTGTCTCACGAGCCGCAAGGAGGGCTTGGTCCTGTGCCGCTGCTGTGTGTAGCAAGGAGATTTTGCATGTTCGGGTAGGGTATGCGATGGTGATAATGGCGTTTTCATTATTGTGGTTTCTTTTGGGGATTGGGAGCGGTTTTGGTGGGTGGATCTCATCTGCTGTGAAGAGCTGCTGGCTGTTGGGGACTACGGTGGTTGCGGGCTGAGGATTGGTGCTGGACTTCCGATCAAGTACTGCGGCAACTGCGGGATTGGGCCGTTCATTTGCTGGAGATGGATGTTTGGGAACGGGAAGCTTGAAGGTCGTCAGTGTGCTGGTGACCTTAGGAACAGGATGGTCAGGATGGACGTAAGTGAGGAGGCGACCGTTTGGCTCGAGGTTTTCATCAACTGGAACTCCGATATCTTCAGCAGCAGGCTCGAGATAAGGATGTTGGTACTCATATAGGTGTGGCCGGGGAATGGGGGGAGGGCTCGATCTCGTATATGAAACAACTGTTGATAAGATAAAGAGTAAGAGAAGGCTAAAAGAAGGGGGAGTCTTTGAAAGCTTGACTCGTGGGTATTGAGAGTAATGAGGACCATCACTGGCCATTTTAGACCCAAAAATGGATACGATCATGAGATTAGATTAAGGACATTAGAGTATCTCTAAATTGAACGGTGTTAGCAAGCAACCCATTATGATTCTGGAGTGCTTGTTGATATTCCATTTAATAGATGGATGTTTCACTTCATTCAACCCCAAAGAGAGATGGGAAGGAGCAAGAGACGAGCTAAGAGTTTTGGTAAACTCAACAGGTAATAAATGGCAAAAATCCGGCTTATCCAAGTTATATGAACAGAGCGGCAAGTTTCCTTAGCAAATCTCGTCCTTGCCCAAGCTTACAGTCCAACGATGACAGCCCCAAGGGCAAAGGGCAACCCCACCCCCAGTCCAGTTAACCCAGTAGGCCTTGGCAAATAACCAGCAGCATTGTCTGAAGACCCAGCAACAGTGGGTGCGGCAGTCGCACTTGCGCCAGACGACGTGACCGGACACTCATCCGTGCATGGCAGGTAAGATGTGAAAGGGGTTGGCACCGATGTACCGGTCTGTGTAGCGCCAATCAAAGTGTAGATAGGTGTTTGGCTGACAGTGCTCAGATTGGGTTTTGCATCAACCCGATCCGGATTAAGCACGTTGTCGATCAAGTGGACGACACCGTTGGAAATAAGGACGTCTGTCTGAATGATCTGGGCAGAATTGATGTAGATGTTGTTGACGTGCCGAGTGATCTGAATTTTACTCTGCTTTTCGGCGGTGGTAAGAGAACTGGCATTCTTTAGCTCCCAGTATGGCTGACGCCGCCAGGCACAAGGTGATACCGCAGAATGCTTCTAAGCGTTTCCTTATCAATCTTCTCAAAGGCGCCCGCGAGCTGCTGAAATGCTGCGTTGCGGGGGGCAAAGATGGTGACATCCGTCAGCTTGTTCACCTCATCGATCAGGTCGGCAGCGTATAGAGCGCCAAGGAACGAGGTCAGGTCCGTGTAAGCGTTGCGAGCCGTCTCTTCAAGCGTTTGCGGCACGCGCATTACCGAGTCAATGACTTGAACAAGCCCTCCATCAAATGCGAGGTCTTCTACCACCACAGTACCCCGAGTAGCAAAACCCGAAGTGAACACGACCTCTCCTCCTGGCTGCTTGGTCAGGATATGATGCTGTCCGCCCATTACTGTGGAGTAGTCGGCATCCTCCAGCAAAGTTGAGGCCCATATAGAGTCGCCTCTCTCGATGGAAGTCATAGAGATGGATTCTGTCAAGATGTGATATTTCAAGGTGGCTTTGACAAGATCTTGGGAGTACTTCTTCCAGTCATCTCCAAGTCTTTCGAAGGCAAAATCATTGGGTGCAACAACCTGAGCAAAATCAGTAATCCTGTGACATCAGATGTAAGATGATTAAGGTGCTTCTTACAGTGATTCCCCCAGGAAGCTTCTTGAAGATGTCTGAATGGTTCTGTGGGGTTGGGATTAACTCCTGGCCTGCAACCCATCACTACAGATAGATACTCACTTTGAACAGGGCAGTAAATGTTGTGAGATTTTGTTGGCCTGACAACGCACTTTCCAGACTGACAGCACCAGTAAGGTACGGATAAGAAGCAAGTAGCGCTGCTGTTATGATTTGGAGATTAAACACCATCTTGACCCTAAATAAGGATGTTTCCAAGACTCTAGAGTCCAAAATGAGAGCCCAAAGATGCGTAAGGAATTTCACAAAAAATTTACGTGAACGAGCAGCCACGGGAGATGCCCACACTGCTCTGTAGAATGATTCCAAAAATTCTCAGGCTCAACAGAAGAAACTAGAGATGGGTGCTGTGAGAATTTGAGGGGAATGCTGAAAGTTTGAGGGTGACGCGTGTCGCGCGAACGCAGTAATCTTTTACTGCATCTTAGCTGTTTGCCGCGATCCTTCGCTGGTCTAGGTCCAAACTCCGAGATTTGCTTGCACCGTCTTCGGTTTAGGGTTGGATAGCGCCAGCGGAATGACACGGAACGTGAGACCAGTTAGCCTCCTTCATGTGTGTTTGGTGGCGTTCAAGCGTTCATGTTCCTGCAGCGCCTCGCTTCCCCGGCTTTTACCCCGGCTGCTAGCGCAGGGTAGCCAATCAGGATTGAGAAAGCATCAACTGCCAAGATGGGACCAAAATCTGAGCCTTTCCCTTTGGATGTTAGCCCAAGGCAACAGTTTTCCAGGACCTGATCCCCGTGGATGCTGACGATAAGGGCAGCAAACCGTTGATGCTTTGATATCAGCATTCACTTGTCAGTCATGTGGATGTTAAGAGTTTGCGAGAAAGAGCTCGCTATCTCCTTCAATTATATAATGTCCAACACTGTGCTGCATGTATGGGTGTATCATAGTTTACTTGCCGCATATTGCCGGAACACAAACTAGAATATTGCCTATCAATGAGTCCTCGCCAGACCAGCATGCGTGACCATTCACAATCGTCTCTCAAGGGATGAAAATCGCTGAGCGAACAGCTCCCGTGCTTTCACCAGGTGGGGAGGTACAAACAGACAATTCTGGTATGTATTTGATCAAAGGCCCTTGATCTATGCAATTATCGCGTTTTTGATCTCTTTCAGCCTTCATATTATTCATCAGGTTTGCGGATCAATTGCTGGTGCGTTTGCTTTGTCAACCCATACATCGATATTGTTCAAACCAGTATTGGTTCAGGCTTTCATGACTCCTTCACTGTTTGGGAGCTTCATAAACCCCTTGCCATTATAACAACGACAGTTTAAGCTCTTCAATTATGGATTTCTCCAGATAACATACAAGCTCCATACCTTGGGGTTGTCAAATAGCGCTGACGAAGGACATCGCCTGCAACACTGATGCTCTGATCAGGGGATGTAAGGTCTTCCTTGGTCAGGTTTCCTCTCCCGTTCATGTTGAGGCATATTGCACACCAATGTGCAAGCAGTCTTACAACAGTTTTGGGACCGTGTGGCCATAGAATGAGGAGATATTCCACACAAATATTTTGAATTCCAGCAGGTCCCGTATTCAATGCTAGAACTTTTTGACGATTATGTGTTGGATGTATAAGAAAATGGTGAATGTGGATAGGAGTATTTACTTGGGCGTCTCCCTGCAGGACACGCGGCCCTGAGGGAATCTGTCAAGCACAATGAATGCCGCAGAATAACAACGCTCTACCTTCTAAACTACACACGCATGATAAGGTCAAGTGTGCACCTGACCTCAGTGGAGCCAGGGCTAACCAAGGTAGGTCAGCGGTGAACACATTGTGGTCACTTGCAGCTAACATTATATATGAGTATAGAAGAGAGCATGACTGAAGGACTTCAAGATGTATGATTCATCTCTTAAACTTCGAGGTATACCCGACAGTTCGGAGCTGACCAAGACCGATACAGCGGGGAACTCTGCACGCCTGCAATCACTGAGGATCAAGATTGATGTTCGAACTGTGGGCTGCAATATGGTGCTGCAATTCAAGAATCGGAAATGCGACGGCAACAATATCTGGAAGAAAGCTAAAAGTCTCAGTCCTTTCAAAATGTCAAATACTGACTAAAGAATCCTCATCCACTACTCTAACACCAATCCCGATACAGACAACCACCAAATATGGCCCAATGGTGAGCAGCACATGAAAGTGCACAGGGCGCACCTATATTGTCCGTGAGTGCCATACATGCAAGTCCACCTCCAAGGAACGATTTATCTTGACCGATAGGTTGGTCGCAGGCAATGATATGGACCCTTCCTGCGCCGATCTCAGGCCCGGGTAAGTGTTGTGCATTCGAGCACTTTGTGAAGTGATCAAGAAAGTCATGACTCTTGAAAACTTGGTTGCGGGAAGAAACTTCACAACCACTAAGTTTATCCTGGAATCCGCAAATTTAACTCCGCATGCCACAAAAGGGAAAAAGCGATCTAATACTGAATGCTTACAGGACACTTGAAGGTTGAAGGCACTTGCGACACCGGCCTCACATCAAACATGGATGATCTTGTAGGACAGAGTTTTCGCATTCAGTCGATAACCGAAAACGCCATTCTGTCAGAATCGAGAGCATTTCTTCTGTTACCTCAAGATCAATATCACTCTCAACCTTGGGACCAAGCCGCACTGCCTTCTTTCTCCTCGTTGCCTTAATTCTCGGAAAGTATAGGGTTTATTTCGAAGTTTACTGTTTTGCCAGATTTCGTGTCATGAAAAGCGCACAACTTTCACGAGGCAAAAGTGTCATCGGATATGGCTGCTGACCTCAATTCAGGCCATGGAGATGGCTACCAGAGTCATAGACATACGTCTCTGGTGCCATAAAGACCAACAAACAAGCAAAGGTAGGGAGTCTTCCGAGTCCCTGCCAAGGAATGATTGAAGCGAAAACTGAGCAAAGCAAGTGTATGGCCAGCAGAATGACGATGATAGAGAGGAGATGCAAAATATCTGCCAGTTCCCTCTCCCATCAATGTTCATCTGCGCCCGACACAACAGTACGTGTTGAGCCAAAGGCTCTGGCACTTGCTGCCAACACCAGGATTCCAGCTGTAAAAGTCGGACAAAGATATTCCATATTTAGCACAAATAGAGGAGCAGACGTCTCCAGTCACAACTATAGATTTGTCAGCTACTTGCGGTGCTACTATATGAGAGATAGGTGATTCAGGATGGCTTGCCTTTGTGGAATTTAGTGCAGCCACTGACCATTCCTGGTTGAGTCGGTGTAGGCGTCGGAACCTTGACAACAGCCCTGTTAGCCTTATCTTATTCATCTTAGATATAACAACAATTGGTGCTTACAGTCTTAACAGTTAGGGTTGAGAGATGCCGCAAAAAGCTGAGCACATGGACGCAGCAATATGTGCCCAGCCAGAGACTTTCACACTGACTGCCCACACCCTTATTCCAGTTGTAGAAATCCTGGAGGGTAATGCCGTAGCGAGAGGCAATGCTAGAGCATGTATCTCCCGATTGCACAAGATGAAATCTGTCACAATTTGGTGCAATTCCAGGTTGTGTAGGGCTAGGAGTTGTGATGCCGTCATTTCCTGTTACTGTACTTGCGTGGGCTCCAGTTGTCCTCGGAGTGGTCTCAATAAGGTGACCAAAGTTCTGTTCGACACAGTAGGAGTTGCCGACTACCAGCGAACAAGAGCCAACTACAGACGGATTCTATAAACTGTCAGATATTCTTCATTGTCATCATAAGAGCTGACTTACATAGGTCTCGAACTGCTTGATAGTGAGGCCGTATGTCTCCGCAATGCTGGCACATGTCTCCCCGCTTGCTGCTATATGCCACCAAGTACAATCCTTGATAGTATTTGTGTTGGCATCAGTAGGTGGCGTTTCCAGAAACTGAGCCACTGCCCAATGGGCGAGGAGGAAGACAACTGTGTAAAGCGACATTGTTGTTAGAACGAGACTCGAAGACAGGCTCAGCGGTTGTAAACCGGCAGATTGATGGACTTTGTGGAATAGCTCCGGGCCTTATAACCAGAAGGCTAGTGCCATTTCATTGCTCCCTATTAACCAACTTGCAACCACCGGATGCCTCATGTCCCAGTTGGTTGAACAACAGCATTCAAGTATTGAACACTGCGTTCCAAATATTGAAGTCCGATTTTAAACATTGAACTTATCAGAATCACCGAGATCGATTTATGTCAGATACCTAGTCCGGCATGTCCTTTTGACACTGCTCATAGCATATGTAACATGAAACGGAGCTGTATATCCCTTAGAGACATGGCAAAGGGCGGGCGAATAGTCCAGGGAATGCTTATATACTTAAATATACTTGCTGTTATGACAAGGTTGCTTCCTAGAGCTGGAAGTGGCTAAAGCTTCCAAAAAGACAAAAGTCCACAGATTATGGGGATTTCGTCCATTGATATCGGTTTATGCCTTAGGTTTTGCGGTTTGCCAACAAGTCTGGAGATGCAAAAGAGTAAGTAGTGTAGGAAACGATACGATATACAGGTACACGGCCCCCAATCACACCGTAAGAGTTGGGGCAGGCGGATGTTGTGCTACTGTTATGAACCTGGCTACATGCGCAAGGCGCAGTACTGCTAAATACGGTTGCTATGCTGTCACAGGCTCACTCAGGGGAAGTAGAAACGGCAGGTCAGTTCGGTTTCGGGGTCCATAACACTAGGCTTGGTACTTGGATGGAGGGACAAGGACGAGACATGGGGCATTGGCATGCCGTATCACCAGCCCTTTTCGTAGTTTGCGTTGGACTAGCTGAGACTATGGGCGACACCCTTCGACATCCCACAATACAGTTGACTTCTTTTGCTCATTCACGCCTTATGAATGGTGAAAGGTGGTCTGTCAAAAGTATCTATCTGCCTAGGCAGTTACTGCCTTCTTTGCCAGATCTATTGCTACGTTGGTTCGTCAGATAAGATCCTGCCATTGCAAGACCGGCCGGCAAGCCCAAACTAACTATTTGGCCGCGACGAACTTTTCTAACCACAAAAGCTTCTTCCTCTTAACAACTCTGAGTCTTCCAGACTTCCACACAATAATCAATATACCAACAAACAAGCTAACCTGAACAACCCACCCATATGCCACGGAGTGCTTTGCAGCGATTGGTCATTCAGCCATTGATTGTCACATGGACACGGCAGTCCAAGGAGAAGAAATATCCTTGACAGTCGACATATAGAACACCAGTGACACAAGAGCTGAGGAGGGCAAAGGCATATCTGATTGGTAGAGCCCGGAGAATATGAGGGGGCGGCAAGAATGAGTTAGATAACCTTGCCACGCTGAGAACCCCTGAAGATTGCAGGAGACCACGAGGTACTCACAAGGGCAAAGGGATTTTATAAAGGGAGCTGCTTGGACACAATGAAGGATTTCTCTTGGTTTGCCTCTCCCCAACACAAGGACACTGAGGACCAAGAAAGATTATTACACGTAGTAATTGACTTCGCTGTGCACCCCACATGGTCAGTGGTCATCATCTAACCCATTTGACCCATTGTCGATCCCTGTCTGCACCAGACCAAGTCACCCGTTACATTGATTGAATGCAATGGAAAGCTTCAGCAAGTGTCGGTCTTTGCATAATTACAGTTAAGTTTCGCCTGTAGATAGGATTGAAGAGCTGATGCAGTGAGGTATCTTGTGTATGTGCTCCTCGAAGTTCAAAGTTCCGTTCCTGCCTGCGGTGAATCGGTGCAATGGTTCTTGCAATTCCAAACCAATAGTTGTGAAGCATATCTCTAGGCTGTGGCAAGTAGCATTGCTGGATAATATATTGGACAAATGGATGATAACTGTTACGTGACCTATATGTTCCCCTCTGCAGTGGTCCAAGTTAGGGTCTACTGGTAAGCATCTGGCTAACGATAAGCGGCTGTTGGGTGGATTTGGATTTGGATTTCATTTATCCACCGGCTCCACTTCCGAGGGTGCTGGGCTGTGCACACGACGGCGGCGAGCAATCGCTATTTTACTTTTCTATACACATGGGGCACTTGGAGAAAACCTCGGGAGGAAATACTAGTTCGTAGTGGAGGAACATGGGAGAGATAGTATGCCGTTCCAGGACTCATCCGCGCGCGGCGAGTGGGATTTGAACCTCCAGCTCAGACTCCGAGTCGGATGGGTCCGGGTCCTCGCTGGGCCTCTGACACCTTGGGGTTGGATCTGCGCACGCAAAGGGGAACAGGAAGGGCGTAGAGTTGGGATGAAGTGCCCCGTGGCGGCATCGCACGTCTGGCTTAGGAACTCAATCTGGAAGGCTCTGGATTTAAACAGTTGAAAGGAGAACTAGAAGGCTCTGAAGCCTAGCCTCTCTGCTAGGGATTTTTTAACGTGGTGAGGGTGCAGGCGGAGAAGTGGCCCCTTGAGATCACCCGCCCGCACGGGCAGGACTTGATCGCCTCCGGGGGGTGGTTGAACTGCACGTGGTACTCCAAGAAGTCTCCGTGACCCGAGGCCTCTGAGAGCCAGCGGGCCAGGCATTGTCGGGAGAAGCGTTCCAAGAAAGGCCTCGCCGTATGCCAGTCCCACTGGGACGAAGGGTTTGTTTGACCGCCACAGCTCCCCATGTCCGGGGAGAACCCGGCGTCCCTTTTGGGGTGAAGGAGAGAGCTCCAGCCACGGCCTGGGACCCGGGCGGTGTGGCTCCCATTGGGGCTGAGGCCCAAGGCCCGCCGCTGCCTGGTGCAGACGGGACCATCCTCAGTAGGGGGACCTACTAAGCTGACCTGCAGAGGGTGGTTGGCCAGCAGTATCTCCATGCGATTCTTCCATCTAGCCTTCTCCCTGTCTAGCAGGAACTCCGGGTAAAGGCCCGCTAGCCACCACAGCTACAGATTGAAACGTCCGCCACACCGGGAATATTACCCTAAGTGCTGCATTCGCAACCTTGATAAGGACACCCACACCGACATGAGCCTCGAGGGAACTAGACGGACCCAGGCCCAAGCCTTAGTAGGACCTATATCGAGCTGAACCATTCCATGCAGTAGAGAGGATAACGACTGCGTTGAAGATGTCAGGACCGCCGCCCGGGGGGAACTCCGCACTTTCGTATTGAACAGGCGTTTCACCAACCCTATGATTAGGGCCGTCGCCGATACCCTGGCAGCCGCTTGCGTCGCGGGGCTCAGCCTTGCGGTCCAGTGACACCCCAAGCCATTTGATTGACTTGCTGGGATGGAAGGACGTGCCCCCCACCTGAGCTGCCTTCATAGGCGGGTCAGCTCTATAGGGCTTGGCTCCCGTCCCTCGTGGGGATGTAGAGGATCTCGGTTTTGGCAGGATCCGCCGGAGGCCGAAACCGCGGGCCTTTATGCAGAGTAGGGTAGTCCTGAGGTACGCATGGTAGGCCAGTTGCATCGGGCTCTTGCTCCAAGATAGTTGTGCGTGGTCGTCCATGTACATGGATGACGAGCCCTGCTGAGAGGGAATGATGAGTGGCATGGAGTATAGCACAAATAGTGCCGATGACCAGGGGGGCCCCGGGAGGACCGTATCAGACCGGAAAGTTGATTGTATCCATCGGAAGGTAAAGCGTTGGTTTGGCAAAAATCGTCAGCGACACGGCAAACCCAGTCGGGCCAGCCCTGGTCCGCTAGGACCGCAAGTTAGACCGAGGGATACGCCGAGTCCACGTCCAGCATCACCAGAAGCCCGTGGTAAACCTGCCTCGCCATTGTCTCCGCGTCATGGACGAGGGACCGTACTGAGTCGAGGGCCGGCCTCGACGGTACCGCCCTGGCCATGTCCGTGGGCAGGAAGCCCGACCCCAGCGCAGTTGTTTTCACTCGCCTGGCCAGCAGGCTTTTGCTCCCTTTTCCAAACGTCGAGGGAAGGGTGACAGTGCGCCAGCCTTTGTACGAGCGAGGGTCGCGCCCGGGTTTAGACAGAGTGGCAACTGTGGCTTGTTTGAATACCTTGGGGAATACCCCCAGCGAGATAAAGCCCTCAGTCAGAGCCCAAGCCACCGATTGTACTACCTCCCACGCGTGCCGCAGAAAGGCCAGCGGTATACCGCCTTGCTCGTGGTGTTGAATGAGGCGTCCAAGAAGGCGTCTCTCAGCTTCGCATCGCTAGATGACACGGCTAACTTGTCAGTCCAGTCGCGGGGAAGCTCGGGGCCTGGCCAGAGAGGTTTACGCCCCTCTCGGGCTCCGACCGGGTGAAGGCTTGTGTAGCCAAGTGTGTGGAATGGTTTTCTGATAAAGGCGTTTCCGTTGTCGTTTGGTATTAGCGATACGCAGACAGGCGTTTATTTGAATAATCTGACCATGGGCAAGTTGTATGCCCCTCGTCCAACCCTTACTTTCTGGGTAAAATTTGATACATCTTAGTTCCCTTGGAGTAAGTCTAGCAATTCAGCAACCTTTGACCAACGCAATTCTCTTGAACAAACAGCTCACACGAGCATGGATTACAACTACTAGTACCCAACAACCTCTCGTGCTTGTACTTTCTCAATTAGCAGGTGACACATGTCGATAACCCCTCCGATCACTGTTCAACCACGGCCCACACAATAATATGTATTAAGCCAGAGGCTTTGGCAATTATTGCCAACACCAGGATTCCAGTTGTAAAAATCAGATACGGATATTCCGTACGTGGCGGCAATAGCGGCGCAATAGTCTCCAGACACGACTGCCTGAGTGTTAAACGTCTGAGCTGATAAGCTAAAGGAAATGATTAAGACTAGCTTACCTTTATGGAACTTGGTGCATCCGCTAACCATTCCTGGGTGGAACGGAGTAGGTGTTGCGACCTGGCAGCCAATTATGTCAGATTATTGAAAGGGCAGTTGTACTGAGCAAGTGAAAACTTACACCTCCAGCTGTCGTAGTCGGCGTGGGCTTTACATAGCCGATCGTATGCACACAGACATAAGTGTCCAACCAAAGGCTCTGGCAGTTGTTTCCAACACCCTTATTCCAGCTGTAAAAAGTCTCGAGAGGGATGCCGTACGTGCTAACGATAGTAGCACATTCATCTTCTGATACCACAAGGTGAAATTGGTCGCAGTTTGAGGCCATTCCAGGCTGGGTAGGCGTAGGGGTAGTGATTCCATTCCCAGTGCTGGTGCTTGTGACTCGAGATGTGGTGGTGCTGGTGCTGAAAGTTGTAAAGCCGCCAATCACGCCAACACAGAGGTATGTGTTTAACCAGAGACTATTGCAGTTTGACCCAATCGCAGGGTTCCATGCATACAATTGGGCGAGGGTGACGCCGTATTTTTCACCAATGCTATAACAGCCATCACCCTCTGACACGAAATGGAACTTGTTGCAGTCTTTGGTCATGCCAGCCTGCGTTGGAGTAGGGGTTGTGATGCCGTTGCCAGTTGTAGTTGACGAAAAACTTGCCGTAGTACTGGTGATTGTACCAGTTGTCGATCCCCCGATCACACCAACGCAGACATAGGTATTGGCCCAGAGGTTGGTACAGCGTGAGCCTACGGCCGGGTTCCAGGTAAACAGATCAGCAAGCGAGATGCCGTAGATTGAGAGAATGTCGGTACACAATTCACCATCTTGTACCAGATGGAATTTATCGCAGTTCTTCACCATGCCATCCTGGATTGGAGTTGGAGTGACTACGCCCGTAGTCGTAGCTGGGGATCCTGACGACTGTGTAATTGTGGGGGTTCCAATCAAACTGGAAGTGCTTTCAACAGGTATGCCATAATTTTGCTCAACGCAATACGAGTTTCCCACAATCAAAGAGCATGAGCCCGCTACAGAAGGATTCTACAAATTGTTAGTTTCCATCTTTCTAGCATATCATGATAATGATGAAATGGCCTACATATAACTCAAACTGCTGAAGAGTGAGGCCGTATGTAGCTGCAATGCTTGCACATGTCTCTCCGCTTGTTGCAATATGCCAGTAGCTACAGTCGTCGATGGTGGTTGGATCAGTAGCTGTGGGTGGTGGTTCAAGGTATTGAGCCAACGCTCCATGGGAGAGAAGGCAAGCTGCTGGATAGAGTGACTTCATCGTTCTTTGAGAGGCCACAACTTAGAGAGTCACGAACTACCTTTTCGTGATATGTTCAGTTCTATGAGATAGTTCTGGGGCATAATTTATAGAGGGAGAGTGCCTTCCACTGTCATGTATCATTTTTTACTGAAGGATTCGTGAATTGGACCTGAACTCTGACCCTCTGTCGCGGAGCAACAGTCAGTGATCATCAAATGATGTCCAACACCAGCCACTATCCAATTAACTGCCAAGATGTTGCATTGCATGGCAAAAATGGCTTCCCCGTCTGGTAGAAACACCGAAATTCCTACCGCTTGGGGATGGGAACCAGACTGAAGTTGGCCACTGGCGCAGTGCAAAAAGTTGATGCCTGGCCATTGTGGACTCCGGTCCCCCTTGGTCTTCGGAAAATGGATATCCTTGGGCAGCGCCGGAGCGCCGAGGTGAGCTGCGCCGCACGGGTAGCACTCTTGCAAGGTTGAAGAGTGACATTGAGAGCGATACGCAGACATATATGCAGACATACCAAGGCCCCTGGAAAAAATCTGCAATCACACGGCCGTTGTAGCCGGCTCGATGTCACTTAACGATTAACCAGTTCTGGAGGGTAGGACAGCGTACGGCTGCGGAGTGCGAACGGCTTAGAGGTTACATCCCGCCCGCTGCAGTGGAGCTGGAAAAGACCAAATGACAGGGCTGAATTCGGAAAGCCGAGATAGTTCCTCGCCGTATCGCCTGTCTAACCGTTGGATTCCCTCGGTGTAGGCAAACATATCGCAGCCGTTTCTAAGTAGCTTGATGTACCTCTGGCCTCTCGTGCAATTAACCGTGTCTTGTGGAGCTGTAGCTGCTATTTACGACGACTTTGATCAGAAAGTATCTGCTTAATCGGTATTATGCTAATTCAAAGGGTTCGCATGAAGCGCTTGGGTGTGCTCCCAACACAAATTCCCTCCCCTGGTTCCCCTGGTTCCCCTGGCTTCGGTCTGGTTTTATCGCAAGGGGCCCACTTCCTATCAATCCAGAACCAGCAAGATGTTTCCAGTGAAGTGTTCAATAGATTCCCGACTCGATCGTAAATTTCATTCTTCAGCTTGCTGTGTGGCAAAAGAGAACTTATCTTTTCTGTGATCCAAACGCAGGCAGGACTGCTTTTCCTGGGTCTGTCCCTGTGCTGTCAGAATCTTTCTTAAATATATATTTTTGCTTCAGTACGCCATCTCGTTTGCCTCCTCCATCCCGACAGCAGAAAAAATTTCGTTGCTGTCATGACCGTCTCTGTGGTTCAGGGCTTCCTCAAAGCCGTTGCTCTAACAGCCGTGGCAGTTGATGCGCTCAAACTCTTCGAGCTTCCTGCAGATCTTCCAACATCGATACCTCTGCGTTGCCGAGTTCCACTGACGCAAAACATCACCTGCGAAGTCGAGAGCCTCATCGCTCCACAAAAAGTTCTCTTTGGTCAAGTCATCACTGGTACTCATGCCGAAGCATACTGTACTCCAACTTGCAGGCAGTCTTTGAAACAGTTCCAGACTGCTGTTTCTTCGGGGTGTGGTCATACTCTTTATAAAATATTTCCAAATCAAACCGAAGCCTTCTCGCTGAAGGAGCTTGTTGATGACTTTGTTTGGGCACAGAACTTGCTGTGTCTCCAGGATGGGCATGTAAACCATCTCTTTACACAATGGCTTCTCGCTGACATTGGATGACAGAGACGAATACTGCCTGCCGGCGCTTTTCAAAGGTGAAAAAGAGGACTGTTCTGTATGCTCCTTAAAATATGGAGCAATAATGCAGGAATCGGAGCAAGGTCGCCGGAGATTCCCTGAAGATGACTTCAAGTCACTATTATCATCATGCTCAGTTCCAGCAAGCAGCTACCCCTATAGCTTTACCCCAGGCGCACCGACAACAACGGACGAAGCACCTACATCTACCATTGCACTACCAGAGTGTGAAGGAACCATCTACGTAGTGCGTGATGGTGACACGTGCAATTCCATCGCAAAGGCCCAGTCAATGTCAACAGACAGACTGGTAGAAGTGAACTCGATGGATTACATGTGTACCGGCCTCCATACTGGTCAAAGGTTATGTATTCAGGACACTTGTGAGTTGATAACAGTCCAAAAGAACCAGACATGCAAAGATTTGGTCGCCGGAAGGGGTTTTACGACGGTTGAGCTCATATCTTGGAATCCGTATGTTCAAGTCTCTTTGAGTTCTTGATGTTGTCAAATTACTGATACGCTTGTCATCATTGAAGGACTCTGAAAGGTGTTTGCGATACACGACTTACCCCAAACCTTGACAGCCTAGAGGGCCGTCACTATTGCATTCAGTAAGTGTTTCAAAATGATATACGAGAGAGAAATGTGTTAGTGGCTAAGAAGTTTGACACGTGTAGACCACCAAATGCAGTTACTCCTTTTCCCACTGCAGAACCCACCCCAACACGTACGACAACGACCAGACACTGGTAGGTAGCCCTAATTACCATTACTATTCGCTTAGTGCGATTATCTAATAAAATCAGGACCACCACATTCTTTGATGAGTGGACAGAGGGAGTTGAAATCCCTGAGAATGAAGCACCGGCGCTTGTCACTCAAGTGCCTTTCTATGACAAAACCTATACTCCCCCAGCAAAAACTATTACTCCAAATGCTACATTGGCTTCCATTATGGCAGAGTACACGCAGTATTGCTGGCTCGATGGCCGTGACTTCGCCAATGACTATAAGCCTGAAGACTACCCTGCAGCCTGTCAGTCTTTGTACGAGAAATACTGCGTGTATAACCCCGACATCCCACCACCGACCTCACTGTCCCGTGTGCCCGCAGTATGCACACCGAATCGAGCCACCTACCTCGATGATTTGATCTTCGTTCCGACCCCAACTCCTATCCAAGAAGGTGTGACAGAAGCATGTACCAAATTTTACAAGGTTGAGGAGGGCGACACCTGTCAATCAGTGGCGACTAAACACCAAATCTCGTTGTCGGACTTATATACCTGGAATCCTGCTGTGGGAACTCAGTGCCAAGGGTTGCAGTTGGGAGTTTGGGTCTGTGTTGCTTACGATCCGCGCTTGGAGGGCTATTAGTGAAATATCTGATTAGAAAAACAGCATGTTTTACTTTGCAAAGGAGGTTTAGTACTTATTACTACCACTGCCTATCAGCACTAGTAATTCCAGTCTGTTATGAACTCAAGCTGCTGGGATTTTGTCTTCAGTTTGCTAGTCCCTTATTTAACAATGGATACCGATGGCTTTTAGCTCAGAACTATGGCTTTGTACTTGAACCTCTAGCAAATTAGGGCTTGATCTCACAAATGACATGTATCATAGTCAATGGATAAAACCTGTTGCATTCTTGGAACAGAGATCTCAAGCGATATACTACAGCAGGGCGAAAACTGCCGAGTATGTTAAGCAAATGAGAACTGCCATAACCAGGCAAAGAAAAAAAAGGCATGATAATCGTGAAAATGAACTCTAGTAGGGTATTTAGAGCAGTTGAATAAGTGACTTTGCTTTGAAGTAAGTGACTAAATGTGAAATTGAGAGCTGCTCTAAAACTCAAAAACCAGTAGACCTAAGAGCGAACGTCAAGGAAAAGCATCTCTTCTTGATCTATTCCTCTTTGACCAGGTTTAGAGGATAGCAGTTCGAACTATTGCTGTCTTGTGAGTAGGCACATACTGACTTGAATTAACGTCATAGCATTCGAAACTCTGGTTAACATTGTATGAAATCACATCAGAGTGTCTGACCGGAACATCCCAACTTTCAATCTATCTCACATGGGGCCCATACAGAACAGATAACATCAATACTACCATTGTCTGCCTGTTTTAGCTGTACATTACCCTTGGTACTTGTTCGCCGGGGAAGGCGGAAGGCAATTCAGGGGCCTGAATGGTCTCACATTCAACTATCCCCTGATGATATTCCGACATCTAGAGTCACAGCAGCAATGTAACGCCCTTTCTGGAGGTGCAAGGATTCTGGAGAGAACAGTCCGACTTTTTATGCATGGGTAACTCGTGTATGTGTGTATGTTTGCGTTGGCGTTAGATCAGACATGTCCTGATTTAGAAGGTGATCATCAATGCTGGGGGCTATTATGGATTCTACCCATATTGCTTGAGGCTTATTTCGGCCAAACCGCCCATTTTGAATCTATAGCTAATAAAAATTACATCCGTGAAACGAGTACCGTGGAGGCCGTAACGGTCTGAGCAGCAAGGAACTTGTGCACCTCAGCCGAGAAAAATCATGTTTGATTATGCAAGGAAAATCGAGCTATTTGGTAAAGAGAAAACCTCATCAACGTCGTTTTGTAAACTCTTGGAGCAGTTATATCCCTGTTCAGTCGGTTACTACCCACAGGGTTGGAGTGGAGTGGAACCATATGCACTCAGCAGGCAGAAGCAGATCCCTATCTTCGATACTACCCAGAGGTTCAATGCAACTGCACCGATTATGGTACTAGCGCTGGCTCCTCCCTAGCCGATGATAAATACTCGTCAAATTGCATGGAAATGTAATACGTGCACATATGAGAGTTTACTGTGACTGGGAGGTACAACGCCTGGTGAGTATAGCGGGCAGCCTAATACTACATCACGTCGCTATAACTCGCTATCAAGATCTCTGATTCCCAAGGATCAATAGACTTATAGCGTTTAGGTGGTATTAGAGCCAGGAAAGAGTCGGTTCATAATCCCACTTTGGTCACTGTTACTTTGGCCAACTGTGAGAAACAGAGATGGGATAAGTAACAGTACCTGTTGGCCTTGGATCCGAACATGGGATCAAGAAGACGGCAACGTAGACAAGTCTATCTTGCCCCTATCCCCGTAGCAACAGTTCAGGGGTGTAAGACTCAGATATCTTGCGAGTAGCTTCCATTGGGAATATTCAAGGAGCTAGTTCCAACCTGTGGATTTCAGATTATTCCCTCAATCCCCTTACCGACCACCACTGGGGTTTGATTTAACAGACGACCACACATTAACGTGAGAGTGCTTACTCACACGAACCTTTTTTCCATCTAATCGATTGTTACGAACTTTTCACTCCAGGCTTTGTAACACCGGCCCATGCCTGCATGGGGGTGTCGAAAAAATGTTGTCATTGAGGGGCCTACAACGCTTCTGGAGCCTGCTAGTCATTTTCGTTATCGTCTCAGCAAATATCATAGGAGTATTCGCTCAGCAGGATGCCACTTGCGGTCCACTGAAGCCCTGTGAGGTTGGCTGTTGCTCGAAGAACGGCCAATGTGGGTTCACAGAAGCCCATTGCGGTGAGGGCTGCCAGTCAAACTGTAATGCAAAAGCTGAGTGTGGTCAATATGCCCCTGAGGGTCAAAAGGACTGCCCACTCAATGTGTGTTGCAGGTCAGTAGAAAACAAAGCAAGATGATTCATAGATAGCACTCACTGACAGCATATATGGATAGCAAACATGGCTTCTGTGGCTACACAAATGAATTCTGTGGGAGTGGCTGTCAGCCAAATTCGAAGGGTGAGGGCTGTGGCACACCTAAGCGTCCAAGTTGTCCTGCAGAAGTAGCCCCTCTCAAGCTGCCCCGGCGAGTCGCATATTACCAACTTTTTGCTCTCAACCGCGACTGTGGTGTTAAGGAACCAGAGGATCTCCCTCTGGGGGCTCTTACGCACCTTAACCTTGCGTTTGTCAATTTCGAGCCAAATGGTACCGATAAATGGCGTTTAGACCACACGGACAGCTACTGGATCAAGCGAGCCGTTGCCACAAAGCTCCGCTATCCTCATCTTCGCGTTAATATCGCAATTGGCGGTTGGGCTTTCAATGACGAGCCCACTCAACGTTATTTCTCGAACATGGCAAGCAGGCACAATTCACGAGAGAATTTCGTTAAGAACGTGGTCAACTTTCTGCGCCAGTACGGCCTCGATGGTGTTGATATCGATTGGGAGTATCCTGCAGCATTTGACAGAGGAGGCACGCCGGCGGATGAGGACAATTATGTTCTCCTTCTTTCTCAGATGCGGCAAGCCTTTGACCGAGAGGGCGCTGGTTGGGAGATCTCCATCGCTATCCCAAGCAGTTACTGGTATTTAAAAGGCTTTGCACTGGAGCGACTGCAACGCTACGTCGACTATTTCAACTTCATGTCCTATGACATCTACGGCATGTGGGATCGGGACAACAAATGGACGGGCCCGTATCTGAAAGGGCATACAGACTGGAGCATGATCGAGCTTGGGCTTGACCTTCTCTGGCGCAACGGAGTCGAACCCAAGAAGGTCAACATGGGTTTCGGATTTTACGGCCGATCTTTCACCATGGAAAACCCATCATGCTTTGAGCCTAATGGCATTTGCAAGTTCTCTGATGGCGGAAATCCCGGCTCCTGTTCGAACACCAAAGGAGTCCTGACATACGAAGAAATCGCGAGCCGAAACCACTCCCTCGATGTCGTGACCATTTATGAGGGCAAGGAAACCACGGTAAAATACAACGTTTACGGCGTCAACCAATGGGTATCCTACGATGACGCACAGTCTTTTCACGACAAACTCGAACACTTGACCTCCAGGTGTCTAGGGGGTCTCATGATATGGGCTATCGACCAGGACACAAGTGATTTCAAGGCATTCGGTGAGCTAATGGGGGACTATGCACACTTAAATCTCCATGGGCTTGATGCAGACTCAGCAGAAGAACTGTCAGACCTGTTTGGACAGTATAATGGCCAACACTGTTACGTTACCGAGCGCTGCACAAAAGACCGAGATTTGAATTCTGGCGACACTGTTCATGAGGGTGAAAAGTGCGACCCAGGGTATGAGTCTGTTGCAAAAGCACACAACCCGATCCAGAAATATCCGCGCAAGCTCTACGACAAGTGTGAAAAAGGATGGTACCGCCACATCTGCTGCCCGAAGAAGCAACTTCCAAAGGAGTGTAAATGGATTGGTGCCCCTGAGCGCAACCGTCACGGCTGCATAGGGGAATGTGGCGGTGGAACATTTGAGTTGAACTCAGATGACGCTGTCGATCCCTATGGTAACCAATTGTGCTATCAGGGAAGACGTAAACTCTGCTGCAGAAGCACCAAGCTTTTTGACGACTGCTTTTGGACAAAATGTTCGCAGACACCCTACGCTAGTGACGACCATCCTGACTGCCCAGACGGCACAGAGTACGTGACCTGGCGTAACGATAAACCTGATGGGAGTGGTGGCATGTGTCAGGAAGAGTACGGCACACGCGGAAGCCCACTCAAGTCCCCATTCCGGAGCTCGCTCTGCTGTCCCAAGGGGCGTTCGTTTCAAAATTGTCTTTGGTCAAACAGCATACAACCAACCCGTGAACGAAATGGCACGACGATCGTGGAGGTTGCGACACCCGAGGAGATATGCCTGCCACGCATGTGTCCCAAGAATAAGATCCAAGTCGCCTTAGCACTAAGTCCGCCACCAACTAAACTGCATCGAGAATGGAGAGGATCGGGAGAAACTTGTGATAGCAACTTCAAGATTCCAAAAGATACTGATCCTCGCTTTCCTCTCTGTTGTGATCCCCCATCTCTCTGGAACAAAGACTGGCCTGTTGACCCAGAAAGATTATGGGAAGAATACTTCAACAATAAGGAAAAAGATAAGGCAGTATGGAGTTATGACACTCAGTTTGAGCACAATGATATGGACAAACACCGTGCTTCTCTTGATGTTATTGATGGCTCTGACGCCTTCGGGTTTTTGATGTTGAACGGACCTCAGGAAGCAATCGACGACAGTTTCCACAAAACCATGACTATCGTCCGTCGGAATGCTCAGATCCCCAAGGTCAAGCGTGAGATCTTCACGAAAAACAAGACGCTGATCGACAAAGTATTCGAACATGCGGCGGAAACTTTCTATGCATACTGCAACTATCCCGCAGGTTCTCCTGAATGTGAACGGTTATTCCTGGGGGGTGCTGAGGATACAATCATCAGCTTGCCTGCTCATGTTGGCGAGGGACCTTTTGCACGTGTTGTAAGCATTCAGAAGGTTTCTGAAGAGGATCACAAGATCTTGATTCCTCGACATCACTTTGAGCATCGTTCAAAGGAGAGGCTGAATGACAATCCCCTATGGAAGATCAAGATTGATTACAACTTTCATCTCGCTCGGCAGGACCGTGGCAAGGTCAAGATTCGTGTTGACTACTCTAACTTGCTGGGCTACTGGAAGGAAATTACAGATTCTCCAGCAGAGCGTCGCCGCAAACGCAACTTTGATCCTCTGCCTGGTGAACCTGGCTTCAAGGTAGAACACTTCCGCAAGATGGTTGCTCGTGGCGAGGAGTATGATCGCATCATCGGCCGTCGCTCTCAGAAGACTGTTAAGCGCACAATGTCGTTGAAGGACAGTGAGTTAGAGCCGAATGGACACTTGTCTACTTCAACTGTGCCCCTAGACTTCAGTTATTCCAAACGTTCATCGCATGGGAAACGCTGGTGGGGAGCGTTCAAAGAATGGCTACGCAAACTCACAACTGTCACTAAGGATGAGCTTGGTGACTTGCCTCTCAGCTGGTCAAAGAGCGTCAACTTGTTCAAAGCAAGTGCGGGCTGCCCCCAGAGAACCTGGAACGCCAACTTGAGGGTAGACTTGAACGCGGAGGTTAGCATGCAAGCAACATACGCATATTACATGTCAGCAACCTTCATCCCTCCAAGCAAGCCGGACGTCTTTTTCTACTTTGGCGTTGAGCCAACTGCTGCTCTTGAGTTAGTCATGGTTGGGAGTAAGCGCCAGTCCTTCCCGTTCATGCTCGCCTTAACTGTTTGTTGGGAGGACACTGACACAAGCACCATCTCAGATGCTGCTGCCCGGTTGAGAACTGGACAGAAAAAGATTGTCGATACTTTGTCTTATCCTGGTCTTGCTATCAAGGGGATTGCAGCTGTTGGGCCTACACTGGACGTGTACGGAGAGGTAAGGACCCAATGCCAAGTGTTTGGAGCACAGGAGTGTGACTGCATCGAGTAAAATAGCTAACACCAATGCATAGATCAAAGGAGAGATTAATTTGCATGGCAAGGCTTTAGCTGGGTGTCGGGTGACCCTCGAAAAGACGCAGGTCTACTGGCCCCAGGACGACAAAGAGATCGACAAGTACGACAAGATCCTTGGCATCAATCTTCGAGATAAAGAAGTACCTAAAGGGAACAAGATCGAGCCTTCCTTTGAGGCCGGTGTTGAGCTCAAGGCAGAGGTCGATGTCATTGTACAGCCCCAGGCAAACGTTGGCATAAAGGTTGGTGGAGGCTCATATACAGGAGGAACGAGCCTCGTTGATGCAGAGATATCGGCCTATGTTTTCACAGCTCTACAATTCCTTGCGACAGGTGTTGCCAGCACAGTGACCAAGACATTTAACTACACATATGGCGTCTACCTGCATTGGAATGTTGGCTATAAAGCGGTCGCATCCATCCTCGATTGGGTGTCGTGGGCTACACAGCCCCGAGAGGCCTACCCAAAACCCCGGGTCATTCGCATTTATCAGAAGCACGGAAGCATTGACCTCTCGCGACCTGGTGGTGGATTCATTGACCGGCGAACGCTCGATTCTTTGACACTCCATTCCACTTTCAAGTACTCTAACGAAACGTTAGCTCAGGCCACATCGCCACTGGATTCCGCCCTGTCCATGCGCAGACGCCAAAATGATGACGACGGGGATCCAATGGACATTGATTCACCCGCTTCGCCGACCTTCTCGCAAACACAGCTGACTTGCCCGGCTGGCGGTTCTCCAAGCATCAAGATCCCCGAACTGCGTCTGAACTGCGCCGCACTGCCGCCTCTCTCAGTTAGCCTTCCTGGCAATAAGAAGTTTCGCATGTCAACGGTGTGTGATGGTTATAAAAGCGGAAATATCCAACTCCCAATGACCCTTACACACGCTAGTGTAATTAGCGAAGACAGCATGATGCGCAAGAAGCAGCGACGAAATGAGGCCTGCAAGAACAATGATCCGGAACCAGATGGGCTTCACAGGGACAGAAAGTCTTGCAAAGAAATGAATGAAGAGTTATACAAAGCTGGATTCCCGCGGCCAGTCCACTCTACGGTTCAGGTGTTAGAATGTGACGAGTTCCCATGGGCTGCAAGCGAAGAAGGAGGTAGCTTCATGCCGGTCAATGAGCGGAGCCGACTCTGCGTCCCTCGGGTACAAAACAATTATGCGGGTCAATGTGTCGATCTTCTGAACGACATGCAGTCCAACGTCGGCAAGATGGAGCCGATTGACCCGCCCAAAGGCCAGGAGCGTCCGAACCTCTGGGCATATTGGGGAGGCAAACAGAACGCCAATGTTAAGATCTGGTACACCACGGATGTTATCAACGGTGTTCAAAATCGAATGACAACATACAGTACCCGCCAGCCGATCCCGGTCGGCTACCTACCGAAAACATGGAAGGGAGTAAGTAACTGATTAATGCTTATTTGCTATCTTTTGTTGAGGGGACACTAACAGAGAGATCCAGAATGATAAAACTTCGTGGGTTTTCAAGAGAAATTACACATTTAGCATCGTTGATGATGGCAGTGATGCAAAGAGCTGGTGGGATGCCACACGATATAAGGTTACGAAAGCAGGAGAACAGTTAGCAGATCCCAACAGCTACCAATCAATTCTGTGCGCGGTCAATATTTTTGGACAGACAGACTACTACAAGTATCCGGAAAAGAATGGTGAGAAGTGGAACGGGCTCTGTCTGACAAGCCCCAGAGGCCGCCGTAAGTTGTTCCCCAACTGGAAGCTACTCGGGCCGACTGAAGGCTCAAGTAGCCTTAAATGAAAAGTGAATACTGACGTGATGGTCTTGTACAGGCCAGGAATGGGATGACCAATGGGGTCTCTCAAGATGCTTGGTCGAATTTGGCAAAAGCCACGATGTTAAGCGTTCTGTTGGCGACGAAGAAGCGACAGAATGGGCAGTTAAAAGTATGTTAACTTGAAACAAGCACCGTTAATCCTTTGACGAAACACATGGTAGAGCAAGCTAACGTTCTTAAATAATAGATGTAACAGTCCTCGAAGAAGGAAGGGAGCCTGTGTCTCCTGAAGAATTTTGGGAAAACATAATAAGAGTCAGAGATGTCCAGCTTTCCTAAGAATCAAGGGAAGTAATGAACAAGACTACCCGTGCAGGCAAAGAGGTAAGATAATGCGGCAGCCACTACGATTGGGACACTCCGAATCCCTAACAATCAAACATGTCATAACACTCAACGGGATTATTACATGTACCTACTGGTATTCGTCAAGCGCAAATTCGTAGTTTCATTGTTGAGAGATTAGAAACTAGCCGTGCGATGCCAACCATACCAGCTGTGTATGAGACTCTTGTCCTCTAATCTGGACGAGATGCAAACTACTTCTGCTGAGTGTTTTAGTTTGTTCTCTCTGCCATTAATTGCACGATTCTTCCTGTGTCTCCAATGGAAGAAAAATATCGATGACCCAGGAGGTAGAAACTGTGCGAGCGAGTTTACTTGAAACACGACGGCGAGAGCGTTACATGTAAGGTCTGGCTATTAACGGCATTGCAATGTCCAGAGGCTATTTGAGACTTCAAATTAGATCAACTGTGCCGCATGGTTGCATCAGAGCAGTCCATAACCGGGATTTGATGCTACCCACTCATGAAGCAGGCTAACGTTAGTTTGGCTGCAACCCGATGGACCAAGCGCTGTGCATGCAAACTTCTTCCATGTAGCTATAAATTCGAGTAACCGCACTCTTGGAAACGCGATCGGCCCTGCGCTCCTCACACCTCTGGGACCTTTTTGCAATCAGTATTACCACGTAATTCAAAGGTATCCGTGCAGATCAGAGCCTAACCATGAGCTCCATTAGTCAGGAGAGCATCGAAGTAACTCCTCCTTGGGGTTCACTTCCGGTTGAACAGTATCTTATTGTAAGTACCACTTTTCTAAACTCTGCTTGTCGTCCCTTTTCTTGATGTTCGTGTCAATTAGGTTTACACATATGAGCGGTTCCAAGCAGCATTTTCGATTAAAAGTCCTGAACAGCTTTTTGCCGTGTTTCTAATTAGACTATTGTCTACAGCGCAACTGGGATCACTCGTCCAATATGACAGCCGATGAGCAGCGTAAGAAGGTGGTTGCCGCTTTTGTCGACGAAGACCTCCTTGATGAGGATCTTTTTGCCTTTCCCCCAACTCGCACTCCAACAGAATCGGAGATCACTGAAATCCTTGCTCCATGGCGCCCTCAGAAGTTACGTCACATTGCCGCTGCACATGCTAGAATACCAGGGTTCTTCCCAACGGATTTCTCTCCATTTTACTACATTGTACGAACTTACTACGACGGAGGCGCTGAAGATGATGTCAAGTTTCGGAAGTGGCTGGATGACAGCGACGAAGACTGGGGACATTGCATTCCCAGAGAACACGAGTGGTTCTGCGTTCTCAATGACCCCGAACTGTTTAATTATGGAGACGACCACTGGACTCGAGTCTATGAAGTGCTGCCAGAACTAGCTTCAAGAGGCCCGGATTGCCGTTTCACAGAGGAGCATATTATATGGGGGTTAAGTTGGGGGCAAAGCTATAGGGATAGTGAGGAATATTCATCGGATGAGGAGAACCTTGCCGAAGGTATCAGGGCGGCTGCATCAAGAGACGAGCCCTGGCTGGTAGTTTTTGATTTGGATGCCTTCAAAGAGGAGAGAGCTAGGCTCGTCTATCGCGACAGAAAAGGTTACCCAATCAAGGAGACGGTGTTAGGGATGCCCGAAGGATATGAGGATTTTAGAGGAAGATGTAGCCGCGGTGCAACATTCGAAGGTTACTGGGAGCATGCAGTAGTGGCAAACATGTATGAACGTAAGGGCAAGATCATGAAGAAACTGCTCCCGTTGGTGAAGGAGGCAGAAGAAAAGGAGCGAGCAGAGGAGAAAGAGGGAAAGGAGATGCAGGATCAGACTAAAGAGGAGAAAGTCTATGTATGATTACTCTCTCCAGAATGATAACTTGGAAATCAGGGTGCGGAAAATTGCTGTCTTTGGGAATCAAAAAGGGCTTGCTTCCTAGTATGTGAGTTCAATTCTTTATTTGAGATATGCCTTTGTGCAATTCAAGTTGGCATTCTCTAAGACATCACCTTCTTCCTTGCAAGAGCACAAACTATCATCGAGGAGCCCTAATATTCCCGATGGTACGTTAAAGTCAACATCTCCAAGCTTAATGGTATTCTGTTCCTGTTCCTGCGTGACTGTAATACAGCTTAAGAGACAACCCCTGGCCTCAATGCCTCATGGCTCTAAGTCACAAGATTTCAGATGGATGGCTCTGTCTAACTGGATAAAGCCTGTTCAGCTCAGCCTCCATTAGCATAAGCTATGCAGCTCTAATAATCAATATCTTATCAAAACTACCTCCTGAGCAATTTATCTGAATCACTCACCTACTCAACAGCAAAGAGCTGGTGCTCAGATCTCTATGCTCAATATCCGATGGACCGTGCAGCAATGCTAGGCCCCCTTGCCTAGTTCAATAGGACTATCACCGCTGATTGGGCCGATAGTTCCATACACTCTTTGCCATATGAAAGGGAGAACAAACGCTCTGAGATTGTTCAAATCTCAAGACTGATTGTCATGCAGCTCACCAAGATGGACCTCTGCAACATGGTCACCGTTGACTGCAGCTATTGTTGAGTTGACTGAAGGCAGTGCCTTACTGTGAACGACTCTGCGACAAACACCTCACATAATAGTGGCCACTTGATTCAGCCAATCAAACATTCCTGAGCTTTGGCTGTCGTGTACACGACTCCTTGTAGCGTCAATCTCCAGAGCCTGTTGCACCATAGAGATCGTACTCTGTCCATGCCCGTTAAGGGCGATGTAGTCATGGTCTTCGATGAAGCTTTTGAGGTATAGACATTCAGCTTGTTTGGAGTGTTTACTCACCACACTCCTCGACGGAACAGATATCATCCCTAGACTTTTCTCACCAACACCTTGTGAGCAATCAATAACCCCTCACTTCCCACCTACAGCTTAGTGGCACAGCTGCTTATCTTCTCATATCTCATCTTCAGATCAGCTTTTCTGGAAATTTGCTTGTGTCAAACCTTCAGCAAACCACTGCCCTTCTTGACACACCTGCAACATGTCCATCCACTGGGCTCCCAGTTTCATATATGACTATCTGGCGTTCGAATACTCATTCAGTTCTGAGTTATCACACACCACTTCCACTTCCACACGCGCAGCGCGCGACTGAGCTGTCGCGCACCGCGACTCAGCACCGACCACCCCCCCAGAAGTATAAATTCCTGACCACCCTCGCAGACTTTGCCCTCTTCCCTTCCAACCATAGCATTAACCTCCAAAACCTGCTCTTGACTACAATTGGAGTTAGAAGGGGGAGGGAGGTGCCTCGATTCTAGAGCTGATGGCCCAACACCAGCCTTCTCATCTGGTCAGCTGACCTTGACGCTCTCGGCCGACCTCGCCGTTGATCACCTGGGAAAGGAAGATCAGACACCTCCTAGGCGGCTCCCTCCTTTCTCTCACGAGATTGGAGGTTCAGAGGGGGGGGGGGGCATTTGTGGGCTCTCTGGGATTATCTCAAGGCCTCATCCTCTGGACCTCTCAGCCCTCCCCTTCCATTCTCCATGGAGTGGTGGTCGGGAAGTTTTGGGGGTTCAAGACTGTTGTGGGGACCTTGGGGGTTCGTGACCGACACCCTCCTTCAGACCGACTTGGTCATCACTGCTACGGGTGGTTGAGAGGATGGCGAGAGGAAGGACAGCCACCTCCTCTGACTGGGCCCCACTCCTTCCATGACTGGTGCTCAATAAGAGCGAGGGACATGTGAGGGCTCACTGGGGTACTCAAAAATACCTGACACAACATTCTTCACTAAAGCAAGGTTAAATTGTGCAATCATCACTGAATGGCTAGCCAACATTCCAGACCGACAACCTCCCCTAGACCGACTTAGCCATTCTCTCCATGAGTGGAAGAGGACGGGCTGAGGGAGATCAAAACCTCCTCAGACAGAGACCCACTCCTTTCAATAAGTGGTGCTTTGAAAGAGTGAGCGACAAATGGGACGTATTCCCCGAGGGTTCGCTGGGGCCCCAGTGCAGAGGGGATATAGGGGATAATGACCGGAACTCTCCTCCAGACTGACTTGGTCACTCTCTTCAATGAGTGACTCGGGAAATGGAATGAGGAAGATAAAACTAACCTCCTCGACCATACCCGTCATCTAAGCTGTGGGTGATGGGCAAAGGAAAGTGAGAGACATCTGAAGGCTCACTGCGAGAAAGTGACTATGACCGAGAACCCCTCCTCCAGACCGACTCAGTCATCCTCTTCAGTAGGTGACTGAGGCCACGAGGTGAGGGAGATTGATAACTTCCTCTGACCAGCCCCATCCTGTCTCCTTGACAAAGGCCGAAAAGAGGTAGAGACACCTTTCATTGAGGGTTTACCGGGAGATCCGAGAAAGCTCTGGACTTCTCGGCCGCCACCTGCTCATGCGGGTGGTGGCCGGGTGGATCTGGAGAGAAAACCCGCGAGGGAAATGGGATGATTTCTGACCGACACCCTCTTCCTGACCAAGTTAGCCATAGATAGTTGAGGCAATGGAGTGAGGAAGATCAACTTCAACTCTTGTCCAGCCAGTGGTAATTTTTATGAGTTCTGTCTGACCTTAGGGAGCAAGAGACATTTTGTCATCTTCGTATGTGGTGATGTGTTTCATGTTGTTGATACTACCCATGCTTTGTAATGATATTGTTTCCTTCCCACATCCCTCTCACTCCTCTTTCCATCAGTACCATCAAGTTTCCATCCCACAATGTATGTCGTCTCCCTTGTCCCATCCAAAGTCACTTTTCAGTTATGCCTGATCCAATATCTCCCTCATACACTTGCTAGTGCCAATGATGTGTTTGTTGGTTTTGAATTTGTCCATGTCCCTTTATGTCCTCAAGTGCCAACTACTGGCAATTTCACCATGACGCATCATGCATGATTGTCACGGCCAACGGAATGAGGGAGACCATGCCAAGAACAACAAGACGGGAGATGTTGAAGAGATAGACCAATCAAGATTATATCACTGCCAAGACCAACTTTTCACAGAGTGATACTCCAGTATTACCGGTGTTACTCGTGATGGCAGGATTGATACTGGAGGAGATGCTCTTGTATCTAGGACCTAGCTGGCCGCTCGTTAGGAGAGAGTACCTTAGTAATGAAACAGTTGTTAACCAACAACTGGTGACCGCAGTCAACCACATACTCTACTGTATGAGGAGGACAATCCTTCAGGCTCTATAACCTAGCCACTACCTTCGAACCCATGTCAGGAGGTTGAGGAATCGTCACAATGATGCTTTTGTATCAATTGGGTCTAAGCAAACCCGTCTGTGTCTTTGGGGTATTCTGACTATTTCCCGCGCGGGTAACACCCTCCCGTGCCGTTGGACTAGCGTCAGTTTTGAATACGAGATAAACACCTAGCAGGCGGCTTATTGGAGTCCTTCGTGCCATCATCGAGCGTCGTCTGGAAAGGAATGAGTTGATATGCCTACGAAAGGTAATAACGCGATTTGACAGACTACTACGCGATCTCACCATTCTGATATCAATTTTCCTTGTTCCAGCAACCCTCGCAAATCTTGATCGAGATTTCAATATCTCTGTGATAATGTCTTCAAAGAAGACCGTTCATATGTCTTAAATCTTCTGCCTATGAGGTGTAGGACCAAACATGAGGAAGGTACGGTCGAGTGCCGGAGTAAAGAACGTGCGATGAAGCAATCAAGTTCATTTCATGCTACACTTATGGGGCAAAGAAAGAAGGCAACAAAGGACAGGGCTCCAAAAAGGCACAAAATTTTATATAGATTGTGAGGTAGGAATCAGGTCAAGTCGTGGCTCTTGATGGTCTTTAAGTGGAATCCCAAGAACAAACGCACAATCATGAATTGCACATAGCTCTGTCAACAAGCCAGGGGCCCGCCCTGATATCGCATGCGTGGTGTAGCAATTAGATGTTGCGACTCAACACCAACGTGGAGGCTGGAAGCTCAAGAATGGTATAGAAATATTCCAGAGTCTGTGGGGGCTCGACTGGATGGCTTCGACCCTATTCGTGGCCTTTAAACCAAATTTTGGCCTTTTATGCTGTGGGCAGCGTGGTTTTGAACAAATAACAAGACCTGTTGACCCAGACGGGAGTTGAACGCGAAGTTCGACTGCGATTTCCTTGGGATGAAGAGACTCCAAGAAGGAAAAGCGCAATGGCCTGCGGGCCACGTGAGTGTCGAGACATTGTAGCTCCCAGTCTCCCATGTATAAATTCCTTGGTGACTTCCATGACATAAACAAGATCCAAATGATAACCTAACACCCTTTCCCCATTGGAATTGAGAGCTCACATCACATTACGCACTGTAAGCTGCTAGCACTCATTGGATACAACGTCAGTGGTTGAATACGTGAACATACTAGGGTATGAATAAGGGTAAGAACGGCATCTGAATGATGATGATAAGGATAAACCTTAACTGGAAAATGCATTTTGTATTATGGGGAGCTCTGGGAAGCTCTGAGGCTAGTTGAGTGTATTATTTACTCATCAATCATCCTACGTATAGGTCGCTTTGGAAGACCAACGAGTATGTGTTCCTCGTTGTATGGAGCTACCTCTTCTTGTCGATATCCTCTTAACAAGACAGCAGCATCGAGGCGACAATATTTTACTAAGAAAACTCACGTAACACCCAGGAAAACCAGTTGAACTGGTGAAAGTCTCAAATGTTCCTGAGGGTTGACGTTCAACATCTTGGCGATGTCAATCTGGACACTAACCCACGTCTTGGCAATGACGTCATGCCAAGCTAAATTCATCTTGTCCCGCCAAGTAGATCTGATGAGCAACGAGTTTGACCCCGCTGTCTTCCCCGCTAGCGATTTCAGGCTTTGCAGCATGCTCAAAAGCCCTTCAAAATTTGGGCTCTTGGCTCCTCATTATTACAAACTAGGTATCATCTATTCTCTAGTATCTCAGTGTGCAAATCCATGTTCTTAGAGGTTGAAAATGAATAGCTTGTATCTAGACACTTTCTACGGTTTGGGGTTTTGAAGTCTCTGGGGATGCGGTACTTGCCAAGGTTGGCCTTCAAGTCGTCCTTGTCCTTAATCTTTCTGATCTCAACAAAAAGCATGTAATGAGCTGGCTACCAATATCAGGGGTGCATGCAAGGACCCCGGCTTGTCGGTTCCAAATTTGGCCGATGCTGCAGCCCTAATAGATCCATGGGGATTTCAACAAAACCGATTCTCGACTCAGGGGAAAGCCAACAAATCCACCTAGGGCAGGAGCTAATGGCCACGCTAAGTCCACATATGAGTGCAACAACATTCCATTCACTCGCGCGCTGCACAACTCTCCTTAAACCATCTGCGTCTTTAACTACCGCAATCCGTTTCACGGTGAAGCTCCGATTTAATATCCTGTCATACTTTTCCACGACCGCATCCAAATCCTGTCCCACATCATCACAAAAACCCCAGCTTCCCCGGCTGCGCCGCTACACAGAAGCAGAACTGAACGCCATGACTGAGAGGGACATAATCAATTACCTGCAACAGACACACGATCGCGTCTTCGAGAACAACAAGGCCTGGGCGGCCGAGAAGAAGGCCAAGGACCCCCACTTTTTCGAGAAGCTGGCGGCCGGCCAAAACCCCGAGTATCTCTGGATCGGATGCAGCGATTCACGTATCCCCGCCGAGCAGATTACGGGTTTGGAGCCCGGCGACGCGTTCGTGCACCGCAACATTGCCAACCTCGTGTGTAACACCGACCTCAATGCCATGAGCGTCATCAACTATGCCGTCGAGCACCTCCACGTCAAGCACATCGTCGTGTGTGGGCACTACGGATGTGGTGGTGTAAAGGCGGCGTTGACTCCTAAAGATCTGGGCATTCTTAACCCCTGGCTGCGCAATATCCGCGATGTTTATCGCTTGCATGAGAAGGAGCTCGACGCCATCGAGGATGATCAAGCTCGGTATGATCGTCTCGTAGAGCTCAATGTGTATGAGCAGTGCCGCAACGTTATCAAGACCGCCAGTGTTCAGCAGTCCTACGCCAAGAACAAGTATCCCATTGTTCACGGCTGGGTGTTTGGCTTCCGCGACGGCCTACTGAAGGACCTTAAGATCGATTTCGAGACCGTTCTCAAGGACATCCAGAAGATTTACAACCTCACCGAGTCATAGATGCGAAGTTATGACAATGGAAGGGCATTCGCTGGCTGCATGATATTATTCGCGTATTCTACCCTCGACTTTTGAAGATTGACTAGACAACACTTGGATTATAGGCATTCGGTGACCCTGCTTTTTGACATAGGCTGTTTGACATTCGGGATTATTTTCGATTTCACAAATAGCCTTCATTTCAAAACAAACTTCATCGGAATAGAGTTGCCTTAACAAAAATATTGCCCCGAGAGGTGAAAGAAACAATTCTCCGTGATATCCATGATTGTAACGTTTTGTACTTTTCCTGCATACGCCACCCGAGGAGTTGAGAAGCGTCTAATTTTACAACAAGATTTGAGTAATCGCTTACTCTGCACAGGTTGCGGTCTATCCAAAACACAAATTGCCTGCCAATTCGTTCCATTCTCACAGCTTCATGGTCATCAGCTCCACCATTGAGTCAACAGACCCAAGCGCAGCCCTCAATCCCACATCCACAGCTCGCTTGTACCTCACCAACAGCACCACAGCGCCGGCCAGCACAGGCATGCCCACAAGTGCCATAAACCCGCGCACCAGCATGTCCCCCTGATACTGGCTTTTCTTCTTGACCTCTGAGTACCGCTGATTGCTGAACGACACCCGAGAATACTGTGTCTGCCAGCCCAGCCACGGCGCATGCTTGGACAGCTTCTCCTCAAGCCACTTGCGCAAGAGGTACTTCCGCGATAGCACCTTGGCACGCATCTCCTCATAATTGTTGAGCGCCATGTCATTGATGGCATGCGCATCGGGGACGCGGATCGCTGTGTACTCTTCGAGGGCACGAGCTCGCGACTCGACGGCGAACTTGGAGTCAGGAGAGAGGAGCTCGTCCATCCGGGCATGTTTGTCTAGGATATCAAAGAGGATTCGGACTGACTCGAGCCCCGCATTCATGCCTTGGCCGTAAAAAGGCACCATGGCGTGGGCAGCGTCGCCGAGGATAACGACCGAAGACCCGTAGTGGTAGGGTTTGCACTTGATGCTGATGAGGGGAAGGTGGGGGTTTTGCTGGAAGGAAGAGATGAGTTCTTCAGGGGGGATAAGTTGCGTCACGCCGGGGAAGTGTTCGTCGAAGAAGGGGATGAGGAGAGCGGTTGGGTCGGACTCCAACTTGGAGTAAACCCAAGGAGGAGCGAAGAGGGTGCAGACGAAGGCACCGCCCTGAGACTATTAGCCGTATGAGGATAAAAAATGGCTGGACTTTCTCACCTCTCCTGGAATGGCAATGAACATGAATTCTTTGGCTGGCCAAATGTGTAAGTGGTTTGGAGAGATCCTGTACCTGGACATAGGATTTTCGTCTGGGGCCGATTCCTTGGGCTTGATCTGGAACTCGCACCAGAGGGCGGGGACGTAGGTTTGCTGGTAATCCATCTGGGTGAATTTCATCATGTGGTAGCGAACAGCGGAGTGAGCCCCGTCGCATCCAAGCATGAGGTCGAAGCTGATCTCAATTTCGCGCCGGTCCCCCGGATTTCGGCTCGACCCATTTTCGCGGACTTCAAACCATGCCTTGTTTTGCTTGAAGTCTGCTCCTGTGAGCTTGTGGTTAAAGAAGAATTTCACATTGGGCATAGCCTCAAGGATATCGAGAAGCCTCTTATTGAGGCCGCCGCGATCAATTGCCAGGATGGCCTATGACGTCAGCTAAAAGGCCCCCGAAGACGATGCTACGAAGCAACAAGAACAATTAAGGGTCATGGAGTCGTACATTGCCGTGCACAGGATCATAGTCTTGCGGTTCCTCGCACAAAGCGCCGGCTGCCGTCCTGCGGTGGATCATCCGGCCGCGCATCGGGATAGTGGCGGCCAGGACATTCTCAACGAGGTTTGGTTGGTCGGCATGGCGCATAGCATTAAGACCGCGCTCTGAGAGTGCAAGGTTGATGGATTTGGTGAAGTTCAGGGGAATGGTGGACGGATCGCGGAGATCTGCAGGGCGATCATGTCAACACCCAGATCCCGTTTGTAACATGGCATCGCCGAGTTCATGGCCGCCGCGACGATGCGCAACCGCAACCGCCAGTAAATTGATGTGAGAATGTGTAAAAAACGCACCACCTCGAAGTTCGTAAATTTCAACGCTGTGGCCTCTGTTTGCCGCGTACAGCGCGGCTAGAGAGCCAACAGGACCGGCGCCCACAATCGCAACCCTCAGTTTTCCTTCCATTGCGAGTCTGAGATCTGGAAAAAAATGCTGTTGGTCCGATCTCGCCGGCTCACCTCGAGATCAGTCGACAAGAAGGTGCCTTCGGCTAGTCCCGACTGTCTCATTTGGGTTGGGTACCTCCGGGGACGCCCCTATCCATTACCGCCCACACACCCCCTCCTGCGATGCCCACCTCTTCATATCAGGGTTGAGTTTGTTGCCACTGGCCATCATTACCCTGGAGTCCCGCAGTGTTCGAGAACGCTTTGATACTGCGGGGTGAATCAGCCACAGTTGCCCCGCGGCACCGAGTTCCGCACTGACGTTCCGTTACCCGGTGAAATTACATGTAAATGCAGTCATAACAGGGTTAGGGCCAAGATCACAGCCTATCTGGTCTGCGTCATGTCTCTGTGATAAACGCAAGATGATAAAGCTCCAATTTGGCTAGGGAATAATCATAAATATCAGTTTCCACCATTTGTCCGTGCCTTGTGCTTCGGCTCAATGTCTCGGTAGAAATTCATAGCATCGCTTCTGAGTGCAAGATCTGGTGATGTAAGATACACTGTACGGAACATGAAACGTAACTTTTTGAGCGCCACAGCCGTCCGTGGCACCCGCGCGACAACAAAAAAACTGCAAGCACTACGAGCCATTGCCTTTCCTGAGCGAGGCTATGGGCTGCTTGGGATATTAAAGCGCCTCGGCATCGGACGCGCGAGATCTTCACAGTCGCTAGAATCTAATAAGCGACCGTTGTACTTTTTTGACAACCAGAAACCGCATAGCCCAACGACATCTACCTTCGTTCCTTCGCGATCGCATCTTCTTCCATTTCCCCTAGAAAGCATCCCATCTGCAAGCCTCATAGACCGCACACCCCCCAACATCATGACTGAAGAACCGCCGAAGAAAAGAAAGTGCCTCGGGGCCGACTGTGAAAATGAGGCCAGCTCCTTGCAGTGCCCTAAGTGCCTCGCTCTGGGCATTAAGGAAAGCTACTTCTGCTCTCAAGAATGCTTCAAAAAGAACTGGGTAAACTGCTTCATGGCGCGCTCCTTGTGGGCTTCTGCGGCTAACAGTTAGCCAGGCTACACACAAGAATATGCACAAGCAAGAAAATAGTATTTTGAACCACCTCTTCCCTCCAAAGGCTGTATCTAAACCTGATCCAGAGACCGGCTACTTCAATCCGTGGCCGAACTTCAAGTATACCGGCACGCTGCGACCGGTCTACCCGCTCTCCCCGAGACGTCCCGTGCCCGACCACATCCCCCGTCCTGATTACGCCGAGGATGGTATCCCTAAGGCCGGCAGATCGCTTGTCCGGTCAAACAAGATCGAGATCCTCGACGCCAAGTCGATAGAAGGCATGCGGAAGGTGTGCCGGTTGGCCAGAGAAGTTCTGGACATTGCGGCTGCCGCCCTGCGTCCCGGTATTACGACCGACGAGATCGATGAGATTGTACATAACGCTTGCATCGAGCGCAATGTGAGGCTCATACCGGCTGCTTTAACACCATGCGTTGTCTTGGCTAATTCACGCGATAGGCGTATCCTTCCCCTCTGAACTACAACGGCTTCCCCAAGTCAGTATGTACATCAGTCAACGAGGTCATTTGCCATGGAATTCCTGACAAGCGCGTCCTCCTGGACGGCGACATCGTCAACCTTGACGTCACTCTCTACCATGAGGGTTTCCATGGTGACTTGAACGAGACATACTACGTGGGCGACCGGGCCAAGGCCGATCCCGACTCTGTCCGTGTCGTGGAGACGGCGCGCGAGTGCCTGGAGAAAGCCATCCAGCTGGTTAAGCCAGGGACTCTGTTCCGCGAGTTTGGCAACGTCATCGAGGAGCACGCAAAGTCCCGTGGCTGCAGTGTTATCCGTACGTACGTTGGACATGGCATCAATCGCATTTTCCATTGTCCGCCAAATATCCCTCACTACGCCAAAAACAAGGCTGTTGGCGAGTGCAAGCCTGGCATGACATTCACCATTGAGCCTATGATTGCTTTGGGCAAGTACAGAGATGTCACCTGGCCCGATAACTGGACTGCGGTGACGATTGACGGCAAGCGTACTGCTCAGTTTGGTGAGTTTTATACATTGCAAGGCCTAGGAAGGTCTAGTTCCAGCTGACACCTCCATAGAGCACACTCTCCTGGTGACTGAGACTGGTGTTGAGGTGCTGACTGCCCGAACACCGAACTCTCCCGGCGGGCCCGTTCCTATGCCCCCCGCGGGTGACTCTGCGGCTTCGGATGGAAAGAACTAGGAGGTGAACGGGAGCAAGATCTAGAAACGCAACACTCTGTGATCTTAGTCCTTCAATACCCTCTGGTTTTCTGTGATACCCAGCAACGTGTTGGCCTGAGCTAAACGCCCAATTGGTAATGGGGTTGAGTTTGAGGTTACTCCCTCCTTTGACAGAGATAAATGGTAGTTCTAGACAAAAGGGCCAACCACATGGCTATCAAATATAATCAAGGCTTAGCAACCTACTCGCTACCTACCCCACACACCTGCACTCTACAATTTGATCGTCAACCTTCAGCACATCACGTCATTCCCTCCGCAGCCTTATCGCTCTTATCATGCGCTGAAGCCCCACACCAAAGGCCGTGTTGTGAACTTGCAGCCAAGCTTGGGCCACTACAAAAGCCCAGCCGAGAAAGACACTGTGCCCCACTCACAGCTTTCGGCTCCTGCAGGCTGCCAGCAACCAACCACCAGCTTAAGAATCCGCCTGCGATCCACACAAGTTCTGCCCACGTGTGTTGAGAGCTTCGCTCTGCACCTCCCGCTTTTCATTCTGCACCACGCTCAAACTACGCCGCGCAGCCTAAACCACGACACCGGCTTCTAGGCCCATCTCGCACCCTCCCCCTCCCCCAGACCCTTACCTACGACAACTCGGCTGCCCAGGGCAACCCCTCGCTCTCTATCTCTAGCCTTACTTCGGCGCACGAAGCGACCCAAACGAAAACCCATCCGTTGGGTTGATTTCCAGCCCTTCTTCCGTCATCGTTGCGCATCGGGACGCTGTTACTCGACACATACCTCTCGGGCGCGATATCCGACTATTAGTATCCCTCTATCGAGACGTGATACGCATAGAGCCTATTCCACACCACGAGTAATTTTCCCCATCAATAATCAGCAGACACCAAGATGTCGGGTGAAGCGTGGCTCTACCTCTTCGCGGTCATCATAAATGCCGTCAACCTGTTCCTGCAGGTTTTCTTCACCATCATGTACAGTGATCTTGAGTGGTATGTCTACCTGATTGCTACAAAGGGACCGGGGGCGAAGATTGGCTCCCGGCCAGTGATGTTGTTGACGACACGACCGCTTTTGCTTTGATCGAACGATTGATCGCTGATTTGGGTCTAAACGTTTAGTGACTACATCAACCCGATCGACCTTTGCAACAGGCTCAATGGATACATTATCCCCGAGGTGGCCATCCATGGCTTCCTCACCTTTCTGTTCCTCATCAACGGCTACTGGCTGCCGCTGATCCTCAACCTCCCCCTCCTCGGCTGGAATGTCAAGAAGTACGTTGTGTGGAGCCTGGAAACATCCAGAATCATTAGCCCTCAAGAATGAGGGAACAAATTGTTAAGAGCACCCGCTGACTATGGACGCAACACAGAATCATTGATAACACGCACCTGCTGGACGCCACTGAGATCTTCCGCAAGCTCAATGTGCACAAGAAGGTACCATTGCCCTGACCCCCTTGTCGGCCCCCAATTTAGCAAGGCTAATACGCCCTTCTCCACAGGAATCCTTCACCAAGCTCGGCTTCCACCTCATCATGTTCTTCTTTTACCTGTACAGCATGATTGTCGCCCTCATCCGCGACGAGGCCCACTAAGCGTGCACATGGATCACCCTTTTCTTATTGTTTCTGGGGCCGGTATAGGCCGGTATTGCCCAGGTCTGTGTCGGCACGGGTGTATGATTCCATGGAGGAGGCCCTACCTAGGTCCTCTGTGTGAATCTACCGGCGACAAGGCGGTGGTGGCGATGTGATGTAAGGAATAAGGGTTTACGATTGAGACAAACAAACGACCATCTTGAAATAGACACGGATTCGAATTCGGACTTCCGGATGGTCTCTGTGCGGTTTGTAAAGGAACGGACGGAATGAACATCAAACGGAATGGACGAATGTACTATTGGTAATAATGAAATGACCCGTCACTGTGGATGGAATGAATGTGTCATGAACTAGTGCGAAGAACGAGACGTGGGGCATTCTGAGTTGCATTGAAGGGACTTGAGTTAAAGGCAATGGCTGCGGGCCGGCGGTTAGGACCGGGGGAGGCTGGGTCTCTTCCTTTTTTTTTCCCCTCATTACCTCATCTTTTCTACCTTCCTATTGTACCCCTACGTTTCTTGTTGTCTGTGGTGTGGATCTGGATGTGGAATAGCTGTTGCGGGCATTTGTAGATATTCGGACTCCTGGTACGCATACGGACATAGCTAACGTGGTGGATGTCAGTTTGGCATTTTACTGTCAAAACGCTTGCTTCTAACCCTTTCAACAAAGTCTTAAAGCTTTTGTTTTTAGTATTTGGTCTTTTTAATGAGCCCATGAATCATGCTTGGGGGATCGTTCAGTCGACATCCTTGCTACAATATTCCTAACGAAGCCCCCTCGTCAACATAGGCCCAGCACTTGTAAAATGTTGTCAAAATAAGCTCAACAAGCTCACTGGGGTTAACATGTGAAACTGCGGTGCGAACGAAAGCCAATCTTCAATGGACCGCTGACTTTGCGCCAAGCCTGATGTGATCCGTGAGCCAAGGCTTTTCCTTATCTTATCGAGGCGCGCCGAGAAGTGATGCAGCAATCGAGTGACGAAGGCAGCTTTCTGCGATCAAGTCCCGGCCCCTTCATCACTTTCAACCACAGGTTTTTCTTTCTCCCATCCCAAAAAATCAACCCAAATACTGTCCAGAACTGTCCCATCGACAGAGGCGAACCCGAAATCACCCCAGAATGCCCGACTTCGGCGAATACCCCCCCAACCTCCCCGTGCGCGACGCCCTCATCCTCCGCGAATCCCAAGCCCAAGCTCCGACCGCAAACCATGCCGTCGTCCCCTACACCGGCGAAAATCTTGCGCGCCCCTCCTACGGCCCGGCCAACCCCTTCCGCGACACATCCTCGTCATCGGCCAGCGCGTCAGGCTCGCTCAAACGCAAGAATAATGTTTTGACCGGTCATGCGGAGGAGATGTATATCTCTGAAGCCACGTTTCGGGCAAAACACAGGGCCGTGGAGGCGGTTGGGGGAGGCGTGATGAGGAGTAATCGAGAGATGAAGGAGGTTAATAAGAGATTGAGGGAGATGCGGGAGGATAAGGGGAGCGCGACGATTGCGGATGGGGAGGGAGCTTATATCGGACCGTGGGCGAGGTATAAGCGGAGGGAGGAATACGAAGTTGTGGACAAGAAGGGGGAGGAGGAGGATGGGGATGAGTATGAGGAGGTTGAGGTGACGGATGAGGAAGAAGAAGTTATTGAGAGTGGGACAGTGCTCAAGGCGCCTGAGCCTGCGATTGCAAGACGCAAGGAGGCTGAGGAGATGGGAGAGGAAAGGACGGAGTTTCTGGGCGAAAGCGAGTACGATTATTTGGGGCGGACGTACATGCATGTGCCACAGGATTTGGATGTCTCGCTCAACAAGGAGGTGGGCAGTATCACAAATTATATCCCCAAGAAGCTTATTTATACATGGAGGCATCACGGCGGGAAGCCGATTACGGCTCTGCAGCTCTTCCCGAGGTCGAGTCATCTTGGGTTGGCGGGGAGCGCGGATGGCGTGGTCAAGATCTTCGATGTTTATCGTGGGAGGGAGCTGTTGCGCTCGTATAGCGGGCATAATAAGGCGATTACGGATCTTTCGTTCTGCAATGATGGAACCAAGTTCCTGTCGGGAGGGTTTGATAGGAAGATCAGGTTGTGGGATACGGAAACTGGTCAGTGTGTCAACAGGTTTAATATTGGCAAGACACCTCATGTCATCAAGTTCAACCCGTCGAGTGAGAACGGGCACGAATTCCTGGCTGGGTTGTCAGACAAGCGCATTGTGCAGTATGACACTCGCGCTGGCAATGATACGGTGCAAGAGTACGACCGTCATCTTGGGCCGATCAACACCATCGAGTACATCGATGAGAACCGACGGTTCATGTCGACGTCGGATGACCGGTCGCTCAAGGTCTGGGAATATGGCATTCCTGTCGAGATCAAGACCATCAGGTATGTTTCTCCTTCCCCCTCATCTAGATGAACATTTGCTAATATCTCCTTAGCGAACCGGACATGTTCGCCCTCACTAAATCCGCCCAACACCCCAACGGCAAGTACGTCCTCTACCAGTGCAGCGACAACTCCATTGTCGCCTACTCCTGCAGCGGCGACAAGTTCCGGCAGCACCGCAAGAAGGCTTGGCGCGGGCATAACACGGCCGGCAGCGCCATCGGGCTTACATGCAGCCCAGATGGGCAGTTTGTTGCGTCTGGCGATACCAGCGGCAGCGTCTGCTTCTGGGACTTCAAGACGTGCAAGCTGTACAGCAAGCTCACGGCTGATAGTGCCGGCGGTATTATCAATTGTGTTGCGTGGTCAGAGCAGGAGACTAGCAAGGTGTTTACGGCGGGGGCGAAGGGAGAGATTAAGTTGTGGGATTAGACATGGGGCATCATTGTTTTCTGTTCGAGCTATTGTCTAATATTCAGCGCTGGGTACATTATGGGTATTTGTTTGGGCACAACCTGCTTTTAGACATCAAACAATAAACAGACGGTTTGATTTCCTTTACTTCCCAACGCCCTCAGTCTCCGCAATCCTAAAAACATACTTCACCGCACTGGCCTCTCCCGCTTTCAACTTCCTCAACGCTCCCTCGATGCCCCCCAACCCCCCTGGCACAACCTCCCATTTCTGCCCCTTAAACCAACCCTCATGCAGGCCTTTCGCAAAATACCGGAAAAATACATAGCCCAGGTCCTTCCCCTCTTCTTTACTATGCACATCACCGACCGTCGTGACGCTCTGCTCCACCCCGTCGGGAACACCCTCTTGCTTGTGGCCTAGAACGAAGGTTACTTTGGGTTTAACCCCGTCGGGGGTGTCAATGGCTCCGACGCGGCGGAATACTTCGCCTATGTTGCGCGCGCTGCTGCCTTCCGAAACAGCGTCCAGGGCGTGCTTGACAGGTGGGAAGCCCTTGTCTTTCAGCGCGGCCACAAGGCCGGAAATGACCGCCTCGTCGCCCTCGCGGTAGTCGACTACAGCGTCGCCTTTGCTCGGATCGAGGTGGGATAAGACGTAATCTTTTGACCGGCCTGCAACGCACAGCAATGGGTGGATGTTACTCCGCTTGGCGAGCTGCAGGGCGTAAAAGCCAACCGCGGAGCCGGCGCCGTAAATGATTAGTGGCAAGGGGGAGGTGATCGGGGTCCAGGGTTGCGGGAGGGAGAGACGGTGGTAGAGCGCTACGGCCGAGGTAGCGGCTGCGAGGGGGATTGTCGCTGCTTCTGTTCAGCTTGTCAACACCCACTCCCCGCCCATACCTAACATACCTAACTCTAACAAATTGGCAGGGGACTAACCCTCAAAACTGATATTCTCCGGGATATGGAAAGTACTATGCTGCCACGCCACGGCATACTCGGCATAACTTCCTCCCGGCGTGCGCATCTCATGGAAAGCGGCGACGCGGTCGCCGGGCTTGAATTCATAGACGTTGGCACCGACCCTTTCCACAATGCCGGCGATGTCGTCACCCTGGTTGGTGGCGCCGGGGATATTGAAGAGGTCTGGAAGCTTCCAGTCTTTGGGGTTGCTTCCGGAGACGATGACGCGGATGAGAAGCTGGTTTTCGTTGATTTCAGGGAGGGGGGAGTCGACGATTTGGACGTGCGTTCCTGTGAGGTGTTAGAATGAGAATCAGAGAAGATTCGAGAGAGCTGACGAGAGTACCTTTGCTCACAAGAGCTTCTTTCATTGTGGTAGCCGCGTTAATGATACTCCTATCTGCTTGAAGTCTGGTATTCAACTGAAACTGAAAGTAGCAATACATCCATCAACCCCAACGATAACATCCAGGCTTCTAAACGCTCCTCTTATACCCCCAAATCCACCCCACAAACACCGTTACATTCACTCAATGCGGCTATCTTAGCCAAGTCATTCAGTTCCCATGAACACATCCGATCCACATAGATAAGAGGGGAACTTTCTTCCCTGTTTACTTAGCAAACATTACCAACCTACCAACCCCAATATCACCCCGCCCCCACCTACCTAAAAGGCTGGCACCATCAGACATCGGTTCCGCACCAACCGGAGTGTCCGGCTCCCGAATGGAACCTCGTCCCGTCATCGAATGTATCTTGCGTGTACCAGGCAATTGGTTGAAGCGTCAGACTCCTTGCCGAGAGCCCGAGAGGATGAGAAAGCTGGGGAAGAGCCCCGCACTTGCTCCATCCCCACCCGCGATGGCGTCACCTTGGGGTAGGACTCGTAGGTGTATTAGTAAAGAACTTTCAGGTTCTGTCGACTTCTGAAGAAATCTACTTACTTGTCAATGGATCCAGCCTTATGGAAGAAAGGACGCCGGAAGTGCGTAATTTACGTCTTGAACCACCTGGGTCGGAGCTAAAACTGGAATCCGGTGGTGCGGCTGCCGCCAGGGAAGAACGGGAGGATGACCCTGTGTAGTCAGTCTCGCAATATTAACCTCCAGCCTCTTAATCGTTCAGGGCAAAATCCGTCGCGAATTCGTTTAGCCAAGATTGTCAGCTGCAGGCTATGAAGCAACATCAAGCGTAGGAAGATTATATTTCGGCACAGGATATTCGCCGGGAACTCGATGCTAAGTACGGGGTAACCCGCTTGCATTTTATGTTACTTTTATGAAAACCTATAGCTAGATGCACCCAACTCCCAAAAACCCGATAACAAGATAGAGCAAGAAGAGAAGAACTAGACCCCTTCATCCAGACCAATCATTACCCTACGTTGCTCCTTACATCTCTCTGACCCTGACTCCCTGAGCCAAAGTTCTGCTCTTTGACATCTCCAAAGATCGAGTCATTTCTGACTCCCCTTAAGAAGAGACATCAGTTCCAGCGAAACCCAAAAGCTCATTCCACCTCTCGGCAGTCTGGGCATTCCTCGTACCGAGAGCCTGAATCTCCGCCTTGGCCGCCTGGCAAGCATCCTTCGCAGCCTGGTTGGCCCCGCAGATATTGGTCAGCTCGTCGCAGATGCGGTTGGTGATGATATTGGGGTTGAGGGCCTCCTGCTGGCGGGCCGCGATCTTAGGGTCTTTGGACTGGAAGGTGAACTCAGTCGCGGGCCGGCCACCGAGACCGCCGACGAACTTCATGGTCGGGACGCAGGAGCCGAAGTCGAGGCCGGGGATGGTGGACTTCTGGACGCCGGTATTGTTGTTGTTGTTGTTGTTGTTGTTGCCAGTAGCGGGGTTGGCGGTCGGAGAAGCAGTGACGATGACGGTCGTCAGGGTGGTGCGGACCGCGCAGGCGGCGCGGGTAGTGGTAGCCACGGCCGAGGTGGTGGTCGCAGCACCGCCGCCGCCGCCGTTGTTGTTGTTGTTGTTGTTGTTGTTGTTGTTGTTGTTGTTGTTGTTGCCACCATTGTTACCAGCGGTCTGGCCATTCGAAGCCTGGCGAGTGAAGTTGGAGAAGCCGTTAGCCTCCATGATATCGGCAACGCTCAAGCCGTTGGCGTTGAAAGGGTTCTGGAGAGAACGGGCCGAATTGGCATTCTCGATGTCGGAGCCCACGACGGCGGGATCGACGAGCGGGACAATGCCACGCAGCTCGGGAGTGGCAGGCAGGTTGACGTCAGAGCAGATTGTTGGGATGGACTGCACGAAGGGGTTGAAGTTCTTCTCAGCCGCGACCAGAGCCTTGGCGGCCTCAATGACCTGCGGGTCATTACCAAGGGTCGCGACGATCTGATCAGCCAGTTGCAGCTATCGACTGTTAGCAATGTTTGGTAAACTCTCACGGGTCTCCGTTGCTCACCTTAGCGCAGGCATTAGCGCCAGCAAGCAGCACACCAGGAGTCTGGCCAGCGAGAGTGGCAGCCTGACCAGGTTGGCCAAAGTTGCCCAGGGCCTGGACGATGGCCTGGACAGCGCCCTCCTGACCAAAACGAGCCTCAACAGAAGCGATGAAGGCAGCAGCAAGAATAGCCTTGGCGTACATTTTGGCGACCAGCTGGTTTGGAGTCGGGTATTGGTATTAACTCAGTAAGTTGATCGTTGAAAGCAAGAATCGAAGACCGACCAAGCGGTTTGTAATGAATGACTAAAGTGAAACGAAGCGAAGAACGAAGCGAAAGTTCACAGAACCTTGGAAAAGACCGTCGAGGCGTAGAAAGAAAGGAACGAACAACTTGCTGTGGTGAAGAACAAAGGGAATGGCCAGACTCGGGCTGGTGGACGATCAACTTATATACCAGTGGACATGATCTACGGCTCAAGCGCTGTGGGGAATGATGAGCGCCCGGATGGATGACAGCTCCAGGAACTGAGCTCATTGTCGATGCCCCCTAATGACGATCATACTGGCGCATAGCCGGGATCCGAGCATGGGGTATTGACCAAGACAGGAAAGTAGACGTAGGTCAGCGTCTGGAGAGAGGCTCGCTTGGGTGGTAGTTCTCAGGCACAAGATCTAGGCGCTAGGGTAGGGCTAGACGAAGCATCAGAGGTCGTGGACCCCTGTTGAGCCAAACGGTGCACCGCCGCCCTGGATCTGAGGCCAAACGCCCGACAAGAGCAGGATCCCTGTTCGTCTGAAGTCAGTGTTGGCAGAGATGTTTGTGATCTCAGGCAATGATTTCCTAGCTGGACCTGATCACTGGAGAGAAGAGGATCAGGGACACTTATGCATTGTAAACAATTGAATGAACACAGCATAGAGCATGATCCGGCGTACATCACTTTGAAGCGTTCGAAGCTATACTCAGTTATAGCATAGGACGTGCGGGAGCTCAGCACGACTGTAAGTGTATCGCGGATGGTGTGCACCTGGTCCTAAGCATCGACAAGCGCGAGGATGCAACTCTACATCGGCGGACACCTTCCCGAGCGCTTGCACAGGAAGGCCAGGTATGACGAGAGTTTCAAGGGACAAAGTCAGCCTAGGCCTATCAAGATCTCGTAGAACGGTTCGCGCCGTAGGTTGAGAAGCCTGTGTTCCAGAGACACCGAGAAGCAGGATGATTGCAGCAGATCTGAGATGTGGCTGCGTCCCCATTTCTTGGCAACAGCCTTGTGCGCCACTAGGATTCCGCGCACTCTTGGAATCATCTGATCGGAGAATTGGCTGTCCGAAGCGAGGCCCGTTGGAATGGCCTATGTTCGAACGAGCCGGAAATGCGCCGGTCGCGCAACCGCGGTGTCATTGTGTAGGAGTTAATCGTTGTTGAGTCTTGAGACTCAAAAAGCTTGAAAACTCGACCCCGCGTCTCCGGCGTTTGAGTTTGGTTATCTTGGCATATGAACCCCTGTCAAGCCCATTTGGCCTGTGCGTTTATGTTGTGCTTGGCGCTAGCTTCATGGGTCTATGCATTTCTTGGAGTTTCAATTCATCAGCCGGCGTGTTCAGCTCTCTAAGCCGCTCTCATCAACGTTCTGGTGCTCGACGATCTGCAGTCCATCATTTTGAACAATCAATGGATTCTTACTTATCTTATCGATCTTTGGTTGCTGAGTTAAACATCAAGGCTGTTGACAACAGTTGCTCAGTTGCTGAAACCCAAACCCAGATCCCTCCCGATGTAACGCTCTTCGGATGCGGCTCGCTACGGACAAGTGTCGCGGATCAGTCCCCTTACAGCCAGTCGCGTACTGTCCCTTCGTCGGGATTGGCAACGTCAAACGCCATGGCCAGGGTGTTGTGACATATTCGAGACGTCACACCAAAACGCTGGCTTCGATGTCTGACAGACCCAGTAGCAGATTGTACGTGCTTTGTCTTTGTGTAGTCTTCTTTGATGCTGCACATATCGTTGTCGGCTGCTCGCGGATAAGAGCGCCTAGTTCGAAGCGGTCAGTATCACGTGCCAGCGAGCCGTTTTCCAAGCGAGAGAGGATGTGATAGTCTCCTATGTACAGCCTTCGAATGCTTCGAAGTCCGGATGAAGCACTCCTAGATCGATGGCTTCGATTATGCCAAGAGCCTTTGAGAATTCTGCAATTGATAGGAAGCTGTGAGACAGCTAATTGGCTGGGTTGTTGTTGATCAAAACTCAACTTTATTTCAACAACAAGTATATGTCTCATTTGCGGTCAACCATGTTTTCCTGCCTCGCTGCGGAAGGGGCTCCGGTTGATCACCATGGCAATCACTACCAACACCTGGTTGAGCGCTTACAGATCACCAAACTTTACAGATATCGCCACTCTTGTGCCTGAAAAACTTAGAATGTGTCGTTAGATTTGCCGATCAAAACACCACATTCATTGGTTTCGTCCGAAGTTTTGGATTGAGAAAAGACATGTGTAGATCATCAGTCACAGGGCTCAGAGTGACATTGACTTCATTGTTTCACCCCGCAAAGGGATGGTTGGTATGGTGGTGAATACTCAGCCCACAATCATCCCAAGTTAAAATCATTCTCTAAGTGAAAGGCATCAGCACCACAACGGTTGCCTAGTATCAGGCTTTCAAAGATCTCTATTTAAAGCCTCTCTGCTGGCAAAGAAGGCTTAACACCTGGATGGCCATAAACAATGATAGCATAGCTGTAAATATCAAAGATGGGTTCGTCGTTCTTATTACTCTGCGGAAGAGTCGGCCGCAGAACTGCTACTTGGCCAGGTGATCAAGCAAGCTAATGAAGAGGGAAAGAGCAACTGGTCAAAAAGGCCAAACGCTAAGGTTGTTCGAGTGACCAAGCTGGACATAGGGAAAGCTTTTTTGCTCTTACTTTCCCGATTTAACATGAGAAATTTCAACAAATTCGGCCATATCCTATGCTTCTCCCTTGGAAAATGTCAAGTCATCCTTCTAACAGCTTGAAGAAACACATCCATGGTCGATGCATGTTTTTTCTTAACTTGACTACCTCAAAGCCAGCTGATGGTGGAAAAGAACTCAATAGGTCATACTCTCACTGTTTCCCTCCGGATCTCGAAAGCGTAAATAAACACATTTTCGTCAACAAGAGCCATCCGCTTGCTCACACAACAAGACGAAGTTGGACCATAATCGGCTTTCTTAAGCACGATATGTCTTGTGATAATAACAATGTCGGTAATGCTGATGTGGATGGCATGCAAACAACAGCAACAATGGCCCGGACAAATGTCCAAGTAGTCTCGGCGAGTGGTGACCGGCAGCAATCCATTTGTACTACTGACCGCTCTCGATGTCAAAGCAACAAGCAAGGGACCCTAGACTTTGTTACCAACACTGGAGAGACGACAACTGAGCATCCAGACCGTCAACAAGAAGGAGTTATAAACCCGAACATAATCGAACAGGTCAACATGAGGACCACAGTGACAGCCGAGATCAAGATCAAGCCATTCGATTATGATGCATCCGACAACAGTTGTGCCTTGGCTATGGTCGAAGAAGGCTCTACTGTCATCGGCTGGAACGAGAACGACCCTTTCAACCCGCGGAATTGGTCAGTCCGTCGCAAAATGGTCAATATCGGTCTTGTCTGCTACCTTTCCTTCCTGGTCACCTTGAGGTCGACCTTAATAGCGCCGGGTGTCTTGCAGATTATGGATGAGTTCAATGCCTTAGCTAATTTGCTTTTGACTACGTTTGTGGTGTCGGTTTACGTACTCGGTCTTGTGGGGGGTCCTCTTTTTGCCGGCCCTCTTGGTGAGAGTTTTGGTCGACTCCCACTTTACCATGTTTCCAACGTCGGCTTCGTTGGGTTCACTGCTGCATGTGCATTCGCCCCATCGTTGGGTTGTCTTGTCGCCTTTCGCTTCTTCTCTGGCATGTTTGGAGGAGGCCTGCTTATAATCGGGTCCAGCACCATAGCGGACTTGATCGTCCCCGACCAGCGCGGCATCCTGATGAGATTTTACAACATCATACCCCTGATTGGACCTCTCATCGCACCTATCCCGGGAAGTTTCATGGTCGCGAAACTCGGTTGGCGTTGGGTTTTCTGGGGTGAAGCCATGATGGCCAGTGCTACCATGCTCATCATGTTCGTATTTCTAGAAGAGACTTACGGTCCAATCTTGCTTCAACGTCGGGTCAAGCGTTTGAAGAGGGAGTCAGGGAACGAGTGCCTGCAGCCAAGCCAAGGGTCCAGGCTGATGTCTATTGAACGATTGAAACAACATTTCGTTCAGGTTGCTCGGCTCTTCATCTTCAGTCCACTTTGCCATATATATGTCGTCTGTCAGGCGATCATATATGGTTACGCTTACGTCCTTCTCACAACTGTCCGCATCCTGTTCACAAGCCAGGACTTTTACCCACACTTCACAACCAGTAACATCGGACTGGTGTTCATTGGCTTGGTTATCGGGGCATTGACTGGCCTTGCGCAGTACTGGTTTCTTAACAGCCGCGTAACCAAGTTCATGCTGGCGTCGAGGAGGTTTGTAAAGCCTGAGCATAAGCTAGTTCCATCGACTTTGGGAGTCATGATGATGCTAGTCGGATATCTCTTGTATGGCTGGGGGACAGGGCTCGACTTCCATTGGTGGGTGCCCATCTTGGGGCACTTAATCACGTAAGTTGATCAGTTCGAGATAAGGGTTGATCAAGCTGACATCAAGAAAAGTGGGATGGGAATCTCAATCGGCTTCATGTGCTTCAATGAGGTATGCTGTCCCTGGCCTGGAGTTATAGTCGGAGTGCTGACACAGGAGAGGCCCTTGAAGAGACCTTTCATCTTCACATAAGAGCAGCGACCGCGGCAGCAGCCATAGTCAGGTCTGTTGTGGGTGGCATGATGCCGCTCTTTGCCCTGAAGATATACTATTCCCTGTGGCTAGCTTGGACCAACACCTTGTTGGCATGCCTGATCTTTCTGCTGGCGCCAATATCCATTTTGCTCGTTCGGTTCAGTGATGATCTGATGAGACGGTTCCCGGTTGACGATTCATGATGGGCTGGGGTGGTTGTCAGGAATATTAACCTGTGATCAAGTGTGGGGGTCAAGATCGCCTTGAAAACTATTACATAAGTCAGCAAGTCATCTGCGGGAGGGTAAACAACCTCTAAGAACATGGCGTTTTCTGGGCATATACGGAACTCTTGAAGTTCCCTAGCCTGTCTCAGGAAGGGCACACTTAAAAAAAGACAATGCCACTATGAAGGTTTAGGATGAGGCTATCGCATGCAAGATCTGATCTTGCATCTTGATTGGGCTGCTGCGGATCATGGGCCCTGATGGAGTCTTGTCCCTGCAGTAGCCTCGGCTAACGTCATGCCGAAGGCGCAGGCATCGGGAATCTACGGGCTTTGGCGCGAAACGAGCAACAACAACATGGGAAAGATGAGAGCGAAAATTGAAAAGTCGGTTGAGAGATCCAATTCGAATCGAAATTTAGAGACTGATCGTACCAGCGCAACCCCGGAACGCCGCCATTCATGAATCATGCAAGTCCTGAAACCCAGCAACCGCCCGTCATCCGGGCCGGCCCGTCCGGCCCGCCGGAATCCAGTGTCGAAAGCCCTTGTTACGATCGCTAGAGCCATGACAGATCCCACGCTCCCATACAATCCTCATCATCGCCATGAGAATATACAACGACGGCTATATAGCAGCAGCTTTTACCGCCTGCGCTCGAACCACCCGCTCGAACCGGCAAGGGCAACAGATTGATCCATCACCCATTCGCCCACGCTGAGATACTTGTTCACCCACTTTTCCAAATCCTTGTTCTCTCCAGCTAGGCGCTCGGTCTTGAAACTGGATAGCGGCGAACCCCCAAAGGCGGGTGAGAACATGGTCAGCTTCGTTCACCCGTTTGGAGTTTTGGTCTCGGGCCGCCCAGGACACCGTAGGGTCTCACAGAGAATACTCACGTCAGACCAGTTGACCGCTTCATTCCCGCAAGGAAGGCGGAAACTGGATACCAGCCATTAGTCCGCGACGCTCGAAAGCCTCACACGTAAAGGGACACTTACGAAGAACGGCATCAAAGGCATAATGGGTCAACCGTCCAAGCTTTGACCAGAGTCCAAAAGTCAGCAAGTCGAGGAGCTGGAAGAGACATTTAGACTCCATCCAACGGTACGACGCGGCAGACACCGAGGAGGAGAAGCGACTCTCGACGATGTCCGACGCGGATAGGTAACAAAGGGGGCAGCACCCACCATGTTGGGCGATTTTTTTTGTGACGAAAGACAAGACCGAAATCGAGCGACGAGCGATTCGACGATGATATGACCGATTATTTGTTACGGCGAGTCTGCGCGACGCCGTTGGTTTTGTTAACGATGCCAAATTAAATGGCTGGTCGTTGGTTGGCCTGGCGATGCAATGAGGAATCGGTGTGGTGGAGAGACGCAACCAGCCGGCGGCAACAACTGATCGTTGACACCCCACTCAAGCAGCCTTATCCACGCAACCCAGGCGGTGAGAGATGCAGCCTGGAAGTAGCCCGACCTTCCCAGTCACGTGCGATGGCACGAGAGGCGAGCCGCCGACAGCCGGCCGCCGGAGGGGCACCCCCACTGCACCCCCAATCGCGGCGGCCTCAACTTTAGAGTGGCCCCTCCGCCCCTCCCGATTTGTTGGTCGCGAACCAGGTGCCAAGCAGTTGCCAAGCGGGGCACCAGGTTAATCAGGTACCCGCCGGATCAGGACAGCAATATGCGATGTGGACATCATCGCACGCTGCGAGTCATATATGGGGGGACAGGATGAGAGTCTAGTGGAAAGGGAAAATGTCACCCATGGTCAGCGATTGTCGGAAATCAACACACCGATGGTGGCATGCCATCAGGACGGGGCCCAATGGACTCTCAGCGGATGTACACGGGGGCCCCACCTCATTTCTTGCGCCTGTCAAATGTCAACCACAGAGGAGGGGTCCGGTGGCGTGGGGCACCGCGAGGTGGGATGTTGGGAAATGGGAAAGCTTGAAGAGCTCCCCCTCGCTCAAACGTGGGAGCATCAAATTTGGCCAGGTGCACTTGTTGACACGCCAACCTTTCCTCCTCCCAGATTTTTTTCCCCCCGCGGGCAAACTCTCCCTTCGCTTCTTCCTTGTTTCTAACTCTTCGGCCGCCCTGAGATACCCTCCTCTGTTCGACAGGTTCTGCTTGCCACAAGCCAGTCATCAAGGTTAGCTCTTGCCCGTCCCCATCTCCCCCGTTGTCGGACCTCCTGCTGCTCTGCTGCGGTGCTGTTTCACATTCCGTTGGACGACAGGACGAGAGACAGCCCCGTTGCGCTGCTCCCTGCAGTATTTCAGGTGGTATCCAGGAGGAAGAGTCTTTTATCTGCTTCCATCCAGCTCTCTGGAAGACCTTTCGTCTGCAGGCAGCGTTCCATATCGGCTTTGCCCTGCTCCTGTTGCCAAAGATCTACCCCGCCATCGTCTGCGCAAACTAGTCGTCGCTAACCAGCCCCAACCAGACCTCCCTTTCAACAAGACAACCACCGCCAAATATCGCAAAAACCCGATCTCTGATCAACAGACCCATCAATTACAATGGCTGCTACGGCTCTCGATCATCTTAACCTTGGCGGTAAGATTGAGTGGCTGGCGTCGCTCAACACGTCGTACCAGCCTGACCGCACCTTCCGCCGCACCTCCATCATCTGCACCATTGGTCCCAAGACGAACTCGGTCGAGGCTATCAACAAGCTTCGTGAGGCTGGCCTTAACGTGGTGCGCATGAACTTTTCTCATGGCAGCTACGAGTATCACAGTATGTCCCTCCCATTGTGAGCTCCTCCTCGCCCTTTTATTCCTTGGTTGATGATATCGCCAATGGATGTTGGATGTGCTAGGATCCAGTCGGTCGGTTTTGGTCTAGCTCCGCAGACTTTGTCGGCCCGTATTAGTGACCAGGGCATCCTCGCGTGTGGCCCGTGGGGGTCTTGAACAATGCTGTTGCTGATGTCTTGCCTCTTCACAGAGTCTGTAATTGAGAATGTCCGCGAGGCCGAGCGCGTCCAGAAGGGCCGCCAGGTTGCCATTGCCCTGGATACCAAGGGTCCCGAGATCCGCACTGGCAACACCAAGGACGATGTTGACTACCCCATCAAGGCTGGTCACATCATGAACATCACTACCGATGAGAAATATGCCAAGGCCTGTGATACCGAGAACATGTGAGTTGCATTTGGCCGAACCATATCCCTGAATGTCAGCTGACCCTGCATAAGGTACGTCGACTACAAGAACATTACTAAGGTGATTGAGCCTGGACGTGTCATCTATGTTGATGACGGCGTTCTGGCATTCGATGTGCTTGAGGTTGTCGATGAACAGACCATCCGTGTGCAGGCACGCAACAACGGCTTTATCTCGTCCCGCAAAGGCGTCAATCTTCCAAACACTGATGTCGACCTTCCTGCGCTCTCAGAGAAGGACAAGGCCGATATACGCTTCGGTGTTGAGAACAATGTCGACATGATCTTTGCTTGTGGGTTCTTTGTGCCAGAGGAAGCCTTATTCATACGCTAATATTCCTGTAGCATTTATCCGCCGTGGTCAGGACATCCGCGACATACGTGAGGTCCTTGGTGAGGATGGCAAGCACATCCAGATCATTGCCAAGATTGAGAACCGCCAGGGTCTCAACAACTTTGCCGAGATTCTCGCTGAGACAGACGGTGTCATGGTTGCCCGTGGTGACCTGGGCATCGAGATTCCTGCGGCGGAGGTGTTCGCCGCCCAGAAGAAGATCATTGCCATGTGCAACATTGCTGGCAAGCCAGTCATCTGTGCCACTCAGATGCTCGAGTCCATGATAAACAACCCTCGCCCTACTCGTGCCGAGATTAGCGACGTTGGTAACGCTGTTGTTGATGGCGCTGACTGCGTCATGGTATGTACCCCCTCCATTACCTGCTTAGGCTACCGCATTGCTTAACAATGTCTAGCTTTCTGGTGAGACAGCGAAGGGCAAGTACCCCGTCGAGGCCGTCCGTGAGATGAGCGAGGCTTGCTTGAAGGCAGAAAACTCAATCCCCTATGTCAGCCACTTTGAGGAGCTCTGCGCCCTTGTCAAACGCCCTGTCTCGATTGCTGAGGCGTGCTCCATGGCCGCCGTGCGTGCTTCTCTTGACCTCAACGCCGCCGCCATCTTTGTCCTGTCGACCTCAGGTGAATCTGCCCGCCTCATCTCCAAGTACCGTCCTGTCTGCCCTATCATCATGATCACCCGCAATGCATCTGCATCTCGGTACGCTCACTTGTACCGTGGTGTTTATCCCTTCCTCTTCCCTGAGGCCAAGCCCGACTTCAGCAAGGTCAACTGGCAGGAGGACGTCGATCGCCGTATCAAGTGGGGTATTGGACGGGCTATTGAGTTGGGTGTCCTCAAAGAGGGCGAGACTGTTGTCGTTGTTCAGGGCTGGAAGGTATGTCTACCCGCTCTTGGATCTCTTAGCATTTCTGGATGGCCGATCACTGACTTGCTACTCTCCAGGGCGGCATGGGCAACACGAACACTCTTCGCATTGTCAAGGCTGATGTTGAGCACCTTGGCTTCACGCCGGTGTCTTAAGTTCTATGTGGTCCAATGTGGGCATACACGGGTACATACATGGAGGTTACGTGTGGGTTGAGGACATGGAACTACATGTACAGGGATTGTGAGGGATGTGGCGCGATGTTTGCGCCTTAGCATAAAGCTTCTTTTTCTCCGATGTAATGACAATAAAGAATGGATGTTTGACGGCAGTTTATGCTTTCATTACCATTATTTTGCTTAAAAAGTTGCTTTCTGCTGATGGCCTAAGTCTTTTTCCCATTTGGTCGAGGAGCAGCTCACAAAAGTTTCGCGCCAAGCTTCTGCAACCAAGGGTTAGGGTTCCCTATCCCGCACGTCAAATCTTGGCAGATAGCTTAGCGAGCTATGCCCAATCAGCTGGAGCTTTTATCGCGGCACATGCCGCTGTCCATGTGCCCAGAGCCATGCATCTGTAGCGTTGGACTCTCAACCTGCGCCACACTATCCATTGCTCTGGCGCCTCTTTCAGCATTCGTGTCTTGCAGGGATCAACAGGCGACGTGTGTAATATCCTTCCAAAGTTCTGGCTATTTAAGGGGCTGTTTCAACTGTTTGAACTCTTGGGACAAGCTTTCGCGGGCACCTCTACGGCTGCTTACAACGTCACCGTCCCCGTCGCTGACATCCCTGACTTTGTTTGCGATAACCCTACTAGTTCAACAATTCTCTGGTCTAATCGCGTATAGAATCTCATCTGAAGCTTCTACAGCTCCATGACCTCAAGATCTTCCTTCCTCCCCCGCCTGGGATTCGGGCGCACCGACAATAACCCCCTTCTACCCCTGCATTCTCTAAGCTCCTCCGTCCGCAAGAAGCCGAGCGAATACAACCTCGCCGAGCTATCCCCCCGGCCTGACGACGGTTCCAACAAGACCCGCATGAGTCCCCCTCCTGTCCGGAGAAGAAGTCCTCCGCCACCATCGTCTACAAGAGGGAGAGATGAGTCGACAAGCCATCGCAGCCATTTGGCATCATCCCGACCCCACCGCGACCGTGACTTTGATCAACCGATCCTCTTTGCCGGCCCGCCCCCGCCGATCGCCACGTCGAGGATGTTGTATCTGGACGAGGAGGCGACGGAGTCGACATCATCACGGGGAGGCGGGGGGTTGGGAGCATCGCTGTTCACGCAAAACCTTGGCAGTGTTCTTTTCAACAGGGGTTCCGGGGCCTCTTCGCCCAGCGTCCCCCGTGATAACAAGGACTACTATCACGATTACACCCTCGACGCGACGTGGCTTACATTCCAGAGGAGGGAACGCGCGCTGCAGGAGGATTTGCAGCAGATGTTGGATGCGCAGAGTGCTGGATTAGCAGCAAACTTGGATCCAAATAACCCTACTTTGAACCCTAGCTTCAACTCTAACGCTAGTTCCACAAGTCCTGCTCCCCCTAGTCGGAGCAGTGTTGTAAGTGACAGGAGTACTCCCAGGACACCACCCAGTAGCGGGAACCGCGCAAGACATGTCACCTTCGACCCGGTGCCGCACACAGCCATGGACTTAGGTACGATCTTGCCCGTTCGGCAGCCCAAGCCGAAGGCGATTACATTACGGGCTGCACGCGCGGGGTTGACGCGCACGATTGGATTGCTTGCAGACCTAAAGGCGGATGAGGACGCACAGATTGTTACGGCGCTGGGAGAAAGGAAGAAGGCGCTTGCTAGGCTGAGGGGGTTGAGTGCAAGGAGGGAGGGGATTGTGGAGAAATTGAGAGTTTTGGAGCAGGATGATGAGGAAGGGAAGGAAGGAGAGGGGGAAGGGAAGGGGGAGGGGTAGGATGGGGGAGGGAGTTGAAAGAGCTGGTAACGGAACAAGAGGCTGTGACGAGCGAGATCAAGAATTTGGAGGCGAGGCTGGCAGAATTAAAGAAGCGCAAGGCGTGGTTAGACGCAAGGGTTGAGGAGGTCCGCAGTCGGCGAGAGGCGGGGTTGAGCGGGTATCGTGGGGCATTGAGAGAGGTGGAGGATAAGATTGGAGGGTTGCTCAGTCGACCGGGGGTGAAGCCGTTGGATTTGAGGGTTGTTAAGGCATGGGGGTTCGGGGAAGAGGGGGTGTGGGAAGATCCAGGGGGGGCGGATTTCTTGAAGTTGAGGCCGGAACGGAGGACGGTGCAGATGGCGAGGGAGTGGTGGGAGGGTGAGGTGGCTATCTTGGAGAGGAGGAAACAGGATGTGGATCGGGAGAGGGCGGCGCTGGAGGAGGGAGTTGAGGTCTGGAAAGAGGCTGTTAAATTAGTGACAGATTTTGAGGATGGGTTGATGAGGGAGATGAAGGGGGAGGAGGAGGGGAGGCCGTTTGGCGAAGATGATCGGTTCGGTAATCAACAGCGGAGCAGTAAGGGGAAGGGCAAGGCGAGCCCCAGCGGGGGTATTGCCGGAACCAGTGAGCTCTCTTCGCCTTCTCTTGCACCTGCCCGGTCCCCGGAGCAAGCTATGCGTAACCAGCTGGCCAAGATACACACTGTCATGGCTGGCCTGGAAGAACGACTACATGTGGCGGAGGAAAAAGGCTGGAAGCTCCTGATCTGTGCCATTGGTGCCGAGCTGGAAGCTTTTCGCCAGGCAGAGGGGCTGTTACGGGATGCATTACGCGCGGCTGGGTTTGATGACGACTCCCCGGATGGTGATGGCGGACCAGATGAGGGCAATGATGGACGGGAAGTACCAGGGATAGGATCTACGCGCTCGAGCAGGCCGCCCACGGCTATCAGGTCGTCATCGGCACAGCTTTTGGCTGGGCTAGAATCTGGTCCTGGCGTCTCTACTGCCGTGGAGGGGAACGACGCTGGCATTAAACGTGGCAAGAATGGGAGCCTTGCTGACGTGGCAGTCGAGACGGCTGGACGTGATGACAAGGCTGCGGAGAGTGACAATGAGGTGCCACATGACTTGCTGGTCTCGGCTGTTGAGGAGCCGTCGATGGCTAGTGAAGCCAGTGAAAATGAGGTACCTATTGAGTTTTTGAGAGTACATGGGGATTATGGAGGGTTGGGAATTCGAGATAGCTAAGGGCAATACGAAGAAGTACTTTCTTGTACCGTTGTTGTCCGCAGGGTACTCCATGCAAGACCTCGGGGGCTAATGGTACCTAACGGCAGAATCCGTAGTGCCCGTCCAATTTGGGCAGGCAATTTGATCAAGTATCTCGATTGAGCGGCACTGTGGTGGCTTTTCGTCCACCTAACCTGGAGAGAGCCTTGGGACAACTGACCAAGAAATAGACTCAAGCCCAGGTCCAGGAATAGAATGTGTCTTGTATACGACTAATGCGCTAGAAAACAAGGTCAAGGTCAATGTATCGATTACCTCGAGTATATTTGGGTTCCTTTACATGGCTTGCTGTATGTGGTCTGAGTAGGAGACTTGGAGGCGATGTTTTGGCGGTTGCAAATTTGCACCCAATGTTTATTGTTGATTGAAACTCTTGCCCCTAGGTAGAGGGTTCTGCTTCGCAAACCTGCTAAACAGCTCCACAGCGCCTTGCGAAGACCGAAACCTCCAAACACGGAGTATCCTCCAATTCTCTCCCTTAAACTTCACATTTCTCAACGCTTATCACATCTACCATCAAGAAAGTTAAGCATATAGCTAGAATGGTATGTTTATCAATTTTCTCCTTTCCTCGGACTCTTTTCGAGGATTCAAGATAAAGCTGTCGGTTTTTTTCTTGATTCTGAAAGATTGCTGCAAACCTTGATCCTACACTGCGTGTGCAGGGTACGCGGCTGATTATTAGAACTGAAAGCTCGCTTGCAAATGACATCTGTGGTGCACGCACCAAACCATAATAACAAATTTTTAAAATGCAATTTCCCCCGAAGTCTTCTGGGGACCTTCCATTACCCATCTTGGTCTAGTCACAACGAAGTCACTTAGTGTCCATAATAGCTGTCTCTTCAGCTACATTCCTTGGTTGCTTTGCAGGCAGATAACCACGGCTGCCGTCCTTTTGGAGCCCCGCTTCTGGTGCGCGCACAAGCTGTGTGGGTTGAAAGCCTTGAGTCCACCTTGGCCAGCCAGCCTTGCGCCACCAAGCTTCTGATATGTTTGGCAAGGCAGCCATGTGTAGGTTGCTTGGACAGACGATCAGAGGGACTTTGGATGTGAGCATGTGTGCAGTATGAGGGGGCATTTTGGTGTATTAAGCTGTGAAAGTAGCCTCATATCTCGTCCATTCTTGCATTCTCTCCTTTCTCTCCTTCACTTCTGAGGAGGTCTGCTTTCCTTTCAGACGTCCAAGCAAGAAGTACATGCATACAACTCAGTGTGAACGACAGTATTCTTCCATCCCCTTGGTCCCAATCCACCAGGTCAGCTGTGCGAAGTAATATTCACAATGGCGCCAACAGTTCTTGAAAGTCCCACGGATGTTGCGGGGGAATTGCCAATAGGGGATGCCCACATTTTCATTGACAATTCAAACCTCTGGATCGCAGGGCAAAGAACCTATGCAGAACGGATGGGACTCCAAGTGTCGTGGGACCCAACTTGGAGGTCTGACATCGAATGGCTTTGTACTGTCATCCTGCAAAACTCGAATCTTACACCTGAGGAGCAGCAATACGATGTCAAGGTCAACTTATATGGCTCAATCCCGCCACCCGTTGATACCTTCTGGAAGAAGATTGATTCGTATAACGTTCGGGTTAGTGTCCTTGCTCGGAGTACCTGGACAAAAAAGGAGAAACAGGTAGATGCCAAACTCGTTGCCGAGTGCGTTAAGACAGCAGCCGAAGCGCATTTCAAAGAGATTCCCTCTGTGTTCATTATTGTGTCGGGCGATAGGGACGTGCATGCTGCCATCCAGACAATTGCCGGCGACTATAGCCATAAGGTTCACTTATGGGCTTAGAAGAATAGTCTTGCACAAATATACCTTCGGCCTGAGGAACAAGGCATCCCAGATGATCTGCTCCAAGTGTATTTTCTTGATGAGTTCGTGGAAGACATCGGCTTCAAGGCAAGACAATTCCCAGCAGACCGCATAGTCATCAGTCCACACAGCATTGTTGTCCTCGACCCACTGTCCAAGCCCGATGCCATCAATGCTTTGGTTTCGAAGTTGAAAATTCCCGTCTGGCGTTATGAGCTGGATCCAAGAAATAAAGATTCGTCAGATGGGGATCTTTGTCTGATTCCTGCTGGCATGTTCCAGATGACTGTTAGTCAGCTCAATAGCTTGTTTAAGTTTTGCAAAGACACCCTGGAAAAGGATGGGCTCACCGTCATGACATACCAAGAGTACACTCAGAAGTTCTACAGCGACAAGAATAAAAAGGCTCCAAATCTGAGCATTTCCAATCGTTTTAGTGAGTTAGCTGTTCCAGAGGGTCAGCAAGATGAAGAAGATGATCAGGAGCGAGAATATGAAGCCGAGCTTGAAGATGCCTCACAACCTCCTAAAGGACACTATTTACCAGGGAGAAGACAAAGAAAACGAGGAGGACGACGCAGGTTTCACTCTTGTGGATCGTGGCACACAGCGCAAGAGGAAGCGCCTCATGAAGACACAGGAAAAGCGATCCCAGTTGTGCAAATATGGAACGTACTGTTCCAGGGCAGAGAACTGTCCTTTTGGCCACACAAAGGAGGGGATTGAACGTTTCAAGACGTATGGTCCACGCACGCCGACTAAACATCGGATGTGCTCGAACATGAAAAGCTGCAGGGTCAAAACCTGCAAATGGGCACATGATGTCAATGAATTGCATTGTTTAGGCTGTGATAAAAAGGCAGGACATCTGACGGAAAATTGTCCTGAACGACAAAGTTTGACTTTGCCAAAGGCTTGGTCGTCGCCTGGTTAACTTGTGAGGTTGGGGCCTTTGCTATCACCTGGGCTATCAAGATATCTCTATGGTTATTTCACCTTAATGAACCCAAGCAGAAACTGGTTATTTGTTAGGCCTTTGGATTCGAATTATTCTCGTGACTGAGCCCAGTTTTTTTGGTACTCTATGCAATAGACTTCTCAATATGATGCTTGGGGCAACTGAAATTTTGCATTGTTGAATTGATGGAGCCTCTTTGTGTTCAGCTCCACCAGCATACCATACATAGTCCATGTCCAATCCTTACGTAAAAAGGCAGGCATTAGTGTTAAAGTAGATCCCAACGAAACAGAGGTCCTGTACATCCCCTCACGTGGAGCAGGCTCATAGCGGCACAGGACGGACCCAGATCGGCTTACTCTTCGGTCTGGCTATCTGACAGTCCCCCCCAAGACCTCAGTGAAGTAGCTTTGGGTAGTTCTAGATGGTAAACTGAGCCCCTTAGCCCAAGCATCCCCGAGAGTGTCCGCTACAGCCTGCGTGGTAGATCTCACCAAAAAAATTCACCAAGACTAAAGCTAAAGGTTTCCCTCCCAAGTCTGGACCTACCATTTTCAACATGGCAGTAGTGTCCTCACTAATGTATGGCTCGCCGGACTGTACCCGCAATACCTACTGGATCGGGAAAGATACAGATGACGGAGTTGAGTTCGAACTCTACCTCCAGACCACCCACTATGGAGAAGGCTACAGACTTCCCCGCACAAAGCTGGTTTCGTCTGCATCAAGCAGTTCAAAGTATCCAGCCAGATCCCCTCTGGGAAGCACGCCGTCCGGGGCCTAGAGCTTGACTCGGATTTCCCCCAGCCTGGCTCAGGCCACATAAAGTCCTGCCTTGGTTATGGCGTCATGATGGAGGGCTAATAAACCACAATCCAGCTTCTCGGGCGGCCCTTCGCGCAAACCTTTCCTCAGCCCGTTCGACTGGAGGTGCCTTGCTAGGTGGCTTGCCGAGGAATCAGGACACGGTTACTTCCTCATGTACCACGTCTGGTTCAATCACCCGCCGAGTGCGATTAAAACTTGCTCTTGCGGCCAGACGGTATCCAGAGGCCACTTTCTCCGGTGCCCCCTCTTCTCCTTTGACAGCCCTCTTGCTGGCCGCCTAGACCCCAGAGCGTTTGGCACTTATATCAACTATTCAGAATAGAAAATCACGACTAGAACTTTACGGCTCAGCCAGGAACCATCAAACAGGACAAGCCATCTCTACGCAACATCCTCCCCACTCTCCCTCACGCATGACCTTACAATCCCGATCGGTGCGCACCCTTAACAACGAAGAATCAGAATCGGAACGGTCTAAGTGGACACCCACATACCTCACACTCGCCCCTCTTAACCCTTTGTCTTCTTTTTTTTCTTTTTCCTACTTCTCTCCCTTTTTCGACACCACTCATCTATCCCACGGATACGCACCGGTTTTTACTCTCGGGTATTTCCCGCGTGTAAGTAGTCTAAACTAGCGAGCGCATATGTACCTTTTGGCCGCTGGCGTCGTGGGCACGACCACGCATCCTCATCGGTGATATGGGTCGGCAATGCAATTCGATTCAAATCAATTAAATCGATTCATTTTAACCATGAGGTCCGGTAACTCCAGGAATAAACCTCATATTCAGCACACTACTAATAGCCTTCGCGATTTTATAGTCTTTTATCGCGCAGTAGCAGTAAATCGATTAGAAGCTAGGAGACCCAAAATGGGCATAAAGTAGTACTGGAAAAGTAGTAAAAGTGCTAGGCGCCACGTTGGGTATATTAATCTTAGGAGCCCACAATTTTGTGACACTCCAAACAATCACCTCTCTCGGCGACCATTAACTGCTAACCTACCAACTTTTTCTCATCTCAATAAACTTAACGCTAAGGACTCCAAGAACCAAATCTCCACAAACTTGAGGGACGTTGGGGTTCCCAAATTTTCACCTAATCAGCTCGGCGTCTTTTGGAGGACTAGGTTCATTCTTATTACAATAAGGCCGGAGAGCGGTCTTGAAGTGGTTAGTTGTCGGTCTCCCCTAGGTTCACCAGCACGTTGCCCTTCGATAAAGGTTTAGCGTAAGTTTGTGTTGATGACTGGAACCGGTAATATATATTCCCAGTTCCAATGCATGTCATTTCTTCACGCGTATCATCTTCACCCTCGGGATATGGAATCAAAAATCAGGCCACCCCATACGTCGCCAGGCTGGCGGACGAAGGGCCGGGATAGGTCGATTGAGAGCTTGAGCCTTGTGTTCCTGGTTCGGCTATCACCTATGGCTTCATTCACTGATCTGATGGCTATAGACAATGAGATAAACGTCAAAATAAAGGATCAAAGCCGATTAGACAATGATAGTTCTCATGTTAAGCCGGACGCCACACCATACCATCATGAGATGACAATATCAGAAGGTCGGCTTACTGTCATAAGGAGGCGTTCTCTGGTAGGGATAACAACGTTCCAAACGCTTTACAGAGACGGCTGGATTTTGTAGCCTTCTTGCCGAATCGGAATAAGACACACTAGAATTTCAACGTGATCACATGGTTACTTTGGAACAATCCTCATCACTTTGGTTGCATATATAACGGGGGAATTTTTTTCTCCAACGTTGGCCAAATCTTAGTAGTGGTTTGTTTCTTCAACTTTTCACTCCCGCAGCCCTTTCAATTCTTCAACCGACACCCACCACCTTCGGCTAGCTGCATTTCTCGCCCGTTCTTCAACATGACAATCTACCTCCCGGAAGGGTACAGTCTTATAAACAGGATTATCATCTACACCAGCACAGCCCTAGTGCCTGCTCAGTACATCGCTGGTGTAGGAAGCAACTGTCTCAGCAACCTCGGATTCCTGACATTCAACATATACTCCCAAGTGTTGTGGTACAGACATATCATCGCCTGGAGCAGTTTCTTCCCTGAGGCCATCGCTCCTTTCTCTCTGCTTCTTCCTCACTTCAATATCATCTACTCCATCTCCTATGTTGCAGGTGTTAGTTCAAGAAGCGGCGGGCTTGCGGTACTCTTGTGGCTTGGTACATCCGTCATGCTTATCATCAACACCATCCTACTATGGAGCTCCTGGAAGCATATGGCTGTCGGCTACGGAGAGTACGAGTTTTTCTTTTTCGGCTGGCGAACACTTACTCCGAAGTGGCACAAAGTGTTTTTCCTCATGTGAAATGTTTCTAGCACTATTCTATGCTGAAATTCCATTATCTGGGCAGCAGCAATGGCCAGATTATCCTGCAAACAGAGCTCGATCGTAAATAAATTTGTCACGAAGTTCCGTGACCGCTTGGGAAGTGGGATGATGCTAGTGGCCATCTTTGGTGGAGCCCTCTTCATGCTTATAGGAGCTTGGCCTTTCACTTTTTTCTTCTTTAAAGTGGCCCTGGAGAAAGTGTTGCAGAATAGCTTCTCTGAAGCCTTTGGGCTCATTGAAAGTTATATTTTTCTGCAGTCTGGCATCTGGCCTTTCATTTTGTGGACGGAATTAATCTTCCAGAGGAACAAGATTGTTTCGGCGACAGACGAAACTGCGGTTGGGCTTTTTATCTTTCAAGTTTTGGCCATGATAATTCCAGGTTATGGGTGCCTTAAAGGGAGAAAGAGCAACTCCTCGGATTCGGACGACTCCGGGTATGCGATTCAACGGAACAATCGGAGCTTGTCGCCAGTTTAGAGTCCTATATTGAGCACATGCAGCTATTGGATGAGCCACACCCTATAGAATTGAATTGAACTGTATGTTCAACCCGTCTCACCCTTGAGGGTGCTGGTTGTGCCCACGACGGCGGCGGGCAAGAGGTGATTACGTGCTGCCTAAACTGCACTATATACACGTGGGAAAAAAAACAAGGGGGAAAAAACTGGTGTGTTACTCTAAAGGGATATCATAAAGAAAAATGGGGAATGGGAGTAAGTGAGAATCTCAGGGGTTTGAGTATCCATACTAAGCAGTTTTGAATCCGATTGTGAGTCGCTTGGGGGTGGGGGGGGATTTTGGGGGTGTTGTACCAAGCGAGGAGAATTGAATTAAATTGAATTTAATTGTAATTTAGATCCGTCTCACCCTTGAGGGTGCTTGGTCGTGCCTACGACGGCGGCGGGCAAGAGGTGGTTATGGGCTGCCTAAACTACACTATATACACGCGGGAAAACCAAAAAAGGGGAAAAAACCGGTGCGTGCTGTGAGAAAATATCATAAATGAGAATGGGAATGGGCTAAGTGGGGAGGTCCGGGAACGAGGGGGTCGTAACGACGGAATGGGTTGTCCTCTGGCCGCATCGAACGCCTGACCTAAGAGCTCAATCTGGGAGGCTCTAGATTGGAACAGTTGAAAAGAGAACCTGAGAGCCCTATAATCGAGTCTCTCTGCTAGCGGGTTGTTAAACGTGGTGAGTGGACAAGAAAAGAAGTGGCCTTTAGACACCGGTTGGCCACATGAGCATTGCTTGAACGCTCCGGGAGGGTGTTTAAACCGCACGTGGTACTCCACGAAGTCACCGTGGCCTGAGGCCTCTGCAAGCCATTGCGCGAAGCATTGCCGGGAAAGCTCTCTAGAAACGGCTTCGCTGTGTGCCCGTTCTAACGGGCCGACGGGGGCTTGTTGGCGTGCCACCAGGTCCTCATATCTGGGAGGGGTACCCGGCGCCTTTTCGGGGGGGTTTGGAGGGAGACCAAGCCACTCCCTGGGCCCCAAGCGACGCGGCTCCCATCGAGGCTGGCCCCCGAGGCCCGCTGCCTCCTGATATAGGCGAGACCAGCCTTGGTAGGGAGGTCCGCGGAGTCGGACCTGAAGGGGGTGTTCGGCTGGAAGCCCCTAGACACGGCTCCTCCACCTAGTTCAATCTCTATCCATTAGAAATTTCGGGTACAGACCCACCAGTCACCACAGCCACTGGAATGGAATTGTCCGCCGCACCGGAAATATTGCTCTAAGCGCTTCGTTCGCTGTTTTGGTCAGGAATGACCAAACCGGCACGAGCTTAGATGGGATCATGCGGCCCCGGACGCCGGCCCTCGTTAGCCCTGTGTCGAGTTGGACCATGCCATAGAGGAGAGAGGAGGTCAAGCCTGGGTGTTGAGTGCTCGAGACCGAGTCACGCACCACTGCTGCTTTTAGAAAGATTCAGACTGCTCTGCAGCAATGTACTCTTGACCCAATGTATTTGGCAGCTCAACTTCGGACTCGCATCGACAATCTACACCCACTGTTCGCCTTCTCCGACCAAAGCCGTACACGTCATCCCTGGGACTCACTTCAAAATAACCAGAAACAAGCATTGCACTATGCGAATGTTTCACTTACATTCGCATGCCTGCGTCAATGCTATGCGGTGAGGGTCATTCTTGGCCATCCGCTGGAAAACTGAGCAACCACATCGACTACCTCGGCTTTTAGCGGAGTGCTTAAACTGAGCGAACAATTTATAGTCCTGCAGGAATTTCATGAATTGCGCAAGTACTATGCCATGTATGTATGATTGAGTGCCTAAGCCGTCTCTGGAGGGAGATGCTGTTCAGCGACAGCTGAAGTTCTTGTCTCGAAGAACTTTCACTGTCGCGTGGAACCTGGGGTGGCAGAACGTTCGGGGCCACGGTGTTATTCGTGACCTGGGCAGCTTATATCCTTCTGCCATCGAGTCTGTAATCGTGAAAAACGACTGGTTCAAGATTTTGCCAGTCAATAACTTTTTGGTTCCCTGGATTCTCGAACCTAAAGCAGCCGATAAGGAATATAGGGGAAACAAATTTCTGCCCACGGCAAAGATATTGAAGAAAATTTTCGTCTCGTCCATGACCCGCTGTTTCACTGTTCTCGGTTCGCTGAAATCAAGCCATTCATTGTGGCAGAGGCGAATGGTATTTTTAGGAAAAGCGTCTTGCCCATTGTGAACTTCTGTACTCATATCCGTACTCTGACTGAAAACGTATGGATGCATATATCTATTATGGAACTGTTCAGTTTCACCATGGCACTCTCCATCTGATCGCTGATTGGATGCCCCTAGTGCCTCGTATGGTTTAACACTCGTGTTGCCTTGGAATGCATTTCAAGCAATTTTTCTCTTTCTTTCTTTTCATATCCCAGCAATCTAATCTCCTCCTCGTGACCCATCATGTTGAGCAAGCTTCACATATTAAAGACTTACACTCAGCAGCGACCAGACAGCAACGCTGTCAAAATATTGAACCCCTCAGCGTTCCATGGGTGAGCTCTTGCTGTCCCTAGAAGTCACCCTGATATCAGTTCCACGCGTAATCCCAATAAATATGTGTCAGAGTATATCAGGATGACCCTCATCTCCCATCTTTCAGCTTACATTTCGCTCAACGATGCTCAGCGTTCCCGTGCTTCTCCCACAAACCTGACACAACCATTCAACACTCATCCTCCTCTTCAATCATCATCATTTTCCCTCAGGTTCACTCCCTCCCTTATATCCTTCACACCCTTCCTCCACTCCCGCCGCCACACACCCCCCACACCCAAATGTCAGCCCAAACACATCATGCTGCGTCCCCCTTACCAAACACTCCCCCGTCTCCGCATCCCGCTCCATACATGGGTACTGTGACCTGAATGCCACTTGCGTGCTATTCTTCCTCGCCTGGTGCACTATCCCGGTAAACTTCAAGAACAACGCGAGTGCTTCTTTTGCTCCATTAGGACACATCGCTTGCAGAAGTTCATGTACAGTTGACTCTGGTTCCGGCGGGGGGTCAACAATGTCTGCCCAGGGGAGAGTGCACAGCATTTCTCCTGACATGGTACACGCACACGAGAGATCCTGCGCTCCTGGAGGTGGGGGAGGGGCCCAGTTGTCTTTGTCGAGTAAATTGCCGCGGAGTTTCCAGGTCACAGTGGCGTTGTCGAAGATGTAGCCTGGGAAAGGATCGAATTTGAAGAGGAGGTTTGTTGAGGAAAAAGAGAGGCAGGCGCGGGAAGAGGCGAGGGGGTTTAAGGGGTCTGTGCCAATGAAGGTTTCGGGACAGGCAGAACGGACGTTTTCTGGCTGGAGGGTGAAGGTTGTGGCGTCGGGGACGGGGGTGCCAAGGAGAGTGCAGTCTTGGGAGCAAAGATCGGAGGTTGTCAGGGTTCGTTTCCAGACAGAAGGGAGGGAGAGACTTGGGGTGGCGGTTGTGGTGAGAGTGAGGAGGAGCAGGAGATGCATTTTGAGTGGCTGGAAATGGCTGGTGAAAATGAGACAGACCGATTGAGCATTCAATTGACAGTGAACGAGCAGCACACGGTCGGAGATCAAGATGGGGACAACCGAGAGGTAATATATCCCTCGGCTCAGCCCCTAGTTCTATGTCATGGAACCGACACAAGAATAAGACGGGCTAGGGAAGCAGAATGGAATTAGCCGCCGTGGTGTTGATTGTTTGGCATCCTGTCAGCCACGAGGTTTATCTACTTAGACCTGCATCTGCAGCTAACATAAACACTCACGTTTTCAACATTCAGCTTTCTGTCTTGGCCTTCGGAGGACCCCGAGCTCGGGACCGCCGGGCGTACGACATATGAAATGTGTGTTAATTAGCCGCTGTGTAACGACTGGAGCGTGCAGAATCGCTAGATGGATTGATATGCGTGTTCTCGTATTGTGATGTTTCAGGGCATGGGCTGATAGAGGTTGTGTTAGGTGCCTAGAGGATCCGTGATAAAAAAATTCTGTGAACAGAAAATCCGAGAGAATCACAGATGTAGTTGGGGTATGGTCAAGGAGGGGTTCCTTTTCTCCTCAGCCTTGGAAGTATGACCGTGCAGTCTGCACAACTATGCATCAACCCGTCCAGCCCTAGGAGATATCTCTATTAGCTCTAATTCTATCTCTCAGCCGAGCATGAATGCGCTTGCATTATCTCGGTGACTTTTGTTTTCTCGCCAAGCCCAATGAGAACTTAACCTTCATAGTTAACAGGATGTAAACACTTACCTGAGCTGACATGTACCAAAGCCACACATCATGTCTTGTTAATAAGAATGGCTGAAAGCTTGTTTTTCATTTGCTTACGAGTGATCAGCGTCAAGATTTCTCGTGGCTGGGGATGAGAGGTTGAGCATAAAACACCGATGTAGGACAGAACTTCTTTGTAGAGAACAATCAATTGCCAATGTGCCGGTTGTTTCGGCAAAGAAGATGGCAGAGTCGTTGATTTGAGTCTTGTTGACAAGGACTATCCTGAGAACAAATATATAAGCATCTTGTAGTGTTGAAGAAGAATAAGGAAAGCGGTCGGAAGCAAATGCTGGGAAAATAAACAGGGAATGCCTCTTGTCTGGGAACGAGATACTATCAATCCATTAATCCACGTCAAGAGTGAGTAACGTATTGCTAAATATTAAAGTATCTCCACTCTCATTTTTGTGGGTTCTTTTGCTCTCTGGTCTTTGTCAATGAGTTTGTAGCTGAATGCTACTGGCTCATCGCATACTGCTCTATACATGAAATGAAAACAGAAGAAAACTGGTTAATTCTCTGGAAACTTCAGTCATGAGGATACAGGTTATGTGTTGATGTTAGAGGATGTTCGTAAATGTTTCGTGAGATGACTCATCCTTGTTCCTTCTCTCCTGCAAATCTAGCTTGTTCCATGATACCGATGATGCAAGGCAGCTCGAGAAGTTGCTGTTACAGAGGTGTTGATGATTGAATCTTGAATTAATTGTGTCATAGCTGATTGATATGGTCTTGGATATCCATTTCTTGGATTATAGGAAACTAGTGCACCTACTTATTATTATTATTCTATTTTTCGACCGGGTTCACCCCTGAGGATGCTAGGTCGTGCCCACGTCGATGGCGAGAAATAGCTACTGAACTAACCTATATGGAAGTAACGCCGGAGGAAAAGCCTGCACTTGAGGCAAAACCGGTGTAAGCCAAGAGGGCTGGGGAAGGGGGAGAGGGTTGTCTGTCCTGGATTGAATGGGTGCATTGAGATTAATCATAAAGAACAAGACTCCGGGACTCTTTGCCTGCCAGGGATAATATAAAACCACTCGTGGCTTGATGGTTCCACCGGCGTAACAACCATGCTAAAATTGACTCAACTCGTGGGTGGCAACAAGGCTGCAGCATAGGACGGCTCGATTTCCCAGCTTCCAGAATCAGTCGGGCACGTGCTCACATCCCTTCAATGTCGCCCAACAAATCACTACGTCAACCGGTCGGCCTGATCAGCTTCCGCGGATTTCTTACTCAAATTGTGTTTGACCTGGTCTTCAAACCTTGTTATACTTCGTGCCATTTGGTTTATTAAATTGAATTGAGTGGCATTTTTGACCCAGTTTACCCTTAATAGTGCTTGGTCGGGCCCACGAAGGCGGCGGGCAAGAGGTGATGATGGGCTGCTTAGACAACACTATATACACGGGGGGAAATTCTCAAAAAGGAATAAACCAGTGTGTTGCTGTGAGGGAATGTCATGAGAATTGGGGGTGGGGTTAGTTGCGGAGAATATTAGAAATGTGATTATCCAACCTAGATAGTTCTGGATTTGACCATGAGTCGCTGAAGGGGGTGAAAGGTTTTGGGGGTGTAGCATTAAGTAAAAGGAGCAGGCAGGAGGGTGTAGAATGGGAATAGTTCGCCCCGTCTGTTCATCTCGGGCAGAGCTGTAAAGCTCGAGTTGTACTCTCCTGTTCTCAAAAAGTTGGTGCGAGTGCCAAAAGGCTCTGAGATCCAGACTCCCTGCCATTGGATTATTAAAGAACGAAAGGGGACATCTCAAGAAATGGACCACAAGGGCAAGTTTTGATAACACTTGGAGGGTGGAGCTGTATTGAAAGCCACGAGTGATTTTTCTAATGGTGCATGGTTCAGGGATATATACTGTGGTATGTGCGCATCATATCTCCCATTCATCCAAGCAAGCTCACCTCTACTACTAATTTAACCCTGTACTTCGGTTTGATTCAACCGAAAAATGTAGAGTTAACTAAGCCCCGGCAGGCCAGCTAAGCAAGCAATAGATACAGATATGTCTAGCGTAAGCCTGGCTGGCTGAACATTCGCAGATGTCTATGTACGATGATCATTTCAGAAACTAGCTAAGTAGCACCTCATAACCACCAGACCACACAGAACTTTATTGGGGTTAATCCTTCAACCATTTGCGCTCGCTCTTATCCAAGGGTATATATATACAAAAGAAATTCCACACAAAGGAAACGGTAACCCACCCTTCAAATCCCCATCACCTCCAACTCCTCCTGATCCTGAACCTGCCCCTGCTGCTGTCCCTGCCCCTCACCACCACTCTGACTCTGCTTCCCATCACCCCCAGCGCTCCCACTTGGACTCTCAACCCCGCTGCCGTTACCAGTACCAGTACCGTTCCCTCCTGCCGCCGCCGGACTTTCACCCCCGTTCCCACTATTTACCCCATTGTTAACATTTACATTATTACCCCCCGCAGCAGCAGCAGCCGCCCTAGCCCTAGCCCTAGCCCTCGCACTCCCCACGGCTTCCTCGACACTCTGCACCAGCTCGTCCAACGTCACAGGAGTCATTGGAGGAGGTCTTACCGGCTTTTCCTCTCCCATCCCCTTTTGTTGCTGCTGCTGAGCTTCAGATTTGACATCCATCCAGTCCATCCCCCCCGACCCAAGATCAGTTGTGGTGGAAGAGTTGGAGGGGGACCCAATAGGGAAGGCAATCCCCAGCTCAGACTCCAAACATCCTACGTATGGATCCTTGTAGTTGGGTGTGCCATCCACATTGGCATGCGTAGTGTTTAGCATGGGGGTTAGACCAGCCGGGGTGGTGGACGAGACGACGATGGCCGTGGGGTTGTCTAGCATGGGCAAATCGGAGACCAACGTCGATGAGGACGTCGGAGGAGTTGTTGTCAGGAGGGAGAAGGCGTTGTTTTGTTGAGAAATAAGGGCTGGAGCGGCTGGCTCGGCAAGCCACTCTTCGATGGTCTTTTCCACAGCTGTGTCGTCGTCGTCGAGAGGGGGAGGGGCGGAGGTGCTGGTTGTTTGAGGGGACTCCGGCTTGGTGGCAGCGGTGTTATCCGCCGCCGGGAGCATATCCACACACATCGGGTCGGTAGCAGAGGCTGTTGGCAGCGGAGCCGTGACGCTCTCCGACGCACCCGTCGTCGCTGTCCACTCCTGCTGTCCCGCCCCGGCCTCACCTCCACTCCCCCCGCTGTTAATGAAATCCACAAACGAAGCATGGAAAAAGTCCAGATCAAAATTCCGCTGCGGTGGCGGCTCATTCGACAACGGCTCCATCCCGAAGGTCGTCGCTGTCGTTGCTTCCACACCAAACCCTTGCGCAGACCCAGGCGGCGTGGGACAAACCTGGTGCGGCCCACCCGTCAGGAAGGATGGATGCACACAGGCAAAGTCGACACTAGAATGGCTTGACAGCCGTCTTCTCTTCGCCGCGCGGTCCTCCTCCGAAAGCTGGAACTCTGGCGGCAGGCAGTTCGGGTCGGCGACCGGGAACCAGGTGTTGCTGCCAAAAACCATATTGTTTCCAGCAGTGCTCGGTGTGGTGGTAGTAGGATACCGATTAGCGACAGTGCTGACATCAAACCCACCTGACTTGACCATCTCGGTGCGGATCTCGACCAGCATGCTCTTGAGGAGATGGTACATGCGCGCGGCGGGCTGGTACAAATGGCTCATGTCGTAGATGGCAGCAGACAGCACCTGCAGATACCGCAGGTTGGTGTGGTGATCCAGCTCAGCGCTCTTATGCGCCAGCGCAGCCATCAACGCCAACGCGGCCGTACCAGCGTGCTGGACGCCCGCCAAAGTCGTCTTCTTCCCATCGAACCGCTGGCGATGGTGCCAGAAGATGCGTGCAACCCTGATAGCATGCTGTGTGCACATGCTGCGGGAGAGCGCAGCACGGTTATCCTGGTGCGGCAGCGAACTCATCCAGGAGCTGAAGCTTGCCCCATCCGTGTCGTGACCGGGTGATTCGGGGCTCGGGTACCGCGTGGCGGTTATGCCGTCGAGGGACATGGGGCCATACTTGGCCCAAGGCCGGTGAAGGAGGATCATGCAGACGTGGAATTGCTGGTGGAGGACGAAAAAGCCGATCGGGGCCGCTTTGATGTTGTTCGGCTTCCAAGTGAGGTGTTCTGGTAGGCGGCGGTACCAGTTGTGGAAGAGGCGCTCTAGGCCGAGGAAGTGCACGTACGCCCGGTCCTCCATGCCTTTGACGGAGAAGGTGTTGGGAGAGCCGAAGGTCGAGTTCTGGAAGTCGGCGACCTTGCCGGCCAGCTCCAGGAGCTCGAACATCTGGCGATGGATGGCGTTGTAGCCGGCAGTCACGTAGTGAGGACCCGACGGCGGAGGGCGTCCAGCCGCAGAGGGCAGCATATCAGGCGAGACATCCTGTAGCTTGATGGTCGTCGGCCGTCCCAGCAGTAAAGCCCACTTTCGGTCGAACATTATGCAGGCAGTCATAGCCTTGCGCCGCGTCTGCCGCTCAAGGTCCGAGACCTCCAGCCCGCCAGGGTTTACATGTAGGCCGATGTCGAAGGCCAGACGGAACGCCATACCTGAGATATCCGTCAGCTTACATCTCTCCACGACTGGGTCAGGGAACACCTACCAGCATACATCCATCCCGTCGCATCCCTCCCCACCCCGCATTCCAAATCGGCCAACAACAACAGCGCCTGCACGCTCGGAATGCCCCCCGGCCGTTCCAACTCCATCTGCGCGAGAGCCTTCGTCTCCCGATGGAAGGTACTCTCCCTCGCCCCCGCCATCAACCGCTGCATATCATCCCTCTCACGATCCGCAAACCGAAACCCAATCGCCAACATCGCCAAATGCAAAAACGTCGAATAAAACCTCGAGTCCTGCGTACTCCTTCCCGCCTCAAACCCGCTCTCATCTACAACTTGCAACCAGGGGTTATAAAAGTCCCAGAAGCAGCGCATGAGGTGGTCATAGGTCGGCGGGCGCAAGGCGCGGATCACGCCCTCTGCCCGGCGCAGCTTCTCGACGCGGTCTTGGGGCTCGAGGACGGTTGCGACCTTGGCATAGACGTGGCTGTTGGCGGTCGGCCCGAAGAAGCGCGCGCGGCCGACGGACTGGTCGAAGGTGTGATTGCCTTTGGCAGCGAGAAGGTGGCGGGTGCTAGGGTCTTTCTTGGGCTCCATGTCTTGGAGGAGTAGGGGGTCGATGAGGTGGTTGATGGAGTTGTGGCCGTTTTGAACGAGGACCTTGGGGGCTGTTGCGCGGAGGATGTCTTCGTCCCCTGATGTGGGGGGTGTTGGAGGGCGGTTGGAAAAGGCTAATGGTAGAGTCGTGGAAGCAGTGTTTGCTGTTCCCTGTTGTTGTTTTTGTTGTTGTTGTTGTTGTTGTTGTTGCTGCTGCTGCTGCTGCTGCTGTTGTTGTTGTTGTTGTTGTTGTTGCTTTCTTTGTTGCTCTAATAACCTTTGCTGGGCCTCTTGCCTTGTTTTAGGGGGATGAACAGCCGGAGGGGGAACGACACCACGCTCTCTGAGCATCTCCTCAAGCAGAGCTATCCTGTTCGACAACGATGACATGTACGCTTTTGAGATCGGTCTAGCGGGGTTAGACAGGCCAACAGACTCGGAAGTCGGAAAACATACCGCCTGCGCTCATCATCATCCTTGATGATGCACACCGACCCTGTCCTTTTACACTGCGAGCACTCGGTCTCTCCCTCGGGCACCACACAGCGTATCCTCCTCTCGCGGCACGACGCGCAGGCAATAGAGGCACGGTGCCGTACTTGTTGCTTGCCGTTGGATCGTGTTGATGGCGCCGGGCTGGCGGAGTGTTCTGGGGCCGTCCTGTCACTTTCACCTTCGGAACGCGACCTGCGCTTCGCGCCCGCCATGACTGCTGTTGCGGCGACCATTGTGATACAGCGCGGAGTCCTGAATGAGGGCGATGGACTCGAGATACTGATGCGCTACCCGTGGCCTACAGGCTTATGAATGTATGTATAGCGCTGTCAGGAACTACGACAACACTCGCAATGGCAAATCCAGATGGAAGAACTAGGCAAGATAACAACAGAGCGACGGGCAATGCCCAACCTCGCGGGCTCTGCGCGAGCGGATGTCGTTGCGTTAAATGTCTTTTTGACTCTCGCCGATCCGTGGACAACAGCCGTGCCGAAATATGGAGCAGCCTAGAGTAGCTTCTTGCATGGGTACGCTGGCCTACCACCCCGCAATCTGCAGCTGCCGAGGCCCGCCTTGCTGGGACCAAGTCCCAGAGCGTTCCAGCGAGGGATTTGACCATGCTGCTTTCGTCGCTCTGATCCACCAATCCTGTCATTAGACGCCAGGCTGGAGTGAAGTATGGAGCATTCGAAGAGGGCTTGTGTCGACCTGCGTGGATACTTGGACTGCCAAGGGGAAGCCGAGAGTCACCAAGAAGAGCCCAAGAACCGGGGTACGGGGAGATAAGATGTGCCCACCCTTTTTTCCCACATGGCCCCAAGATGGCAGTGGGACCGGTGGCAGGAAATCTAGGCTAAGCCAAGTTGCTGCTAGCTCCCTTGTGGCGTGCAGGCCCCAAGACCCCCCCCCCTCCCCCTTTCCCCCCGGGCTGCGGCAACTGCTGTGGGCGGCTTGGGCAGAAGCTTCGGAGGTTCGGGGTTGCGACGCTTGCTGCGCAGGCTACGTATGTGGCGCTTCATGGCGCTGTTGGCGCAGAGCTTGTTCAACCGGTAAATGGGTTCAGGCAGAGATATCGCTGTGAGCGAAAAAAAAGTAAGCAGAGCAGTGCACGCTGATTTGCCAATGCCATTGTCTGCAGCCAACTGAAAAAGGGCGGACACGCGCCCCGCAGTTATCCCGGTCCCATCCCAGAGCCCAGCAACGACGGCGTTCCCAAGAAACTCCACTCCTCCAGAATGCGGAGAGAGATTGGGAGAGCTGATGGGGCGCGCTGTGGACACGTGCAGGGAACAGGTTTGTGAGAAAGATCATCAAGCAGCCAGGCCCGAGGCACTGAGGGAGAGATCTCAGACCAGAAAACTCCAGATATGTCGGACTGCGGAACGGGGGCGGAAAGGGGACCGCTGGCCAGCACCGCTTTTTGGCTGAATCAGTGCACCTTCTGGAAAACGTATGGAACGGCACGACATGGGATGAATCGCAATATTGTAGTAAGTGACGATAGCAAGGCCCAGAGCATCAAAGCTCGGCAATCGGCGGGTACTCGGCTGAGTAGTGCACCCACTTATCAGGCACAACAGACGAGTCAAGCGCATCCCCATGCGATCGAAGCCAGCTTCTGGCCTTCCTTCTTCTGGTTTTTCTGCCCTTCTGCAGGCCCCAACACGAGCGTTGGGCAGTTCGCCACGAAGCCCTAGCATGGGCATTCCGATTTTTGGCCGGAGCCTCACTGGTCACAAGGCTCCATTACAGGCCCCTTGCAGGCCCACTTCCCCAGCCGGCTTCGTGAGTTCTGGCGTTGAGAGGCCTTGTCAAAGACGTGCCCCAACATTTGCTTCTTGTGGGGTAGGCCCAGGACGAAGCGCTTTTCCCCGCACTTCACAAAGACGACTGGTGGGCGGCTGGAACCCCTATGAGCCTCTGGGGAGGATGCAACGGTGGGGACAGCATCGAGGCTATCGGGGCAAGAGTCTTGGCGATGAGACCCCTAATCGGGCTTGGTATCGGGCATCATTTCTGTTCCCGGATATACTTCCAGGGCAGCCGCTTTTCTGAGCGTTCTGAGAGGCTGGCAGCTCCTTGTTGGCCATCGCCTGCCGGTGTGAAGTGTGATGCGGCCGCGACGAGCTAGCGGGGCGTGACAGAGCTGTGACAGCTTACATGGCATTGCATCAGCGCCTGCGGACGCGGCAGTTGAAGAATAGCAGCCCGCCCGCTCATCAGGTTGGAATTTCGCGTTTGAAAACTTGACATCATCCCCGTTGCGACTTGAGAGCATATAGCCAGCACGCAAAAGACTAGAAATCGGCATATCACCTGGCGACCTACGGGGGACAGTTTAGAAAAATCCGGTTGATTCATGACAGTCTGAACTTCTCATAATGGCTTGTCGCTCGGACGAGCATTTGGTATGGAAGGAGGAACTTTTCCAAGAGCAACTTGATGAATCAATTAGTTAGTAACCAGTTCACTCGACTTTGGGACAGTCTGACTTACGTCGTTCATAGAGGAAGTAGGATGTGACGAACAGGATCGGCAAGGCCACCATGACGCTCACAACCTTCCTCTCGACACGCTTGTACTCCTTGCTCGACGTGTCCACACGCTTGGGCTGTGGCTGTGGCTGTGGCTGAGGCCTTGGGAAAACTGAAGCTGTTGTAGGAGACGGCGGTACTGACGCTTCTGTGATGGGTTCTCCTGTCTTTGCGGAGTTTGATGGCGACACCGACGATGTACCAGGCTTGCTGAACCTCGATGTCTGGCCCGATGGTGGCGAGAACCTCTGGCTCATTGTCCGACACGGGATTCTAGACGCTGAGATGACTGCCTCTGCCCGTGGTACTGTCAATCTGGAGAAGACAGCTCCCCGGATAAAGGCCTGAGCGTCCCGGCAGCTGACAAGTCCAAGGTGGACCATCTTCATGACACTGATGACAGGTTAACCCCTTTCTGCCTCTGGCAAATAACTCGGGCTCAGTTGAGTCCTTGGAAGCCAACAGAGTAGACTTGAGAAAAAGAGACAGCCAGCAGGTTACAAGGGGGCCCTCTCCTGCTCAACAACCAGTCAGCACGGCTGCTATTGGTGTCAGTGGCACGTACAGAACAGTGCCACACTCAACCTGTCAGTCAGGGACTGGGTACCTTGGGTTGTGGGCGAGATGCTGGCGGCCCAGATGGCCCAGATGACAGAATGGAGCAAAAAGGGACGTGTCTTGCAGGCTGCAAAACGGCAGTGCGGAATGTGGGGCCACAAAGCCGATATTGAGTCGAGAGACCTCGGCTGGACTAGTTCCCTACCGCACGGGCCACCTAGGAATCCAGGGAGAGAAGACAAAGGAGGGGTCCACGCGTTTTTTTCAAGCCCGGCCCCAGGTTTTTCAGGATCATCTTGCGAGGGGTAAGAATGATGAGGACACCACACAATCTCAGTGAATATGGTGGCAAAATACAAATTCGAATCGTGGTATATTTTTTCTTTTTCTTTTTTTTTTTTTGCGTGCAATGATTGTGCTAATGACAACGTGAAGAAGTAACCACAATTTCTCCCCTATCTCCAGTCAGCGGCAATGCCCAATGACGCTCTCCTGCTTCAAGCCCTTGCAGCAATCCTTGAAGGTCTGACGCATGTTTCGATCGACGGCGCAGATCTGCCATAGGCCAAGGTTGTTAGCTAAGAGTTCGTTGATGGTTCGAGCAATGTGCCTAGGTTGAACACTCACGTTGTCATAGGTCTTGTATCCCAGCTGTCTGCAACAGATGAAGGTCTGATCCTTGAGCAAGGCGCCGTCGGTGCTTCGCATGCAGATGCAGTCGTCTGGCTGCAGATACCAGCTGCCAGGGCACTGCTGCTGGGCCAGAGCTCCGCCGAGGAAGCCGAGTGTGAGGAAAGACAGAAGCTTCATTGTAAGTAAGTGGTATGACAGAATAATGGACGGCTTCAGCTAGACTTCTTGCTCTGGTATAACAGAACCACGTTCTGGGCATCAAAGAATCCATGGCATCTATTTATCTCCTATCCAGCTTTCCATATAAAAGATCCGCTAACTTGTCCCAGTTACTCTTACCCCGTGCAATATATGAAAGTAATATCTTGCTGGGACCTAACTTCTGGAGTGAACACTACTTCTCGTCCCATGCCCCCTCTTCCATCCCGTATATCTAGGTCGCATTGCAGCTAGAAGCTTGCTGTCAACATTTGGGGCAATATCTGCTAGCCTGTTGATAGGACTGTCTTGCATACTTCGTATCCGGCTCTGCGGTATTCGCTTCTGCCGGTGTTCATTCAAGTTCTTGTCAACCTTAGGCGCGCCAACCGGGAAGATGATGCAGGACTGTTGCCAAGACCTTGTAGAGTTCGTAGCCTCCTGGCCTCTATTTTTATACGCAAATATCTAAGCTCGCCGTGCCTATAACTCTTTTAGATATTAATATGTTAACCAACTTGATGGGACGTCTTGTATGATCTGGACCAGGGAGTGCTGCCGGTTAAATTGTCCACGAGACATCAGTCGACATTCCGCTACAGCCAAACAGAACCGGACTCCAATGCTGACTTCACTTCTCACTGTCGTTCTCTCTCTCTCTCTCTCTCTCTCTCTCTCTCTAAAATTCGATCACATATTTTTTCCGAATCGCTGGTCGCACAGCTTGCCAGCCCACTTGTGCGACCTCTCGAGCCGTTCATCGATCGGGGGCGGCCATTGGCTGTCTCATTTAAGTTTGGACATTGGACCATGCTTTAATCAACTGAACTTAGCAATTGATGCCTGGAGCTGAACTCAACTATCTCAGCTTTTCTCTTGACACAAACACACACACACACACACACACGCTTCATTCTTTTCTCAGGCTTCTTCTAAAAAGTCCAAACTCAACCTCATAGACTCTCTCAAAGGAACATGCCCTGCATCGCATTTGCACTGTGTTACCACCACGTGGATCCCCTGCCAAGCCCAGCCACCAGCCAGTCATCGCCTGCAACGGCCCGGGGGATCTGCAACGGGGGCGACGACCCCAAGCTCGCAGCTCTCAACTTCTCCACCAAAAAGCATCTGCAGCTGCAACACAAGGCGCAACGCAAACGCGACTCGGTCTTTGTTCACATTTTCAACCGCCAATTTTGCACGCCATGGACGGTAGTTCCTCAATCATCACAGCTTGAGGGCGATTGAGCCAGCTGCAGCCATGTCGCTCGTTCCATATCATCCGCGCGAGGGACGCGAGGTCGTTCTGTACGTCATCCTACTCGACAAAAAAGCCTTTAGCGCTTCCCCTCATTGCCCCTCACTCTGCTTAAGCTTGGCTTGACATTCCCATGTTCTCCATCCAGCAAAGAGTTAGGGACTACTAACCAAGATTCTTCAGCCGCCACCACAACGCCATCGTCGTCCGCGACCCCTCCTCCCAGCGCCTCGAGCTTCGCGGCCTTGAACTCCACGAATGTCCGACCTGCCATCAGCCCCTGCGACGCTCGTCGTCCCCCAACCGCCATCATTTCGATACCCCCGGCCATGGCGACACGTATGTGGACCCCAACTACTTCCGCATGCTGCGCGCGGGCTACCTGGCCCAGGAACCGAACCGCAGCACGCCCTCGAGTCCGATTCGCCGGCTAGTCGAGCCCCTGCCCGGCGTAGAACACGACGAGGGCGAAACCGAAGCAGAAATTCCCCCCAGTGCCCCGTCTAGTGCTGGAATTCCTCACCCACAACGCGGTCGCATCCGTCGCGAGGCCTTCACACCAGGCTACTTCAATACCTTCTTCATCGAAGAAAAGGAGCTCGGCCGCGGAGGCAAGGGTGTTGTGCTCCTAGTCCGGCATGAAATTGACGGCTGTAACCTCGGACACTTCGCGTGCAAACGCGTCCCCGTTGGCGACGACCACGCCTGGCTGGAAAAGGTGCTCGTTGAGGTCGAGCTACTGGCCAAGCTGTCGCATCCCAATCTTGTGTCGTATCGCCACGTCTGGCTGGAGGATGTGCAGCTTAATCGGTTTGGACCGAGTGTCGCGTGCGCGTTTATCCTGCAGCAGTACTGCAATGGGGGCGATTTATTGCGGTATATAGTCGGGGATAAGCCGAAGGAGGCGACGAAGGAGGAGCTGAAGGAGCAGATGCGACGCAGGTCTAGGGGGCAGTTGGATCAGCCGAGGACGCAGAAGCGGCTGTCGCCGGCGGAGATTTACTCGCTGTTTAAGGATATCACGTCTGGTCTGGCGTATCTCCATGGGGCGAACTACATCCACCGCGACCTCAAGCCGAGCAACTGCCTTCTTCACAAGGACGGCTCACACCTGAAATGCCTGATTAGTGAGTTTGGCGAGGTCCAGGCCGAGAACGTGATGCGAAAGTCGACCGGGTCGACGGGCACAATTTCATTCTGCGCGCCCGAGGTGCTCAAGAAGGACGCGACTGGCCGATACGGCAACTTCACTACCAAATCCGACATCTTCAGTCTAGGCCTGATCCTCTACTTTATGTGCTTCGGCCGCCTCCCATACGACAACGCGAACGTGGTCAACGAGGAGCTCGAAGATATTGACCAGCTGCGCGACGAGATCACGCGCTGGAAGGGGTTTCGGGAGGAGAGGCGAGAGCGGCCTGATCTGCCGTCGAGCTTGTACCAGTTGTTGAAACGGTTGCTTGCGCTGAACCCGGCGGAGAGGCCGACGGCGCAGGAGGTGCTGGAGAGCCTAGATAATGTGGTCAGGCCGAAGAATGTCGGTCCGCCAATCGGGCTTGGCTTGTCTAGCGGGAGGGTGCAGAATCTAGATTCTCCGGTAAGGCCGGTTGCGCCGGTGCCTGGTATGTCTTCCCCCTCCTCTTTCTTCTACGTTCAACTCCACGTGTGACTAACCCCCCCTAGAACCATCCAAACGTCCCCGATCCTCCTCCTCCTTCCCCTCCGACGACGACGATCCCGACGTTACCTCACCAACCGCCCCACACCCCAACCACAGTGGCCACTCCAACTCCCTCACCCTCGCCCGCGCCCCCCTCCTCAACCCCCCCCCTTCCAACCGCCCGGGACATCTTTCACCCTCATCCAATCTAGCTCATCTCCCGGTCCCCTCAACCCCGCCATCCCCATCCCCTTCGCACCGCTCCCGACCGATCTCAAGGCAAGGAAGTAGGACACCTTCCCCTACGACACAGGCGACGTTAACCACCCCACTGCTAATGCCCCCCCCCGCAACGGGGTTCGCACGCGTCAGAGAGAGGGCATCGGAGTGGGTTGAACAACCGGGCCTCGGTTCCGTGCTGAGGTTTGGATTATTTGTGGGGAAGATGGTCTCGCTTTGGGGCGCGTGTTGGCCGTATAGTGTAGAGGGAAGGGTTTTTGTTGTTGGGGTGTTGTTGGCGGGGTGGGATGTTGTTGATTTCGCAAATCCTGTTCCTGGTCCGGAGAGGAGTAGGGTTAATAGGCAGAGAGGGGTAAATGGGACGGAAGGAAGAGGGAGGAGAGATGGGGTTGACATTGCGGAGTGGCTGTTGAAAGCGAGTTGGAGGAGGAGTTTGGTGTTGTTGATTGTGCATTGTGCGGTGTTGGGGTGGGTTTGGGTGGGTAATGAGGAGGTTTGTGCTGCGCAGGTGAGGGCATAGTAAAAAAACGGGACAAGGGAGAGGTACTGGATGGGATGGGAATCGCGTCAGTTAAGATTGAGTTTCTCACGGAGTTTGGGGGGATGGGCCAGGGTTGGCGTTGGGAATACCATGCTAGTTGCATTGCTTTGAAAATTGTGCTTGAAGATCATATGATAGAGTCTTTATGAAACAGTCATTCATAATTGTAAAGGCTGAACCCAGCATTCTCAGACTTCATTGGATGATTGAAGTTGGTGTCGTCTAACCTCTTCATACGGTTGCCCTTCGGTGCAATCCTCATTGTCTTTTGAGGCATCTCTCTCCTTGGCTCATAGCGTCCTGATCATGCAAGTGTACTCTGGCCTGAGCTACACGCTTCGTTCTCCTTACATTACACTTCTTTGGTCCAAGACGCTACCCCTGAACTGCCGAAATGTGATAGCCTCACCGCTTTGACCCCTTTGACCCTTGGTCTCAAAGGCGGTCTGCACACAATGGTTCTATTTAACTTCTACCAAGGATTTTTCTTTTTTTTTTTTTCGTTGTTCAATGAAGCAAGAGACATTCTGTAGACTATCGTTGCCACGAACATACTGGCGTTTTGTTTACCACACAAGACCTCATAGAGCTCAGGTCGGTATCTTCCCCAGTAGTATAGAGAGCTTGCTAAGTTTGCCATAAAAAATTTCTATCTTATTCCTAATATATTGATCTCACAACATTCTCCTCCCACTAAGCGAAAAATAAAAAAAAAACCAACCAAACAGCAATCCAATAAACGAAGATATTGTTACACCGTAAGTTAACGTTCCTCAGCTGACAGCTCGCACCTTCTCAACTACTACAATGGGCCAACTAACTGGCTGACGAAGACTTTGACCAAAATCCGCTTCCAGTATGTGCATCCTCAAGATATACGAGCACCACATGTGTGGTCATGAGATCACTAGAACCATCGAGTATTGTGGTACGTTTCTACTCTCCAGTGACAAGCCCCTGCGCTGGGAGAATTTAGTTCCGTGCTCACAATGCATGCGCTGACGAGACTTTACTCAACAGAAATTCCCGGCTGCAGCAGTGTGGTCGCATCGAGGGTTTATACCAACAAATATCCATGCATCTATCATGCTTGTCCTTGGTGGGGGAGGGCATAGTTGAGGAAGTTGGCTTTGATTGTCTCCTTGGGAGAACTAGGCATTCAGAGAGTTTTTAGAGAACTTTCCACAAATTAGCGAATCTCAATTACTAAATGAATAGAAATGATACGGATCAATTAGAGGCTTAGAGAAATCGCACAAGCGTTGCTTTTTGTAATGAAACACCCTTCTTGACTGGGAAGAACTGTTGCAGCTTGAGCAAACTCCCCGAGTCGGAGCAAGTGGGTCTGAAGAGGCCATTCATAAAGAGAAGATTCTGTACCGACCTGCACGAGTCACTTTGGCGGAGTGGTTAACGCGCTGCCCTGCTAACTCCACCACGTTAGCTGCCTAGGCAGTTCCTTCGGGAGCGTAGGTTCGAATCCTACAGGTGACGCTCATTCAACGGAACCGCCCATATTTTTGCGATTTCATTGTTTTTATTCCCGATTCTTTCGTGATACTCGGGGAGAACGAGTTTTTGAGCCGAGAGTATTTTTTAAAGGAAATGAGAAAAGAGTCCCCGAAGGGCAAACATAGTGCTCACCACGTCACACATCCTTTTCTGGAGAAAACCATGACCCCTCAACTCGAATTATCCCTTGTCTTGAAACTCCCTCCCTAAGCCGTCATCCGCCCATTTACCTTTTTTACCTCAAATAACAGCCACCGTTGCCTGCACTTCACCGTCTCCCTCCTGCGCCACTAACCTCCTCAAGCCTTCTCGCTCCCCATCACCACACACGTCCCTTCCGTAAACCTCTGCCCCCGAAATTAAATATTATCCTCCCTATCCTGCCTCGCCGTCTCCCCCTTCACCGTCAACCTCTTAAATCTCAACCCTCGCCCCACTCCCCACTGGTAGCCCCGTCAAGAGTAAACCCCTCCATCGACCAACTCTCACCCCCGAATAATTAGTGTTATACAACAACAGCCTGGCGACATTCCCGTCTGCAGAGAAAGCTGCGTAGCCGGCGAAGTTGTTAGATCCGTTGTCTAACGGTGCAATGTACTTCATCCCTGCCAGAAACGCCGTCGCCGCATACGCGCCGTAGTACGGCGTGCCCATGCTGTAGCAGCCAAAGAAGCAGTACTGGCAGTTGCCGACTGTTCCTTGGTGGATATAGATGCGGGAAATATATGGTGCGGTGGCAAGCAGGATGTAATCCATCGTCCACAACGCCGCGCCAAACGTCGGACTTACCCGGCGACTCCCCCGTCCGAGAAGGAGTTCATCTTCCCCAGGACGTACTCTTTCCCCACGCGCTGCGCGGCTTGCAAGTCGGCTGTGAATAAACCCCTCACGTTACTCGCCGTCTGCTTGTGCGTCTGCAGTTTCTGGATACTCCTCCCGGGATAGTTATGGTTCGCGTAGTGCGGGATGTAGCAGGACGCTTCGGTGGTTTGGGCTTCGCGCAAGATGAGCTGCGCGGCGCCCCATTCCGGAGCCGGTTGGTTCCAGTTGCCGGCTCGGATGATGTTGGCTGATCGAGGGCGCTGCCGACGCGGAGAGGCCAGGAGTTCTGGGATTGCGCGTCGATGGTGGGATTCCAGATGCCGGGGGCGATGGGCTGGTCGTCTTTGGGGTAGTCTGGTGGGTTTCAGCCAAGTTCGTGGAAAATAAGAGGGGAGAAGGGCAAAAAGAGGTGGGGGGACTTACATTCTGACATGTTGCCCAGTTCGATGGCAAGCAACGTCGGAATCTCCTGGACTGCGACCCTAGCCGCAGCAATCGTATTCTCGATAATCATTCTTCCCTCAATTCAACCCAATGACCACACTCCCCTGGTACATCCCTGAGAGCGTCGTAAACCTCGGCCCAAACGTTACCGTTCTAGGCGCTTCAGCTGGACTGGCCACGATATATGCCACATAAGCCGACGTGACCGGTTCGTATGTCGTCTGGTCCTGGGTTGTTCCTCCAATGCGGTTGGGCCACACCCCGATCAGATTTTTCCAATTCTCGAGGCAGCGTTCGGTCGCGGTTCCGTTGGTGAAGTAGGGGGGAAGGCGATGAGCTCGAAGGAGAGGCCGACGCAGGCCGGGTCCAGGGGGGAGTAGAAGAAGTTGGGGCCCCAGTCACGCGGGGGGGATGGTAAACTACACTGTTAGCCGTAAGCGACCGCGGTGTGGTCACCGTTGATCGTACCTCGGTCAGTCCCGGCCCCGCTGAGGCCAGGTGCATACTTAACCTTACATAAGAGCCAGGCTCATCCGCCCTCACGCGTGTAGGGGTTATCATTCTGCGGCACCTATTGTGCTTGACAGATCCCTTCAGGGCCGCGTATTCTGCAGGGCAACGCAAAATATATACTCTCCGCTTTATACATTCATGCATACAACATGCACGGAGAAGGCGGGGGATATCGCCGCCGCCGTGGAAAAGGCAAGCAGGCGGGTTATGGCATCTATCTTGATATTCCTGAAGCTTGGACTACATGGTCAAAGAAGTTCTCAAGGCTTGACAGTGAAGATCATCCTCTATTTGCCTTTAACCACGACTTCGCTAAAAATCTCGGGGGGCTCACCACTGACACGACGCAACGTCCCTCACCCACAACCTTGCCTACAATTCAGCCTAGTTAGTTCCGGGGCTTCACAGTATCTATTATGTTCCTCTGTTGAGCATAATGCGGGGAGCCTTGTCTATAAGAAGCCAGCATTTATCCCTATGGTGTTGTTACCCCGCTGACCTATAATATGTGGTTTTGGGACTGTCCGGCAAGATCCAGAAATAGGTTACTTCAGGCCATATGATGAGCTAACATTTCCTCCCATTATTATTTTTACTGATTATATGCATATCGAACTATCAGGAGCCGAACTATGGAACAGATCCAAACATCGTGCAAGCTGACTATCGGCATGGCTAAAGAACTTTGAAACAGGGAACAGTGAATTCATATACTTGAACTTTACGGTTCCTAAGAACAGTACTTACCCGAGAACATACCTAAAAACTTACCTTGGAGTCACCCTGACTTCTTCTTCCAAGCCCAATACCCTATCCTCTCCTTCGGCGTCCGCAACGTGAACTTCTTCCTCCTCTCTTCCCACCTCTTGTTCAAAACTTTTGGCACCCTCAACACCTCACTCAACTCTTTATACAACAACTTATACTCCCCCACATTCTTCAACGACCCCTCCATCTCCATAACTCTCTCCATTGCCTCTTTGCCGTCTTCACTCTTCCCCACTTGCAACATCTCCCACGTCACCTCAAACTCCCCTCCAAGCCCACGCACACTGTCTCCTGGTCCCTTAGGATACCTCCTCAGCGACTCAAGCAGCGACCCCAGATGGTACATAGCAGTCACCCACCTGTCCGCTACCTTCTCAATTTTTTCTTCTGCCTGTCGTATCAACACGCGTAGGTCGCGCAAATACCAAAGTATATCCAGCGGGTAGGTCTTTAATAAGATAATGCCCATGTCCTCGCCGAAGATATACGGCTCGCGGTCCTTCATGTGACGAAGAGTGTCCATCGTTTCGCGCAAAGAAAGTTTTTGCGTGAACAGGTTGGCAGAGTACCAGTAGAAATCACCGCGGGTCATGTCCAGCATCATTAGCTCGTTGGACATACTGACAGCCGCTTCTTCGCCTTCTTGGTCGTTGTCATTTTTAAATTCGGACGGAGCGAGTTGGCCGTCCTCGCGGTAGAGGATCTCGCCTGGGAAGCGGACGCCTGTGATTTCAGGACCGGCTACGCCGGGGATGTTTCCTTCCGGCTGCGCGCCCGGCAAGTCCCATGACTCCCCCCACCAGAAACGTGGTTGCTCATGGCCACAGAGCTCGCATTTATGTGGCGCCTCCGAAGCAGGGGAGATGAGGTCGAGCTCTTCAGCTGCTACTTTCTCGGTCATGAGCTCGGCCAGTGGGCGGTACTCATTCAAGACGCACTTGTTGTCGCAGTCATGTTCAGGGTGCCGGTGTAGGGCAAGTTCCCAGGCATGGAGGGCCTCAGGGATTGGTTCGAGGTGGTTGTGGGAGCGATGGAGGTGGATGCTGTCGGGGACTTCGAGTTCGGAGGAGGAGGAGAAGTCGGACCAGGCTGGCTCTGGGGGAGAGCTGGCGTCAGAATCGAAACTGTCGTCCTGGGATTGGGGCTGAGGCTGGAGCTGGGGCTGGGGCTGGGGAACAGCAACTAGGGGGTCGTTGAAGAGGGCTGCTACCCCTGGGTCAAAAAACTCATCATCCGCCCACTCCTCCGCCAGTGCATTCCATCTCCTCCCCACCACAGGACACCAAGTTCTCTGCTCCCAGACTAAGCAGCATCGATGCCACATGCAGAGACGCAGGTGTTTGCTAAAGACGAATTGGGATTCGTCGTCGAGACCATAGTGTTGCTGTATATAGGAGCGGTAGCGCTGCCACAAGTGTATGCTCTCGCACTCGCAGGTGTGGCAGCTACCGGTGGCGATGAGGGTTTTGCTAGCGTCGTACGGCCAAGAGGCAATGTCGGTATCGGTCCAGGGGTGCAGGGACATAGGGACGCGGGTTGAGCCACAGAGAGTGAAGTGAACGACACGGATTTTGCACATTTTGGGGTCTCAAAAATAATATGATGAGGGACCTACCTGGAACTTGAATATTCTAAGTAAATGGGCAGACTTACCCGGGTAAGTGATGGTGTTGGTAGGTGAAGGTTGTAAGTTTGAAGCTTGTTGAAAAGGCAGTGATGCTCGACAATGAGCATGCTTATAAGTTCGTCCACTTCACAGATATGAATCCCAACCGTATTGTCTTGACAATGTCTTTCACTACCTTGTCAGAACTATACCCCAAGTTCTTTGTCCCACCATAGACATTGACTTTGATTCTTACTGGCAAGTTGGACCTATTACCTCTCAACAGACCATCATTTCCAGCTCTTTGTTTCATCTCCTCAAGTGCCGACTCCTTACTCTAGCCCGCAACAAAGCACTGTTTTCACTGCCAAGAGAACAAGGCGATCGACTCGACAACTCGGTTTGTTAGGTACAAGTCCTGCCCAATTGGGCGCCACCGGTATTACTCACTTCTGTATCCTTCCCATCATTGACTGGCAAACATGTGACCCTGACAATATCAAATATCATTATTGTCATGAACTGCCCAATCGGCATATACGCCTGGCAGTCACCACTTGAACGTCATCCGAAAGGAGGTCTCTGCGCAATCTACCCCAGATGGCCCAGATCATGTGGGATAACGGTTCAGATAACGTTAGAACAGACTCTATTAGATGAAAGATGGAGTTCAATATGTACGCAAAATCCAACTGGCTGCCGTATTTGCGAAGTGCTTTTATCCGTGCTGGGGGTTTATCCGCCTGAGCGGCAGTTGTACCTTGGCACATATACAGGAAAAGTAGCCGGTATAAGTGCCGACTGGGATATCCAAGGGGGATCATAGGATGGGTTAGAAAACCTTGGGAGTATAAAAGAATGTTGAGAAAACTCAGGGGTTGCGAAATTTTGGCCTAGTTACGCTTCTCCTCAAGTGTTCTCCGCGACATTGCTTGCACTGCTGCTGATTAACACATCATCAATACCGTCAACAACATGAAGCTCAGCACTTTCCTAGCCCTCCTAGTCTCAGCAGCAGCTGAGGCCCACTGTACGAAATCCCTACCTCTTTAAAACCCTTGAGACATTCGCCTCGAGTCATTAACACCCCTCCAGACGTCTTCCCCTCCATAGCCAACACCCCAGACTGGCAATACGTCCGCCAAACGACCAACTTCCAAAGCAACGCCCCCGTTACCGACGTCAACTCTGACCAAATCCGCTGCTACGAGCGTATACCAGGCCAAGGTGCCCAAGGAATCTACAACGTCACGGCCGGCAGCGTGCTTAACTATAACGCCCGCGCATCCATTTCTCATCCCGGCCCTATGGCCGTATACATCGCCAAGGTTCCCGATGGGCAAAGCGCTCGCACCTGGGATGGAAAGGGGAGGGTCTGGGCGAAGATTTATCAGGATTATCCTAGTGTGTCTGGGAATGGATTAACGTGGCCTTCTATGGGTACGCCCTTCCTCTCTTTTCACCCCTTTCGAGTGGTCTTGAGGAGATGGGTATGCGCTAACGAAAAACAAACAGGCAAGACCTCCATCCCAGTAACCATCCCCCGCTGTCTGCAGAACGGCGAATACCTCCTTCGGGCGGAGCACATCGGTCTGCACAGCGCAAGCAGTCCCGGCGGTGCACAGTTCTATATCTCTTGCGCGCAGATCAGTGTGTCGGGAGGGAGTGGCACGTGGAATCCGAAGAACTTGGTCAGCTTCCCTGGCGTATATACCGCGACACATCCGGGCATCCAGATTAATATTTATTGGCCGGTGCCGACGAGTTATACGCCTCCCGGGCCTGCGGTTGAGACGTGCTAAGGGCAGTAAAGGAGATGTATATACATAGGTTGAGTACTGTTAGACTGGTAATGGTACCATATATGTTTCCTTGGGGTTGAATAGTTCTGTCTCTCACGTAAAAGATACCACACCTACATAGATAGGCTAGTGCACTTAATAGCACCGCTTCTTCCTCAACAGCAGCGCACAACAATTATCCAAACTAGCCGAAACACACGACCGGTCTCGTCTGCTCTAGTTCCCCCTTCAGTCCTCCAGTCCCTCCAGAATGGCATTAAACAGCAGATCGGCTCATCATCTCGTGACGTGTTAGTTTCGACTTCTATGCTGGGGCAAGAAGCCTTGCCATATATAGCCCCATGGTTGGATGGCCGGAAGAGGGCGCTTACGCAGCGTTGGTAGAACAATATTGCAAACACGAATGCAAAATGATCAGGATGTAAGTAGAATCAATGACGATGGCAAAGACTTGTGGCCATTGACCCTGATGCCAAACCAACGTCGTTCGGCTCAAGTGTGCACCTGACCTCAGTGGAACGGGGGCTGACCGAGGTATGTCAGCGGTGACCACACCGTGGTCACTTGCAGCTAACATCTCTGGCTAGGAAAGCGCTGACATCGCTCAATGCTTTCTTTGCCTGAAGACAGGTATATTTCCAGAGAGGCGGGTAGCCAGTATGAAGGACGGTGCAGAAAAATACCTAATGGCACATGTGATTCGTTCTGGCTTATGGAAGAACGATCCATACCAGTAAAGGGTCTGGGGGAACCATCCTTGTCCGCTGGCACAACATGAAACGTGGGCTGCTGGGACATGTCAGTACTATGACTTACGTTTTACTTATATCTCCTAGAAATGAACATCAGTCAGATGCATGTATGGACATAGAGTATGTCAACCGAGACTGGTTTTTACCAACATACTTGCGAGATAAGTGTTGTCTGGTTTGCCAACTTCATACATTCATGGTCATGGCAACATGAAAACTATGCTATAGGAGGAGAGTAATCGGAGGTTGTGCCAATAGGGTGTTCAACGCCTCGTGCCATGCAGTTCGCCTGCAAGACAAGTTGAAAGATTATTATTTTTTTTCTGTTGCTCGTAGCCTAAAGTCCCATAACGGTACTGACTCCATCCAGGATTTACCCCTTGATCTCTTCCATAGCCCACAAACACACGTGTCAGAGTCAAGAACCGCTGAAGTGATACAGCAGTTGTAACGGTTGTGAGGAAATAAGACTTCCACACGTGCACAATTGACACAAGTGCACATGCCTTTTGAAGCAGAGGCCAGTGCGCGTATCGCAACAGATGAATGCATTGTGTGATCTTCGTCGGAATATTGGAGTAAGGTGAAGGGAGTACCCAGTCGAACAGAAGGTGCGCCTAACTTTTCAAAATTAGAGGTTGAACATAGAAGCATTATTGTAGGATGCGATAGACGATGACGACGACATCCCAGCAAGTAAGGATGCTCTGTTTTGTTTCAACCTGGCCTCAGGGGATTGGAAGTGTTGATAATTCCCGTAGTCCAACCAATAAGCTCACGATAGTAATGACGAGCACCATGATAATAAAAGCGATGCATAGCTAAACCGAAGTACGGTTCAAGTTTCGAGTATGCGTGGCGTCCTCAGCCGTGACGTGTTGCATGCGATGTGGGTCAAAACTTGTGACATGGGCCTTCTTTAAAATCGACTTCCACAATTTGCGACTACAGATTAATTGAAAGTTGCTAAGGTAATGCTGCTGCTGAGAGACACAAAACACCAAACTTCGTGGACCTTTGCAGTAATCTAGAATATTACCTTGGAATCAAATGGTAGCCGCAACCTTTCCCTCTTTTCTTCCTCTGATTCCTGGTCGCAGCCAATCAAAGAAGACAACTTTGAGATAAACCAATCAGAAGTGGTCAACCTGAACGATCCGACGCTCAACGTCAACCTCGACTTCACCTCACGCGAGGATGCCCCCCTCGAGCGCGGGCATTTTAGCCGCCCTCAAGAGGGCTCGGGAGGAGGGAGTAAAAGAACTCAATGCCGTTATCTCCATCACCGAGTAGCTCCTCCGCGCAATTGAAGACGTCGAGAAGAACCTCGAGGGCAATTTGGAGAGGATGGTTGGGAAGCCCATCATCACCAAGCTTCATTCCTTCCTCATCCAGACGTCGCTAGCCCAGGGCGGGTCCTCGTCCCCACTTTCTTCTCCCCAGCCAGCTAGGACACCAGAGAACCCCGCGGAATCAAGAACGGTGCCAGGTTCATCCCCCTCAGCGGCCGCCAACGGCATCTAGTCCAACCAAAGTGCGACACGCACTTACGCCCAGGCAGCAACTTCACAGGGGTCAACCCCCCGACGAACCGGGCCTCCACAATCAGGCGGCCCTGACGGATCACGGCAAGGTAATCGATTGTCGCTGGTGATAATCAGTCGCTGCTAGTGACAACGGGGCCTGACCCCTTGGGACTACGTGGAAGGCCACGAGTATATAAGATGTAGATAGCCCCTTTAGGATAGCGAGAAAACGAGGAATTCCTCAGTCAGCAATACAAACAATTGGCAATACACCACTGGTGACCACAGTAAGCATCCTTATTACTGTGAGGACTTCAGTCCCTCGGATTCAACGACCTGGCTACTACCTTCGAACCCTTCTCAGGAGGTTGTGGAGTCGTCACACGTTGCTGACTCCTTTTCGGTTCTGAGGACGGTTCGGTTCCAGAAGGTAGCACGACAGACTCGCCATCACCGTGTCCGACTTCAACAACGACAACAACACCAGCGATCTTCCCATGGCTTCACCCCCGCAGCCCGCAGCCGGGACGGCTCAGGAACTACCCTAAGTGTCGGAGGAGTTCCTATGGACCTCCTTCATACAGTTCACAGGCTTAAGGGCGAGCTCGCCCAATTGCGCCAGGAGGCCCAGCAGGCTAAAGCTGATGTTACGAAGCTACAGCGGGAGAGGCAACGGATGCACGACGAGGTTACCAAGTTGCATAAGGGGGACCAGTGCCTCCGCAACGAGATCGCTCAGTTGCATTAAGAAGACCAGAAAGTCCGAGCCACAGTTTCTCAAATGCAAAGGGGAAGAGAAAAGAGGGAATAAAACGAGGGAGTACATGTAGCTAGCTGGATTGATGAGAGAACACTCCAATGAAGGAGGAGTTGCGTCCCTACCTACCCACTTAGGTATGTTCGTGCTTGGTTTAAGAAGAGAGTACGCGGTTCTTGAAAACTAAGACGCTGTCCTCCCTCCCTCATACTGGACCTCGTCGACGCGACACGATGTGGAGTATCAAGAGCCTTAACTCCCAACTTGTGGCGCTGAGCCATTCTTCTTCTGCATCTCCAGTATCTTAGACATCAGATAGGCACTAATATTAAAACTGGAGTTGAATCCAAAGGCGAGCAAAAACAGTGGAGATGATAGAAGTCACTTGCTAAGTAGGGTACCTCCTTATGCCCGGCAATTCACAGGTTAGGATGGAACTGAGGAATATAAGATCCATTTTTGGCCCGTGTTGGCACGTACGACCATACCCAGTGGAAAGCACGGCATCCCGTCCGCTCTGCCCTAGTTAAGCCACTGAGGGCCCGGTTAGTAGTTGGGTCGGTGACGACCAGCGAATCCCGGGTGTTGTACGTTTTTGCCTTGCATTCATTTTGCCTACATTTTCTTGTTTGGTCATCATTATCTTGTTACTCTGCGAAAGTTAATGTCCTAAGCGGGTTGTTTGCTCGAAGTTGATAGCGCCGATTGGTATCACTGTCGAACGATCGTTGTGAGATTAACTGCTTAACCTTGGTATCAGTCCTTGTAAATGGAGTCGAGGATGGTACTATGGCTACCTGGTAATAACGGTTAACAAAAAGTGAATCACTGTACAGGTAGCCTAATTGCATTCCAGGACAGAATTGGGCACCTACTTCTTCTATCATGCATAGGGCATTACTCGGTGCGTATCTATACACTTCGAGTGTTTGCTCGGCACCAGCGTGGTTTTGTATCCGTCGAGTCATCGTCTCTGGACGTAAACCAAAATGCCACAATAACATTCTCCTAATTTAAAGGGTCTTTCTGAGTTCTAGGGCACAAGTTAACTTTGTTGGAATTTCCGAATAAACGACACGAACCCAAAACAAGATGATGCAGGAGCAGAAAACAGTTCTTCATAAATGGTCTAAACGAGAGTAGATAGATATGAAAACTCGGCAGACAATATATGGAGGAGATCAGGTCAAAAGTAATGAGTCTGTTGAACGAAATGCTTGTATCGTTGTTATCTCAGAGACGCTGAGATGGTTCCCATGTTTAATTCTGTTGTTTTCGATCAGATTTATCATCTTGGTCAATTATATGAGCGCTAAAACGAAGACATCCAAAAAGTTTCAAGGATAGAAGTTGACCAAAGCCCTTGCATTTGCCCTCTTCTCTCGATCAAGAAATTGCTTCCCTCGGATACGATGCCATCATCTTCTTCCTTTGCCCAAAGGGTCAAAACTATCCCAGTATTATCTCCTTGAACACGGCCCCATCTCCTAATCCAAGTTTGAGAGAGGAAGCAGAGATCCAAGTACCGTCCACACGCTCGGCGTACATCTTCCCGCCATCAATAGAACCGGTTGCCGTGCGTACCCCGTTCTCCCCTATCCACTCAATCAGCAAAACAAAGCACTCTGAGAACGCTACGCGCGTGCGTGAGCCAGGCTTGCCAAGCCCGTTTGCCTGGTCCCTTGGTACTACCTTGTCACAGCATATGAATATAAACTCCCTCTCCTGCTCCTGCGTCTGCTCGTCCTGAACTTGAGATGGCTGGCAGGCGGTTCGCTGCAGGCTCTGCACTACATGGGAGTCTGGATACATCGTGCCCAGCAATTCCCCATTGTGCCCCTTGATGCTTATCTTCTTGGATCCTGGATGATGAATGACACACAGCCTAAGCGATATAGTCCAAAACTGCAAGAAGCCAGAGCCCGGCGCATCACTGATGATATCGTCGATGTAGCGCGGCGCCTCAATGAGCGGACTAAAGCGTGAGAGCAGTCGGACAGCATAAAAATTGAGATTCATCCAGGTGCGGAAAGTAGCGTCTCCAGGTTCTTTTTTTTTTTTGTCTTCATGGTGGAAGACTGTGTTTACAGGTCTGAATATGGTCGAGTTGTGGCCGGCTTGCTGGTAAAATTGGACAAAAGTATAGTCCTGGGCAAACCAGGTTTCTCGATCTAGATGATCATTTGGGTGCGAGCAGACCCAGCTGGGATCAAACTCGCAGCCCCCGATCCAGCCGGCCCAGGACCCTTAAGAGAGTGGTGTGATATTTAGCAATTTGTGCATTTCTCCCAATCGTTGTTATGCTTCATGTTAAGGAAATAAAAGGGGTGGTGGGAGGGGAACACTGAAAGAAGAGATGCAGAATGGGGGAGAGAGAAGGTGGGGGGGGATAGTTGGGTTGCTTACAACTGGGAGTTAAAGGTTGGCCTGTTGTTGAGTTAACTCGACGTACGAAGTGCTCCCCGTCGAGGACCGTCCAGCAGAGAAAATAGGTGAAGAATATCGTAGGGAGACCATGACAAAAGTCAGAACAAAGGTAATGCTTCATCAGCTGTGCCACGCCAGCAAACGCATTGTAGATATCATGAACGAGACTAAGTTCTCGCTCCATATATAATTCAATGTCTTCGTCAGCTCTCGGGGCAATATCCAGCCAGTCTGGAGGAATGCTTTCTTCTCTGCGAACGAACTCGCGTGTTGGACTCCAAGCCAGGTATTCGGATCTGCTCTCTGACTCAATTCGACACTGGAACGCAACCGTTCCTCCAATGAAAACAAGCATTCGGTTGGCTAGACGTTCTTCTTGAAAGGTCCAGCCACGAGTGCGGTACTTGGACTCTTTGAGTTCCATTTCCCAGTTATAGTCAATTCCTATTCTAAAGCCTGGCCTAATCTGCTCGATCAGCTGCTGGCAAGAAATCCCGCGCGAGCCAGGTTGTACTCCAGCAATGCCCGCATTTGCGTTGTCACCCCCGGCTGCTATGATGACCAGGTACGCCCCGGCATAGATTAGGTTCATGGATCTCAACTGCATGGGCGTTTCCTCCTCGTCACCTTGAAGAATGCAAAAAGAATCAACCCACAGATAGCGTAATCCGATCTCCTTTGTCACGACCATAGCATCACGAATAGTCTTAGGAAGGTGGTCGCGAATTTCCGGTTTGTTGAAAAATGCACCTGGCATTTTGAGCACATAAATATTGCTTTTCTCGGCTTTTAGCACCTTATAAGGCCCCCAGACATAGCTCAAAGCAACGTAGCGGGCGTTAGGAGGAGGGGAGACAACACAGCCGATCTCGACATCGATACAGCGGAAGTTGTTTCCCAGAACCTGTGTCGGATGTGACAGCTTCAGAGCTTTCAGGAGTTCACTTGTTTGACACTCGGGTCCATGATGCTTCTCACAGTACTCAAGCCAAAGTCTCACTAAGCCGAAATCAATACCCTCAGGTCGTAGAGGCTGGATACAATCAGGGGTTATTTTGGCCAGCGGTTTATCCAATATATCAGTAACCAAAGGTTTGATGCCGAAGTATACTTTATGTGGATATTCTTCGCCTTCTACGCTGACAAGGAGAGAACGCTCGCGGACGTATTCGACTGAAGCATTAGGATCTTCTAACATGGCATCCCCTCTATGTAGACGCAACCCTGTGAGGATCAGACGGCAAAGGGGACACCATGGCTTCTGCACCAAGTCGGAGACATTGCCTAGCTTAAGCTTTGGCGGGTCCTCCTCTATTGTCCTGTAGCCTGCGAGATACTCGAACAGATCCAAAGCAGCGCAGACTTCGCAAAGCTGGTCGCTTGGGGACCTTGTATCAGGGATCGGCCAGAGCCAAGGCGGCCTGAGTTTGGTATTGAAGGGAGGGTGATTATCAGCCGAGTTGGGGTTGTTTGGTTGTTGAGCTTTCCTGGAAGCTCTTGTACGGTCCGGCTTCTTCTTAGAGACCCCGCTGGAAGTTGTTTTGCGGCCGGGCTTTTTCTTTGGGGCTCTCTTGCCACTCGTTTTGCAGCTAGACCTTGACCCCATGAGTTTAGTTCAGGCAAGTAACTTCGTGGAGCGAGGTATGAAGAAACGGGGACACTGATGGGTAGCAGGATAACTGCACATGAGAACGTTTCGAGCCTAGAAAAAAAGAGGCGTGTGATCAAAAGGCCAAGGTAGGAGCGAATCTTATGAAGAGCGAAAAGCCGGGTAGAGCTCATTACCTGCAGATGGGCTGGCGAAACTGCTTGGCAACTCTAATACTCAGGTCAGCGGTTCTGTCACGGTATTCTTCCATTCCGCTACTATGCGCAGCCTGCCCTCTCGCATCGTCTTGATGTCGGGCCCTTCGAATAGCGGCTTTCCTCTTTTCTGAGCGATCATAATAATATGGGCCAGTGGCGTGGCTATCAACTAAGCATCAGGAGATACCATCCTCAGCCCTGTCCTTTCCCTCTCCGCACCCAGCGCCCTAATCACCAATTCTGGCTGACGACATGGAGGATGACATCAGTGATCTAGAAGTCGTTATTCCCTGCTTTTCCCACATAATCTTCTCTCACTGCGTTAATTCTTCCTGGTTCTACTGGTTTCAAGCGCACCCTCCAACTAGCGTTATCTCAGAGTGCATACATTAGCTGCCAACCCTTTCCCTCTTTTCTTCCTCGGGTTCTTGAAACGGACCAATCCGAGGAAGAGTTTGCGGGATGAACCAATCAGGATCAGTTATTTTGAGCAATCAACAAGCACCAGCCGTCCGGCTCCCCGATTCAACCATGGCGCCAGCGGCCTCTCGGCCCTACGAAAGGCCAGGGACGTCAAATAGATCAATACCCTCGTTTCTGTCACCGAAAAACTCTGTGCCGCGATCGAGAACGTTGAAAAAAGCCTCTCGGACAGATCGGGAAGACGGTCGCAAAACCCCTCATCTCAAAGCTTCATTTTTCTTTGAATTGAATGGTATTTTCGGCTCATCTCACCCTTGAGGGTACTTGGTCGTGCCCACGACGGCAGCGGGCAAGAGGTGATTATAGGCTGCCTATGGGCTGCCTCATTCTTTCCTTGTCCAGGCGGCTCCTGGGTCAAGCGTTCGACGAGGCCACAGGACAATCCATCCCTATGCTACGCCTCCCTCGTTTCCCCTTTTACGTGTGGGTTCAACGCCGCGAGAACAGGGAGCCTGATATCGACTCGGAGGAGTCGGTATCAGAGATCTAAATCCCACTTGCCCTGCGGGAGTAGGTCCTCGCCCCTCCCGAGTACCCACCTGCCCCTCATCTAGCCGCTACCTTTCCACATAGGTATTTCCCCCCTTCGGGAGTTTTCCCCAATGTGGCATGTATATAGTATGTATATATATATTAATGTAGCTGTTGCTCGCTGTCGTCGTGAGCACGACCCAGCGCCCCCAGGGGTGAAGCCTGTCGGAAATATAATCTAATCTGATCGGATCGACACTACACTCCTCAAAGACAGCCGTTCCCACCATTGAAAGACGCCAAGGGCAGGCTCCTAGCCGGCGCTCATTCCTCAGAGTTAACCGTAACCACCCCGACTGGCAATTGGCGACCCCCGCTGGCATCATAACCCTCCTCGTAGAAAAGATTAGCTTTCCACGCGCTGATATCTCCGGAGTTTATGTCACATGGACCCCAAGCTCAGCCTTGCGACGCAGGCGGTCGCGAGGGCGTCAGCGACGACTGCGGTGGTAGGGTTGTCAAGCGCCTGTCTAACACGAAAGTCTGGGGGCTCCCCCCCGCGGCTGGCCCCAACATCTTCAGTGCAGTCGTCACCCCCTCCCTTCTGTAGGCCATGGTCCAACTTTATACCGGCCCACATAGGGCGGGGGTCAACGACCGCTTGGTCCCATCCAGACTCACATCGGTGTGGACATCTCTCGCCAAGATTACAAACGCAGCACTGAGGGTGGATATTCCCGGTGTAGAGGACAATACCAACCCCCTACCGCGGCTGGTCCCGCTTACACCAAGCGGCCTCTGGTCTAAGGGCTGGGCCCCAATGGGAGCCCAACGCGCAGGCATCAGGGCATGGCTTGGTCTCCCTTCCTCTTCTCTCGAGAAACGTCGCGTCCCTCCCACGGACATGCACAGATTGTGGCCGGCCAACAGACCCTCCTCGGCTCGATGGAGCGGGCACTCAGCCAAACCCTTCCTCGAGAAGTTTTCCCGGCAGTGCCTTTCCCGGTGGCTGGCAGAGGCCTCGGGTCACGGCGACTTTCTGGAGTACCACACGCGATTCAACCACCCCCCGAGGCTATTAAAGAGTGCCCCTGCGGCGCTGTGGTGTCCAGAGGCCACTTCTTTTCCTGCCCTCTCGTCTCTTTCAACAACCCACTTGCCGGAAGGCTAGCTTTATGTTCTTCCTTCCAGTTGTTTAAGTCCAGGGCCTCCCAGGTCAAAGTCTGGGGGCAAGCCTGGGGCGCTTCCCCAGGGCACCCTATCCCGTTACCAAGCCTCCCTCTCTCCCCCCTCGCAAGCCCAACGTGCTGATCATCTAGACTCCGAGCCTAACGACCCGGAGTAGGTCCCAACGAGGTACATACTTGGGGCTGGCCGGTTTCGAGAACCTTTCCCCTGTACATAGTACACTGCACGCCCTCTAACCCATGCCGGTTTTACCCTATGCGGCTTTTTCCCGGAGTTACCTGCATTCAGTTTGACTCGGGTAGCTTTTGCCCGCCGGCGTCGTGGGCACGACCCAGCACCCTCGGGGATGAACCCAGTCGAAAAATAGAATAAATAAATAGATAAGATAAATAAGATCCAGAGCCTTGCAGATCGAACTCTGGGGCCCAGGCCTGGGATGCCGCCATAGGCCGCCTTATCCCAACGTTAAGACCCCTCCACTTCCCCCTACGCACGCGACCCCAACCCCACAGGGGCATCGACCGCGACAGCGATTGGTCGGAGTCGGAGTCGGAGCTGGAAGTCCACATCCCCGGGTTCGTACAAGTGTGAACCTCCCATTCAATGCAAGACAAACACCCCCTTACCCCAACCCCCTTGGCTTACACCAGTTTTGCCTTAGTGCAGGCTTTTCCTCCAGTGTTACTTGTATATAGGTTAGTTCAGTAGCTATTGCTCGCCGTCGTCGTGGGCACGACCTAGCACCCTAGGGGGTGGACCCGGTCGAAAAATAGAATAATACTACGAAGATGGGACAATATCTGACTTCAAACAATGTATCTTACAAACTTTGTTCTTGAGAATAAGTGCAAAGTTTGCGATATAAAGTTTTCACTTCCATGAGAGAACAAAGATATCATGCAGTCTCTGAACAACCTGGAAACTCGAAAAGAAAGAGAGTTTAGAACTAGAAAGGAAAGAGCTAGGGGACGCTATATACATATGATATATAGATTGCTCGCGGTCTAAGATTAGTCCGACGGTTTCATTGACCTGACTCAATTATGAGATGACAGACCTTTGACTACCTCCGTCTGGCCATTCTCCACGGCCCAACTCAGCGGCGTTTGGCCATCGTTGTCTTGTCCGTTTGGATCAACTTGGCTATCACATAACAAAGCTTTAATAATTTCCATATGGCCATGAGATGAAGCGCAATCTAACGGCGTCGTGCCATGATTGTCTTGTCGGTGTGGATCAACTCGATCATCACATAACAGAGCTTTAACAACATCCGTATGGCCTTTATATACAGCACAATGCATTGGCGTTTGACCAGAATTGTCTTGCCGGTCTGGATCAACTCGATCATCACATAACAGAGCTCTAACAACCTCCGTCTGGCCATTGAATGCAGCAAAATGTAGCGGCGTTCCGCCATTTTTGTCTTGTCGGACTGGATCAACTCGGCCATCACATAACAAAGCTTTAACAACCTCTGTCTGACCATTTTGTGCAGCCCAACTCAGAGGCGTTTGGCCATCGTTGTCTTGTCCGTTTGGATCAACTCGGTTATCACATAACAAAGCCTTAATAATTTCTATATGGCCATTAGATGCAGCGCAATGTAACGGCGTTGTGCCATGATTGTCTTGTCGGTGTGGATTAACTCGGTCATCACATAACAGAGCTTGAACAACATCCGTGTGACCTTTATATGCAGCACAATGCATTGGCGTTTGACCAGAATTGTCTTTCCGGTCTGTATTAACTCGGTCATCACATAAGAGAGCTTTAACAACATCCGTATGGCCTTTATATGCAGCACAATGCAGGGGCGTTTGGCCAGAGTTGTCTTGCCGGTTTGGATCAACTCGGCCGTTACGTAACAGAGCTTTAACAACATCCGTATGGTCATCATATGCAGCGGCGTTTGGCCAGAGTTGTCCTGTCCGTTTGGATCAACTCGGTTATCACATAACAAAGCTTGAACAACCTCCGTATGGCCATTCTCTGCAGCCCAACTCAGCGGTGTTCGGCCTCCCTTGTCTTGCTGGTTTGGATGAACTCCACCATCACATAACAGAGCTTTAACAATTTCTGTGTGGCCATTGAATGCAGCGTAATGCAGCGGTGTTTCGCTATGGTTGTGTTGTCGGTCTGGATGACCTCTGTCACCACGTAACGGAGCTTTAACAACCTCCGTATGGCTATTTTCTGCAGCCGAAACCAGAGACGTTAGGCCATTGTTGTCTTGTGGATCTGGATTAATTTGGCCATCACATGACAGAGCTTTAAGAACCTCCGTATGGCCATTCACTGCAGCCCAACACAGTGGCGTTCGGCCATTTTTGTCTTGTCGATTTGGATCAACTCGATCGTCGCATAACAGACATTCAATAACCTCAGTATGCCCATATTCTGCCGCCCAATTCAGCGGTGTTCGGCCGTTTTTGTCTTGTCGGTCTGGGTCAACTCGGCCATCACCCAATAGACATTTAACAACCTCCGTATGGCCCTTCCTTGCAGCCCAACTCAGCGGTGTTTGGCCATTATTGTCTTGTCGGTCGGGATCAACTCGGCCATCAGACAACAGAGTTTTAACAACCTCCGTGTGGCCATACTCTGCAGCCCAACTCAGCGGTGTTCGACCTTCCTTGTCTTGTAGGTCTGGATCAATATCCTGGGCACGCGCAAAGAGTGCCTTAACTAAATTATCGAGCCCATAGACACTTACTATGTGAAATGCATTTTGAGTTGGCTTTAAATCCTCTGAAGAAAGCCAAGACTTCTTTCTAACCTCGGAAAAGATGTCGCAATATTGTACCACCATACTGACCCATTCCGATTTAGTCAATAAGTTAAGCAGCTGAGGAGTACAGAAGGAACACGCAGATGCATGGTGTCCCCAGTAATCAACCGCGTAGGAGAAGAGGGGTTTTTTTTAAGTCGTTCATGCGCCTCTTCGTATGATTTGACAGGGCCACCTGAAAAGTCCTTCAACGAAAGGTATAATACGCAGGTATTTGCGATATCGAAATTGGCGGTTGGAAACCACCGACTCAAAGTATCCTGGAAATATTCATGAAGTGTAGAGTGGACAAGTTGAATGATTTCGCGTTTTTTGTCGATGATAACGAGCCCGCAACATGCTGAAAGCATGTCTTCGACATCAGGAATTGCGGTTTCATCAATCTCGTCCTCACTATTCTTGGCAGCCCATGCATACTGAACCTCTGTTGTTTTCAAAGGGCGTTTTGCGCAGATGATCCAGGATAGCACATGGTTGGCAAGCTTCATGTATTCAGCCCGTTGTCCGTTGATTCTCTCCAATGCGTTGTCATATGCCCGGCGTAATAGGGCAAGCTTTGCCCCCTTTTCGTCAGAGGTATTTTGAAGTTTGTTGAGTGTTTCACGGATGCCCTTTTCGGTAACCTCACCCTTCAAGGACTCGAAGAAGAGATGAGCAAGTAGAAACCTGATCTTTTATCAGTAATTGTATGCTCAACAGAATACTTAACCCATCAACCTATGGAAGAGTGACATACATGCCATCTGCAGCATCAGCAATGCGAATAATAACTTCATTCTGGAGCTCCGAGCGCTTTGCGGCAGAGCACAAATCGGACATGCGATTGCGCAGGTATCGCTCAATATCTTCCCTTTGGGCTATGATCTTGAGGCGAGAGTGCCCATAGAAAGCTTGCTCAATATCAGGTAGGGAGCGGGATGTGGCCAGGATGTTGAGATTAATTTCCCTAGATTGAAGACGTAGCAATGTTTTGATAAATTTGGAACGAATACTGTTGCTCACTTGACACTCGTCCAGGGCATCAACGATAACGTAAACTCCATCCTTGTACAATGGCGCAATAGCTTGGAACATGTCCTCAAGATCATTCAACGATGGCTGTGACCTATACTTCTCGTATCGTATATAGGCATCCATGACTGCGCGTGGCGGTGTAAACTTATTGTGAAGTAGCTGCTTTACGAGGTTGGAAACGAGCTACTCCACGGTTTGATCGCCTGTGTGCTGGAAGTCACAGTATAGATATGCGATTCCAACGTCACGGTCACCTGAGTTCCTTTGGAGGAAATCGATAACGGTCGATACAAGGATAGTCTTTCCAGCACCAGGTATGCAGGGGCAGAAGAGAGTCATCGACTTCCTTGACAGCCTGGTGAACTGATTAGCCTGAGGAAAAAACAGGAATGAGCCAGGTTCGAAGGAAAAGAGGACTATACCATTCTCGAAATTGAGGAGATTCCAGGAACCACTGTCCTGTTTCTTCTTGTCTTCGGTGAAAGACATCGGCTTGTTTCAGAGAATAGTCCACTGAAGCCAGTGAAGAGAGCCAAGCAAGGATTTCTTCATGTTTTTGCAAAGCTTCAGCTTTATGTGCTTCTTGATGCTTGTCTTTACACGTCGCATGTTAGAAACAATCATTAATGAGTCCAGCACCGTAACACTGAGATTCAAATAGGGTGAATAATATGAGAAGTCTAATCTCTACCTCGGTGCTCTTGCTCTTGAATACATGTGATCATATCCTCAAGTTCTCCAAGCAGTCTTTTGAAGCCGGTATCAGATGTAGAGCCGAACTTCACCATCTCAGAATGATTGGCGTGAACTATCAACATGCAAAGGTTAGTCAGTTCATGGCGAACAATGAACAATTCTGAAGTTTAGATCGAGTTGAAAAAAGTCTTTGATACGCGTTGGAAGTGTGGTCAAGCCACACATGGTTTGAGTACACAGACAAGATCGTCAAAAGTAGAACGAAAAATGCCAAACAAGAGTAAAGTAGTGTGCAACGGGCGGACATATACAGTGTGCTATCAGATCCAGGCATGCACTTACTGCTGAAACATGGCCATCCAGGTAGTTTCTATACTAGTGTCATCAGTGAGCAGAAACTAAGGGTAAGAATAGCGGAAATCCGACTGTAGAAATCCACTTACAGCTGATTCATCTGGCACGATTTTTACTTCATTTATTCCACAAAGGCCAGCACCCAGGCGTTTCAGTACCCTCGTCTTAAGTTCTTCATAAGCGCAAACAACGTGGAACTGTCCCGCCTCGCATGTTTCCCTCAGATATCGCAACAAATTGAAAAACTCGTCGTGAAGAGAATTCAGGACTTCGTTACCACTCTGGGTAACCTCGAGCAGCGATTTGTTGACCGACCAAAAGGGAGTCAGACCAAGTGCTGAAGCTGACAATTCAGCCCATCGCGCAATTGCAGACCCTTCATGCGGGGTACCGAGGAAGACAATACCACAAAGTGCGTCGAGGATAAGGCTGTACTTTTTGTCCACATTCATCGTGCGCGAAAGCAAGAGGGCTTTTTTGCAGACGAGCCCACCAAAGCTGTGAGCAACGAGGATCAATGGTCGATTGGGGTTCTTTTTCCGTTCCTGGAAAAGATCCCGAAGAAGATTAAGAAGATTATTGGCATGATCATGCAACCGGTTTGTAGATGTTCCAGAACTTCCTCCAGACCCTGATCGAGCAACATATGCATCATAACCAAAGGTCAACAGACGAGCCTGCTTGAATTTGTCGATTTGTGGAAGAAATTCCTGTGGCCAAGGTATCATTTTCGACTTGTGTGTCCATGTAGAATCACGACTACCGGTGAGTTCATGAACGAAGCAAATGTCGGCGACGGCATCTTCACAATCGTACCAGATAGCAATGCCATCTTGGAAGGTGCGCGGATCGAATTTGGTCTGCTGATGTGATGCGTTCTGATGTCCTGAGGCGGGAACAATGGCTGTGGTTGAACTTTTATCAGGACGATTGTCTGCACTGCCAGGTGGTGAATTATGGTCGGACGCCGATTGAGGACGCCGATCCGTTGGAGTGGCCCAGTGGGCTGCGTTGAACAGAGCACGAAACCTGCGCTTTACCATAAGTCATCCAAGAAGACAGTTGTGCGGAGCAATAGTGAGGAGTTGATATCTAGATGGAACTAAGATAGAGCTTGCGTCTCTGCGAAAGAGGGAGAGAGCAAGAGAGAGAGAGATGCCGTGGGTAGCTAGGGAAAGGCTGTGTCATGTTCTTCCTGTCACAGTGAACAGCGTGGATGCCAATGATAGGGCGGGGTTTGAGGCTTGCACATCTAGGTACTCGGGTTGTGCCCACAGCGACGGTGTGCATAGGTTGATAAGTGCATTACGCGGGGAAAAACTCCTTTTTCTGGGACAAACCCGCGCGTAGCTTGTGCCCGCTGGTCCAAGCGGGGGGAGGTGGGAAATAGCGGGGGCTACAAGGCTCTGGATGATAGCAACTGATCTTCAGACACTACCATGGTCATGTATCGTTGACAAAGATCTCAACTTGGTGGCCATCCAAGGATTACCAAAACCATCGCTAAGGTCCGACAGTACTTCAGTTTCCCACACTTGAACAAGTATGTCACGTGGTCAACAAGTGCGATTTGTGCCCCTAGAGCAAGGCAGGAAGACATAAACTATACGGGCACCTTCAACCATTGGAAGTTCCCGAACGACCTTGGAGCGCTGTGACGGTTGATTTTATCACCAAGTTACCGATCTCCGAAGACAGTGTGACGGGCAACAAATGTGACTGCATAATGGCCATTGTAGACCGCCTGATAAAATGAGGCTTATTTCTTACCGGTGCAAGGTTGGTCAGCAGAGCAGGTTGCAGACGTGGTCTTACAATATTCTTACGATTTGTCACGAGCATACACGGTTGGCCTAAGTTTGCTACGAACTTTTAGAAGGCCCTAGTGGAACGATTAGGTGCGAAAAACAAATTTGTCCACAGCATATTACCCCCAACAGATGAGCAGACCGAACGACTCAACCAGGCGGTCCAATAGTATTTTCGGAACTACGTAAACTATCAGCAGGATAATGCTCTGAGGGCTATTTTCTCGGTGTGGCGTACTATCCCTACCCATGGCTGTGGTGGCTAGCCGGGATCTACCCCCAGCACTTGCTGGAGCGAGAAAGAGAGAGATGGCGAGCTCGAGTTCGGACCTTACCGTTCGACAACCCCCTTTAGAGGAGACTCCAGTCACCATTATACAAAGGCTGGTCTCGCCTACACCAACTAGCCGCCGACACCCAACCAGGCTCTCTGTCTTGTGCCCCGGCGACCCGGGTTTCGGGCTTGGCTAGGGCTATCCCCAAGTCCCTTCAGACCACAGAAGAATCCCCCCCCCCTGCGTAGAATCATGGTGGCGGTCGAACAAGCCTCATTCCAGTCTGTGGGGTGGCCCCTCAGCTAAACCCTTCCTCTCTCCCTTCGACAGAAAGTATCTGGCTAGATGGATCGCGGGAGGCATCTGAACATGGGGACTTTCTGGAATACCATCCCAGGTTCAACCACCCTACAAGTGCTATCGAAACCTGCCCTTGTGGTTCGATAGCCTCTAGAGGCCATTTCCTGAGATGCCCCCTCTCGTCCTTCAATAACCCTATGGTAGGGCGTCTGGACCCCAAAGCCTTTTGGCACCCGCACCAACTTTTTGAGAACAGGAGAGTACAACTCAAGCTTCACAGCTCCGCGCGAGATGAACAAACGGGGCAAACTATTCCCACCCTACGCCTCCCTGTCTCCTCGCTTGATACAACACCCCCAAAACCTTCACCCCCCCAACGACTCACAATCAGATTCGGAACTGTCCAGTTTGGATATTTAAATCCGAGTCTCTTCCCACTTAGCCCATTCCCTGTTCCTATTTATGATATCCCCTTACAGCAACACACCGGTTTTTTCCCTTTTTGGGTTTTTCCCACGTGTATGTAGTGTAGTTTAGGCAGCCCTTAATCACCTTTTGCCCGCCGCCGTCGTGGGCACGACGAAGCACCCTCAAGGTGAGACGGATCGAAATTTCGATTCAATTCAATTCAATTCAATTTAATTCAATACGCCAAATCCATCTTATATGACGACAGTGCGGGACCAGGCTGATTTGTAGGCTTAGCATGCTTCACATCTGTGGCAAAGTCCTTATGCAGTTGTGTGATTCGAACTTGATGTTGGAGAAGAGTTTGGGAAAGGACATTGTATGGAAAGATGAAGTTGGCGACCTACGGAAGAGCTAGGTGAGTCTGTACTACTGCCTGCTCACTGATGACAGGATCGATAGTGGTTGAGGAAGCGGGAAGCCGAGGCCAACGAAACCTACCTACGGCACGGATATAGCTTGGAGGACACAGTCAATCCAATACGCAGTCAACGGGACTGTTGTGTTAATGCTACCAGGGAATTTTGTCCTTCGGTCTTTAATAACAACAATTGAAAATATATTGCGTTACTATGCTGTACCTTGCACACACAATCTCTAATGATGGACTTGGTAATGAGTCGTGCTACTTAGCAGAAAGCACTAAGATACCCTTGGTTTCGGATCCATTTGGGTCGTTGCAACTTATAAAGGATGCATTAGTGCGCAAGCCACAACACCTTGAACACCAGCAAGAGGCTCAGCACACATGTCACACAAGAGGGTTTACCATGGCCAAGTGGGGAAAGCAGTTGTTCCAGTCATCCGATTATATGGAAATGAGCAGTGTAAATGAATTAGGCTTCATCAGCTTTGAAGGCAGCTATTGTAAAAGCGGTCTTCGATTTTCGTCACCGCCCCATGAGGTTAAACTCGAAAGTTTAGAACAAAAAGGAAGACCTGCGGCAGGGCTGAAGTGAACAATGGGTACGGCAGAATAACAACGCTCTACCTTCTAAACTACACACGCGTGAGGGTGGATGAGTATGGCTCTTATATAAGGTCCAGTGTGCACCTGACCTCAGTGGAACCCGGGCTGACCGAGGTTGCAGCTAAAACTTAGTCAACGCAGCAGCGGTTTTAAGTCAACCTTCCTCTCGTAAACTAGAAGCTTAAGACCTGAGCTTCCTACAGATCACAAAGATGCAAAAACACTTGAAGAAGTATCACATTATCCGACACAATGCCATTTTCTCCAAAAACCCAAAAGCTTTGTTAGGCTAGCAAAGTCATCGACACCAATTTTGACAACTTAAGGGAAGTTCCGAGGATATAACCGCCTTTTCAACCCAGCTATTAATGCACTTTCGTCTCATCATCCATGCATACAACACTCAAACAGATTGTGATCATCCACCTGCTTGTTACAACTCCTCTGGTAAGACGGGTGGACCACCTAGATAAGTCTCCTGAAGCTTGAGTTTCTAAGCATCACACAGCACAACGCGCAGACACCATCAGGTCAGATAGAGTCTTTTTCAGCGAGTCCGTCTAACTTCTCTTAACAATCCCAAACCCATCATCTCCTGAAACCTAATCGCAAAACCAAACACAAAAAAACAAATTTACATATGTGCATTGCCGCCTTCAACACCTTTGCTTGTGGCTGCTGCAAGCCCAACCTTCACACTCTACGCCTCTGTGAGTGGGCCAAACTCAAAGGGATCGAGTGTCCAGAGTTCATGATCACAGAGGATTGCACGAACAGAAAAATATATGATCTGTTGAAGTGTGTGGAGCATTCTTAACGCTTATATGTGGACATGAAATATCTACATAGAATCATCTAAACCTCTGAGCTTAGAGAAGTGGTTCGAGGTTTGGGAGGTCCGTAAAAAAAAGAAAAAAAGAAGGGGGGGGGGGGCTGGTCCTTGGAATAAAAAGATTGGGGTTTGAGATTCGGGGCGGGGGTTCAAAGAAATGATACAGGGATAATAAAGACCTAGAGTAAACCATGCCCTGCACGATGGAGGCCCTCGCTGGGCGGCTTGGGTACAATCGAAGAGCAAAGGTCTTGGACTGTGAAGGATGTGCATATTACACCAGAGTGAACCAACCCAAAAGAGAAACATCTGATTAACTTCTCTATCCCTATATCATTGACTGATTGATCAATCACTAGTATCATTTATCATATGTTGTGTTCATGTGTTTTCTTTCTACTTCAGTTAGGTAGGTGACTCTACAATCAATAACCGCATTTCAATCAGCGAGTAGCAAAGGACTCCATCAAAAGCAAAAGGTCATCTGTAAATCCCGCTTAAGTCTTAAGAATAATCATTCCATTCCTTTCAACCCTCCATCACCAAACTCCCCGTATCCCTTACCCCACCAAAACCTTAACCCTACCTTGCCAACACAATCCCCTACCCAGCCTTGAGACCTGACACAGCTTGCCTTCCCCTCAATCATCATCCACATACCCCGGCACAGCCGGCGTCTCCGCGCTATACGCCCCCGGCGCAGGCGTTGGGGCGCCATACGCTGCAGCTCCGCTTGCCGCAGGCGTGGGCGCGCCCAACGGGGCCGGCGTCGGCGCAGAGTCCGCACCCCAACCGCCCTGCCACGCACCTGGCGTAGGCGCAGATATAGCCGCTGGCGTTGGGGCAGAGTATGCCCCCGGTGTAGGCGCAGACAATGCCGCTCCGGGAGTCGGGGCGCTGAGTGCTGCACCAGGCGTCGGCGCGTCATATCCATGCGAGGATGAGCCGCTTGCTCCAGGAGTGTAGCCCCACGGATCGGAAGCCGAGTTAGCTGAGCCTGAAGCACCTGGTGTAGGAGCAGAGACGCCGTAAGCGGGAGTTTTCGAGCCCCAGGGGTCGTGGGAAGAAGATGCGGAGGCGGACCAAGCGGGGGTCTTGGAGCCGTGGCCAAAGCCATCATGGGCTGGGGTCTTGGCACTGGAGGACCAGGCGGGCGTGCGGGAGCCGCCATAGGCTGTGGCGCCGCCGTAGGCCGTGCGGGAACCGTCGTAAGGGTTGACGGTGCGAGAGCCGTCGCCCCAGGCAGGAGTGCGAGAGCCGGAGGTTTCGGGGCGGCCCCAGGCTGGGGTGCGTGCGGTGGCTGGGGAAGTCAGCTTCGTTGCGAGAGGATGAGAGAAAAAAAAGTAAAAAAAAAAAAAAAAAAAAAAAGAAGCACTTACACTTTGATGAACCCCAAGCAGGAGTCCTCTCGCCTCCGGAGGCACCCATGAGCGTCCTGCCGCCAGAGTAATCTCCGGGACGGCCGCTGGAGCTGGGAGCGGGCCGGCCACCGCGACTGTAAATGTCGATCGGCTTGCCGGTGATCTTGTCGCGAAAGATGAGATCGGCCTTGGGCACAGTGACAACCTTGTTCTTGCTGTGCAGCTCGACACGGGCATGCGTCTCAGTGGTATCTTTGACGATACCCATCATGCCCTTGTAGACACCGCGACGGATTGACACGTGCTGATTGAGGGCCCGATCAGGACCCAATGACTGCTTGGGAGGGGGCATGTTGTTGTTGGTGCCGTTGGGGTTGCGCTTGAGCGCCGGGTTCATGGCGCTGAGATCAGGACCGGCGTTGGCGTTAACGCGACCACCCTTGGCAGCGACCGTCATAACATTGCCGGCGCGTGTGACGAACACACCGGCATTCTCAGTCGTGGCGTTGCTGTGGAGGAAAACATAGGACCGGTAGATGTGGATGATCTTGCCCTGGCGTTGCTGACCACCATACTCTCGGACGACATCATCGAGCCTGATCTCCGAGCCATTGCGGTCGGCAGCAACGGCAGTACGGCGCTTTGGCAGCTTGTTGGCGATCTGCGAGGGCATGACCTGGCGGGTATCGCCGTTCTGATCAAGCACAACCATGGACTCGCGATCGACCTTGACAATTACACCGACGGTAGTAGGATCGAGCTGAACGAGGTCAAGAAGGGAGTACTGGCCAAGCGAGCCCTGTCCACCAATGTCGCTAGCCTCGCGCAGGTCCTTGCTGAACACAGTGATCTCGGTATTGGTTTGGTCCGAAAGCAAAGTAACTCGGTCATCAGTAATGTTGACGACCATACCAACTTCATCGCGAAAACGGCTGCCACCAATGACCTTGACGTGGTCACCAAGCTGGAAGCGCTTGCGTAGGCCCTTGTTGGGAACTTCGAGAGTCTGGCCAGCCAGCTCGCCCTCGGTCACACGCAGAGTGACGATGTCACCCTGCACGCTGATTGCCTTTCCTATGACACCAGCCTGCTCACCCTCGTAGACCTCGATCACGTCACCGGGGACATAGGTAACATTGTTGCTGTCCTTGAGACTGGTGTACAGAGCCTTGAGGTCGAGGTTCTCGGTGCCGTCTTCGCCGCCGCTGGCGAACTTGGTAACTTCCTCGAGAGTGGGATTGACGTCCTTGGTCTCGAGCCATTGAATCTTGATGTCCTTGACTTGGAAACCGTTCTCGAACTCTTCGCCCATGTACGTCCAGGTGTTGGTCTGGGGATTGCCAGATAGGTAGCGGGGGTTGCGCTTGCGGGCCTCGGCCTCGCTGAAGAGACGCTGCGGCGGGCGCGGAGCCGGCATGCCAGGCCGCTTGCGCTTGCCGTCAGGAGTGAGGTTCGAAGAAGCATCGTCGCGAACACCGTAGTCGAGACGAGGAATAAAGCGCACACGAGCTTCCAAACCGTTCTCGGTGACATCCAATACCTGGGCAAGGTCGCCAGCATGTTTGGCGGGCCTCTTCAGACGCACCCACGCGCCAGGCTCAAGGGTAGGCGTCTTGGTAACACGAAGCAGATCAGGCATGTCCTTGATCTCGACCAACATCATCTTGGTGCGCGGATAGACATTAAGCATGCCATCGAGCGCAATCAAGACGTCGGTCTGTCTACGGGCCTCGACGTAGATGTAGCCCTTCATGACACTGTTGGGGCCGCCGCGCTCAAAGGCGGCCGTGATGGGAAGCGCGTTGGGCGTACCCATGCGCTCCTCGATGCGACGCATGATGTTGAAGACAACCTCTCTCTCCTTACCCTCCTTGCAGCGAACAGCCCAGATGCTTGGGTCGTCGACGCTCGGCAGGAGCAGGCGCTTCGGCACGACCTTCATGTCTCCATAGCCACGGCTGGCGGCGCGCTTGCCGTAGCGTTCTCGCAGAATCTCGGCCTGCTTCTCAGCATCAAGGGACGCTTCCAGCTCGCGCTGCCGATCGAGGGCGCGGTGCTGCCGCTCGTCGTGCAGGCGGCTGACCTCCTCGAGGTCGTCGGGATGGGCAATGTCGATGAAGTCATCGATCCCTTCAGCCTCGCGGTCCTCATCTTCGGCTTCTTCTTCGTCTTCGACCTCGGCTTCGATATCCAAGAAAGCGGCACCGAGGTCCTTGCGGCGCTTACGACGTCGGCGCTGGTAACTGTCAGCACTGCGGGATTTTAAGAAGACAAAGCAAAGTAATGGGAAGCACTGAGATCGGGGGTACTCACATGCTGTTGAACATCCTCATCCTCTTCGTCTTCATCCTCCTCCTCCTCCTCCTCCTCCTCTCCTCCCTCTTCTTCCTCATCATCCTCAGCGACACCATCTCCCTCAGCATCCTCCTCTTCAGCGCCTTCCTCAGCCTGCTCTTCGTTCTCATCCTCATCGCCATCGTCAGCGGGGCTGCGACGGCCCTTCTTGTTGCGGCTGTCATCCTCAACCTCGTTCTCCTCGTCCGACATGTCGGCAGGTGCGGGGTTGAACGGCTCGTCGTCTGACTCGGAGTCGCCCGCGAAATGAAACGGCGCGTTTGACGCCATGGTGATGACTTTGGTTACTCGTAATCAGTGATGGGGTCGTAATTGTTGTGTTTGATGTATGTAGTTCGCGAAACGGGCGTTCCCGTGTTTCCGTGAGATGCTCGGTTGCGAAAAAAAAAAAAAAAAGCTTGGTGAGTCGATCAGCCAAGAAGCAAATCGTGCGGCGATTGAGGGGTTGCGATTGCAAAACAGGAAGAAATCTTAGAAGAAAAAGTTGAACAGTTGAGGCTGGCGTTGGAGAATGTAGGGACGAAAGGGACCTTTTAAAGTCCGAGTCGACACTTCACAGTCGCGAGGCGATTGAGCTTCACCTGCGGCAACGCCAGCGGCCCACATGCCGCGCTAAGCCTTTATAGGAAGACCACCGGGTTGGGCAACAACCTTTTTGCGGACCCACTTTTGCTGGAGGTGGCGCACATGAAGCTGAGCAGTGCGATTGAGGGTTGACTTGGTTTGCTATATATTAGTGTCTTCTGAGACGTCGAATATTTGCACCCTATGGCTATTCCAGCAATATAATGGGACTCATCTCAAAATCGGTGGCTATTGCTGAAGACTGTGTCAGAGGGCCCCAGGCATCCAAAATCTTAGGCACCACTCATCCTTCGACACTTTCTTAAGTCCTCCACCATCATCACTGCAGATACCTTGAGAGAAACCCATGTGGTTTTAGTCCAGCGTTCTCCATGTGAATTGACATTTATTGACAATAATACTCTGTCCGTTAGGTTTTGACACACATAAATCCTCACCCCAAATCAACCAAATGTACATGTGTGGTCCTTAAGACAACTGTCAAAGCTCAAGGCCCACCAAAGCAGAGCAAAGCTTGACGACGGTACTTAAAATTTCCTATAAGACATGGAAACCTTGATAAGCCTCTTTCTCAATAAGTTACATTCCATCCGTTCCATTCATCCATTCATCCACCTTTCACGAAAGTTCCATCAGACAGCTAAACACAAGACAAAAAGACCCAGGTAAAACTCCGCCCATATGATATCAAGAGTATTGTGTGCGTGAGTGTGCGTGCTGCCCATACATAGCTTGCAAAAAAAAAAAAAAAAGCTATGACAAAAAAAAATAAACAGACAATCAAACAACAAAATGAAGACCCGCGTGTTGCGTGTACACACTTTTGCCTTAACCTCCCTATTTCCTCGTCAGAAAGCAACGAAAAGTAGTAGTAAAAAGGCTTGGAGAATAGAAGTGGGCGTTTGAAGAAGCAAAAGTAGATAAGGAACAGAAGTAAACCTGGCTAACAGCAACAGAGAACTTGTTCATTAGCTCTCCTTCTTGCTCACCGAGGCAATAAAGCTTTGATAATTCTCATCAGCGTCCATCGCCCGGCCGTAGGACCTCCCTTTTGGCAGGTCCCTCAATTCTGGCTTAGGCAACTGTTTGCCGCTCGTAGTCCAGAGCACACCGCCGGTATTAGCCCCAGCCTTCTTTTTCGAGGCCAATGCATCCTCTTTCTCCTTCTCCTTATTCTCCTTTCCCTTCCCTGCCGGCGCCGGAGTCGAAGAGCCATTAACCGCCTTTCCCTTCCCCTTCTCTTTCTCTTTCTCCTTATCCTTCCCGGCGGGCATCTTCCCGCCATCCTCTTCCTCCTCGCTCTCCTCCCCAGCCTGCTTCTTCCTCAACCTCCACGCCAACAATATGTACTCCCCCCTAGTCATCGAATTCTTCACCGTCTCAAAATACTTTAACACCTCCTCGCGTGGCGCCACCACATGCTGCAACTGCTCCAAATGATCCCCCGTCGGCGCGTACAGCCGGATTGTTATGGCCTGCCAATAGTCGCGCGACGGGTCGGCGACGGGATACTCGGATTGAGAGCCGCGGTGGACGATCAGGAAGGAGGCATAAACTTGCTGGCCTGATTGGCCGGGTGGTAAGGGCTTGTATTCAAGAAGGGAATATCTCGGGAAGAGGTAGCGGTCGCCGTTGCCGCCCACGAACTCGACTACGATAGCGGAGATGTCAGGTTTGGGAGGGGGAGGGGGGCCTTTGGAGCGGAGGGCTTGTTGAGGGGCAGGCGAGGGCTTGCCATTGACTTGGTTCGAATGTTGGCCAGCGGTGGCGCCTTTGGCCCGCGCATTGAGAGCGGGAGCCTGGGCTTGTTTCTGGGCCTCCTGGGCTTTTATCAGCTTGGATTTGAAGTCATCCAGTATGGCTTTCAGGTCGGGAGCGTCGGAGAAGAGAGGTCGCCTGTCGGCCACACGGCGCACAATATCTCTGGTCCGGATGTCATCTAGTGCTTTGCGAGCTAGCATGATACACAATGGGTCAGAGTTGGGAGGGGGGATAAGAGTAGATCCGGTCTCCCTGGGATTAGTGCGCTGCACGATGAATAAGATATCGCGGACCTGGTCCGCAAACCACTGGACAGACCGGCCGTCGTTGGCGATAGTCAACTCCGCAGCAGTCGGGCCCTTGCGCTGCTGCTTACTTTCGGCAGTCAGAGCATCGATGATAGACTGGAACTTTTGGAGCTCGTGCTGCTCGGCATTACCTTGAGCAACACGTTTCATAAGCTCCCGGAGCTGAGGGTCACCACCAGCGCGCTCGGCCAGCATCAGAATGATAGGGTCTGTGCCGGGTTTCGGCGGCGCTGGTGTCGGGGTCGTAGGTGGGCCATTGGATGGAGGGGCGGGCGCGGGCGCGGGCGCAGCAACAGGACCACTTGCAGGCGTAGGAGGAGCTGTAGGATGCGTGCTTGGAGCTGCAGGCGGCGGCGGCTCTGATGCAGCTAAAGGCTGAGCAGGCGGCATCGGCTGCGCTTGGGCAGGAGCTGGAGACAGGACATTCTCCATGCCCCTAGGCGACACGATCGGCGGTGCCGCTGGAGCCGCGGTGGGCATGCTAGATGTCGATGGCGATGTATTTACCGAACTCTGAACAGGAGCCGGAGGGGCAGGAGGTGGCTGTGGTGCAGACGCAGTTGGCGCAGGCGATGGGGATGGTTGTGCCGGACCAGCTGGTGCTGACTCTATAGAAGGAGGAGCTTGGCCTTGAGCCGGGACCGACGGCGTAGCAGGCGTCGTCGCCCCTGGCGTAGGCGGAGGCTGCATAGCTCCATTGCGAGGTCCATACTCTATGATCGGTCGCTTATCAGGAGGAGGGGGCGGTGGTGGCTTCGGGTCTCTCACGGCATAGAGAACGGCGTCGAAAACGTGAGGATCGACAACAATCTGGACTTGTCCGATCTTGGTCATACTGTCCTTCGGCGGATTGTTCGGTTCTTCAATCACGACACCCCGCTTCTTGACAGGCTTGGTCCAGTACTTCTCAAACATGCCTTCTCCGATGATCCATTTGTGACGCGACCGCCTGATCGACTCGCCAAGGACGCCGCTGCAGTCTGCATCAGCCGTAGGTCTACCATAAAGAAATCAGCAGAAATAAACACCCACCTTTCGGCAACGGTCTGATATTCGCTATCAGGGAGGTCGTCGGGTTGGGGCGACTCGACGGCTGGCAGAGGCTTCCCCGGGGTAATCGACGTCGGTAAGGGCGGGGGGGGTTCTTTCTCCTTCTCTTTCTCCGGGCTGGCCGGCTCAGGATCGGGCTCTGACGCAGGTGCTGGTGTTGCTGACCTCGCCGGGGGACTGGTATGCCTCCTTTTTGCGGCCTGCTCGGCCCGGGCAGCAGCGCGAGCCGGAAGTTTCCTCTTCTTCTCCATTGGGACGGCCAGCCGAACCGGGTGTGCTCAGTGGCTGCTTGTCATGCGCTCATCGAAATGCCGAGAAAAAGCTGCGAGAGGTCGTCTGGCCTTGTGCGATTGGGCCCAATTGAGTTTGGAAAAAAAGGGGGGACAGATTTTACATGGGCGAAGAGGGAATGTTTGTAGGGCTGAAAAACTTGTCAAAGGTTCGCGGACTTGTTGGAAGCGGGTCAGCGCCCTGAAGTTGTAATAAGAAGCAGCCAGAATGCGACGAATGTTTCCTCGTTCCCAAGACAAATGGAATCCTTGCGCATAGGGACGCGCTGATCCACGTGAGGGTGGACCCATGCTCCTAATTGGCCAGTGCTGCCAAGCGGCTACGAGACGCGCATACGCCTCTTCTAACCTCGACCTTACGGCATCGACGTTTTTGTCTCTATCAGTTTGGTCAGCCTCGACTGAAGTGGCAATAAGTTATGTTTTCTTGTGTTTAACTGGTTGGAATAATGACATCGACGTGGCTTTTTCGTTGGAATATACACGTGGTGTTGCACTTGCTAGGGTCTGAACAGCCGCCGAGTAATGTCTCGCCCCCCTCCCTACGGTCCCCTGGGTTTTTTTTTTTTTTTATCAAGACCAGACTAAAATGTGCCCCAGCAAATCTCCCTTCACCATGGAGCACTGATGGATAGAATTCTGCAAGACAATGATGTCTCGAAACATGTAGCACTTGAGAGCTTCATGTAGCTGATGGCATCGGAGTGATCTGACATAGTTGAATAGGTGACTTGCATGGTATCCAGGTGGTAATTCCGCGAACATATGATTTCCTCGAAGTCAACTTCAATAACTTCGTTCATCAATCCACCGTGAATGTGCTCTAGAGGGTAAGAAGAGAAGGTTAGATGATAGTATCAGTAGCTTTGGGGCTGCGTGACAACTCTTGAACCATGGTGCCTCAGTCGCCACTGCTGCCTTAGTGGCCTTAATAACATCTTGCAGACAGCTAGCACTATCTAAGAGATACCCTTTCAACTGCACATAGTGCCCATCGTCTTCTATATTTTGAAGATTCATGGATATGACGAATCATTCAGTCACTTAATATCCATTCACGATTCAGGTGTGGTGATCATGCTCCCCTTCGGACTTGCTACTCTTGACGGGACACACCATGCCAAGACTTTTAAACTCGCTAGAGAACTGACAGGCAGCAACCTCAGGACATTGAAGGCCCTAATCCAACAGACATCCTCTCTTAAAAGCAAAGCACATTTGGGTCACCGCGGAAAGTCGTCGGCTGATATCAAGCGACTCTTTCCCAGAATATCTGCTCGACTCCTATCATATGGATCATCTAATTGTCTAGTCAGCCATCAAAAGTGTCTCTTTTTCCGCATCACGCTCATTTGAGCAGTCCAAGGTTCACAATGGAGTCATCCACGCTAGCTGCAATCCTAGTCCTATCCCTTATATTTGGTGTTCCCCTGACCATTTATGTCTCTTTCCTTCTCCTCTGCCTGATCCCATGCGTCCAGCGGAAGTACGGGCCAACCTCTCATAGCTCTCTCTCCTGCTTGCCTGGCTGCATTCAGGCTTCTGATGCTGACCACCTCGCAGTATAATCTACGCCCACAAAATCCACACTCTCTGGTGGAAGGATATCAATAAGCCCGAGCAATGGGGGTTTGCCAGTATGCCCCTCTCTGTCCTGTCTGATCTGACTATGTCCATACTGACCATAGACGAGAAAACCAAGCAACCCCCTTTTCCATCACCACCTCCGACGGTGAAACCCTGTACGCCTGGCACATTCTGCCTCTCCCACTCTATGTCAAACATGAAGCCTCTCTCTCAGCCCAACCAACCGGCTTCTGTGAGGATATCATTAAGACAGAGAACTTCCGCCTGCTGCGGGATGACCCGAATGCTAAGCTCGTCATCTCCTGTAAGCCCCTCCCCTCGTGCCTAGCTCTTCTTCAGTGGCTTCCGGAATTAATATCGGTATCCTGAAAGTCCATGGCAACGCTGCGCAAATAACTCAAGGCCACCGCCCTTCACACTACCACGCCCTAACCGACTCAACACCCTACCACCTCCTCACAATCGACTACCGTGGCTTCGGCCTCAGTACCGGCACACCCACGGAGCGCGGCCTGATCCTCGACGCGGTAGCTTCAGTCCGCTGGGCGGTTGAGATAGCTGGTGTGCACCCCTCGCGCATCGTCCTCATGGGCCAGTCGCTTGGGACGGCGGTGACCTGTGGGGTTATCGAGGCGCTTCTTTGCGGTCAGGAGGGTGATGATGAGGGGTTCCACGTCAAGGAGGATTTCGCGGGAATTGTCCTCGTCGCGGGCTTCAGCAGCCTGCCCCGTATGCTGGGCGGGTATGCCATTGCGGGCTGGGTACCTGTCCTAAGGCCGCTGAAGGTCTGGCCTCGGTTATATGAGAGCATTGTTGGCAGGCTGGTGGATAAATGGGACAGTGCGGTGCGGTTGAGGAGGGTGGTGAGTGAGGTGAGGAAGAGGAAGGGGAGGTTGAGATTGAGCTTGGTCCATGCTAAGGATGATTGGGATATCCCGTGTAAGGAGGACGATACGTTGTTTGAGCAGGCGATCAAAGGGCTAGTTGAGGAGGCTGAGGCGGGGGAAAGGGTGTTGAGTTCGGAGGAGCTAGGGAGGGAGAAGACCAAGAGGATGGTTATCAAGGGGAAGGACGCGTTTTTGGTGACCTGGAGGGAAGGAGATGTGGTTGTTAGGCAGGAGCTGTTCCCTTATGGGGGTGAGTCTTTCTTATGATGGATATTTGCGGGTATCTAAGAAGTAGCTGACATTTCTAGGGCACAACAACATCCTATGCTACGCGCCTGTATTACTTGCGGTTATGAGGGCATTTGGGGCAGAGGATGAGAGTGAATGCTCAGAGTAATACATGGTTGGCTAGCAGTTAGCCAGATTGGTGTGAAGTGCACAACATATGGACAAGATATACAGTACTGATCTCAGGACGGGATATATTTCCTGGGTATTGAAAGTCAAATACACGTCAACATATAGAAATTATAGAAGGAAGCAAAGGAGAGGAGTAAACCGGATACACCTCGGTGCTCTATCCAAAAAAAAAAAAAGAAAGGAAGAAAGAAAATAACAAAGCCCTCACCGAGAAAAACTCGGCGCCCTGGGTTCCAAATCAATCCTCCAAGAACTATTCCACCTATGTACGGTCGGCCCTCCCCAACCATGCTGACTCTCCAACACCTCCGTATCACAATCCAACCTCACACTCTCCGACTCGATCCGGAATCTTTCGTCCAACTGTCCCTTCTTTCCCTGCCGCTGCTCAATCACCGCGCGATATATCGCCCTCCCCCACAAGTTATACCACTGATCCTCATTCACACTCGCATACCTCACCACGCCGCTCTCATCAACCCTCGAAAAAGCCCAGTCCACAAACACCACCTCGAACACCTTCGTCGTGAAATACAGATAGGGCCAGGTGAAGATCCACAAACAGCTCAAATAAAACAACCACTGCACCCAAGTTTTCATCCTCCACCTGTTCACTTTGCAATCATTATAGATATACACATACTCCCCCTTAACAGGGAACTCAATCGTCACCTGCCCTCTGTAATTCGTGCTTCGGATCAGCGTCAAAAGCTGATGCCGGATTTTATGCGTGTCCAACCCCATTACCCGTCTCCTCAGCACAAAACATTTCAACCCCGCATGACTCGCACAAAACCGATGACACCACTCCGTAAGCGTCGGCTTCGCCTGCCCTGCAAGCTCCAAATCCCCCTGTACGCCTGGCGCCCGTGATGCAAACACCGTCCCGCGTCGCGTCGACTCGTGGTTCTCTACAGTACGCAGCTCACTCCACGCCTGCCGATCGGGAGCATATAGATACGGTGTCAGGTCAATGCTGATATCGAAGTCTGTCTCCACTCTAGTGCTCTTCTTCCCGTCGCGCACCTCCGTCTCGTCGTGTGTGCCCAGGATGCGGATATGTGGACGCGGAGGGTGGGATGCGAGACGGGTGACGAAGGATTGAAGTTCGACCGGGTCCGTCGCAAGATCAGAGGACAAATAGCAGGCGTTGAGGTTTGACGAGTTGATGGTGCGGAGGCCGGTTGGGTAGGTGAAGCCGTCGTCGAAGTCGAGAGGGTTTGAGTCTTGGGTTTGGTTTAGGAGGGGAGCATCGAGGAGGACGTCGTTGTCGATTTCGGAGTAGAGCGGGGGAAGATCGTTAGGATCGGGAATAGGGATGTTATGGTCGGGGAGGCGTTGAGGGGGGATGGAGGTGTTGGAGCCGGAGCTGGATTCTCCTGGTCCCTGGGAGGGGACTGGGGCAGAGAGGGTGGGGTCGGGTTTGCCCATTGGATGATATGTGCTATGGAGTGTTGTTACATGAGGTTATCAGTGAGCGATTTGCCTGAGGCCTGAAGATCTCTAAGAGGGCAATGCCTCAGGCGAGACTCAGGCTTAAGAGAGACAGAACAAAGCAAAGAAAGCTGGACGCGATGCAAGCTTGCGTAAGCCTTTGAGTAAACTATGACCTAAAAGGAAACCCAGAAAGGGGAAAACGAGCGCCGGCTCACGCGAAACTGTGATGAGTTTAGATTCGCCGGGGCTGAGCCATGAATGAATAAACCATCATCCTAGACCCGCAGGCAGCAGCGCGAGTGGCTGAGCACGCAGCAGCTCGACTGGCGCAGCAGGGACGGCTAGAGGCCACTCCTGCACGTGCATGTATGTACCCGTTCCTTACGGGGGCTATTGAAAGCTTTTGCTGATTATTACTCGTCAACTAATCGATTTCTCAAACCTAAGAGCAGCCCATCAAGACCACTTTGTTAATCATAACAAGTTTAATTCCTCTCAAACCCGTTGACAAATGAGTTAATGAGGTTTATAAGAAGTCCAACGCAACGCAGCTCCAACTTGTTTTCCCCATACCCCTAATCTCCGCCCTTATCGATAAGCCTATCCAACCACGCGTCCGGGGTCCTCAATACCCCAGGCCCCGCGGACGCCTCGTTGCAGATGGAGCTCCAGCCTTGCCTGCCCCGCCCACCACACCAACGAACGTGTCTTCGCCAACCCCAACCCCTTGACGACCACGGAACCCTTAGACGCGGCCTGATTCCCAGCTGAAACCTCACTGTCTGATCCAATTGCTCCCAGCCCAAGCCGACTCTTGAAATTACCCTCGATATAGCGAGTCTGTAGCCCCGCGATCCGCCATGTCTGAAGAATCCAAACAAATCGACCCAGCCAAGGAGGTGGAGCCCCCGAAGCAGCCTGCCCCCGAATCCGACGAAGAGTCCGGCTCTGACGCTGGGGAGACGAAGCCGGCTGGCGCCGGCGCCGAGAGTGCTGCCGCCGGCTCGAAAAAGAAGAAAAAGAAGAACAAGAAAAAATCCAAGCCGGCAGCTACCACTGCCGGTATCGCTAACTCCGGGGATGCTGCCGCGGCGGCTGTCGCAACCGTCGCCCAAGCGGCCGGAGCTATAGCCGGCGCCGCCGACGCAAAGAAGGCTCTTGAGGGTTTGACGCCGCAACAAATCCAAGAATTCATCTCCCTGAACCCAGCCCTCGCCAATGAGTTACTAGGCGGCGACGCCGCCAGCGGCTCCTCGCAACAACAAGCCATGATCGAAGCGTTCAAGAAGCTCAAGCTGCAGGACATTATGACCGGCCTCGCGAGCAGCGGCAAGAACCGCAAAGACATGGCCAGCTACAAGTTTTGGAGTACGCAGCCCGTGCCACAGTTCGGGGAGGAGGAGACAAAGATTGTGGAGGAGGGCCCATTGCGCATTCAGAAGGTAGAAGAGATTTCGACGGAGCCGATTCCGCTCGCGCTGGAGCCCTTCCGGTGGGTGACGATGGATCTGAGCGATGAGAAGCAGTTGGAAGAGGTGGAGAAGTTGCTTTATGGGCATTATGTCGAAGATGATGAGGCCATGTTTAGGTTCAAGTATTCTCGGGGGTTGTTGAGGTGGTAAGTTTTAACTCCCATCGTGTTGCTCGTCCGTCAACTCTAGCTAAACCCTACCCCCCCCCCCAACAGGTCCCTCCTCTCCCCCGGCTGGCGTAAAGAATGGCACGTGGGCATCCGCAGCGGCAACACGTTGTGCGCTTTCATCTCGGCCATCCCGACCAACGTCCGCGTGCGTAACAACGTCATCCAAGCGCCCGAAGTCAACTTTCTCTGCATCCACAAAAAGCTCCGTGGCAAGCGCTTGGCCCCGGTCCTGATCAAGGAAATCACGCGCCGCATTAACCTCGACAACATTTGGCAAGCCATCTACACCGGCGGCATCGTTCTCCCGCGGCCGGTTAGCACATGCCGGTACTTCCACCGCGCACTGAACTGGATGAAGTTGTATGAGGTCGGGTTCAGCCCATGCCCGCCGAATAGCAAGCCCGAGTTCCAGGCAAGGAGGTATAAGCTGCCAACGCAGACGTCAACGGCGGGGCTGAGGGAGGTGGAGAAGAAGGATTTGGAGCAGGTGCAGGATTTGTTGGAGAGGTATTTAAAGAGATTTGAGCTCACACCAGTGTGGACTAAGGAGGAGGTCGAACATTGGTTGTTGCCGAAGAGGGATGCGCCGGGCGAGCAGGTTGTGTGGACCTATGTTGTTGAGGTGAGCTCTTCCCCCCTTCATTCTCACTATCGCAGTGCTTCTAACAAACGCAGTCCCCTTCCGGAAAAATTACCGACTTCTTTTCCTTCTACTGCCTGGAATCCTCCGTCATCCAGTCCACCAAATACTCCTCCATCAAAGCAGCCTACCTCTTCTATTATGCCACCGAGGCCGGGCTCGGCCAGCCCGAGGATCGCATACTGCTCAAGAAGCGGCTGAACGAGCTGATCCACGACGCTCTCATCCTCGCGAAGCGCCACAACTTTGACGTGTTCAACGCGCTCTCGCTCATGGACAATCCTCTGTTCCTGGAGCAGCAGAAGTTTGGACCTGGTGATGGTCAACTGCACTATTACCTGTTTAACTACAGAGCGAATCCGATTCACGGAGGTGTCAATAAGCGAAATCAGCTAGAGGATGGGGTTAGTAGCGGTGTTGGGTTTGTCATGTTGTGAGCGTAGGGGGTCTAGAAGGGAGTGTATTGTGCATGTGTCAATTGAGCAATCGAAATCATGTGTGAACATATCTACACCGGAAACACACTGCCTGCCGTTACACCGAGTCCTATGTAACCAAAATTCCCCTGGAAAGAACCAAACTCCTTCAATGCTTGGAAATGACAAAAGGAAAGTAGGTATCGAGATGCAAGCCAGATCAACGCCCCCTTCCCCCCCCCCCCAAAAAAAAATTCATAACCCCCCATCCATCTGCCGCCCCCCTCTAATGCCTTTGATGCCAAATCAAACCAGAAAATCCACCCAACCGCTACGCCCGTCCATCCATCTTCTCTCCAAAAGCACACCTCTCCTCCATAACCTCATTAAACCACCCTTCCCTCTCCACCATCGGCACATGTCCACACCCCTCTATGATATACTTTTGTCCCGGCTGTACCCACTCAATCAGCTTCTGCCCATGCTTCAGACTGATCATGTTATCGTGATCTCCATGCATGATTGCGATACGTTCCCTGCCCACGGCGTCTGCCATTTCCCGGAGCTGTTCAGGCGTCTTGCGATGCCAGCCTGCGGCAATGAGCTGCAGGAGGAAGCCGGTTGTTGGGAAACGGGACCGGTCGGCGCGCTTGTGGAGTTCTTGCGCGATAAAGCGGTGCGCGTTTGTCGGGAAGGTGAGGTACTCTTGGGGTTTGTTTACAGATTCTTCGGCAGAGTCGTTGGCGGTGCCCTTGGAAGCCTTGCCGTTTGCTTCAATGGCGGGGCCAGCTGGGGGGTGACACTTAGGCGTGATCTTCGGGTCAGGGACACGTGCATTATCAGGTTCAAGGAGCCATTTGTGAGAGAAGAGTTGCCGCGCCGCATCACTCACACTCCGATCCACACTCTTCGGCACCAAAAACCCTAACCGGTGCTTAATATTCTCAGTGAAACTCCCCGCGGGCTCCATCACCGCCGCGGTGTTGCACAGTGTCAGAGTCGAAATGGCCGGAGCGAGCAGAACAGCCAGCTCCTGCGCGATCATGCCGCCCATGGAGATCCCCACTATATGCAGCACGCGCTGAATCAATGCTGGGTCGGAGGGCAAAGGAAACGACGGGATCCAGCCAATATGCGCCAAGACCTCCGCCAGGTCCTTTGCCATTTCAGAGGTAGAGTACCGCATCAGCGGCTTGTCAGAGTCACCCATCCCGCGGTTATCGACGAGCAAGACGGAGTATTTGTCGCGGCGCTCGTGGCCAAAGTAAAGGGTTTGCCGCTGCCAGGCAGATTTGAGACCACCTAGGCCCATTATGAACTGGTATGAGAAGTTAGAAGTTTGGAAGGAGACTAAGCGAAGGGAGTTCAAGGCTTACCATGAGCTTGATCGGACCCTCGCCATGAATTTCCCAGCTCATGTTGAAGGGCCCGCCGCGGCCTTCAGCCACGGGACAGAGGCCTTTCTGGTCGGGTTCGAGGTTATAGACGGCGGTTGGAAAGGCATCGAGTGTGAGGGTTTCGGCCACCGTGGGCAGCTGGGGGCCTTTTACTGGGGGGAGGAGCATCTTGATAGGTGTTGAGTGGAGGTTGTGTTGGACAACTGATCGCAGGTGAGTGAGCTGAAAGTGTGAGGAGTGAGAAGCGAGAGACAGCAGGACTAAAACTTTCCCGCGGGATGGCGGCTACCTAGATATGAAGCCCTTGGGTCCGTTGGTTGTGGTAGTGAGAGCAAGGAGCTTCCGTTGGCAGCCAACGAGAGAGCAAACAGTCAATTGATAGGAATCGAACGGAACAGAAGGACATGGACGTGCAGGGAGGTCGGGAGGGGGTGTTGATAAAAAGATAAACGCTCTTCCACCTTCAAGCAGCAAATGTAACGTTGGTGCGCTTCTCTTCGCTTCGCTACAGAAAAAGTTCCTCACGTTAAGCAGGCGGGACCCCAACCCGACCAGGGCCGCCAACCGAGGCGAAGCGGGGTCTGCGGGTGCTAGGCATCTAGTCATGCTCCCACCCAATCGGGTGATGCGCGGTGTGGAGGGCCCCCCGAAGCTTGGCCGAAGGCGCTGGACCCTCACGAGGCGCTCTTGTTGTTGGCGGGTCCACTGCCATCCACGTTGCTTGCAGGGATCTGCTGGCGCCAAGGACAGGGGGATGGGCAGAGCCTCATGTTAGTGGGCGACGTCACTTGTGCAGGTGAGGCGGACTGGAGGGCATTTATATAGGTTGAGGCAGAGTAAGCTCAGACGATATGTTGATGCATCTGCAATTGGTGTAAACTGCATCTTTGTTGGTGGTTTCTACACTTTCTGACACACTATCGATTCTTTTGGCCGTCATGCAAAATCTGACATGACACAGATCTTCGGATCAAAATTGGGCGTCAGCAATATACCAATCTCCTATCCAGGATATCATCATTTTCCCTTTATAGATATGTCAGTCTTTTCGAACTGACAAGTTAAAGTTTAATCAAAGATATCTTCTATTGCTTTAACCATCTTACGCTGGCGAGCGGATACGATCTTTTGGCTTTGCTTCCTCCTTTCTTCTCTTGAGCATTTACTTCACCAGTTCCAATGATCGGTGAAAGGAAGCACGCACTGATCTTGCTGATAGCCCAGGGAACATCTTTTCAGCAACCGACCATGAGGCTTCCTTACAGAGGTCGAAGAAGTAACTAATCTGACGTCCCAGCCCACGGTAAGCTGGGATTGGCATGTTCCTCAGATTCAGGGCCTTCAACATCACTCTTGTTTGGACAACAACGCCTCTCATACACCAAAACCACCGGTCAAGGGGAGGGCACTCACCACTTCCTCCTAACAACCAGCTCCAACTACCGGCTCTAACAAACATGCAGCCATCCTCGTAAGATCCTTCAACGCAGAGCTGGTTGCGCCCTAGTCACATGTTCTTCTAATACAAAATGTCCAGCTCAAGTCGTTGGCATCCACCAGAGCCGAGTATGCTCCCCCTCTTGCCGGTCCAGACCAAGGTCCCTCCTCTCTGCTCTCCATTACAAGGGTTGGAAGCTAGAGACAGTCGGACCGTCAGTCTCTGGAAAGGAAGAATGCCCGGTAGTCTGGCCGGTCATTGGGGGGAAGTGGTTAGCTCGAGTTGAACTCGTCATCTCATGCCCAAAAAAACAGAAATGAGCGCGGAGAGGATGGTCGTCATGGCCTAGACCGTTGTCCTGCATAATTTCGAGCTTGTAGACTTGATTGTTGTGTGGGAGTGATGAAGTTTCGCTATATGGGTGGCGCGGAATTCCACCCGGCAGTTAAGGCTCTCCTGGAGGGAGAAAATGAGGATCACTTTTGGGTATCCTTTCAGGAGACAGCAGCTTGGCGCGAAGTAGTGAAAATACTCGGTAGTGAAGGGGTTGGTGGCCTGAACATAGTTTCCACGCTACTGGGGAGGATGATGGCAAAATTGTTCGAAAGGGCTTTGCGTTGTAGGGTTTTACGTACAGGGTGAGAGTCTTACTCGGAATTGAATGGCTTGCTCAACTACTGGAGAGAAGGGTTGCACTATGACGACTAGAAAGCAGGACAGGTGCCTGTAAGCTGGAGATAACGGCAGGTCAAGTCTGTGAAAGCTCTTCCTCCCTCATTCAAGCACAGGGATTGTTCCCCGTAAATGTGCCCACTGTGGTAATTCACGAGTGTCGACACATGATACGGCTGCATCTCCCGCCCCCCCCCCCAATGCACTGTTATCATCATTATATGGCCTTGATCGGCTCAGCCTTGGTCGGGTTTGGAGAATGAAATCGTCGATACACCAACAGAAGCCAGTAAAGATGTTCGGTATGCTGGGTGCTGCTTGATAGGGTGGGGTTTGAGGCTTTCATGGATTATGCAAGTGACTTGATTTGTCCAACCCTTCTGCAGGACTGTGCCTAACATTCACTGAGAGAAATCCGGGCATAAGGAGGGATTTGCCTTGCAGACTTGCACCAATCCCAGCTGAGTTTGAGAAAGCTATTTTGGATGCGCCCAGTCCGCAGATAAGATTATGTAGTGGATGGCTTGGCATCATATTTGCTGATGTTCCAATGCCCAGTTGTGGCCTTGCTGCGGCAATGTGGCTGTGTGGGCGGTTTCAAGGCTTGATGGTGGGTATTGTGTATGTATCTTTTTCCGACCACTATCTAGGCATTCGGGTCGTGCTCACAGCGATGGCGGGCAATAGGTTGCGATGTGCATTGTGTGAGGGAAACCCTTTTCTTTTTATTGGGAAAAACCCGTGTGTAGCTTGTGCCCGCTGCTCCAGCTCATCCAAGTGGTCAGGTGGGAGGATCGGTGGTTCTTGGCGTCGATAATATTTCCCTGCCTGTGATGCTGGTGATTGTAAATATAGCGGGAAGATCGGAACCTCCAGAGCCTCCCTATCCGCTAATCATGCTTGTCCCTTCAACCTTTCCCTCTTTTCTTCCTCGGATTCTCGTAACCGACCAATCAGAGAAAGAGCTGCTGGGATAAACTAAGCAGGAGCGGTTAATCTGAGCTGGAGAATACCCAACACCACGACCTTCGAGGACCCTCCCCAAGATGGCCCCTCGAGCGCCGGCATCCTGGCCGCCCTCAGAAAGGCCCCTGAGGAGAGGGTAAAGAGCTCAACGCCGTCACCACCGTCGCCGAGAAGCTACTGCGCGCGATCGAAGACGTTGAGAAGAGCCTCGAAAACAATTTGGAGAAGAAGGTTGCGAAGCCCATCATCACGAAGCTTCACTCCTTCCTCATCCAGGCAGTTTTGACCCAAGAGGGCCCGGTCCCCCCCTCCTACTCCCCCGGGTCCGGCGGGCACGGCACAGAGCCTTCTAAAACCTGACCGACCCAACTCCACCCATGTGCCCACCTCCGATCAGACCACCCCTTCCAACCAGGCGATGATACGTACCTACGCCCAGGCACTCACCAGCGGAGCCCCCACTCCCGGGGCGCCCCTGGGTCCGCACACGGCACGGTACGAGACAGCCACGGAGGGACCCAGCCGCCGTGCCTTTCTCCGCGTGGACAGATCCCACCCTACCTGGAAAGATGTCACACCGTCAGGCATCGTCAATCTTCTGGTCGAAAGACCCGGTTTCCCCAGACGCGACATCATCAAAGTATATCTCGTTAACTCAGGCTTCGCTATCGAAGTATCTCGCCCTGAACTTCGCAACACCCTCGCCGCCAAAGGAAAAGAACACGGCCTCCGTATCTATTCCGAGGTGCCCACATACGCCTACTTCAGGATCTTCGACTCGGATCCGTCGGTCCCCCTGAAGAGGAAGGTTCACATCTATACCTGTGACCGCTGCCTTGGCTTTTCTCACAAGGACAAATGCCGCTCCGCTGCCTATTGTAACGAGTGTGGGGCCCCTCCTTCATAACCACTCACAACATCTTCCCCTACCCCAATGCCCCAGCTGCCTCAGCCCCGCGAAGCCGGGCCATCAGGACTGCCCAGCTAGACCGAGGGTATGGCAGGGCGAAGTCATGAAACTCACGGAGACTCAGAGGAAGGCGGTCAAAGAAGAGGGCCAGGCAGCCTACAAGGCAGCCAGGCGAGCCAGCCCGACCCCCAACGCCCCTAACCCAGAGCCGACTCCGTCCCAAGGCAACCCCACCTCGGCCGAGGAGGACCTCCCAGACGCCCCACAAGGCCTCCTCACCCGCTCCGCAGAGCCGCTACGCGCTGACCGAGATGAGGGGGACCGGGTTGAGTTGAGGACTGCATTGTCGGTCGTACAGACACCGAAACCTTGCCCAGATCAAAGCCAGCCAATGCCCCGGGGCTGTAAGATAATCTCTGCCAACGTCCAAAGGTCCCTGGCCAACATCGACGGTGTCCTTCAGAGGGCGGTGAGGCACTGTTACCAAGTTGTATGTATACAGGAACCACCCATACTCTTCGGTAGAGTGAGGCGGCACCCCGGCTTCACCTTGTACGCGGTCGACAACGGGGCTATCAGAGCGGCGATCTATGTGGGCCGCCGGCTCTCGGCTTCTGCCCCTACAGCACCAGAGCATGGTCTGCTATCTGTTTCCCTCCAAGGGATTACAATTGTCAACGTATATCTACACTCTAACCTCGGCAACGCCACCAACACCTGGCGATCCCTCCGCCCCCTCCAGCCCGGCCCGGGCTCTTTTGTGGTGGTAGGGGACTTCAACACTCACCACCCCGACTGGGGACCCCAGGGCTCGGACAAACCCTAGAGGAGATATGGTCAGAGCGTGGGTCTCTTCAGAGGGACTACACATCCTCAACCCCGAGGCCCCGACACACCGCGGCGGTGGTGTTATTGACCTGCGCTCGGTCCTCCCAGGGCCTACGCGAAGTTTGCTCACTGGGCTTTGGACCACCGGGCGATGGTAGTGACCGTACCCAGCCGCCCTCCTAACCGACTCCCCCCTCCCCCCCCCCCGAAGCACCTTCTCATGGCCCGATTCGAGGAGGTAACCTGCCTACTACGTACCCTCCTCCCCCCGGCCCCGGCCAGCTTCCCCTCCCGGAAGGAGCTAGAACAGTTCGCTTGGGAAGTTTATGACGTCCTAGCCGGCGTGGCGGGGCGCTTTTCCATTCGGCCCGGCAAGCACAGTAAGAGCGTTCCGTGGTAGTCGGAGGCACTTGCCACAGCCAGGGAGACCGACCCTATGGTATATCGAAAGCTCTGCAAGGAGGCTAAAGTCAACTTCTACAGGGAGAGGATCTCCGCTGCCACCTCCTCGGCAGAGTGGGAAGGCTGCATGGCGCTAGGCCTCTTCCCCAAAGCTTTCAAGCAGGCAACTGTCATTACCCTATCGAAACCTGGCAGGAACCCTCGGTCGTACAAGAGCTGGCAGCCTATTACCATTTTGTCGACCTTCGGCAAGGGAGTGGAGAGGCTCCTGACCCGGCGGATGACTGCGGCGGCGCTGTGCTCGGGTTTACTTCCCCTAGACGTGGCCGGAGCCATCCCGTCCAGATCGGCACTGGACCTCGTCCAGTCGCTCGTCCACGATGCGGAGACCATGGCAAGACAAGGCTACCACGGGCTCCTCGTCAATCTAGACATCGACTCGGCCTACCCCTCGGTTCAGCCGTCAATCCTTCGCGAGGTCCTGAGAGACCAAGGCTAGCCACGCTGGCTGTGTGAAGCGGCGGTGGATTTTTCCCAGGACTGTTGCTTCTCCTTCCGATGGGCCCAATCGTCCTTCCGCTCGGACACGGCCTCCCACAAGGCTCCCCATGGTCCCCGATCCTTTTCGTCCTGTACTCCCTACCGATCACTACCCCTCAAAACAAGGGAGCGCCTTCATGTACTTGGACGACCATGCGCAGCTGTCGTGGACAAACACCCAATATAAATGGCCCACCATGCGTCCCTTAGGGTCAATCAGCTGTGCACCAAGGCCCGAGGGCTCGGCCTCAGGGTCGACCCGAGCAAGACGGAGGTCCACTACATCCCCCCCCCCCGGCGGCGGCACCGGAGCGAGGCGTGGCAGGATGGACACGACAACAATCTCGACCCAGATGGAGAGGACGTCCTTCCTCCCTGGTAAGTGGTCAAGCGCTTATCCAACACGAGGCTCCAGGGCTTTCCCCCCTCGGCCGGCCCCAAGATCTTCGACGCGGTCGTCACCCTTTCCCTTTTGTATGGCATGGTCCAACTCGACACCGGCCCAACTAGGGCCGCGGTTGACGGCCGCTTAGTCCCATCTAGATTCACGCCGGTGTGGTCGTCTCTCATCAAGGTCGCGTACGCGGCACTCAGAGTGATCTTCCCGGTGTGGCGGACGATCCCGACCGCGTGGCTCTGGTGGCTAGCTGGCCTCTACCCAGAGTACCTGCTGGACAGAGAGCGGGCAAGGTGGAGAGCTCGCGTAGAGATGCTGCCGGCCAACCATCCTCTGTAGATCAGGCTTACCCGACCCCCTTACCGGGGCTGGTCTCTCCTGCACCAAGCGGCCCGCGGGCCCAGGGCTAAGCCCTTATGGGAGCAAAAGCACTTAGGAATCAGGGCGTGGCTCGGCCTCCCCCCTGTCCCTTCCAAGAAACGACGAGTGCCTCCCCCGGACATGCGTAGCTGGTGGCGTACTAACAAACCCCCCTCGGCCTGCTGGGCTGGGCACAGTGCTAAACCATTCTTTGAGAGGTTCTCCCGTTAATGCCTCTCGCGTTGGTTGGCGGAAGCCTCGGGCCACGGCGACTTCTTATAATATCACACGCGCTTCAACCATCCGCCAGAGGCTGTCAAAAAATACTCCTGCGGGGCGGTGGTTTCCAGGGGACACTTCTCCTCCTGCTCTCTTGTTTCCCTTGACAACCCACTCGCGGGAAGGATGACCCTAGGGCTTTCTGGTCCTCCTTCTAACTTTTTAAATCTAGAGTCTCCCGGGCCAAACCCTGGGGGCAGCCGGAGAACCCTGCCCAGTGACGGCTCTCCCTCTCTCCACACTTATCCTCTCCCCCAAACCCCCCTTCGAACCTGAGGGCCGGACACAGCCCCCCTGGACTACTCCCCCCCCCTCAACTATGTGATATAACAACCCTTCAATACTTCACGTCGGTTTTTCTCCCACGCAAAGTTTTCCTCCGGCGTCACCTGTAATTAATATAGTTCAGATAGCTCTTGCCCGCCGGCGCCGTGGCACGGCTTAGCACTCCTAGTGGTGAAACGGTCGAAAAATCAAATCAAATCAAATCAAATCAAATTACCGCCGCTAGTCTCGTTTGCACCAGGCTGCTTCTGGTTTTGGAGCTAGGCCCTAGTGGGAAGCCCGACGCCTAGGCGCCAGGGCGTGGCTCGGCCTCCCCCACGTTACTCCCAAGAGACGCCGAGTGCCTCCCCCAGATATGCGTGGATGGTGGCAGGCTAACAAGCCTGCCTCGGCCCTTTGGGATGGACACACAGCCAAGCCTTTCCTCGAGAGGTTCTTCCGGCAGCGTCTGTCCCGCTGGCTAGAGGAGGCTTCAGGCCATGGCGACATCTCGGCGTACCATGTGCGATTCAACACCCCTCGGGAGCGCTGAAGGGGTGCCCCTACAGCAGAATAGTGTCTAAAGGCCACTTCTTCACCTGTCCCCTCGCTACCTTTAACAACCCGCTCGCCGGCAGGCTGGACCCGAGGGCGTTCTGGTCCTCTTTCCAACTATTTAGATCCAGGGCCTTTCAGACCGAACCCTGGGGCCAGGCCAGGGATGCCGCCACGGAGCGCCTTATCCCAACGTTGAGACCCTAACCCTCCACTTCCCCCTACGCACGCGACCCTAGCCCTACCGGGGCATCAACCGTGACAGCGAGTCGTCGGAGTCGGAGTCGGAGCTGGAAATCCACATCCCCGTGTTGTACAAGCGTGAACCTCCCATTCAATCCAAGACACATACCCCCTTTCCGCAAGCCCCCTTGGCTTACACCAGTTTTGCTCTAGTGCAGGCTTTTCCTCCGGTGTTACTTGTATATAGATTAGTTCAGTAGCTATTGCTCGCTGTCGTCGTCGGCACGACCTAGCACCCTCAGGGGTGGACCTGGCCGAAAAAATAGAATAAGAATACTACGAAAATGAGGCAATATCTGACTCCAAAAAATGTATCTTACAAACTTTGCTCTTGAAAATGAGTGCAAAGTTTGCGATAAAGTTCTCAGTTCAAACAGAGAACTAAAATATCATGCAGTCTCTAAACAACTTGGAAACTCGAAAAGAGAGTTTAGAGCTAAAATAAAAGGGCTAGTGAAAATAATATACATATGATATGTGGATTGTTCGCGGTCTAAGATTAGTCCGACGGTTTCATTGACCTGACTCGGTCATGACAGTCCTGTAACAACCTCCGTCTGGCCATTCTCCACGGCCCAACTCAGCGGCGTTTGGCCATCGTTGTCTTGTCCGTTTGGATCAGCTCATTTATCATATAACAAAGCTTAGACAACCTCCGTATGGCCAGTCTCTGCAGCCCAACTCAGCAGTGTTCGGCCTTGTAGGTCAGGATCAATATCCTGGTCACACGCAAAGAGTGCCTTAACTAAATTGTTGAGCTCATAGACACCAACCATGTGAGGTACATTCTGAGTTAGCTTTAAATTCTCGAAAGAAAGCCAAGGCTTCTTTCTAACCTTGAAAGAGATGTCGCATTAATGTACCACCATACTGACCCAATCCGATTGTGTCAATAATTTAAGCAGCTGAGGAGTACAGGGGGAACACGTAGATGCATGGTGTCCCCAGTAGTTAACCGCGTAGCAGATGAGGGTTTTTAAGTCGTTCATGCGCCTGTAACGGGTGACTTGGTCTGGTGCAGACAGGGATCGACAATGGGTCAAATAGGTTAGATGATGGCCACTGACGATGTGGGGTGCACAGCGAAGTCAATTACTACGTGTAATAATCTTTCTTGGTCCTCAGTGTCCTTGTGTTGGGGAGAGGAAAACCAAGAGAAATCCTTCATCGTGTCCAAGTAGCCCTCTTTATAAAATCCCTTTGCCCTTCCAAGTACCTCGCGGTCTCCTGCGATCTTCATGGGTTCTCCTCAGCGTGACATGGTTATCTAATTCCTTCTTGCCACCCCCTCATATTTTCCGGGCTCTACCAATCAGATATATGCCTTTGCCCTTCTCAGCTCTTGTGTCACTGGTGTTCTATATATCGACTGTCAAGGGTATTTCTTCTCCTTGGACTGCCGTGTCCATGTGACACTCTGGGACGGCCCTTCAGCCAAGCCTTTCCTCGGCCTGTTTGACAGGAGGTGCCTCGCTAGGTGGCTTGCCGAGGCATCAGAACACGATGACTTCCTCGAGTACCACGTCCGAGTTCAACCATCTGCCGTGTGCGATCAAAGCTTGCTCTTGCGGCGAGACTGTATCCAGAGGCCACTTCCTCCAGTGCCCCCTCTCCTCCCTTGACAATCCTCTTGCTGGCCGCCTAGACCCCAGAGCATTTTGGCACTCCTATCAACTATTTGAGAATAGAAAATCACAACTCGAGCTTTACGGCTCAGCCAAACACCATCAAACAGGACAAGCCATCCCTCCTCAACACCCTCCCTACTCTCCCTCACGCATGACCTCACAATCTCGATCGATGCACACCCCTAACAACGAAGAATCACAATCGGAACGGCCTAGTTTGGACATCCGTATATTTTACACTCAACCACCTTAGCCCATTTTCCTTTTCCTTTTTTTCCTACTTCTCTCCCTTTACAACACCGCTCATCTATCCCACGGATACGCACCGGTTTTTTCCCTCTCGGGTATTTTCCCGCGTGTACATAGCTTAGACTAGCGAGTGCATATGTACCTTTTGCCCGCCGGCGTCGTGGGTACGACCGAGTATTCTCATGGGTGATACGGGTCAGAAATGCAGTTCAATTCAAATCAATTCAGTTCCCCTCAGGGCCGCGTTCTGCAGGGCAACGTCCAAGTAAATAATCCCATCCCATTTACAGTTTTTATACATCCAACAAAAGACCTTGATTGCTCTAGAACTTTATTACTCAATCCTAAAGGGCCCTGACCACTGGCTCGAACTTCCTCGACTTTAGAGAGCTCCTCGAAGATTTTTGCAGCAAAAAGCACAAGGACAGCCATACCAATGGGCAATATTCAGACAGCAGCTGACACTACAGCTACTTTCGCGAGGAGCTTGTGCCAATCAAGAGATTGCATCCGATCTTTCGGTGCCTACTCATCCATGAAGCATCCTGCTGGCGCAAGAAATGCACGAGGTACTTCAGACGAGATATCGGGCCGGAGCCCGGTCATGTCCATACATAATGAAATGAAAATCTTGGTAAACTTCCTGTACAATATACCCAATCAAGCTGGGCGAAGAAATGAGAGGGAACCTCGAAACGAAATCAGGCGAGACTAGTGAAACTATAAAATCAATAAAGAGAGCCCTAGTTTTCACCATTTCGTGGGATCTGGGCACCGGCGAGAGCGTTTTTGAGCCCTGATTGCTATCTTTGGCCAAGAGAGACAACTTGCGGAGGAATTCCCGTACTTCCTTCGAAGGCAAGGTTTCCCTCGACTACGCTGATATCTGGCATAAAAACATGATGTTGAAGAACCCAACGCAACGGGAAGTAGTTCTTTAACGCTTAAGGTGCGCATGTTCCTTAGGTGAGGTCATATCATCATAATCGAGGCTTTGGCTACGGCAAGTTTGACCGAAACGCAAGGTTTCGGGTGCCTAGTATAGCTTCATATCGATAGCACACTATCAAACAATATATACACTACCGTTTATGATATAGGGTATCTCAACACGGTAGTAATTAACCCAACGCCACAACCATAACCTCTGGCGCTCCATCCTATATTCCGAGCCCTTCGACCCAGCCCTTCTGATGTTGGGAAGTGAACCTTAGTTCTGCCCCAAACTCCTCAAAGCCCCACCCAATTTCTTCAACACTCTCCTCCCGCCCCTTAACGTATCTCCCTTCTTGACGCCCTTCCAATCCTCCTCAAAAACCCCAGTCCCAGTCAACTCCTTCTTCCCTTCTCCACCCGCCATACCCACAGCCACAACCCCAGCTTTATCCTCCTGCCCCTTCTCCTTCTCCGGCGCAACAGGCATACACTGCGCTTGAGGCTGAGGAAGCTTGTTCTCAACGGCCTTTTCAGCTGCTAAACTCTTGGAAGGAAGCTGAACAAAAGGAGTATCAAGATTGTCTCTGCCCATGGCGGACAGGGCCCGGCGGAAGCTGACTGACACCGTGCGGGACAACCCCGAGCTAGATTGTGACGGTGCCTGAGTTTGACACTGGGACTGGGCTTCAGCTTTGGCAGCGGTAGCGGCGCGGGTCTTGCCCACCGGTAGGCGGGAGAGCTTGTTCGTGTCAAGGACGATGACTCTCTGTCCTGCTTGCTTCACATTGTCAGGGGCAGCTGTGGATGTAGCTGTGGGAGTGGGGCACCCAACAACAACCTCCCCCTCCTGAACCTTCCTTACACTGTCCATCCCCAAGTCAGTATACCTCACCACCCAAAGCCCCTCCATCTCATTCCCATCAGCAGGCGTACCAAAATCTACCACCGCCGCCTCACCCTGTATAGCACCCCACTCTTTTGCAGGTAACCGTCGTTCAAACCACCCGTCGCTCAACGATGCTTCCGCGCCACAGACAGATTTGATCATTTCCATCGCTTGCGTGACGTCCACTCCGCCGGATATGGTAATCTTTTCCACAAACGGGAAGAGAGACTTCAAAGGGGCAAGGACCTTCTCAACCTCCTCACTAGAAGCATAAAACTTAGCCGGCGTGTTTTGGGGCCTCTCACCAAAATAACGCCTCACAAGTACCCTGAAATCCCTTAACGGCAATCCCTTCGGCCGCTTAGCAACCTGCGACTTGACAATCAATCCATCCAAAACCCCCTTCACCTTCCCAACCCCAACACTAGCCACCAACCCCACAGCATCAGGGTCCTTACTCCCAGTCAACTTCGTCATATCCACCTCCACCACCACGTTTGCAAACAGGCGCCCATAGCGAGCAAGGAACTGCCCCTCCGGCGTACGCGAGAAGATCATCCTTGGTGTGAGAGCCGAAACGAGGATGTGAAAGCGGTAAGTGAGGAAGACAGTTGCGAGAACATCGGCGCGAAAAGAGCGGTTGATGAGCAGGTAGCGGGTTATCGGGGAGAGGAGGGTCGAAAGGGCGGTGAATTGGTTGAGGCCGTGGTAGCGGGTGAGTTCGGAGGTTGTGAACTTATCGGCTAGGGGGATTGCCTTGTTGGTGGTCAGGTCGTGGGCTGCAAGAAGGCAGCGAAGGAGTTGCAGTCGGACGGTCGGAGGGAGGTCAGAGTAGCTTCGGTGTCTGACAAACTTGATCGTGGGAGTTGTCTTATCCGGCGTGAGAGTGGGAGTTGCGCTGCTGTCAGTAGAAATTTCGTCGCTGTCGGAGAAATATTCGTCCTCGCCGGTTTTGTCGATGCTTGGGTATTCCTCCATGAGAAGCTTCCAAATCTTCAAGAAGACTCCCTCTTCCTCTTGATCAGCCTTCTTATCCTTACGAGCAGGTTTAGCCCAGGTCATTTCGACAGCCCGGTCCCAGACCGGCTGTTCATCTGCTCGCAGTTGAATTTGAACCGGCTGCACGGCCTTAACATCACTTGATGTGCTCGTCTTCTTCGGCTGTAAAGTCTCCTGAATCGTGGAACCAGTCAACTCAGTCAACGGACAAGCATCCTCCGGCACCTTAGCAGCCAAGGGCGACGTGACAGAAGAGCTTCGATAACCTGGTGGGCCCTTCCTCAACTTATTTGCGACCCTATCAGTCGAGGGCGAAGCGCTGGACTCCTTCGACCCAACCGACTTCGAGGCCGACCCTGACGCCGGCGAGGACGATGCGGCTGCAGCAGCAGGACTTGACGAGTTGATCGGTGTTCTCTGGTTCTCTCCACTACAAATGCGCTTGCTAAGGCGACGCTTCATCTTGCAGAGGCTTAATGCGGTTTTTGATGTAAGCAGCATTCCTTTCTTCGAGGAGTAATGCTTTGATTTTCCGGAACTGTGCAATCCAGGAAAAGAACGAGAAGTCAAAGGAGGAGGAGGAGGAGGAGGAGGAGGAGGAAAACTTCAAGACCTCTTGCTTCCCTCCACTTGTTTATGCTTTGACGCGCAAGCGTGAGCAAAGATCAGATCAGACTGCGCCGAGCAGTCGCAGTCAAAAGAAAAGTGTGATATCCGCACTTGCTGGTCTCGTTCGCCAAGGTCAGGGTCAATGTCAGCTTTGATGATGGGGCTGTTGTTGTCGGATCCGGATGATCGGGCTCCATTGTTTGGGTTGTTTGCGCTTGCACTTGCCATAGAACGAGGGAGGAGTGTCATATGCCACTCTTTGAGTGATGGGAAGGGACGAAGGAAATTAGAATTATGATCGGGCTAACATCAACAGGGGAGGGGAACAGTTGCGCACTTGGGCAGAGGGAGAGAATCAAAAATGCGATGATGAGGAGTTGGGCGTTCCGGAATTTTTGGAAAAAAATTTGTAAACTGCCGTAAAGCATTCTCAGGACCTGTATGCTGTGTACCCAATTGATGAGGTAAATGTCCTTTATCCATTTCTGTCTGATTCGTGAAAATTCATCACAAAAGGAGTTGACCAGAACACAGAAACTACCATGAGAGAAGACAAGTGAGAGCAAAAGAAGCGGTCGCAGAATACGGGATTGCACGCTGTGGACAGAAGCATGAACAGTTTGGTGATAGAGGGCACCCTTAAAAAGATTGATAAAACTTCTCTATACAACAATTATCTTCTGGAGCCCCCAGTCACTCAGCAATGGCAATGTTGTTGATAAACATGGAGATATCAATGATCATCATGATCGTGGGGTGAACGCTGTTGACATCAGCGGGGCGATGATAAGATAAACATCTCCTTATCGATAAGCTCAGCAACCCCGCGGAGCCCCACCACAATTTTGCGGCGGTCATGTTGCGCAAAGAACCCTGACGACCAACCAAGACATCGTCATCAGCTTCAATACCATCCCCATCCTTACTGTATCCCTACTGTCGCGCCAATTGACGTAACTCAGCAACATGTCCGTCCCAGCGCCAAAAACCTTCAACCCCGACGAGGCCGAGAACCTCGAGGACGTACGTTCCCCACCCCCACCTCTTCTACCCCTACCTATCCAGACTCTCTAACCCGCAAATGCGCAGATCGAAAAGCAATTCGCCGTCAAAGCCGTTCAACACATGGTGACATACTGGTCTATCCTGGAAAAAGTGCGCGGCAGTACTTTGCGCCTGACACGGCTAGACGACGAGATCTACGAGCACCTGAAGCGGGATTTCCCGGAGTTTGATCCCGCAGAGACGATCGACGAGGACAAGATGAAGAGCAAGGAGGGGAAGGAAAGGTGGAGGAACTTCATGATGGCATACGAGAAGAAGGTAGACGATTACAACTTTGGGACATTGCTCAGGGCGAATCCCAAGTGGGAGTATGGGAAGGATGAGACGATCTTCGTGCCGAGGATGCAGTTTTATGCTATTGAGATCGCAAGGTAAGTCAAAATGTTGGGGTGATTCCTTATTATACGTGGATTCGGAATTCTGTTAGCATTGCTTTATTTTTTGACTTGTTGCTGACTGCCGCAGGAACAAACTCGGCCTCAATGACTGGATTTACGAGAAGGCTGAGGCAGAGAGGCAAGCCGCCAAGGGCCAGTCCAGCTCCTAGAATTGATATTTTTGCCCTCACATGAGGCTTACTAATTTCCCTGCAAATAGTATGTGTTGAGTGCGTGGTGTCTTCCTTGCGTGTGGAGCTTCTTTGGTCGCAGACTTAATAGTATTGGTCTCCCCTGGTCCGACTGCAACAACAGTAAGGGGAACAAATAAACCAGACACGGATATGCAGCGAACTTCCAGAACACTTTCACACGGGTATTATGTGCCTTTGACAGCCAAGCGTTGTGAGAATGCGGAACTGCTGCCGTTGCAAGCCTGGGGTATTATACTTGTGCCCTTCTATTGTTAATGTTTTAATTAGGCAGGGAAAAGAATCGAAGTTTTTTCTTCTGATTCCTCGTCCTATTTTTCTTCAACTCGACTAGCTTCACAGATGTCCAGGAACATCTCTACTGAAGGATAATATCCCTCTTTGGGTCACAAGGCTTCACATTCAGCGTTTTTAAAATCATTCTTGGCAGCTCAAGACCAGTCAACACCATCTCAACTTCTCATGACTTAACAGATCTCAAGCTGTCTTAGCCTTGTCAAAATGACTACCCCCAAATTTCTCCCAAGCTCCTGGTCCTCCTGAAGCACCATTTTAACCTCCAACCCAAAGCGCCATCGAAATCTCCGACCATACACCTTCAACTACTCCCCCCTCCCACCCCCAAAACCCCTCAAACCCTCCGTCAAACACCTCTTGGCCTTCGCACTCCCTTCCCACATTCCCCCCTCTCCTCCTCTCCTTCCTGATCTTAGCCATCCTCGGCGCAGGCAAGATCGCCTACGTGATCATCATGGGCAAAAATCTTTGAGAGAATCGCCATCTTCGCGCTCGACAGCGAGAGCCCTGACAAGGTTGTTGTGCCGGAGAGTTGGTTGGATGGAGTGAAGAAGTAGTGTGCTTGGTTGTGTGTGCCGGGCGCTGGGATTTATTATTTTTTGCGAGCGTGAAGACGATGTTGTTGGTTTGGGGTAGGGAGGAGGGAGTTCTGAAGGTGAGAAACGGAGTGTTTAAGACGTTGATTGGGAGGGGGGTTGGATAGTCTGAATATAGAGGGGATGGCGTGGGGCCGTTAGTGGAGGGTGTTGAGTGGTATACTTATTTCCTCTTCCCCTTTCACAACACTACCCCTATGATGATCACAAATACTGATACTTGGTTGTAGACAAATCCACGAGTTCCAATTGGCCACCTCGCAACCCCTAGGTTCATTAGTAACGAACATATCCGTCATGCTTGCCTCTCTCATTGTGGCCTTCATCTTCTTCTACAGGCTTACCCTCGTCCTCCTCGTAACGACCCTTTCCTCCGCCCTGATTAAGCGTGCCACGTGGCACTACATGCTGTGCCATTGCGCGCAGACGGGGTATGTCGCTCTCTGGAGTGTCGCGATATTTGTGGTCCGGTTCCACTGGGCTGTGATGCTGGCTGGGAAGCAAGAGTTGACGCCGTGCGGGGCGTTGACGACGTTTTCTGCGAATACGATTGCCTTTCGAGAAATAGAGCGGTCAGGACCGTAGTGGTTGGAATTGGTTATTAGGGGGTGTAATGCGGGAATGAAGTTGATCAAGGAGAGGGTGAGCGGCTGGCAGGAGGAGCCTAATGGGGAATGGTTGAGGCTGGGAAAGTGTAGAGGGGATGTTGTTGTTGCAGATGTATGTACCCCTCTCATTATGCTGTTGAAAGACGCTGACCTCCCAGGTGACATCCTCCTACCCCTCTAACCCCTTTCACCCCGTCCTCTACCCCACGTCGCTACACTTTCCCCCGGCAGCCTAACCTTCCCCGTCGGCCGCAGCGGCGGCGGTAAGTCCACGCTGGGCAACATTCTCATGCGCTTCTGTGAGCCTCTCACCGGGTCCATCACTCTCGACGGCGTCCCCCTGACCGCGTTGGATCTCAACTGGCTGCGCAACAACATCACGCTCATCCAGCAGTTTAGCCTACTGTTCAACGTCACATTCTACCAGAACATCGCGTTTGGCGCCCCTGATCCCAACAAGGCCGACACGAGGGATATGCATAGGGCGTGTTATATGGTGCTATTGCGGAGTACACTGGCTGGTCTGCCTGATGGGCTGAATACGCTGCTTAGGGCTGGGGCCGGGGGGGGGGGGAGGTTGAGTGGCGGGCAGAAGCAGCGTCGTGCGTTGGCGCGAGCCGGACTCCGCGATCATCTTGTTCTTATCCTTGACGAGATCACCAGCGATCTGGACTCGGTGAGCAGAAAACTCGTCCTCGACACAACTCGCATCTGGAGACAGGGCAAGACGACGATTATCACCCATGAAGTCAACCAGATCGAGGAAAACGACTACGTCTGCGTCTTCGAAGCAGGCCGTATTGTTCAGCAGGGTCAGAGGAAAGACATAGAGCACCAAGGCCTCTTCGCATCGCTTGTCCCACCCGCAGACGACGTCCCCTCTCCCTTTTCCTCGCCCACAGATTCCGAGCCGACGTCCTGGTATGACAACGACTCGTCAGACGAAGACTCCCCCATCTACAACACAACATTCGGTCGCTTCCTCCGTGCCACGCTGGTCGATAACCCCCGGGGGAAGTATCTTCCGGTCCATGTCTGTCCACGCATCGAACGTCTTCCGACAGTCTACCATCCACAAGTCCGTCTTGCGAAGGATCACATCCCGCAAACCGAGCGACGTCTCCCTGAAAATTGTCACCGAACACAGCTTCGACGTGCTGCAGAATAGGGTCCCGCGTGCTCGTCGTGGCCAGCCGTATCTGGTTGAGTTGGAAGCAACCCAAGCATCGCTTGATTCGCTTGAAGTCTTGTTCCTTGAGAGGATGGCTCGATCGAGCGAAAAGAAACTGGCCAAGACTAAGAAGAGCAAGAAACATGATCTCACCAGGGCACCCTCTTTGAGACATATTCTTACGACTGTCTGGCCGCATCTCGACACCACGGCCCGAGCACAACTATTTCTAGGAGTCCATACCACCTGCCTCATGGCTGCTTCAACCCCACTCTTCTCTCATTTCTTTTGCCTCGCTGCTCTCCGATTTCTGGATGCCTGGCCAACGGTCGTCAGAAGCCTCCAAATGGGTTGGTATCCTCGCCGCGATTGCGGTGCTCACCGGGATCACAACGTTCGCTTCCTACTACCTCCTGCCCAGAGCAGCCCAGACATGGATTGACGCCCTTCGCCGCGAGGCCTCTCCCGCGTGCTGGCCCAGCGTAGAACTTGGTTCAACAAGCCCACGGACTCTTCTTTCCGCATCGCGCAATGACTAGATCATCACGCCGAAGAAGCCGCAAGCTGGTTGGTGTGGTTGTGCCCGTACTGGTTGGCATCGTAGGCGTGATGTCAAGCTCCCCGATCTGGGCTCTCGTGGTCTGCTGGGATCTGACGCTCGTCACGCTCGCGAGCGTCCCTGTGGCCATGGCCGGTGCACGGTTGAGCGACGCGGCGAGCGGTGAATAGGAAGTGCGGTGCGACGAAGCTGCTTCGGAGGTCAACTCTGTCCTGGCAGAGACGATGTACAATATCCGTGTTGTCCGGGCGCTCGCGCTGGGAATATTTTGCCAAGAAGTACCTCTGCCGCACGGAACGCATACGAAGTTGGTCTCTGCCGGGGCGTCTATGTCGGGTTACTATCCGGGCTGCACCAGTCTGTTCAATACCCTGTAGTAGTTCTCATCTTCTTTTACGGGAGCAAATTCATCAGTCAGGGACATGCCTCAGCGATAGATGTACTGCGGACGGTAACCCTGGTGCTATTTGCTCTCGGCTCTGCGTTTAGCGTGCTCTCCCACATTCTGCAGTTGGTGGCGGCGAAGACGGCCGCGCTGCAGCTGCTTTATCATGTTTTAATGCCCCTGCCGGACGATGATGAGACGACTGCTAAGGGAGCAGATTAATTTACCCCCCCCCCTTTTTTTTCCAACCCCTCTGAGCATATATCTTACCGTGTTTCCCCTCCCCCCCAATGAATGAATGCACCGTTATCGTTAGCCCCTCTGGGTTCAGCAAGTCGACGCTTGCAGCGCTCTTCTTGCGTCTATACGAACCCGTCCCGGCCGACAAACGGCCGCTGCTGTACAACTCCCACCCCTACAACACAGTTCACACAGAGAGTTTACTCCTCCACGTGGAGTATGTCTCCCAGACGCCTTTCTCTTCCCCCTGGCGGTGCGCAAAAACCTGCCTACGGCCTGCCTCCTTCAATACTCGATCTCTCTTCTAAAGCGAACCTCCTCCGCACCCTCCACGAAGCAAACATCCTCGACATTGTGCAATCCCTCTCCCAATATCTCAACCCCCCCCCCAAAAGAAGGCGGCCTCTCCCTGAGCGGCGGGAAAGCCCAGCGATTGTGTATCGCTCGCGCGCTGGTCCGTCGTCCTCAACTCCCTATCCTGGATGAACCTACCAGCGCGTTAAACGCTGAAGCAGCCTCGGAAGTTCGCAACGTGATCGCGAACCTAGTCTCTCGCGCGAGGGAGGTGCCGTCTTTGTCATTGGCATCGTCACGGGGTGCTGGCTTGGGTTTGGGACGGGGAAGTGGGGGGAAGGGCGTGGCAGTGGTAGTCGTGAGACACAGTAAAAAGATGATGCGTATCGCAGATCTGGTGGTGATGTTGGAAAGGGGAGTGGTTGTTGAGTCGGGGAGTTATGAGGAGTTAGTTAAGAGGAAGGGCCGGTTCAAGGCTTTGGTTAGATGGTGTGGAGGGGGTCGCCTACTGAACCTTCAACCCGGAGTTCAAGGGAACAGTTGAGGGAAAAGAAAACGCATTAGAAGGGGAAGATTGAGGTGAGAAATGAGAGACAAAAGGCCAGGGACCAGACGCTGAGGAGGCTTGTAGGGAGAAATATCGTTGTCTGTGTTCAGTGGGGCAAGGGGTTTTGTTTCGACAAGGGTTAGGGTTGAGTTAAGAGTAACGCTACATAAGGGGATTTGGCCTTTAGGGAAATTGTTCTTCTCCTTCTTTGTCTCTTCTGAGTATCAAAGAGAATTTGTCATGCTTTAGTCTTTTCTTTTTCTTATACTTCTTTTCTTTGTCTTCCTTGTCCTAAATTCTTTTATTTTTTTTATTTTCCAGTTTTCGGCCTCGCCCCCTCACTTCCCCTCTGATTCTAGTATCGTCTTAGCTGAACTTATTAGTCAATACACTCCTGCTGATCAGCCTCTTACGTGGAGTCAAACCCTTTATGTGGTGCTGCTACGAAAACCCAAGTACACTGTACCATGATAGGATTTCAGCGGCTCGGATAACGCGACCCCTGATGTAATTCCCAAGCAGCGAAGGTTACCTAGGTGGATAAGACGCAGGCTTCATAATATCTGGAGAAGACAGTCAGTCGCTTAACAGGAGACTGAGGGCCTAAGCTGACGACGATTGTTACATCTAGTATTTACGGAGTAGACAATAGACAACCTGGTGACTAAACGGCTTCGAGTTGTTTTCTCCACCCGGATAATGTAGACGTAGTCGGCCCTGGTAAAGCATTGATATCGACAGCGAGAAGAGTGATGAATATTTCACTGTCTACAAGAAGAGCTCGTGATCCTAATCGGGACGTAATTTTTCCTCCACTTAGGCAGCTCACATGGCCGTCGTATGATAGTGGTATCTGGATTTCAGCTGACTGTCTCGTATCAGGAACCGCTTCAGTTAAAGAGCTCGAGCTCTAGCTGCGTGCACATATTCCCGCGGGCAATATCCAAACACCGAAAAGTTTGATCAGCCCGGGCCAGTCGATATTGGCGGCTATACTATACGGCGGGCTGCTGCCCCCGAGCTAACTTCGGCCTTCCGAACTAATTGCATATTGTGTGGACAAGTTCTCAGCATTGGCGACCACATACCAAGTCCTTGAAAATTGCAGTACTAACAAGCAAACCTTACCAACATAGCTGCATCTCTGGGATAATAGGCTCAATTGCCATCTTAGTAGTCGTCTTCCTGAGACTCTCAGCCTTACCAACCGAGAGTAGGTATCAGCCGAGTTCACCGCAACGGTACGTACCAGTACCCAGCGACAGTGACATCGCACCTGTCATCCTGTTACACTATAGGCCGGATGCCATTAGCGAGTTTGGGGAATACAGTTGTTAGTGACACAATACGGCTCGCCAAAATCTCCGTTACAGCTTCGGCCGACTTTGGCTGCGGCGAAGTAGTAGTGGACCAGTAGTGATTGCAGCATCTGTCAGGGGTAGCGATGACATGGAATGTTCTTTTAGCCTTCCAGGAGAAATTTCAAACTCGACAGTATCAAGGCAAGGAGATGAGCATACGACCTGTCGTGCAAGAGACGAAGAGCTGATCCAGAGAAGTCAGCGTACCTATTAATAGCCCTTTTAATGCCATTACCGTAGTTGCATCCCCCAGATTGCAATATCCCTCCCGGGATAGTTTTCCCACCTATGATTTTCAATCCCTGGATGGACATCATAAACGCATATAAAGTCCCATAAGGACCTCAATACAGATACGCATGCTCCCCCCCGCAATCCGGGTCGACAGCCGCGCTGCATCGGCATTGTCGCTCCTGCGGCGGCTGCCAATCGGCGGCGCAATTAGATCCCGACAGAGGGCGGCCGGAAAATATCCGTATTATCCGCATACACGCGGCAGGGGAAGCAAAGGTAGATCCATAGTGCCAAGGGAGAGACAAGCTTTGAGCCGCGTAGGACCGTGACGAACGAGCAGAAGAAACAAAACTTTGTTGAGATTCCCGGTTGAACGGACAACGCGGGGAAGTTATCCAGAGATGTGCGCGCGGACGAACCGGTGGTTTGGCGTGTTATGGGGGCAATATAGGGGAGTTTGGAGCAAGGGATGCTCCCATCACAATCCAAGAGGACAAAAGGTATATATAGACCGTTTCAAAAGCCCTCTTTTCTCCAAGACCTCAAACAGCGAGCAATCATCGATGTCTCTGCAGCAGACACAATGGTGCACCTCTCTTCAGCCCTCCTCCTCGCCTCGACGGCCTTCGCGGCCGCCGCCCCAGCCTACAACGAGGTCTTCGCCCGGCAGGACACCTGCTCCGTCTCCTCGAACTATGGCACCGTCAACCAAGCCAAGCTGCCCGACCCTTTCACGACCGCCTCGGGCCAGAAAGTCACCACCAAGGCCGACTTCGAGTGCCGTCGTAAGGAGATCTCCAAGATCATGCAGCAATACGAACTCGGCGAGTACCCCCCGCCGCCCGACAAGGTCGAGGGCAGCATGAGCGGCAACAGCATCACCGTGCGCGTCACCGCCAACGGCAAGACTATTTCCTACTCCGCTAGCATCCGTAAGCCGTCGGGGCAGGGCCCCTTCCCGGCTATTATTGGCATCGGCGGCATTTCTGTGCCTGTTCCGAGCAACGTCGCGACAATTACTTTCAACAACGACGAGTTCGCCGCCCAGGCCGGCGGGGGCTCCCGCGGCCGCGGCAAGTTTTACGACCTCTTTGGCTCCTCGCACTCCGCCGGCTCGCTCACGGCTTGGGCGTGGGGCGTCGACAGGCTGATCGACGCCCTTGAACAAGTCGGCCCTGCGGCCTCCGGTATAGACACCAAGCGTCTCGGCGTGACAGGCTGCTCGCGCAACGGCAAGGGCGCGTTCATCACGGGGGCGTTTGTGGACCGCATCGCGCTCACAATCCCCCAAGAATCGGGTGCGGGAGGCGCCGCCTGTTGGCGGATTAGTGACCAACAAAAGTCGAGCGGCGCAAATATCCAGACCGCGTCGCAGATTGTGACCGAGAACCCGTGGTTTAGTCGGAATTTTGACCAGTGGACGCGGAGCATCACGACGATTCCGCAGGATCATCACTTCCTCGCGGCAATGATCGTTCCGCGCGGGCTGGCCGTGTTCGAGAATAATATCGACTGGTTGGGTCCTGTGTCCACGACGGGATGCATGCGTGCTGGTAGGGCCATTTACAAAGCCTATGGCGTGCCGAATAATATGGGCTTCTCGCTCATTGGCGGACATAACCATTGCATGTTCCCCAGCGGGCAGAATAGCGAGATTAATCAGTTTATTAACTACTTCTTGTTGGGGAGTGGGAGCGCGCCTGGGCAGGTGGATAGGAGTGTGGCGAATGTGGATGTTAATAGTTGGGCGCCTTGGGCTTCGAGTGCGCCGACTCTGTCTTAGCTGGTTTAGACTGGCATTTCTTTTGGAACCGAGCAATAGGGGGATGATGGAGAAGCGAGTTCTGGTCGAATATTTTAGTTGTGGATGTGAAGGGGGGGGGTATCTTGAGATTCTGAGTGTCAGTGTAAATAGCGCTTAGTTGCAATTGAGGTATATGTGTACAGATGTACAATGTACATTCTGTCTGTCTGTCTGTCAATTTCAAAAAATCTGTTTCGTTACAATTTGTCTATTTAAAGTTCTGTCAACGCAGTGATGTTCGAGGGTGAAGGGCCGAGGATGATGACGATGAAGTTGGTGATTAAGCTTGGCGTTAAAACATAATGTGGGTCCTAAACGTCATGTGGGGCGCCCATGTAGCGAAGAGATTCTTTACCCTGATTAGTCAGTGACCTGCAGCAAGTGGGTCCGGCAAGGGTCGGCTTAACTGCGGGGCCGCCCCGCTACACCCGAATCTATCACCAATTGCAACAGTCATCGACTACGCTGCGTATCGCCGCTCTCCCATTGCATCATTTTTGCATATCTAAGCCGTTTTCACAATCCACTTTCTATCCAGGTTTTTTTTTTACCGTCCTCCCAATGTGCAAATTGAAGTATGTGACTATTCGGGTGAATGACAGTAACACCAACGTCGTGTAGCATTATCAGCTTCGTCGTAGTTAGCTTCGACGAACGCCCTCAGTGTCTTGTTTAACAGGATATCCCGACGGCCCATGAGCAGCTAGTGTGTGTCGAATCGGGAGCGCTCATCGGAACGGGGCCACTCCGCTATGCCGAACGCGGCCCTGCCCCGATAGAGCGGATGTAACATCGGCTTGGCTGCAGCATAGTAACAGAAGGGCGCCGACGTCTTCAACCAGCATCTCTTGCGTAACTCATGTCCAAGACTTAATTTTCGGGGTCTCTTGGGCCCTCTGAGGAGCATGATATCGAGCGAAGCCCAGACTCACAGGTCAGGTCTGTATTTTCATTATCAGAATCCCTTCCTTGAACAACAGCGAAGTCTCAACCCTAAACTCAACACATCCAAGCTCTGAACTCTTCGATTCAAGACTTTACCATATGGCCGAACCAGTTACGGCCTTCGCCCCTGATGACAGGGAAATGTCCGCCCTCTCAAGCAACGCACCAATAACTTCCCTCTACCTCACCTTTTCAACCCCCTTCCCCGTGCAAACACCATCCATTCTTCCCTCTCCCCATCCCAATCCCCTCTCCCTCCCCCTCTTCCTTCTCCGGACCTCAGACCTTACCAAAATCCCCAAACCTTCCCCTCGACAACCAAACTTACTCTCCTCACTCTCTCCTCCCTCGCGACTTTCCTCACAGCCTACTCCGCCGGCGTCTACTCCCCGCCATCCCACCTCCTCCAAGCATCCTTCTCCCCCTCCCCCCCATCGAAGCCGTCCTCACCGGCATAACCACCTTTTGCCTAGGCTTCGCGCTAGCGCCCATGATCCTAGCCCCCCTCAGCGAGCTCAACGGTCGATACCCCGTCTTCGTGGTCGCGGGCACGGTGTTTGTCGTCTGCCAGGCGCTCTGCGGCGTCGTTCGAACACTGGCTGGGATGCTGGTGGTGCGGTTCTTCGTTGGGGCTGGTGCCAGCGTGTTTAGTAGCATGGTTGGGGGAGTGATTGCGGATATGTGGGATGCGAGGGAGCGGAATATGCCTATGGCGGTGTTTAGTGGGGCTGTCCTGGCCGGGACGGGCGCAGGGCCTTTGGTGGGAAGTGTTATGGCTGAGAGACTGGCGGAGGGGAATAAATGGAGGTGGGTGTTTTGGCATCAGGCTGTGGCCGGAGGGTTGCTCATGGCGGCACTTGCGGTGATGTGGAGGGAGACGAGGGGTTCGGTTGTGCTTAGCAGGAAGGCGAGGGCTTTGAATAGATGGTATGAAGCACTGGAAGGGAGGGGGTACTACGGAGTGTGGGTTGAGGAGGGGATGGGGGGGGAGGGAGATGAGGAGAAGAGGATGGGGACGACGCAGGAAGGGTCGAAGTTACGCCGTATTCGCTGGGTCGTGAAGGAAGACGAGGAGCGCGCCTCGCTGGCGACGATGATCCGGATTAGCGTCACGCGACCGTTCCATCTGCTATTTACGGAACCAGTCGTCTTCTTTTTCTCCCTCTGGGCCGCCTTCGCCTGGGGCGTGCTGTACCTCACCTTCGGCTCGGTGCCGTACGTCTTTCAGACCGTCTACGGCTGGCCCCTCTCCGGGTCCGGGTACGCTTTTTCTGCGATGGTCATCGGCGCTGTTGTGGCAACAGGCATGGGAATCTGGCAGGAGAAGCTTCTCCGTCACCCGAAATGGGCTTCTCCCGCAGAAGATGGCACAAACAGTTCCGAGGAGATCCCCTCTCCCCTTCCCAAACTTCCCCCCTCAAAGCTCGACCCCTTCTGGGCTTATTTAAGAGCCCACTTCCCCCCGTCAACCCCCGAATCCCGCCTCTACCCCACATGCCTCACCAGCACGTTATTACCCCTCGGCCTTTTCACCTTCGGCTTCACCGCCCAACCGCAGCTTTCCCCAGCCGGCCCACTAGTCGGCATCTTTCTATCAACACTCGGCATCTTTAGTGTCTACTTAGCTGTCTTCAACTACTTTGCTGATACGTATCAGGGGTATGCGTCGTCTGCCTTGGCGGCACAATCATTTTGTCGGAATGTGTTGGGCGGCGCGTTTCCCCTGGTGACGAGGAGACTGTATGGGGATTTGGGGCCCGTGAAGGCGGGGGCGGTTTTGGGGGGTGTCGCGGTGGTGTTAACGGGGGTGCCGTGGGTTCTGGTACTTTTGGGAGAGGGGGTTAGAGGGAGGAGTGGGTTTGCTAAGGTGAGTTTGAGCCCCCCCCCCTTTTTTTTTTTTTGTTGTTGTTGTTTTTGTTGTTGTTGATTATCTGAGTTTGTGTTGTGTGGTGACTGACTGACTAGAGCAGAAACTCGTTCACACATAAGACTTTCCATCATGTTATTCCACAGCGATAGACCTAATACCCGCAAACTTCAAATCCTAATCCACCCAAAGCTGACAATCCTGGTGCTAATCAACCTCTCCCTCAAACTTCCCAATCTCCCCCCCAATCCTCTCCTCCTCTGCAAACCCCTCGTCATCTGGCTCTAACTCAAGTTCCTCTTCCTGCGCAATCATCTCCCCCTCATCTGCCCCCGTAACCTTCAGCCCGGCCTGTTCCAGCTCTAGAGCGCGGGCTGCATCGGGCTTGAGGGACCCGTCCCCGGGGTTGATGTCCTCAACCAAGTGCAAAGTGAAGAGGATGACTAGGTAGGGGTTTTGCGTCGAGCGGTTGAGGAGGACGTACCTGAGGGTGTGTGAGCGTTTGAGATGGCCCCTAAAAGGGGGAAAGATATGAGCTCGGGGACTGAAAAAGGGGAATTCCCACATAGGGGGCTAGCAAAAAAAAAAAAAAAGGAAAGGAAAGATAATGAAAGAAAAACGCTTGGCTCGAGCCCCTGGCAAACTCTGAACCAGAAAAGAAGGGAGGAGGGGAGGAGTTGTTGAGTGTCAAGGGAAGTAAAATAAAATATAAAATAAAAAATAAAATAAAAACATAAAATAAAATAAAGGGACTTACCTCAACCCCTGCCCATCCCAATACCGAAACACCGGAATCCTGATCCCCGGCAACCGCACCGCCAACTCACCAAAGTCAATGTAAGGGTTGAAAAAGTCAATTGAGTACCATCTTCCAAACTCCCATACCCACTTTTCCTTTCCATCATCCTTCAGCGTCCAGTTGATCCTCCCCGACGCTGTGTCAGGACACCCTATGATTCTCCTCCAGGCCAGGCCTTCTTCGTCTCCTCCCTCTTGAATTGCCAAGCCCACGCCGTCTTCCGTGTCAGGGTTATGATGGTTGCCGTTTTCATGGTTGATGTCCAGACGCTTCATCTTGCGCATGGCCTCATCTTCTCCCTCCTCTCTCTCGACATCCTGACCTCCCTTCACACCAACCCCCCTCACCTCGTCTCCGTGTGCCCTGAGCTCCTCTCCCTGGGCCCCCAGATCGACGGCTCCACGACCCACGTATACCGTATTAAAACTGCTTAGCACAGGCCCAAACAAGTGTGGAGTATCAGAGTAGACGTCCCCTTCAAGGCCGGGGTCGATCCAGCGTGTGAGCAGGGACAGGGCCATGCCGAAGCCGGGCGGGAGCCGGTCGCGGATGGGGTGTGGGAGGGAATTCCCGAAGAGGAGGCTTTTTGCTGGTATTCCACGAGGTTCTTTGGAAGTTGAAGTGACGGCTGGGGTTTGGGAGGAGGAGGAGGAGGAGGAAGAGGGATGGTGTTGCGAGGTCGGGTGTTGTGGCGTTATCGTTCGTGGGGAGGGCGTCTCCGACACGCATATCTCTTTGCCTTTGCCCTTGAAGTCAGGCACCCTCCATCCTTCGCATTGTTCAGGTGTGCCCTCTGCCCGTTTGATATCCTCGGGGTCATGATTCCCATTTTCATTCCCAGTTTCGTCCCCGGCTCCGTTCATGTGTTTCCCATCACACTCTCGTCTTGAGTTTTCTGCCTTGTCTGGGTCTAGTAAGCGAAACCTTAGACCAATACTATACCTATCCCCCCTACTCCGATGCTCCTCGAGCTCAAAATACCCCGAACTCTGTGGTGCGCTTTTTGGCACACCCCGCCAATGATCCTTTATCCTTACCCATACCTCTGCCTCGATTGCGTCTGTCACCACACGCACTGGACGAGGGGAGTTGACGTTGATGAGAGTGTGGGTTGAGGGCGTGTAGGAGGGGCCGCAGGAGACGCGGAGCCTTTTCAGCGGGTTAGCGTCTCTTCTCCGTCCTTGAGCAGTAGGAAGCAAATTCCACGTATTGGGTACCTAGGGGGGGTGAACAAGAACGTAAAAGAGCAACTGCGGCGAGACGTACAAGTATTTGGACGGGTCAGCCATATCGGGAGTCTCGCTTTCTGATGGCCACCTAGCAGCGTTCGGAGCCCGAACCCTACAGTAAATGCGGCGAAAATCGTGGGAGCAACACAACACAATCGGAAGTCGGATCAATCCGCAGTGTAGCCGTGTGACAAAGTTTAGGTGATGATTATACGGGCGGCAATCAAGGCTCAAAGACCTGCTATGCCCCGGACAAGGAAACCACGGCCTGAAGCTAATCTGCAAAGATATTCGGACGACTTGAAGACGTCGCTCGACAACACGACAGGCATGTTATCGCTTTTTTTTTGTTTTTTTTTTTCGTTTTTCTTTTTCAGACTTCTTCTCTAACTGCTCAGACTTACAAGGCCTGGACTGGCCTAGTAGCAGTGTTGGCGGGGACCAAGCTCCAATCGATGACATCATCCCGACTGGCGGCAGGTGTTTTCAGGGGGACAACGTTTAGAAGCTGTGTGAGCTGAATTAAGTGGGCAAAGGACTGCCCGAAGCTTGAGACGTTTTTGGTCCAATTTCTCGCCTTAGCTTTGTTGGGTCCTCTGGGGAAAATGGCAGCTTATAAACATGGGGGCTCAGCAACATTCCCTCGAACTACTTGATAAAGGAGATATAACCATCTGAAGCAAGGTATATGATATGTATAGAGAGAGAGAGAGAGAGAGAGAGACGACCCCGTTGAGTAGATAAGGAATGACAAGGGAAAAACGTAGAGGACAAAAGGACACATACGTCCCCAAGTCGGGCCCCGTAACAATTATAGCCGGCCAGACTATCTTCTCTTCAACCGGGCATAATAAACCCATCTATTAACCACCAATAGTATTATGCTCCTCTAACCTCTACCAATTTACTCTTCCTCCCCCTCACTAAAATACTCAAACTCCCGCGGCACTTCCGCCTCCATATCCCCCTCCTGATCCTCATCCACCGCCGTCAACACGCCAGCCGCGGCGGCGGCCCCGCTACCACTCTCCCCTTCACCTCTTCCTGCAGCCCTACCCGATCTACCCTCCCCACGCTGCGGCGTGGTAATCCCAAACAGCTCATTAAGCCCTGGAATCGTACCCGCAGCGCCGCGCTGGGACAGGTTAGACAGGAGCTGCTGCGTGGCAGCGGCACGTGCTGAGGCTGCGGAGCCGGTGGTCTGACCCGCGACAGGCGCCCGCTCAGTGGTGACCTTCTTGAGTTTTTCTTCGATGAGAGACTTGGGTTCCGACGGGGTAGAGTCATGCAGGAGGAGAGGGCCACCGGTTGGCTGGATTAACACAGTTAGTATCGTGTATGGCTGGGAATGGAATGGAAAGCCAGGGTAAGAAGAGGGAGGGAGGGTTGGGGGAGAAAGGGCTTACCTTCTTCACCGGCTTATACCTCCCCGCCGGGAATGAGATATACTTGAGCTGGCCGGGCAACACGCGGCTCATATTCTCAATCTCGAACCCGACCTTCTCCTTCTCGGCCTTCTTCTTTGCCTCTTCCTTCTGCTGCTGTTGCTGCTGCTGCTCCTCCTCCTCCTCCTTCTCCTTCTCCTTCTCCTTCTCCTTCTCCTTCTCCTTCTCCTTCTCCTTCTCCTTCTCCTTCTCCTTCTCCTTCTCCTTCTCCTTCTCCTTCTCCTTCTCCTTCTTCTCTTTCTCCTCTTCCTTTTTCTTACCTTCCTCATCATCATCAACCTCCATCTTGTCTCCACCGGCAGGCGCCGTCGTCTGGGAAGGTGTCTTCGCGGCAGGCTGATCAATATCCATGCTCTCCCTCCTAGCCGCCTTCTCCTTCTTCTGCGCGCGACGCTTGGCTTGCGCGGTAGTCGACAAGATCGCCGTCGTCACCAGCGTAGGGCCCTCCTCGGCCTTGACCTGGTCTTCGGGCGGGTAATCAAACAGACTTGCCCTCGCCGCACAATAGAACTTGATAGTAGGCATCTCCAGATCATGGTCGAGCGCGATGATGCTGGTCGGCACGAAGCTCAGCGACAAGAAGTGCGTGAAGGGGAACCAGTACCAGTAGTGCGTAAACACGGCCATGCCGACGATGCCCAGCATGTTGAGGTTGCCCGTCTGCGTCTGGAGGCCGATGGTGCAGTTGCGACCGCCGGCATCCAAGATACCCAGGGCAAGCGACGCGCCGAACTTGGTCATGGCGTCTTCGTGGCGGTCGCTAACCACCTTTCGCAGGGTCTTGCGGATGGTGCCGACCTTGGGGTTCATGACCTCGTTCTGCTGGACCATGATCATGGCGTGGGCGATCAGCGCGCCCTGGCGCACGAAGTCGCTGGGGTCCTTGATCATGGGCTCGAGCAGGTCAATCGCCTCGTCGAGGCCAGTGCCGGCGCAGGCGATACCCAGCGCCATGGCCGAGCCGTAGCGCACGTGCGGATTGTACGACTCGGCCAGCAGCTCGACCATGCGCGGGACGCTGCCGGGCTTGCGGAAGAGGATGAAGCCGAGCGACATGACGGCGATGCGGCGCACGTCGTCGTTGACGTCGCTGACGGCCATGTGCAGCAGCTTGCGGATGGCCTTGTTGCTGCCGGTGCCGCAGTAGGCCATGGCGATCGTCAAGATACCGCCGTAGCGCAGCATCGGGTCGGGGTCGTTGAGCAGGCCTTCGATCAGCGTGTCGGCGCCTTCTTGCCGGCCGTACATGATCAGGGCCATGCCGAGCGCGCAGCCGCGGATGATCTTCTCGTGGGTCGTCTCGTGCGCGTAGGTGAACATAGCCTCGAGCGCCTTCGCGCTGCCGGTACCCAGCATGATGAGACCGATAGCCAGGCCGACCGCCTCGCCGTTCAGGGCCGAGTCGGCGTACAACACCTTGAGGAGCTCCTCGTAGATCTGCTCGTCGCCCGTCGCCATGCCGGCGATGCCGAGACCCAGCGCGCCGCCGTGCTGGATGACCTCCTCGTCGGCGGCCACGAACTGACTGCGCAGGTACTCGAGCGCGTCGGCGCCGTGGTTGGCGTGAATCAGGCCGTAGGCATAGAGAGCGCCACCCTGGCTAAAGATAGACCCGTTGCTAACACCGCCCTGCTTAGGCAGGTAGGGCTCCAAGAGCTTCCGCGACTGGCTGAGGTTGCCGCGGTGAATGACGCCGAGAGCAGCCGTGGCCGTGAACTTGGACCAGTTGACGGCCTTGCCCAGCCAGTCGAGGTTGTCGCGGAAGAACTTATCGTTCGTGGTGCCCGAATTCATGAAGGCGTTGCAGAAGGTGACCGCCGTGTGGAAGATGGAATTGCGAGCCTCCAAGCTGTCGCGAACCTTGTTGAGGATGTTGAGGTCGGTGTGGTTGTTGCGGTAGAGGAACTCGAGGTTGAGCCGGATCGTCGTGGTGCCGTCCAGGATCGACCGGATGTTGCGGTAGACCTTGGCCTCCTCCTCCTTCTCCTCCTTCTCCTCCTTCTCCTCCGAGCCGTCCTGGTTTTCCAGCAGGGGCGCGCTCTCAGACTCGCCCTCGGGCTTCTTGGGCGGCTCGCCGGACGGCAGCGACTTGATGACCTTGTTGAGGAACTCTTGCGTGCCATTGTCGTACAAATCGAAGGCGATCTGGTAGGCAATGGCAGTAGCGTTCTGCGTGCCCTTGGCCACCAACTGCTTGAGCAGGGCCGAAGCCTCCTCGTCCGAGTCGAGATACACGACGCACTTGGCGATCGCAAAGTAGTCGGGGTTCTGGATCTCGTTGAGCAGGTCGAGGATCAGCCGCAAGATCTCAGTCCGCAGGCCGCGCTCCTGGACGATATCCATGCAGACATGCAGGCAGTACTCCATGAGCTCCTCGGCCGGGTTCGGCGCCCCCTCGCGACCGGCATCGGCGCTGGCGCGCTTGATGACACGGCGTAGCACGTCTAGGTTCTTGGCCTCGATGGCGATGCCCACGACCTGGCGGTACTTGCCCTCGTTGAGGGCGCGTTCGAACAGGCGCTCGACCACGGCCTCGAGGGCGTTCCACGCGGCTGGATCGCTGAACTGGGCGACCGACTCGGGCGCGGTCTCGTCAGACGTCCGCGACAGCAGGGACTTGGACGGCAGGGTCGACTGCGAGAAGGGCGTCGTGGGCGAGATAAGGGCCGAGTTCTCGGGGATGACGCTGCCAAAGGTCGTCGTGATGGCGGGCAGCTGGATGTCAGTCTGGATCTGCTTCGGCGGGGTGTGCCGGGCCGACGACACGGCGATGTACTGGTCGATGCACTTGGCGATGATGGTCTCCTCGAACTCGCCCGGGGCGTCGAGGTTGAAGAGCGGGCCGGCGGCTAGGGCAAACGTCATGCTCTCGTTGTAGGCCTGCAGGTGGAAGTAGACCTTGGCCAGCACGAGGGCGGCCAGCTGGCGCTCGGGGAAGGACTCATCTTCGTAGAGGGCTTCGCTGTGAACTGTTAGGGGAGGAGTGGCAAGATGTGAAGGAGAGGATGAGCTGGAGGAACGCACATCTGGCTCAGCACCGCGGCGACCTCGGTCCAGATGGTGTCGATGTCGTCGTTCAGCGTCTTGAGGGCAAAGACCTTGAGCTCCGGGGGCTCGTCGCCCAGGAAGGCCAGCACGCCTGGGGCGGTGATGACGTTGAGCATGTCGGCGTCTCGTCGAGCGTCGGGGATGTTTTTTCGATGTTTACTGAGGGGGAGGGGCTGTTTCGGCGCCGATACTTGGGAAACGAAGCCGAGGTGATAAGTTCAGGTACTTATAGTTTAGTTAGTAGTTCGTTTGATTTTTGGACTGCAATTCTACTGGCTTCGTCGGCGCCGCTCGGGCAGAAGTGCCGTCTGTCGATGGAAGAAGGGGAAGTGTTTGATGGTGAAGCAGCCAAGCTGCATTTCGCAGGCTCAGGGTCAGGCTCGCCCAGCCAACGCGCAGGCTGACCGTCCACGTCAGGAAGCTCTGCCTTGCGGACGACTGGCCAATCAGCGGGTGCCGGCGGCTCAATTTTCCGGGCCCACTGAGCTTGGCGCTCGCGGCTCGAAGCAGCAGGTACCTGGGGATAGCTAGAAGCAGCATAAAGCAGCTCCTCAGATATTTGTGAAAAAATTTGGGTTATGATTTAATTTAATTCAAATTGAAGAAATCATTCATTGCTGATCTATCCTTTATCTCAAAGTTTCCCCGATCTTGTGACGACAAGTGATAGAGCTCAGTCTTGCAGTGCCCCTCTCTCGGTACACATTAACATTAGGTCTCCTTGTGCTCCACCAAGCAAAGACCTTTTCCGGTCCATGGTTGCACGAGCCATCTTCAGCCCAGCCTGAACTCCTGTACCTGGTAACACCGACGGTGAAAAAGAGCTAGCCATCGCGAGGATCACCATAGTTTAGCTGGCCCGAAGGGGGTCCATATCACTTTTAATATAGCTTATGACTTTAAAAAAATTAACGTTATGTGTCCCAGAAAACCACTTAGGCCATGCTGTCCTTAGGCAGAATACCACTCACTGTTAAGCCGTGAGCACGGCAGCTGCAGCGAGGAAAGGGTAACGGCACATGCAGGACCGTAGTGACTGGGCAGAGTCCACTTTTTACGTCCTCTGATCTCTCCTGCTGCTCCTCTATTTTTGAGCGTGTTCTGCACATGTATCCGCTGCGCAGGGCCTACAGCTCAAGCCTGTTGTTTCTTCACGGTCTCCCCCTCTTCAGCTGCTTTGCTTTCTGCTGCATCGCAGCGCCATGACGAGATCATCGCGCGTCCATAACCAGGCTCTCCATGTCCGCATGCTTACTCTGAATTAATTCGATTTCCATCTGGCTCGTGCATGTAAAGCGACAGATAAGATCATCGCCAGTCGAGACGAACGGCGCCAACTGACGACAGCCGACCCGATCCTCAGCGCTGTCGAGTGTCGCCTCTGTCGCCAGCTGAGCTCGCCTCGACGATGTGACGCTGCTTCTGCGCATACAAAACTACTCTCTCTCTCTCTCTCTCTCTCTCACTCGATTTAAACGGTCCATTGGCCTTGGTGTCGCGACGGCAGCGGTCGACTGCAATTGAGACTGCGGACGGCAATTGCGGCAGATTCTGACGCCGGCGGGGAGGGTTGTTGGTGATGTTGATGAAAAAAGACACAAAGTTTTTAATTCGGTCTACACTTCGCAATCACCAGTTAACAGACAGGCATCGAGATTCCAGACAGTCAAATCAGACAAAATGGACCTCCGGGGCATGCTCAACGACAACGGCTCGCCCCCGGCGCGCACGCCGAGCAAGCCGCCGCAGCAGCAACCTCCTCCGCACGCGCAGCCGCAGTCTTCTCTCCCTTCGACTCCCATCCAGACCGCTCTGCAGCCGCCGTATCGCGACTACGCTCGATCGCAGACACAGCTCTCGCCTACGCAGGCTCACATCAAGCACGACTACCCGCCGCAGCAGCTCAGCTCGACGCCATACGGCTCCCCTCCCCCATATCACGCCCCTCCCCCTCACCCTGCTGCTGCCCCATCTTCCTTCTCACGACCGCCACAGCCGACTCTCCAGCCTGTCCAGCTTGTCCAGCCCGTTCAGCCCGTCCAGCCCGTCCAGCCCGTCCAGCCCGTTCCGTCGGCCGACCCGCGGTCTGCGAGCCTCAGCGGCGTGTCTGCGCACTCTCCTTACCGCCACAGCCCCGCCAGCTCCATCAGCGCGGGTCCCTACTCTTCTTCAGCTTACCCTCCCCAACAACAATCGTCGCCGACCAGTCCTGTGCAACGGCACCAATATCCCCCGGGACCCGGAGGTGCGACCACCACCTACCACCCACAAGATCGCTACGCCCAGCCGGCCGGACCCGCCGGTGTGACAAGCCCGTCTGCGTCGGCGCCGTACCTTCAAGGCCCGCCAGGTCATCCTCCCCATCCTGCTTCTGCTCACCCTCCTCACCCTCACATTCCACAGAGCCCTGCTGTGGCCACGCCAGCATCGGCCCATCCATACAATTATCGACCTACCTCGGCCCAATCGACGCCGACGCCGACTTCTGCGCATAGCCAGCCCGCCCAGTACGGTCTGCCGCCAGGCCCGCCTTACGCCCAGGGCAGCCCCGTCGCCGCGTCGCGTCACCTTCCCCAGCCGGATCCACAGCAGTCCCGCCAACCCGTACCCCAGCCCGCCCAACAACAAGCTCAACCGTCACCGAACCCGACCCCCTCATCGACCGTTCCCCTGTCCGGTCGCCCGGCCCAACCGGTTAGTTACGCACAGCCATCAAGCCCATACCAGCAGCGTCTGCCGGCTCCCAGCTTCCATTCTACATCGCAAGCTTCACCGCCGCCGCCGCCGCCGCCGCCGCCGCCGCCACCGCCCCCGGTGCTACCCAGGCCGCCGAGTACCCAGAACCTGAGCGAGCCACATAGCCAAAGTCGAGAAAGTCGAGAGTCGGTCGGCCCGGGCCCGCGCAGCAGCGACAAGGAACGCAGCGTCAGCGTTAGTCCCAAGACGCGAGTCTCGAGTCTGCCCAATAGTTCGGGTCGTCCGAGCTTGTCAGTCGTCTCGGATCTCGATCCGCGTGCTCACCAGCAGCCACAGTCACAGCCTCAGCCTCAGCCTCAGCCAGCCCAGTCGGCTCAATCAATGCCCACAATGGCTGATCGAGGCGCCAAGAGAAAGTTGGAGGACCGCGAGCTGCGTCCCGAGGAGCTAGAAAAACGCGAGTCGCGTCCGGCGCCCTTTGAGAGCCCCAATGGCCGTGGACCCTACGCCAATTCTGCTTCTGCACAGCAGCAGCAGCAGCAGCAGCAACAACAACAACAACAACAACAACAACAACAACAGCAGCAGCAGCAGCAGCAGTCACAACAGTCCTCCTCTGATCAGCCTAAGCCCGAGAAGAAACGCACTATCTACAGGACTCCTCCCCCGTGGGCCCAGTCCATCAATGGCCGAACACCCAACCACCCGAACCGAGTCCTCTACCGCCCCGTCGTCGACCGAAAGCCCCTTCCCAACGGCAAGCTCGACAACCACGTAATGGCTCGTCCCACCGACCCCCATCGCAGCCGGCACACATCGCCCGAAGAAAAGAAGCCCGCTCCCGCAGCTCCTTCCGCTCCCCCTTCGGAAGCAGCTGCGCCCGCCTGGGGCCCCCTCGGCCCATGGGAGCCCTCCATCACCAACACCGTCCCACAAGACGGCTTCTCCAAGACTATCGCCGACTTCCTCTTCCAACACGTCGTCATGAACCCGGACATGGGCGAGATCCAGTCGCGTGGAGTCAAGTTCGAGATTGAAGCCAAGCTCGGCTGCTTGATCGACAAGGAATCGAACCAGCGCGTCTTCCTTCCCGTCTTGTCCGAGACCATCCTCCAAGACACGGGTAACTGGCTCGCATTCAAATCCTCCATGACCGAAGCCCAACACAAACAATTCAACGAGTTCCTCAACTACCACGTGCAACAAACCCATCCCGCTAACCGCGCCGCGCATGCTTCCCTGCCTCGCCCCCGTCTGCCCATCGACTACCTCCACCGTCGCGAAATCGACCGCTTCATCGACATCCCCCCGCAAGTGCGGGACTCCGTCTTACCGGTGTGTGTGGCAAAACCCCTCGCGCAGCGCGGCCACGGCGCGAGACTGCGTGTCACGCACGACCAGAAGACGAAACAAGTCCTGGCGAAGATTGTCAAAGCCCGGATTGCTGATATCTCCCTCCACTTCCCGGACTTACCGCTTGACTGCAGGATTAGCGTTAACTTGGAGATGGACTGGCCTGGTGGGGGGGACGCGCCGAGCGTGGAGGAGTTGGAGAGGATGGCTGCCCAGATGGGGAGACCCAGCCATCCGGCACGGTCGAAAGATCGGTTGAGTTATAGGCATGGGTGTTATCAGATTGATTTGACGCAAGTGGGGTGGTGGTCGCGGGGCCGGGGTAAGTTTATCCCTTACCCATATAAAACAAAAAATTTTCCTTCTTTTTTTTTGTTTTGTTTGGTATGAGGAGAGAGAGGAAGAAGCTGACAGAGTCAAAAAAAATTAGGGTTCCCAGCGCCAAGAGAAAGAGCACGAACTTGAGTT